TGTACCAAAAATGTTTTTGAAGCTTACTAGTTTCCGAGAAATAAGGGCTCAAGTCAAAATTGCCTTTTTAGCGGATTTTGAGGTTTTTCTTGTACTTTGACGTGTCCTTTCTCAAAAACCAGAAAGTAGAGACCGCAGAGCCACGCCCCTTTTTGCGATGGTGAAATGCACTGATTTTTTAGATTTTGTGTTTGATGTTTTCGTAAAAGCACAATACTGAACCAAACACAGAGAAAATTTGGAGAAACAGAGAAAACCTTCCTCTTCAATCTGATATATTTTTCCCCCGATTTTCGTAGCGTTTTAGCGGAGTGTCGTACAAAAAACCAAAACTACTTTTTTTCTTCGGGTTTTTAACCTAGTTCCATGTCGTTGGCGCCTTTTTTTATTTTTCGAATTCGATTCTTAAGTGAAAAAAACAAATCTTTTTAAGACAAAAAAATTAAAATTTTTTTACGGTGCCTAATCTTCGTGAGGCCGCGCAAAGTTGAAAATGTTGTACTCGCTTTCGAGAGCGTGTAAGTAAAAAAATTTTTAATTTTTAACTTGTGGATTAAATTGTAACTAAAATTTTATTAAAAATAAAACTTATTCGGAAAAACTTTGTTTTCTGAGAAAAAAATAGACAGTGAAAATTTCGAAATTTATTTTTAACATGGTTAGATGTCGTTGGCGCCTTTTTTTATTTCTTAAATATTAGCGTATTTCAATTTTTCAATCAATTAAAAAAATAAAATAAAAAAATTTTAGCGGTGCCTAAAAAGTTTAATTATTGTCAACTTGAAGCCAACCTTTAAAATAACAAAAAAACACCGAAAAACGGAAGCATTTTTGAACTGAACCTCTATGAATAAATTATTTTTTTAGGTGGTCCGAACACACGTGACTAATAATTGTTCAACTATCATAACTTTTTTTTAAGCAAGATAGTCGGTAAATGCTGTACTTTGAGGTGAAGTGGTGTATAGCGCGAACGCCTCTTATCTCCGAGAGATGTGTGGAGCAGCGCAAGTGCGCTTGCGTACAGTTTTGATATCGCGAGTTCAATCCTCGCAGCGGCCATTTTTATTTTTTTCAAGAAAAAAATAGCTTTTCTTTTTCAAACTTGTGGTTTTATACTGTTTTTAATGACTTATTACGACTTTGAAAACTGGAATAAACTACTAAAAAATTGAAATCCGATATGAAAACACAATGAACGACCAAAAGTGTAAAATCTAAACTTTCAGTACTAAATTTCGCGACTTTTTTTCACTACTGTTTTGACCATAACTTTTTTTCTCAACCTTTTTTTCGAAAAAAACTAAACTGTTTTTGAATAGTAAATTAGAGCAGCTATCCAACCATAGTAATATTGAAGTTCGAAAATTTTTTTGAAAATTCGTCTGCGGTCCCTACCTATAGGGCAAATTTAGGGGCTCTTGGAGGGTTCCCTCTAGGGACCACTTTACAAATCCCCATAGGGTTCACTAAAGCCTTAAGAAGTGTCTGGGGGTTTTAGTTAGTGGCCCTTATAGGGGTCCTGCTAGTCGATAACTTTTACAAGCTCTATTTAGGGATTTCAGAGCGATCCCATTAGAAGTTAGGCGAAAAACAGCCCTTATAGGGTCGAAAAAACAGCCCTTATAGGGGTAATATCAAGGTTGTCCCTATAGGGGTTTAGGGTCTGACCTCTAAGCCACTAAAGCTTAAGTGGTCCCTATAGGGGTCTCTCAATTTAATTCAACAAACGCTTGTTTATTCAATTTTCGTATGGAAATTCTTCTTCTCGTAAAGTAAATTGAGATTGAGAAGCATTCCCATGCAAAAAAATAAAAAATAACCCTTTTTGAATAAAATTGAACGACTTCTATATAATACCATTTTTTCAGTTCCTATAGGGGCTGCATTCTCTCCTAACCCCTATAGGAACCACTCTGAAATTCCTAAGAGGTTCCAATTTTCGATGTAGAAATGAAATCGAAGCAGGATATGAATTTTAAATGTTCCATTGATATTTTTTTCAGTTCTTTTTCAGAAAAAATAACTTCTTCTTTACTCTATCATCTTCTACAATCTCTTTGATAGCGTGTTCGAATGAGAAAAACGGAACATGTCTCGAAAGTTTTTTTTCGAACTGAAGTCCACAGAACACGTCTGATTTTCTACACAATGTTGGCATTTTTTGTGACAAGCCGGCTACATTTAGTGTTACAGCGAAAAAGTCCTACTTGATTAGCTTTTTCTTCCCTTTGGACTGAGAAACCAATATCATCGTCAGATGACTTTTTTTTTGCCTCTGATGGTACCTTAGCTGCTTTTTTTCGTGTCTAACGCTGGCCCCCGAAAGCGGTCTTGAAACCGTAAGGTCTCCCCATTCGCCGCTTCCTTTTCTCATCTATCTTTTCGCCTAAATTGACGACGGACCGACGGACGGACGTCTCCGCCCCGACGTCGTCTTCGTCTTTTCCTTCATCTTTTTCGACGACGTCGCCATGCCCATTTGCGCTCGTTCTCCGCCAGTTATCAATTGATATGTCAACTGTGTCTTTAAAGTTGTTCGTTTGGTTTTTTGGGCACGATTTTGTTCGCGGACTTTTTTTCCTTCGTTTCGTTGATATTTTCCGCCGTTTTCACAAGATTTTTAGATAGTTTTGAAAAATTATGGTGCTACTTGTGAGCAGGTTTCGAGTAAAACTTACTCTTATTCCAATTAATTAATAAATGTTTCTTGTTCTACAAGGACAATTCAAGTTCTCAGCTTCAAAATACAATTTTCTGTAGACTTCTTTTCCAAATCATACTGGTTTACGAATCGCGAATTTCAAAACTCTTCCGATGAACAGACATACTTTGAGTAACTTGAAATTTTCAAACCATAGAAAACTTTTTCAGGCTTAGTATCTGTGGAAAAGTTGTTGAAAAAACTAACTTTTCTCTTTTTTTTCCTTATTTTTCACAAAAAAAACTTGCTCTAGATTCTAATTATGTTCTTTATATATAGGCAAAGTCAGAAGGGTTCGTAAAATCTCCGAAAAATGTTCCTTTTAGGGTGATGAAGGCTCCTTTTTTGCTGCCTTTTTGCGCCATTTTATCGGCTCTTATGCACCATTTTTGCTGCCTCTTTTTTTTCCACCATCTTTTGAGTCTTTAAGATCCCAGGAAAATTAGAAGGCCTGAGAAAGGGACTCTTTTTGCTGCCTTTTTTGAGCCTCTCCCTTTTAGCGGCCATCTTGCACCCTTCCAACTTTGCCCGAGTTTAGAATCTCATTTTTTCTAACCTTTTTAAATTCGTCTCAAAACTTGATATTCAAATCAGTTTAATTTTCAACTTTCCTAGGAACATAGGATTCCATCTATTCAGCCATTTCGTGAAAATTTCTGAGTGCTGATTTTCCTGCTTTGGAACGATTCATGTTAGGTTGCAAAAAACGTTTTATTTTGGTTCTTTTTTTGATGTTTCGAAACTTTTAAAGTCGGCAGCGGCTTTTTTGGATTTTTTTAAAATTCATCTATCGAGATAAATAAAGTTTCCTGACAAGGAAGGTCATTTTACTTTGCGATTGACCTGAAAATTCGCCAGAAAGCTCCTTGATGTACCAGAAGAAGATTCTGGAAGTCTCATCCTAGTTTTTCGAGAAAAGATGCCTCAAAGTCCATAAAAATTGGCCATTTTGAGGCTTCGAGTCCTTATTTCTCGAAAACTAGGAAGTTGTGCAGGTTGAGACTTTCAGGATCTTCACCATAAAGAAGTGTTTTCAGAAAATTCCCAGTCACCAAGTAAAATGACCTCCTCCCCTGGGAGAGACTAGCTGATTTAATTTTCAAAATTCACTGATTTTCAGTAGAAAAATAGCTTGCAAGCCCACACGAGAGGGTTCATTCTCTCGTCGTTATCATCGATACGTCTTTGAGCGGAAGACGTTCCCTTGTACCTGACGTTTACAGCTTCTTTTTCTCAACAACGAGAAATGCGCCCTCAGGGGGCAACCGTTCCGTTGTAACAATTCGGTTTCGGGTCGCATTTCTTTGCTTTTATTCCTATTGTATTTTTTCATTCGTTACTTTTGAATGTTGGTTCAGTCTGGGTTATGGAATTTGTCGCTAAAGGCTTGATTTTAATGTATAGGATATATTTTTCTCTTGAAATGTTTTTACTGAATACGGATCTTCAATATTATCAAAATAAACAGTTTGAAACCTCAGCAAGGCTTTTTTGAATAGATAGAACTTGTAAGAAAAAGGAGAATTTTGAAAAATTGCAAGAAATTTCTTTCAATTTGTACATGCAAAATTGACGAATTCGGTGAATTTTTTTTTCTAAATCTTGATCTTTTTCTTAACTGCCAGCTCAAAATTAGGTAAGTTATCACCAAGAACAGTTTTTTGAGTATTTAGTCACCCGTTATCCAGAATTTTTAAAAAAGCTTATTTTTTTATTTTTTTTTTCATGACCCCCCAAGAAAGGTCATTCAACTTTGCGGTTTGGATTTTCTTGAAAATTGACCAGGATACTCCTTGAAGTACCGAAAGACGATCCTGAAAGTCTCAACCTGTAAAAATTCCTACTTTTTGAGAAAGATCACCTCGAAAACCATCGAATTCTGTTAAAATAGGCCAATTTGAGGCTTTGAGCCCTTATTTTTCAAAAACTAAAAGTTGTGCAGGCTGAAACTTTTCTAATAGTTGTCTGGTACATCAAAGATTGTTCCGGCCAATTTTCAAAAAGTTCAAATTGAAATGACCTCCCTTTTTTGTAAAATGAATAAAGTAACTACTCAATCTTCCGAAGCAAATCTTATACGAGTCTCCCCTGATTTAACTAGGGAACGTTTTTTGTCCGAAAAAAAAAAAATTTCTCGCAACTGATCTCGGGGGGAGGGGGTTTAAAACGCTCCCTGGTAAGCTGAATTTTCGGGTTCTAAGAGTTAGAATCGCTTGGACTTGTTGATCCTCAGCTGAACCGTTCTTCGGTCGAATTCTCACGATCGTCTTAATCCGCTGTAAGCAGCCGCCCGTTAATGAACTTGGCGGCTAAGCGAGTTATCGATTTGGCGGACGACGGCTGCGCGATCGTCGACGTTGTCACTTCGACGACGTCTAATCGATCCGCTTCTGAATATTGACCTTTTCTGAGAAAGTTGGCACTTTTTTCCAAAGTTTTTCCTTTTTTTTCCGCTTTGACAACACTGTCAACTACGAATGGTTTCAAGACTTTTTGATGCTTTTCGAGGGAGTCTCTCACGAGGGAAGTCGATTTACTTGGCTCTGAAAATTGGCCAGAACACTCTTCGATGTACCAGAAGAAGATTCTGAAAATCTCAACCTGTACAACTATCTAGTTTTCGAGAAAAGACGCTTTAAAGTCACAGGGAACCTTTAAAATTCATGAAAATAGGCTATTTTGAGGCTTTCAGCCCTTATTTCCTAAAAACTAGGAAAATGTGCAGGTTGAGACTTTCAGGATCTTTAACTGGTACATCAAGGAGAGTTCTGGCCGATTTTCAGGAAAATCCCAAGCACCTCCCTTGTCAATTGGACATCAAAAGAACTCTTACCAAGAATTTAATCGTCCACCTTGATTCTTGAAAGATTCAAAAAACTTGATGGTGTGACATTTTTTTTTTTGATTCTTTGTTATCGCTCTATTGCAACTTCCTTTTTTTAATTTCATAACCGTTCGAACTTGAGATAATTTTGAAAAGATTCAAGTTTGCGATGAGAAAATTTCAAGGTTGTGTTTGGTTTTTTAGTCTTTGGCCTAAACTAGAATTTGTTCAAGAAAGGCGTTTTTGATGGATTTGACTTCCAGTGAGCTCACGTTTACATATTCCACCTACATGTTCCTGAAAAAAAGTTTTAAATTTTTGAAATCTTGTCCTCATCTTCAAATCGAAATCTTTGCCGTTACCATCTTGTGATGCTTTCGTTTTTCTACGGAATGTTTCCAGAACCATGATGAGACCCAGAAGCGCGGCGTGGCTGCTCGTCGTCACGCTGCTCGCCGAGCAGAAGACGTCGGCGGCGCCCGCCGTTTGCCGATCTTGTGCCAAAAACTGCTTCGCCCAGAACTCCACCATCGTTTCCGGCAGGTTCGTTTTCCTTTCTGAAACTTGGATTCTCTGAAAATGGTGCTTTTTGAATAGAGCACAGAGCTTGTCTGTGTGCCCAGTAATTTAAAAAAAAACCGGAAACTTCGGAAGAATGAAATTGGCGCCAATGAGACGCCGATCGGATGTGTGTGTGTGTGTGTTTTCCCAAGAACCTTTCTTATCTCAACTCCTCCGACCGATGGAGACGTCGGGCCCGTGGCGACGTGTTCGACCTTTCAAGATCCGCACGGAAGTCGTCAATCTTTCTCGAATTTCTCGTCACTTTGGCTGAAAAGAAGTAGGAGAGAAGAACGGGAGACTACCGTGGGGTCAGTCGAACCCAGTTAGATCTCGATGGCAGATCTGACAAGTCCGAAGGCGTCGAGATGGCGCCAAACAGACGTCGCAGACTTTTTAATTGCCGATTTTGATGGACGACCTCTCGAGATCAATCCGTTTCTTCTGTGAAGCTCTCGAGTGGTCGGCCACGTGAGAAGGTCGTTCCGAAGGTTTCCAAGTCACGTATTTTATGGCCCGTGGCATCACTCGGTTGGCTGTACGAGACGATTAATGGAGTTTAATTGGACCTGAGGAAAAAAAAAATTTGATCTTTGGGGTTAGGTACAGGAGTGTCATCATTGAGAGGAAAGTCTTAATATTTTTCAAAAAAAAATAAATGAGTATGGGAAAGTTACATATTTTCAACAGAATATAATAAGTACTTGAAGAAGTTGTTAGTGGAAAGTATTGGAAGACTTTTTACCTGAGTTTTTTTTTGCTACGAATTGCAAGTAGTATCGCCAGGTACATTTTTTTTTAATAATTTCATTTATTTACAGGCAGATAATATTGTTAAAAATATTTTTTTTCTGCCCTTTCCCGAGTTTCAATTGGATATTGCAGCAACGCGACGCTGTCAACGGTGGACGTCGACCTGATGGCCGAACTCGAGGCGAACGAGGTGGAGCCGCAGCATCGGAGGACGAGACGCGACACGGTGGAACAGCGTGCGTGCTCCCGGTTCCAAGTCGAGATGCTCCTGATTCCGCTCGCCATCGCCATGATCCCACTCGTGCTCTGCGCCTTGTTCGTCTGCACTTGCTGCTGCGGTCCCAAAGAGTCCAGAGGTTCGTATTTTCTAGAGCCTCTTTTTTCTGGTGTTCCTAAAGGTCTCGATTTTTGGAAATACGTTTAATTTTCAAAATCTTAAATATTGATCATTTCGTGACACTGCTACGAAAACGGGTGCAAAATGGCCGCGAAAAGGTTCCATTTTGTGGCCATTATTGAGCCTTTCTTTCTTGGTGCGCTAAAAAGGCTCAAAAAAGAGTGAAAAAAGGGAGAGGCCGCAAAAAGGGTGCGAAAAGGGTGGTGAAAGTCTCGACCATTAATGATTTCCGATTTTATTACTGTAGCCCATTTTGGTTCATACACAGCTCTTGGTGAAGATTATTCTTAACTTAAAAACTTTTTGTTTCTCAAAGGGCCCAAAAAGGTTGGATAAAGGCCGATGAAAGGACGGAAAAAGGCAGTAAAAAGGAAATGTTGCAACCCCTTTAGGAACAATTAATGGAACATTTTTAATCCGTAACGGTCGCTCAAAAGGCCTGTAAAGGGTCCTTTCGACTTTTTCTAGGAATAGAGAGAGATAAGTATTTATGTAGATCAAAGACTTTGAAACGTTTAATTTTTAGTTTGAAAAATTTGATTTTTTGATTTTTCTTATTCCTTTCAACAATTATTCGTCGGATTATCAGAGTTAAACTTTTTTTTTCATCTCAAATCCTCCCGAGCAGATTTACGTCATTTTCGAGAGTTTTTCCAGGTTTTCGGCTCTAATTAAGGTTCAAAATAGTGACAGGAAGTTCTTTCCGAAACAAAAACTTGGGGCTGATCTCTTGCGAAAAAGTCGGTCTTGTAAGCTAATGGATGACGACGGCATCCCGTCTTGAATTCGTCGCCTTCCAATCAAATTAACCGTTCGGTCAACATCCGTAGGGCACAAAACTGTTGATCGCATTTGGCTGAACAACGAAAATTGCACTACGGGGTGGGCAGATCTCGGATCGATGCGTCAGCTTTCCAGTTTCGTTCCTTGCACAAAGGACAACTAGAGTAGCTGCCGAACGGCATCACCAACAAAGGGAATTTCGGTGTGTTGTTGCCGAGGTGTCTCTGTTCTTCATTGTCCTGTCCTTGTCTCGACGGTTTACACACATTTACGCGCACCCCTGCAACACATTTATTGGTGGTTTTGAACACTCTCCGAGGAGTATTATCTTCAAAACCAGTTTTTTTGAGAAGCTGCGGTTCTTATATGTTGTTTTTTTTTCGCGCAACATTTTCCCCCTGTTACATCATCTTTGAACTTTCGAATAGTTTAGAATCGCGTTTGATTTTTTGATCCTTTCTAAGCTGATTTTTTTTCCAATGAAGTAATGAGAAAGAATGGTCCATAGGCAAAGTCGGAAGGGCCCTTTACGGGCCCTTTGCCGTTATGGTTCATAAGGTTTCCATTATTTGTTCCTAAACGGGTTCCTTTTTACTGCCTTTTCCCGTCCATTCATCGGCCTTTATCCAGCCTTTTTGGACCCTTTCAAGAAACTCAAAAGTTTTTTAAATTGAAAGTAATCTTTACCAGTGACTGTGTAAGAACCAAAATGTGCTACAGTAGTTAAATCAGAACTCATCAATTGCCGAGACTTTCAGCACCCTTTTTTCAACCTTTTCGCGGCTTTTTAGCCCACCATGAAATAAAGGCTCAATAAAGGAAAAAAAATGCAAAGTGGCCGCAAAACGGAACCCTTTTAGCGGCCACATTGCAGCCGTTTTCAGTAATTCTGACTTTAGAAGTGTCACAAAATGATAAAGTTTTGAAATTTTCAAAATTAAACGATATTCTTGAAATCCTTCTCATGTTATAGCCCGCCCCCCATTAATTTCATTAGTTTTTCAGGTTTTCTTTGAATCAAAGAAATACAAAATAAAAAAATAAATAAATGAAATAGGACTTTGAGGGAAGGCGCATTGATAGTTGCCAAGATCTACCTTCGCCGCGAAAATTGAACCGCCTGTTCGCTGTCCCAAGCCAGCCGTGAACGGGCTATAGCTCTCAGCAAATTTTCTCAGGGCAGAAAATGTTCCAATAAGAAGTCAAAAAAGGTCTTCCCCAAACTGTAAACCACGAAAAAGGTTGAAAAAGGTTATACGCAGTAATAAACGGCCCATCGGTCAAGGTCACACGAAATGTGACTTTGTACTTTTATCAAAGAAATATCACACGAGTTTGCGTTCATCGATTGGGAGAATTTCCAGGAAAACTGCCAGAAGACTTTCTGGCGTCTCTTCCGATGTCGAAGAAGAGCGAGCCGAAACTGGAGGAGTTTGAGCTAGAGTTCGGACCCGGCTACGTACAACGCAAAGACTCGAGCAAGACCAAGTTCTCGACGACCGTCAAGTACATCGAGGCAAGGCGGGAGAGCCTCTGGTCGGCCAACACCGTCATCAGCGAGCCGGTCAGTCTTGATAATCGTTGATCATAGAGTTTTCCCAGAAATATTTGAAGAATAAATGGAAGCTGACTCATGGTTGGTCTGAGCCATGAAAAAATGGGTCTTGAAACGATGAGAAAAAAGATAGGGTCTGCTTAGAGAGCGCAGCTATTAAACAGTTCCAGGAAGCAAATTTTGAGTTTCTCCAGAGTTTTTAGGCTTGAAATTGCTCCCACGGGTACTTTTGACTCTTCTGACTGGTAATGACGAAAAAATTAACTTACCTAACAGAAAAGGTCATTTTGGAAATTTTCTGTGTTCCTCAAAATTCACAAAACTTTTACGTAACTTTTTCGGGATAGGACCGAGTCAAGGGCTCAACTTCCAAAATTGGAAGTTTACGTAGGCACCACGAGCCATTTCTCGAAAAAAGTAATGCCTAGTCGAATCCAATGTCATCGGATAGAACAGATTGTCCAGAAATCAAATCAGCTTAGATTTTCAAAAAATTTTGACTTTGAGCCGAGTTATGAAGCTTTTACTGACGCGCGGGAAAACCAAAAAATCTGGCGTTTTCCGAACTTTCGGCTGATTATATTCAACCGTTTTTAAATCGGTTTTTTGTTGAAAAATGATGAGAATGCCTCTCTTATTGTTATTAACCCAGTTTAAGGTTTTTACAAAAATAATTAGTTCGAAAAATAAGAAAAATGAATTTTTTATTAGCGCTTTGCTCACTAACAGAGCTTCAAACCAGTTTTTTAACCGAAAAAATGTCAATTTCGGTACAATGAAGGGACGAGGCTTTGCGCTCCGTAAGTTTACGCGAAATTACAGATTGTTCATATCCTGAAGAAAGGTCGAATTTTTAAAAAAGAACATCAAAATTTTATCAAAAAAAAAGATCGAAAAGTATCATTCGAGGTCATTACTCTTGCGAAACCACCTGATTAGAAGTTTTAAAAATTCTTTTTGAAGGCTACGGACACGACGCAGATGCCGCTGGAACCGCCGCCGCCAACCCTGAAGACTGTGAGCTCGGTGCCGTCGCGACTGATGAAGCAGGACTCCTGCGATTCGGCGAAGAAGACCCGGTTCAGCGACACGGTCTCCGTGATAAGCGTCGAGTCGCTGGCGCGCCGATGACCTCTCCCGAGTCCGGAGCACACCTTCGCCACTGCTCAAACCTCACAGCTTTACCTACGGAGCACTTCGAGCATCTAGTCACACCCACGACATATCCTCGCCAAATGGAGTTGCCTGGATTATACGGAATGGAAGAGCAATTCGAGCGTTTCAAAACATGTGTTGCGCTCAAATTTCACTCTTTTCTCACTTTAGCATCAATTGAAAACATTGCCAAATGAAAATAGCCCCTGCTTTAACCGTTTTCCCGAAATTGTATGGCATTCTTCGAAAAAAAAATCTTCTCTTCGCTTTAACCTAGATAACTTTGATGATACACGGGCACTGCCTGGACGCTTTTAACTTGTTATATAGTCGGTGTGCCACGACTTGAAATTTCCCCGAACGACGTTCCGCTGCGTGCGGTCGCGAAGCGTTTTTGTCTTTGCGGATCTAGGTCACCCTTCCAGACTATTTTTATTGCTGATAGATGGATCGTTCCACTGCGAGTATTTGAACGAAAAAAAAAAATTGAAAGCGCGACCGAGATTCGCAAAAGCGCCCGGCAGAACAGCGGAATGTCGTTCGGTGAAATTCCAAGTCGTGATACACAGACTATATCTTCGTTTTTTTTAGGTATATTTTGTCTACCAATTGTTTGCATCAAACACGTTTGAATCTTTCAACAAACGCGTTTTCCAGAACATCCCAAAACCTCTACGTGTCGCCTTTCATCCCCGTTTTTGTACATATTTGTGATGAGTTCCGCCAGAATAAATATTCATTTGTTCTTTTTTTTTCAACTTTCTACTTCAGTTCGTGAAAGTTCGCTTTTTACAATACTTCCGGTGAACGGGACGTCTCCCTGACTCTTTTTTTTCCTAGATTCGTCTCCAGAATTCTCTATGTTCATTGATGGCTTATGTCACTTGCAATGGATACAGGTAAGGACTAAAGGTCAAAGATTCGAAAAGGTTTTTGAAAGCATTCCCGACTGAAATACTTTAGCCTTGAAGTTTTATGAAGATCCTGTGCAATGATAATTTTTTGACGTTCTCGCTCAAATTCAGAATGGGAGAGGCTCAAAAAAGGCTGCAGAAAGGCTGCAAAAAAGTCCCTTTATCAAGCTTTCCATTTTTTTGGATTTTTTAGGCTCAAGAAATGGTGGAAAAAGGGAGAGGCTGCAAAAATGGTGCAAAAGAGCCGATAAAAGGCAACAAAAAAGGAGTCTTCTTAACCCTAAAAGGAACATTTCTGTGGTGCTTTTTTTTAACAATCTGGAGCACAGAAAAAAGCTAGGTTCTTGTTAAATTGCTACCTTGGGTTTCCATAAAATTTAATTCAAACCAATGGACCAAAAGGACAAACGTCAAGGTATGCATATGGATAGAGACCGCAAAGCCACGCCCCTTTTTGCGATGGTGAAATGCACGGGTTTTTTAGATTTTGTGTTTGATGTTTTCGTAAAAGCACAATACTGAACCAAACACAGAGAAAATTTGGAGAAACAGAGAAAACCTTCCTCTTCAATCTGATATACTTTTCACCCGATTTTCGAAGCGTTTTAGCGGAGTGTCGTACAAAAAACCAAAACTACTTTTTTCTTCGGGTTTTTAACCCAGTTCCACGACGCTGGCGCCTTTTTTTATTTTCGAATTCGATTTTTAAGTGAAACCCCTCAAGAAGCGAGCTGCAAAGCTCTCTTTTAACCGCTCCACAGTCAAAACTTGGCTCTTTCCACCTACTATTATATATAGACATTTTATCATTTTTTTGATGAAAAAAACTACGAAGACCGCGACCAAGTCGAAATTTGGTTGTCCAAGCTTTATGCAAGGCATTCATTTTCTGCACAGACGTTGTCGACGAGTCTTTGATGCAAATCAAGCAGACCTTTTGATAGTATCTAAATTGATTTTGTTATTTATGTTGAATAGAATTTCTCTTGAAATGGCTCATTGTTTTTACCCTGATATTACAGGGTGGCCCAAAAGTATTGTCGCATAAAACAAACAGGTCATTTTAATAAGTAAAAATAGTTTTGGACAAAAGTTATTTTTGTTGTAGCATTTTAGTCCCTTCTTCTATGTCTCCCGAAATTTTCACCTAAATCGGCTGAGGTACACACAGATAGCAGCAAGTTTTTGTCTGGCTGATACAGACGAAAATTTGACATTGCTGGCACGCAGCTTAAAAGCGAAAAAATTTTTCTTTTCTCTTGTAGAATTAAATTTTATAATTATTTTTTTCTTTATGTGCCTCATTCATAAAAGGTGTAAGGGCGCGCCGTAGCGCAACAGGTTGTGTGCCTGTCTACGGTCCACAGGGTCACAAGTTCGATCCACGCCCCGACCCAACCAAGGGGTTTAAAAAATGTTGGTAGTGGGAAACCACGACTTCAAAATCCTCAGCCGTCACATACAAGGACGGATATGTCACTGGAGCCGGTCCACTGATTATCATCAGGATAGGACCTCGACTAATCGACTTGGGGCGCCGACGCCGCTCAAGCGGTACAAAGGCGTGGGAAGAAGAAGATTCATGAAAGGTGTAGATCGCGAAAGATGAGTAATCAAAACGTTTGGGAAGCTGACTTATGAGGATTTTTCTAATTTCGATCATGTCGTGTGGGTCTGCCGACGATTTCTTGATGGTAATCGAGCCAGAAGTGTGACACAGATAAATCAAAGTTGTAAATGTTTTTAGAAACCTCTCATCATTTCTCATGCCAACTTTCAATCCAGTGGTCTTATCCAAAGAAAATCTAGAAGCATAAACGTAAAAAAGCGTCAGGAAGGTCATTTTTCGCCGCAGCCTGGCGTTTTGGAAGAAAGGCAAAATCTCAAAAGCTGTAAGCTCGTAGTATTCCATCTTTATATATTATAAAACTTATAGTGTGGACCTTTGATGCCCATATTAACCACTCCCGAGAAAAATTTAAGACCTTAAAAAAATTAAAGTTCTAACATGACCCCCTGCATGCGGCGGCAGGCTTGGTCGACATGGTTTAAAATCGTTTTTTTACGCATATGAATCAAAATAGTATGCTAGTATGACTCAAGAAGTTTCAGCAAAATCCATTGTGTCTGCACAAATTTACGTTTATTTTTATATGCGACAATACTTTTGGGCCACCCTGTATTTTCGAATACAGTGCGCGTCATAATATGACTTTAAGGTACCAAAAAAAAAGAACCTGAAAGTCTAAACCTGCACAACTTCCCAGAACACCTCGAAGTCGAAGTAAGCCCTTGAAATCCGTTAAAATAGACCAATTTGGGGCCCTCATTTCTCAAAAACCCGAGAGTTCTGCGGGCTGAAAATTTCAGGATAGCTTTCTGGCACATCAAAAATGGTTTCGGCCGATTTTCAAGGAATTTCCAACGTGAAATGACCTCCCTTGTATGTCTATTAAATTTAAAAATGACCGCTATGAAATGAATTCCGAAGGCTCTGAATCGATCTATTGAATTTTTGATTTGTCGGTATTTTTAAAAATTCAGTCTTCAAATCTTTTCGTTCTTTGCATACGATGATGATGCGGCTGAGCGGCGGTAAAGCCAAGAAAAGAGCTCACCGCTCGGAAAACAAGAGGGGCCAAAAAAACCGAAGAAGGTCAACAAGGGAAGAAAATGTTTTTGGAGGACAGCCGGAGGTCCTCTTCCCACGGACTGTCGGCTCGAAAACCCCCCAAGAAAACGGAAAAGAGTATTGCGGTGGTGCGTGCGTATTTGTGTGCAAAAGAGTCATTAGGTGACCTTGTTGTCCCCTTCTCGACAGTCCCGCCGTTCGCCCGCTCTTACCACGTTTTTGTCGCTTTTCCATCCTAGTTATTCAGCTTGGCAAATGTCCAAAGAGATTTTTTTTTTTCGAATTAGAGCTCGGATAGTTGCCCGGAAAGTATTTTTTTACGATTATCAACGGTAGCTTATCCAGGTGTTCTTTCACATTTTAACAATGATCGAATTAATGAAAAAAATTTTTCCCGTCTCGACAGTCGTTCGCCCTCCAGAGTTGTCCCCAACTATAGGGATCACTTAAGCTTTGGGGGCTAAAGCGTCAGACCCTAAATTCCTATAGGGACCACTTTTTCGGTTCCTACAGGGGCTGTTTCCCCCCCTAACCCCTGTAGAGACCGCTCTGAAATTCCTGAATTTCGTTTCCGCCAAAGTAAACCTTCACTTTTGTTCGAATTAGAGCTTGAATAGTTGCCCGAAACGAACTATTTCAAAATAGGCTTGAGATAATAAAATGATGGTTGTATTATACAGGCTTCTCTTCTAAGTAGGATGTTATTAAGGAAAATCAATTTAAATTCATTTTGGTGCTCCTATTGAACGTTGCTCAAATACTCTTCAATGATGAAGATCCTTACCTTCATAACTTCTTGTTTAAAAAAAACCTATTTTTCGGGCATTTATTCTTCCAAATAGACAAAGTTTCAAGCTTGGCCAATCATTTTTGAAAGAAATTTGCTTATTAGGAATTCCTTTGCGGAACTGCTCCGCCCATCTCCGGCCCTAGCGTTTTTCGACTACTTTCCCAAGAAGTGGTTCTGTTTTACTCTGTCTGCGGAATACTCTTATCACCAAAATCAAGGACAACCATTAGCGGAGTTTAGAGTGGGTCGGTCTTCATTTATGTCCTCAGGGGGGACAAGAAGAAGCCTGGCGTAAGCTGGCGGCGTGTGCAATCGCGCAAACGGTCATCTCTCGACCGTCTCGCAAGGCTTTCCCGCCGTGTTTGTGTTGAGGAAGGTGGAAGCAAAAGGCAAACTCCTTGGCGAAGGTCGACTCTCTCCCTCCGTCCTCCCCCTCCTCTCCCCCCGTCGCCACCCTCATTAACCGTCTTTCATCCTCACGCATCCTCTCGCCCATGGTATTTATCGATCCGATTCCTTTGCGCAAAAATTAAGAGCAACGAATTTGACTTTTACGGTGATCCCTCAGTTTTTATGATTTTCCTGGTCTTCATTCTGCGAGTCAGGTCATCCTCCAGCTCTCCTTTTTTAAATCTAATCTCGGTTTCACTATCCGATAAATGATCAAGGGTCTACGATTAAATTTTCGAAGTTAGAGAGCGTTCAAAAAGTGAGAGGTCAGGCTGTTTTTTCTCTAAACGCTCTCTTGTACACCAGTGCTCTCTAGCTTTCAAAGATCTAAATGTAGATTCATCAGCAAGCTAATGATTTAAAAAAAGGTTCGAATGATTAAAAAAAAACGAGCATTTTTGTTAGAACTGAAATTCCATGGAAAAAATGGTGAGAAGCAAAATAAATATTCAATTTTTTTATCTCATTCCGAGAATTGACCCACGTTGGTTAAAATTTTTCCTCAGATAAAAAAATGGATACTTTTTCCGGATATAATGGCTCATACATAAGAAACAACGCAATAATTGATTTTCATTAGGATTTTCCTTAAAGGGATTTTTTTTAGATTTTTTCAACTGTTCTAAACTAAAACAAACTCCCAGCTTCTTCATAAGAGAGATTCCTCGATTAATTGGCACTGCCTGGTCAAACTTCGGCTAGCTTCTCCTCGTATCTAATTCTTTTTCGGCCCTTAATGAACTAGTAGAAGAACCTTTATTCATCTCTTCTCGAAGAAAAGTTTTTCTCGTCTCATTTCACTGTTTTTTTCAATTGAAGTTTTTTCAAGCTATATTCCACTATTTTTTCTGAATTTTATGTGTGAATAACCGTGTGAATGAGTGGATTGATTCTTTTTTCAAACACATTTTTGATTCTGTTTTAAAAGTCTTTGGTTTTTCAATTTTTGCAAAGCATGAGTCGGAGTTACTATCGAAATTGGAGCTTTGACCTATTTTCGTCTTGGGATCATGCAATTCTCAACAAGCTGATTTTTCTTTTCAGAAAATCAATAGATTTTCATCTTTCTTTTTTAAAGATTTCAATTGAGAACTATTTTTTGTCGACTATTTCATTTTTCAGATACTTTTATATTGTGAATTTTTGATTTTTATTAAGAATTGATATTTTCGACGTTGGAAACTGTGTTGGAAAAGAGTGGTCCCTGTAGGGGTTAGGAGGGAAAACGACCCCTATATGGGTCGGAAAAGTGGTCCCTATGGGGGTAAAATCAAGGTGGTCCCTATAGGGGTTCAGGGTCTGATCCCTTAGCCCCTAAAGCTCAAGTGGACCCAACAGGGGTCTTTTAATTTCATTCAAAAACGCTTATTTATTTAATTTTTCGAATGGAAACGCTTCTTCGCTATTATTGATTACATGACCACTTATCAAGCTTTAGTGGTCCCTATAGGGGTTGGCAAAATGGTCCCTAGAGAAAACTCTCCAAGGGCCCCTAAGGACCTTAGTTAGGCTAAGGTTGCCCCTCTAGGGACCACTCTGGAGTTCCTTTAGTACGCCGACCAATTTTCAAGAAATATAACGATTTTTCAAAAACGTTTTGACCATTTCCTTTTGCTACTATATTCCTGGCTATTTGTTCAGCAAGTAGTGTAGAGCCCTTGTCCCTGCTCCTGTTCTCCCTTTTTTTTTGGCTGTGACTTTTATTCGAAGTCCGGCCGGATTGGTCGATCCGAACCTGTTTCCGCGCAGTAACCACCAGACCCTGTCTCACTTCTTTTTTTTCATCTTTGTAATTTTCCTCTTCTTCCTGGTGAATTTCTACATTTCGGAACCTGCCAGTCTCGATCGATATGGTCCGAACAAGGAAATTTTGATTTTCGGGTTATTCTCCTTGGTTTCGATCGGAGCTTTTTTCTAAAGTTCTGGTATCAACTTTGGCATTTTCTTTTTTCTCACATGATTAGGAAGCTATGTCAATATTTTTGAAATGTAAAAATTTTTTTTTCAAAACAAAAGGTTCAAAGAAGCTTTGGCAATTGGCAGCCTAAACCGCTGGGTTCGCCGTCTTCTCGAAGACAAACCTTCCTGATTTGTTTGTGTTTTTTTGCTTCTGAGCATCTTATATCAGGGGCGGAAACCGGCTGTCGCCCACTCCAGAACCGCCCCCCTCCAACCACACGGAATGGTCAGAGTCAATCGATTTCGCTTCGGAATGCCCAAAAAAAGTGATTCATTTTCGTCATTCCTTACTTTTTGACTCGTCAACTCAAAAAAAGAAATTCTTCAAAAAAATTCTGAAAAAAATAATCAGTTTTTTTCCATTTCTTCTTGGACTAACTAATAATCGATTTTTTTAAAGCTGAAGAAATTCTTTTTAATTTTTTTCATTTTTTTATTTCCTGCCCCGATCTCAAGAAAAAAATAAATTCTTCACATATTTAAAAAAATCGAAAAAAAAGCATAGGTAAAAGGTACTGTAAAGGTGCATAGATAAGATTTTTTTAATCGGTTCTTTTCTTCAAATTTCTTCAATAATTCATGTTCCAGGAACATAATAGTCGTTTTTAGTGAAAAATTTCGACCTCGTTTCGAAAATCATAGGCAAAATCGGTAAGGGTGGAAAAAGGTTCTATAGAAATGTTCTTTTAGGGTGAGAAAAGCTTTTTTTGCTGCCTTTGTGTCTTTTTTCACCAATCCCAAAAAAAAAAAATAGAATGCTCGATAAAGGGACTCCTTTTGCTGCCTTTTTGCAGCCTTTTTGCTGCCTTTTTGCTGCCTTTTTGTAGCCTTTTTGCAGCCTTTTTTAAGCCTCTTCCTTTTTGCGGCCATTATCCACCATTCCGACTTTGCCCGACCATCGAACTTTCTAGAGTTTTTTAATTTTTTCTCATTTAGCTGAAAGATGAGTAACGAGAATGTCTGATTAGTTTTCAGGGCGATTTTTTTCAATCTCAAGCTTCAAATAAACTCATTCATTTGAAAAATTATTGATTAAAAGCAAAGCCACTTCTAGATGATTTTATGGGTTCACCCGTTGAGAAACATTCAATACTGCTGTCCAAGGTTTCTCTCAATTTCCTCCGTAGAATATCTCAGGACTTGATCATTTGTTGCAATTCAATCGGTACCGATCGATCACGCGGCGGACCGTCAATAATTAATCCATTTCTCGCTTCTCCCGAAATAATCTTCTCGCACTGATCGCGGCTGATTTGGGTCGCACCTGGCCGACGATTTCTCATCGAGAAACGAATCAATGATACTGATGGACTTGGAGATCTTATTGCGTCTAGTTTTCGTCCTGGTTCTTCATATGGTTCTTATCTTTTTATCCTCTTCTCTCTTTGCTATTTTTTGACAATTCAAATGTCATACTCAAAGATAATTTAAGACATCCGATTCACTTAACAAGGAAAGTAGTTATGATTCGCGACTGGTGTTTTCCTGAAACTTGGCCAAAAAAATTCTTGATCCACCAATAGATGATTCTGAAAGTCTTTACTTGCATAACTTCCCAATTTTTTGAAAAATGAAGGTTCAAAGCCTCAAAAAAAGCTTTTTTAACGGTTTTTGAGAGTTTTCTTTGACTTTAACAAGGGAGCTTATTTTACTCTGCGGTTGGGATTTTATTGGAAATCGGCCAAGAAACTTCTTAATGTACCAGAAAAAAATTCTGGAAGTCTCAACCTGCAAAGCTTCCTTGTTTTTGAGAAAAAACGCCTCAAAATCCAAATATAAGGCTGTTTTGAGGCTTTGAGCCCTTATTTCTCGAAAACTATGAATTTGTGAAGGTTGAGACTTTCAGGATCTCCCTGTGGTACATCGAGAAGTGTTCTGGCCAATTTCAGGAAATCCCCAACCGAAAAGTAACATGACCACAAGTTGAGAAGAGTTTCAGAACCTTTATCTGGTACATCAAGGAGTGCCCTAGCCGATTTTCAGAAAAAATCCCAATCACATTGCGAAAGACCTTCCTTGTTATAGTCTGTGTGCCACGACTTGAAATTTCACGGAACGACATTCCGCTGTGCCGCTGCGCGCCTTTGCGAACTTTGGTCGCGCTTACAATTTTTTTTTCTTTTATTAAAGTACTCTACTTTCATGTGCTCCCACAGCAATAAAAATCAATTGAAAGCGTTCCCTAGATTCGAAAGACGCTTCGCGAACGCACGCGGCGGAACAGAGGAATGTCGTTCGGGGAAATTTCAAGTCGTGGCACACAGACTATAGCAGCTCTTGCTCCTCAAATTAGCTCAGAACGTGATACGAAATCCATCGTAAGGCTTTCAGGCTTGTAAAATGCAACGGATGAGACGATGATCCGTTGGAAATTCCTGAAAGTCGCTTGGTTACGCGGCGCCCTTCAACTCTTACTTCTGTTATCGGAGTCTTATTCGCCAACTTCGGCCCAAGATGACTCGAGTGATGTTCAAGTGAGTTTTGAGATGGTTTCTACCATTTTTATCATTCGTTCCTTTGTAAGTCGAAGTAATTATTTTAGCCTGGTTGGGAATTTTAGAGGCCAAAAGCGAAAATCACAAATCTGACTTTTGGGAGCCCCTAACTTTTTTTCACAGACTTTGAGGACAGTTTTTGAGACCGGATTTGGAATCAGCGTGAAAAACTACATCTAATGAGCCTAGTCTCATTCAGAAGTCCCAATGTGAGCTTCCAAAGGACCCCTAAAACTCACCACAGTGAATGGAAATTCACTAAAACTTTTAAATTTTGGATAAACTTAAAACTCAAGACGGACTTTCAGCCGACGGAGATGTTCGCCATCCGGAAAGACCAACGAATGCCGTGGTCCCAGGCCCACGTCTCCCTGCCCCCACGTCATCCGATGTACGATCAGTTCGTCGCCAAAGTCGTCGACTTGTCGCCCTCGATGTAAGGCTTGGGAATATCAAAAAATGAAGCTATAAATTATTTATCTTGTTGTTTTACTCATAGATTTTATTGACAATGCGAAGAAAAAAAAACTGTAAAAGCTATAATGAACTCGTCTTTGGCGAAGTAGAAGTTCAAACGTATAGTTGATAAAGTTGAAAGCAGGGTCTTACGGTCTTCTGCGCGTAATTCCTTCAGTTGAGCCTTGAAGAGTTTAAAAATACAAAAATTGATTCCTGCGAACTTTTCTTTTTTCCAGTTATTCTCAAATAAAATCTACCTTTCACATTCCCGATAAAGAAAACTAGAATGACTTCTAGATTTATATATTTTTCTTCATCATCAGAAATTTTTTTCGCGCAAATGAAGTATGCGAAATTACGTGGTGTGTTTGCATACTCGTGGTAAATCATAAACAGGAGCCGTTCCGGCTTTCAAAAACTAGTGCCGTGTTCAAAGTAAATTCCGCGAAATGCAAAATGATCTCTGACTCTCCAAAATTTAGTGATCTTTTCCTTTCTCTAACGGGTATTTTGCATTTCGCGGAAATTACTTTGAACACGGCATAGAAAAAAACTTCATTCATTTTTTTATTGATTCTCGTTTTCTGTTGATTTTTGAACCTCTCATCAAAATGACATTTACCTACCGAATCTTTTAGCAAAAAGGCCGTCTTTTGATAATTTTGATTAGAAAGGAAAATAAAGCTTTTTTTAAATTTCTCGTTTTCTGAATTATCAAAGACTGTCTTTGTTATATGTTATATATTATATATTATAGATCCGAAGAGTTACGCGATGTCAACAAGACGTTTGTCTCCGCCGATTCGCCAACGTCCATCAGAATCAGAGGTCTTCATGCTGGTCATAAATATAGGTATTTCGATCCAAGGTGCAGTTTTACCAGTTGTTTTGTTCAGCATATCGATCGTGGGCAGAAAAGGCGAAAGCTCGTCGTTGATCAAGGAAGAAACCCTGGTGATGGATCCGAAGGCGCCGGATTTTCGGTCAGAACATACGGAATTCATCATCCGGGAGACCAACATCACCCTCCGGACAATCAAAAACGAATCGTTTCTCCAGGTTCTCAATAATTTTTCAAATTTTCAAACTTCGAAATGTTCCAGGACTCCTTCCTCATCGAATATCGACAAATCAACCCCGATCAGAAGTTCCCAGTGCTTCAAGTCTCCGATATCACTGACCAGAAAAATCTGGAGTTTTACCTCGGTTAGCGGTTTCGATCTTTCCAAATTGATTAGAGTATAGTTTCGTTCTTTTCGCGCAGATGTTAGGAACAAAAATGAATATATTTCTGAAAGAAGTAGATTTTTTTTTTGCTTGAATATAATTTAATAAGATGATATGACAGCATTCTTTCAACTTCCTGCAGATAGACGATGACTGATTTTTGAAAAATCTGGATTTTTTTTTTGTTTGAATCCCTATAGGGATACTTTTTTAACCCCTATAGGGACCACTCCGGAACTCATAAGTCTGGTACATCAAGGAGTGCTCTGAAAATTTTTTAGGAATTCCCCAACCACAAAAAAATGACTGTCCTTGTAAGGAATCAAAGGCTCGTATAATTCCTATGTTTCCTAATGGTAATGACCGTTTTCCAGGAAACTTGAACCCTGGTCGAGACTACACGGTTCGCGTCAGCTCGGTTAAGGATGGAATCACGAGTCGGCCGTGGATTTCAACGCTCACAACAAGTTTGAATTTTGATGATCTTCCATCTTTTTTCTGTTTCAAATTCGTTTCAAAATTCGTTATTCAAAAAATCACAATTATTCAAGCTTAAGACATCGCTAGCTTATACAAAACGTGAATAAGATTCGAAAAATTTGTTTTTCTATGCTGTCTCAGATCGGCGCGAATCCACTAGTATAGTGATGAATCAACTGATTCAAGTTCATTTTTGGAAAATTCCTCTGATCTAGGCCCATATCATATAGCTAGAAGACGCCACTTTTTCTCCGTAGAGTGTCGTGTGTCGTGTGCATGCACTGCGCCGCTTTCGCGCAGAAAATTGCGCTTCGTCTCAAAGACCTCTGACGATACGGCGGCCTGCGCCTTTAATATGCCCTGTTATTTCCGCTTTTAGAGCCGTTCACATGACGTCACGTGGGAACGGCGGATATTTTGGCTCCGCCCACCCTGTTTTTGGTTTCGCGTTTTGTTCCACTGTGTACTGCTCTAAAGCCACAACTGAATTTTTGGTCGAGAATTTAGAAAAAGAAAATTTTTTTCGAGAAAGTCGGGATAAACATGAACGAATCGTATATCAAACGATGCCCAAGGACACGATCTTTTCAAAAAATTTTATTTCGAAGGGCACTTTCTTTAGAATAAGCAGAAAGGAAGCCAAACGACAAGCGTTTCTCATTAGCCTCCCTAATATTTTCATCAGATTCTCAAGCCGTTGTATCAATCAATCATTCATTTTGTTGATAATTAATCGGCGGTGAACAAGAACTTTAAAAGCTATAAAGAACAACCGTCTTTGGCGAACTAGGCGTCCGAACGTGTAGTTGATCAAGTTGAAAGCATGGTCTTACGGTCTTCTGCACGTAGTTCATCTAGTTGAGCTTTGACGTGCTCAGAATGTATGTGATGTAGAAGCAGGAGCCTTGGGACCGTTCTCTAGGAGGAAGCCTCGAAATGAGAGCAACCACAGAAGAGAGAAGACTTTACCATACGTCAGTACCTTTTCAAAATTTTTTTCGCGCGCAAAAGGCTGTAGTGGGATCCAGTCGGTGTATGGACGCTACCCAGAATCCACTTACCTGACTGGAATAGCTCAAAAGTTGCATACTTACTTTTTTCGCTTCAGAGCCATCGAGTTTGTCCTCACTGACCGTGACTCAAAACTCTACGGCTTGTGTCGACGTCGCCTGGACGATGTCCGTCGACGGCGGCGCCGATTTCCTTCTTCTCGAAGTTTTGCCCATCAACTCTCCGTCTTCGAACATCAGCAAGGTTTTTTTTGTGTCTCATCATTCTCAACTACAAATTTATAATGTTTCTTCATCATTCTTATCTATAATATGTTAAAAGGTTGAAATCAAGAAAGACGAAGTTTTGCAGCTGACGGTTTCGGCCTCGGACGCGTCGACCTCAATCGGCGATTCGTTGGTTCCCGGCGAGTCGTACAATTTAACGGCGACCGTGCAAAAAGGCGCTCAGTTCTCGGGTCCCACCACGAACAGCTTCCAATTGCGTCCACTGCCGCCCATCGACTTCAGAGTCCGTTTTTTTCCTTTCTTATTGCGCCAGAAGAACACGTTTTGAATCAAGGAAATCGCTTGGCATGAAGAGAAAATAAAATTGACCTTTCATTTTGATTATTTTTTCTGGTAAGTGGAAGAGTTCGAAGTTGAGGTTCTCGACGTAAAATTCAAAAAAGGAGATTTTAGGTACCTGAAAATATTTTTGAGCTCTTCTGACAATATTTTCTAGTTTTGAGTGTTCATTTTCTATCCAGAGCTTCACTAAAATTTATGTAAAAGTGATATTTTTCGATTTTTAGTTTATTTTCTCATGAAATTCAAAAAGTGGCCCCAAGGTGATTTCTGAGGAAACGGGGACGAAATGGTGATCCCTAGAGGGGTAATCTAGGTGTTCCCGATAGGGTTAAGGCCTGACCCCTAAGCCTCTGAGTCTCAAGTGGTCCCTGAAGGGGTCTTCTAAGTTTTTGCTCAGATTTGAGAGTTGAAAAAACGTTTAATGCTGGCAAGGTCCCCCCTAGAGTGGCCACTAATTAAAACCCCTAAAAGGACCTTTTTTGGAAACTGTATTGTCCCTATGGGGAAAGGTAAGGCGGTCCCTAGAAGAGAACTCAAAAATCTCTAAGATCGCCCCTCGAGGGATCACTCTGACGCTCCTAAGCTTCTGAGATTCTAGATTGATTGTAAAGGCGAAAATGAACGATCTTTATGAATTTTTCAAGAAGTCTTTCAATTTTTTTTTTTCCTCATGTGGTGTTTTCCAGGTGAGAGCCGACCTGAAACGCGGCAAATACAAGCTTCTCGCTGAGCTTCCGACGGCTTCAAAAATCGAAAAATGCCACGCGACCGTCGTTGGCGAACAGCTGGCCAAGATCAACAGCGATGCCGACGTCGAGCAGACCAAGTCTGGCCATCGAATGTGCGTCTTCTAAAAGTGGCTCGATCAAACTTTCTTGTTCAGCTGCTGGTTCAACTTCGGACTGTCGCCCGGGGAACGGTTCGACTTCACGCTCTCGTCGGTCGTCAACGAATCGTCGAGTCAGAAGTTGCAGAAGAGCATCGTCCTGACGCCCGCCTTCGACATGAGCGCCTTCGGCCTGACTCTCCAAGTCGGTTTCCAGTTTTGATCACTATTTTTTTCCTGTCTTGAAAGAAGATCGGCGAAAAAAAAACTCGAGCCACATTTTTTAATGTCTTTTTTTGATAGTTTCAAATAATTTCTAACTTTCATGGTTTGAAAAAAATTCAAAAAAATTTACCAGGCTATTTCAGTGATTTTTCGAAATTTTTTTCAAAAACCATGGATATAACTCTTTTTAATATCGATTAGTTCTCAACCAGTGTCATCATATGACGTCAAAAAGGCGAGCTAAACTTTTTGAGCCATTTCCTCCCATCGTAGCCGGGTTACGGTAGGCAAACCTGCGTATCTAAGAATTTCAACTTTTCTAAATTTTGTTCATTTTTCTTCCTTAATGCGTTTGACCTCGAGTTCCTCGCCAAAATCCGCGCTAAAAGTCGTTTTTCCCTTTCCAGTAGTCATCCTAAGTCCATGTAACTTTAAGCTTACTTTTTTTATCGAAAAGACGAGCAAAAAAAATCTTCAATCTTCGAGGGGGCGGGGCGGGAGGGGTCGAATGATCCTTAAAATTTTTAAAAAAATGAGAAAAAAATGAACTCATTTTATCACCCACAGTTATATTTTGCTCTACCTCTGACCATAGATCAGTTTGACCTTTTGTTCTTCTCTACTTCAGATCATTTATCCATCTTCTCTTTCTTTTCAACATTTTTTTTTCTTGTTTCAACCACTGTTTTTATTGAATTGATAACGATATGCTTGTGAAATTTGAAGTACCTTTTGGGTCATTGAAAGAGAGAAAGTTCTGTTTGTTACCGTTTGGAGACCTTTTTTGAGATTGAGATTTTTGAAGACCTTTCGGAGACTGTTTGCTCCCTTTTGGAGACCCACAACGGCCCTTTTTCTCAATTTTTATTTGATGCTATTTTCATATATTGCTTAAAAAAATATACTGCTTATATATTTTTTTAAATTCAGGCTGTTTCTAGTGTAAAATCATGTTTTTAGTTTTTGAAACTAGTTAAATCTTCGGCTGAAATTTCTTCACTATCAACATTTTTTTCCAGGAGGCAAATGGAGGAATCGAACTGCTCTGGCCGCAAAGTGACGTTTTTATGTCGCGAGTGCGTGATATTTGGAATAAGGTGTGTTGATTTGCAGCATTAAAAACAATTTAAAAATTCACTTAACAAAAAAAATCGTCTTATCGATCGCTTAAATTTCTCTAGTGACCACACGGCGTTTTTATGATACGCCAGTCAAAAAGTTCCGTGAATTATGGTGCTTATGGTGTAAACACACCGAGACGCATTATCGCATACTTCAAACTTTTTTTTTCAATTTTGAAATTTCGAATTTTAAACAAAGCTACCGTAGTCGTACAATTTACTTTCACTGCCAAGACTAGTCAAGGAAAAAAGTCGTTCGAATTATTGAATTTTTCTTACTTTCAATAGATCAAAACTTTCCCATCACAGGTGGTAAGCACTTGAAAAAAAGAAAACTCCGCTTTATCGACCGCTCAAATGTCTTTAGTGACCACTTGAGGGATTTGGAGAAAATTCCCTTGAAGCTTCTGCCGTGTTCAAAGTGATTCCGTGAAATGCAAAATAGCCGCCAGAGAAAGTAAAACATATCTGACTTTTAGAGAGCCAGAGACAATTTTGCATTTCGCGAAATTTACTTTGAACACGGCATTCAAATTCTTAAAAAAATCACTGAAATCACAGGAGGATCAAAAGATTTATATATACAGGTAGTGGGTCCGGAGAGCACTTTGCACCTGAGAGTGACCCCTTTTGGAGCTGCCGCTGAGAGAGCCCGACAGTTCAAGACGTCGCCCCGGTCCGCCGAAAAAGTCTTCGTGCCTTCCTTGGTGAAGGGCGCCTGCTACAAGGTCACAGTTTCCTTCAGGATAAAATCCAGTTTTCAACGACTTGTGTGCGGCATTTACAGTTCTTTTGCGAAGCGGTTGCGACGCGTTTTGGCTCCATTTTTTCTTTTTTGAAGTTCTCTTTTATGTATCTAGTGAAAAAGGTCGGAATACCTTCTTTAAAAGTTATTTGGTGTGAATAATTGAATGCTTCACCGGGATATCCTGAAAATACGCAAATATTCAAATTACCTACAGAAAAGCGTCGCAGAACGCTGTGCCAAATGCCGCAGCCGGTTTTAAGTCAAGAAATTAAAAATACCTGGGCGTTTACAGGTGCAAGTTTACACGGTGACGCCGACGGGCATCATCTCGGACGTGCAACACGACGAGACGATTCGGATGAGCTCGCCGCCGGTCAACGTCACCCTGGAGGCTGTGACCAGGGCCAGCGCCACTCTTAAACTCTCCTCCGACTCTTGGGTACTTGCCAACAAAATGGGATCGCGGGAGAATTCCAGAATTTCTCGAGACCCATGAGCAAGTATTTTCACCTACTGGTGGGGACCTGTGGAGGGCTATTTCCTACACCAGTGAAGGGCAATTCTGGAATATGTTTTGTATCCTTTTTTGGATTTTTTTAAAATCGGTTTTCCGCTTTCATGGCTACGTTCTCTGTCCTTATTCTGATCCTCGTTCAGGAAGAGGCGACGGCGACAGATTGCCAAGTGAGCGTGGTCGTACGGGATATGCACGCGCAGATCGTCTTCGACAAGCGACTCCCACTGTCGACCACGCTGGTCCCACTGCTGCAGCTAAACGGCCTGCGCCCCTTCCACAAGTACACGGTGAACACCCAGGTTGGAAGGGAGAACACCGTCTTGGTGGAGCAGTTCACTTTGTAGATCGTGTGTGGGAGCGGGGGATCCTTGACCGAGTGCGCCTCTTCCACAAGAACCATGAGGCAGCTCTCGTTCTCAACTCGACAAGATCGGCCTGGACCCGTTCAGGCTCTTCAAGGTTAGAGAGCAACTTACAGGGGGACTTTTTTGAAGAATTATGAAAGAACGCTTCAAATAACGATTTTTTTGGGTATTTTGAGGACTTTAAAGGGCTCTATTGCTACAAGTTTGTTAATTTTTTTCGAATTAAGAGTTCTTGAAATAGGTTTGTTTCAGATATTTGGTAATCACCGATTTTTGAGATGATTAAAGTCCAAAGCGAAGGATTTCTCAACAACTTCTTTCGATTTTTTTTTTTTGACAAAAAGTGCACTGAAACGCAATCGCGCTCCAAAGCGAATACTGACAACGGTAGTCGGAAGTTTCAGTGGAGAGCCTGAACGCCTATTCGGCGGTGTTTTCCTGGCTGCCGCCCTCCCTTCCCAACGGAATCCTCACCCACTACGTTGTCAATGTCACCCATGTTGTAAGATAATATCTTTGTTTCCAAAAAATGAACCGCTAAAAACAGAACAATTCAAACGAGACGCGGACGATCGACGTCGGCGCTTCGACGAACCGTTCGGATCATACCATCCAGATGATCGTCGACGGACTTTTCGGCGGGGAGAGGTGATTTCTCGGAGCATTTGATTATCTCAGTTGAAAAACGTCTAATCTTTTGGTTTGAATGACCCGGAGCCAGAAGATTTAGTGGAGTTTAAGGCATTTTTGCTTGGATATGCGTTCTGAAACTTTAGACTCGAAAGAAAGGTCATTTTCACTCCTTGATGTACCAGAAAAAGATCCTGAAAGTCTCAAGCTGCACAACTTGCTGGGTTTTAAGAAAGGGAACCTTGAAATTCGTTAGAATAGGCTATTTTCGGACGTTATTTCTCGAAAACTAGAAAAGTTCTGGCCAACTTCCAGCGATTTCCCGACGGCAAAGTAGATTGACATTCCTTGTCAGCTCCGCAATCGTTCTTGTTAGCACTTAGGATCTCCAGAGTGGTCCCTATAGGGGCGTCTTCAGGGACCTTCTAAGGACCACTTTACCAACTCCTATAGGAGCCACTATAGCTTGCAAAAATGGTTGCTAGAGGAGTTTTAGTCAGTGGCCCCTATAGGGGACATACTAGTCGATAGTTTTCATGAAATCTATGCGAGAAGCATTTCCATGCGAAAAACTAAATGAATAATCTATTTTTTGAATAAAATTGAAAGACCTTTCTAGGGACCACTTAAGATTTAGGGGCAAAACGGTCAGGTCCTAAAGGGATCACTTTGATTTCACCCCGATAGGAACCACTTTTTGGGCGCCTATAGAGGCTGTATACCTCCCTCCCCTAACCCCTATAGGGATCAGTCTAAAATTCCTGATTAGGAATGAGTTTTATGTTCCAAAAAGGATAGGGGAAGGTGTACACATATATAATTCTACCATGATATTGTAGTACACCAAAACCATCCACGCAAAGCTTGAGCCAGATCTTTCCGAAAACAAAATTTTTGTTTCAGCTACAAAATTGGCGTACGCGCTGTCACGGAAGCCGGAATCGGCGACGACGTTTCTCGTGTACCTCTTCTCGAGATGCCTATTATGGGTATATTTGTTATCCTACTTTTTCAACGCGAAAAACCGTCTCGACACTTTTTTTTTGATCCTTAAACTTCAGAAACCATACCGGTATGAAAGTCTTCTTGGACGGCTCGTGTAGAGAAAAACTTATTTCGACTTTTAAAGAGCATATTGAAGCAATTTACCACCTTTAAGTAGAACGCTTTTTCCCCTTTCTTGCATACGGCTTCAAATTCTCAAGAGTCTAAAAATGAGCTGTAGAAAACTTAGACTCTCATGGAGTCGGTGAGAACCAATAGCAAGGATTTTCCTTACTTTCCAAAGGTCTGAACATTAGCTGAAGTCTCTTGGGAGGCAGGTTGAGATGACTGAATTTTCAGCACCTCCGAGGCCGAAGTCAGGTCCTTCAGTGGTGCGGGAAAGCATCGGTAGCGACTCGATCGTCGTCAAATTCTCTTCTCAGATGCTCAGCAACAAACACGGCACGATCAAACAGTTTGGGATCTTCTAATCGCCAAGTCTTGATTGAAAATTTCTTCAGAATCGCTGTTATCGTTTCTGAAGTTCCACGCGACGGCGGCGCAAGTGCATCTGAGGATGATAACTCGACTTTTGTTGGTTTTTCTAGTTTTTTATTTGGAGTCTGGTTAAAATAACATGCCTGATCGTATAATTACTGGAAGCGTAGGCTTCAAGCAGCGCCCGACCCAAAACTACTTGCGCTTAAATGCATTGGGTGAAAATGTAGATGGATTCCAATCAACTAGTCGATTCCAATATTGACGCTTTTAGTCGTTTTACATGCGAAAATGACCTTTTTTGGTAATTTGTAAGAGTTCACTTAGTGATTCCAAAAGCGGTCATGATCCAGGATCGATTTTTTTCGTTCAAAAATTTTTTTCTTCTTCTTTTTTCCTCTAAATTTTTTTACAAAAGCGTTGAAAAAAATGGTTATTTTTAATACTTGAAAAAGGGTTTTTTTTTTCGAAATTTTTTATAAATATTAAGTTTTTATTCCATGTCACCTCGATTTTCAGGACTTTTTTCACCATAGAAAGAAATTTTGAAAGCTAAAAATTTAAGTTAACGTTTGAACGCGTTTTTTGATGAAAAACTGAACGAAAACTGCTCAGACATGGCTGCAAGTCCAACGCTTCGAAACTTGGCCGTCGTACATCGCCAAGATGGAAGACATGGCCAGACGACCGTCCGACGACTCGTCCGCCTTTTTCGAGGTAGCTTTTCGGTTTCTTGGAAATACGGGTCTGAGAAATTGGTCAGTTCGAAGCATACGTTCACACAGTTAACATATTTATTAAGTCTTCAGAATATATTGATTGGAATGATTCAAAAGTTGTTTTTCGGTTTGCGGAACCGTCGTTGATCAAGAATAGCGCGTTAAACATCTTGCCGGGAAAACATGGGGAAACCATTTTTAAGCTCGCCACCTCTAGTTTAACTGAAGTAATTCCTGGAGTTTAAACTAGTTTTTACTTTTTTTTTAACCACCTCCTTTGGCTTAGAAATGGTTTTTGCTTTAGTAAATTTTTGCAAGCCAACTTTTCCTGGACTTATTGAGTTCTGTACTTGCCCGAGTATGGTTCGGGGGTTTTTTCATAGTGTTTGTTTCATTAAATTTTCAAATAACCAGGCTTTTTGACAATATTAAGATGGTTAAGGTTGAATAGTACATAGTTCTTGGTAATTTGAACAGTTTCAAGTCTATTTTTTTAAACAGAGTTCACCCAATTTCTGAAATTCCTTTTTTACTGTTTTTTTCTGTTTCTCATCAAACGCTATTCTCTTCATGAATAATCTTAATTTCAGGTCTAAAATCTAAAATTTTATCGAAAAACGCAAAATCCCCATTTTAGACCGCTAATTTTTGATTATTTGACCCTTTCAAAGTACTTACCATTCCGAAATTTTAGCACTTTGGAAAAGAAAACAATTTTGAATGGTAAAATCTTTGAAACCCTCAAAAAAAGTCACTGAATTGACCGATTAAAAAAAAAGACTGTCTAATTCGACACTCGAAAAATTCAAACACCCCCGCAAAATCTGAACTTTTCCTCCCTTTCTCACCCTTTTTTCCGTCTTCCTGGAATACCCTAGGGAAACATGACGGCATACCATTGAACAAACACTCGAAAATCAAAATGAGGAAATCCTGAATAGATTAAATGAAAGTTCTTCCGTAAAAGGAAATGACTTTTTGCGTTGATGAATTGGGAAAAAAGAGGTATTTGCAGAGGGTAGTTTTTGGAACCTTTTTTCAAGGTTTCAAGAAAAATCTATATTTTTTGGCTTAAAAATTCCGAAGAAGAAGGAGATGAGTAAAATTTCGAAGGGGTTAGAAGGTGATTTAAAAATGGAAATTTGCTTTTTGTGTCTTTCGCTTTAAATACTGTCTTGTAAAAAGGGTTTTTTAAATTTTTTTTTCAGGGATTTCTTAAAAAAATTGGTCAGGATACTCTTCAAGGTACTAGAAAAATATCCTGTAAGTCTCAACCCACGAAACTTCAAATTTCTTGAGCAAGGACACCTCAAAGTCGAAAAGAATCATCAAAATACGTTAAAAGAGGTATTTTTCAGTTTTTGAGCCTTCCTTTTTCGAAAACTGAGAAATTGTGCAAAATGAAACTTTCAGGATCTTTCTTTATTATATCATTCAGTGATCCGACCAAATTTTAAGAGTAACTGAACCACATAGTGGATTGGCCTTCCTTGTTAGTCTGTTCAAAAAATGATTTTCAATAGATTTACCAAAAATGTGACAAAAAAATCCTGATAAAGACTATTTTCTTGATGATTTGCAGGAGATCGGCATGGATCACGCATGTACGGAATTATCAGTGGAGCAGATTTGCAACGGTCCCCTGAAGCCGTCGACGGCCTATCGGTTCAAGGTGCGACTTTTCACGGCTCCGAACCTTTTCACGGATTCGCCCTACAGCGCCGCTGTCACCACTGGTTAGTTTTCTTCCATTTTCATATTGGAAAGTTCTTTCTCTTCTCATTCTTTGAACTTCTAGGGATGAGCAAACTTGTGATTTTATTCGAACATCTCAAAAATTCCAATCCTTACGATTTTTATTTTTTAACAACTCAGGAAAGTCAGAGTGATCTCTATAGGGGTTCAGGAGAAAAAATAGCCATTATTGGAGTAAAATTATGGTGGTTCCTGTAAAAGTTTAGGGTCTTAGCCCACAGAGCTCAAGTGGTCCCTAAAGGGTCTTTGAAAATTTTTATCCAGATTCGAATATTAAAAAACAAACTGAATCAATTTATCTTTAATAAAAAACAGATAGCATGTCTCCCTATAGGGGCCCCTTTTTCAAGCTTTAAGAGTTGTAAAGTGGTCCCTAGAGGGGTCCTCCAAGAGCTCCTACGGTTGCCCCTACAGGGACCACTCTGGAGCACCTAAGGATGTCAGAATCGCCCGAAAAATTCTACATAGACTTTGACTTTTTGATATGAGTTATAAATGGCGGAAATCGTGCAGTTCTCTCGATCTTCTCCCAACTCTGAATGTCGGTCGGATTTCTGATGAGCTCATGATGAAGGCTGAAAACCTGCTTGCGGTATTAGTTATGTGGTAAATAATTGACGAGAGAGATGACGTCTTTCCACTTGGAATATGTTAGGAGGATCGGCGCGAACCTTGCGCCGGATCCACTATTTTTCGGCACGAACTCTCGTCCTCAGGGAGACACAGAGAGAGAAAAACTCTCGGCTCATTTCGGATTCAGACGCTCGTCGTCGTCGTTGACGTCGGTCGCGTTGCCACGTTTATCAATGCTCCCTTTTCCTTCTCCGAAGCCGCATAATTTTCGAACGAATCTTTTTTGACGTCTATCCTGTGACCTCCTTCGTAGGCGAAATCGGTAGGACCCTTTGAGCGTCCGTTAAGGTTTCCATTATTTGTTCCTAAACGGATGCCAACGGCGGTACCCTTTTTACTGCCTTTTTCCGCCCTTTCATTGGCCTTCATCCACCCTTTTCAGACCCTTGAGAAGCACATTTTTTTAAATTGAGAATAATTTTCAACAGGGACTGTGTATGAACCAAACTGTGCTACAGTAATAAAATCGGAAATAATCAATGGTCGAGACTTTCAGGACCCTTTTAGCGGCCTCTCCTTTTTTTCACCCTTTTTTGAAGCTTTTTAGCCCACCAAGAAAGAAAGGCTCAATAAAGGCCCCAAAACGGAACCCTTTTAGCGGCCATTTTGCACCCGTTTTCCGCACTTCCGGCTTTGGCAGCGTTGTTGAACTACTAGCAGATCTTTAAGAGCTATAATTCTTTTCATACCTTCACCTTTTAAAATTTTATTTATGATCCTCTACGTAAAAAAATATATAAAAACCAAAATATGAGAAAATTTTCAAAATAAACTCAATATCAATCAAACTTTTTTCAGCCTTGCTATTTTTTTCGAAACAAATTCGCTTCCTGCTTTCGAAATTCTTTAAGGTCATGAATCTGGCTTCTCAATTAGTTTAATTAAGTTCTTCATAGCAAAAAAACCTAATTTTTTTGGAAAAAAATTCCATTTTTTTTTTTGAATTGACCATTTGGAAGGTAACCTTTAAAAAAGGCAGATTTTAATTTTTCATTGTTGGAATTTTCTAAAGCGTGTTCTTTATATAAAACACCGGAAAATCAAAGAAAATGCAATAATTAATTTCTTTTTTTAATTCTTACCGTTTAACCTTGAAGGTACTCGAATGACTACTTTTTTCTTTTTTTTTTCTTTTTTCTCTCACATGTGACAGCACACGTTTTTCGTTGCTTTCCCACTTACCATGGTCTTAGGTTTCCTTTTCCCCTTTCCCCTTTCCCACCACTTTAAAAAGCAAAAAGAAAGTCCATTCGGTAGGATTTTTGCAATTTCCGCAGGCGTATCTGCAACAATTGGCCGGCAGACCACGCCCACTTCCGGTGTCGCGTCGTTTCACCAACCGGAAGGACAAAGAAAATATCGCTTGTTCTCCTCTGATCAGTAGAAATTTGATCGCTTTGGGCCCTCGACTGATCACTGAGTTTGCCGATTTCTTTGGTTTTGAAAGAGATTTGCATAACTTTGAGAAAGATCAATCAGGAACCATGTTGAATCTTGCTAGGCCTAAATATAGTGTTGCCTATAATTTTCCGTTTTTTATGGTTTTTAAGCTTAAGCGTTTTACTTAAGTTTATGTAAAACATAAGTACATATCGCCCCAAGTGCAAATAAGAGATGCTCAGGTGAAAAAGAGATTTGATAACTTAGAAACGCCTGAATGGCCACTTTTGTAAGCTTCAGTGCAACTTTAGGTGGGCGTAAAGTGACCTCTTGAGGGGAAAGTTGATAAATATGATCACTTGGAAACGCCTGAATGGTCGCTCTTGCAAGCTTCAGCAGGCTTTCAGGTAGGCGTAAACTGGCCACTTGAGGGGAAAAATAAGAGATATGATAACTTAGAAACGCCTGAATGGTCGCTCTTGCAAGCTTCAGCAGGCCTTCAGGTAGGCGTAAACTGGCCACTTGAGGGGAAAAATAAGAGATATGATAACTTAGAAACGCCTGATTGATCACTTTTGTGAGCTTCAGTGCCTTCTTCAGGTGGGCGTAAAGCGACCACTTGAGGGGAAAGATGATAAATATGATAACTTAGAAACGCCTGAATGGCCACTTTTTCAAGCTTCAGTGCTTCCTTTGAGTTGGCGTAAAGTGGCCACTTGAAGGGAAAAATAAGAGATATGATAACTTAGCAACGCCTGAATGGCCACTTTTTCAAGCTTCAGTGCTTCCTTTGAGTGGGCGTAAAGTTACCCCTTAAGGGAAGAAGTTAGAATTATGATAATTTAGAAACGCCCGAATGGAAGGTTTTGCAAGCTTCAGTGCACCTTTAGGTGGGAGTGAAGTGGCCCCTTGAGGGAAAGATAAGAAATATCATCACTTAGAAACACCTGACTAATCACTTTTGGCAGCTTCAGTGCTTCCTTCAAGTGGGCGTAAAGTGACCCCTTGATGGGAAAGATAATAAATATCATCACTTAGAAACGCCAGAGTGGTTTGGCAAGCTTCAGTGCCCCTTTAGGTAGGCGTAAAGTTACCCCTTTAGGGCAAAGATGATAAATGAGATCACTTAAAAACGCCTGACTGATCACTTTTGCAAGCTTCAGAGCCCCCCTGCTGGAAAAGGTGATAAATACGATAACTTAGAAACGCCTGAATGGACACTTTCGCAAGCATCAGTGCCTTCTTCAGGTGGGCGTAAAGTGACCCCTTGAGGGGAAAGATGATAAATATGATAACTTAGGAACGCCTGAATGGCGACTTTTGCAAGCTTCAGTGCCCCTTTAGGTGGGCGTAAAGTGGCCCCTAGAGGGGTACCTACAATAACCTTTTTTGTCACTCTAAGGACGACTTTCGGAACATAGGAAGCTAGTGAAGGCTGTTCAGTTTTTCCAAAAAGGGAAGTCCAAAAAATGAGTTGGAACCAAGCAGAAATATTTTCGGAAAAAATTCAGTTTTTAATGACTCAAATACCAAAGGAATGTTTTCAAAACATGAAAAGATAAGAATGCATTCTTTGGTCGGCCTGTTCCTTGTGTTGCGAACACCCAATGGCGAATTTCGTCGCGCCGAAACGTTGGTCGACGCCGTCGCGACAGCTGCAAGCGACACTTGTCGTCGCGAGGCTGACAGTCGAAAAGCGTTCCGTTTTCCCTCGCAACAGCAGCTTCGCGTTTCCGGGATATAATATCCTGCAACATAAGCCAAAAAAAAGTTTTTTTTGAAGCTGCCTCTTCGCGATCTTCTCAAAATTTCCAAATTTAGACGGAAGTTTGGAAGCATAACGTTTCCTTTCTAGAAGGTGTATTTATAGTAAATCCATTTTGCAATAAACGGATATCATCTTAGGAACTCCAGAGTGGTGCCTATAGGCCATCTAGGACCACTTGACCAACCGCTATAGGGATCACTAAAGCTTAAAAAAGTGGTCCCTATAGGGGACATGCTCGTCGATAATTTCCATGCGAAAAAACTGAAAAAAAGCTTATTTAAATAAAGTTGATGGGCCCATATAGGGACCACTCAAGCTTTGGGGGCTAAGGGGGGAGACTCTAGATTCCTATAGGGATCACTTCGATTTTACCTCTATAGGGACCATTTTTTTGACACTTAACCCCTATAGGGACCACTTGAGCTTTAGGAGTCGAGTAACCCTGAACCCCTATAGGGACCATCTCAACTTCACCCCTATGTGGACCACTTTTTTAGCCCCTAACCCTTATAGGGACCACTTTGTTGTAAAAAAAAATCAAGAAGCTTGCTGGAAACTTTTCACTGCAATTTTCGTTCTCCTCTTTCTCTCTTGATGCCTTTTTGAATAATTTTCGGTCCTTCCTGTACATTGAAGGCTTTGAGGAAGAGAAAAAAAAGCAAACGAGGACGATGAGAATGAAGAATGGGAAGAAAACGATGCCTTGCCGGAATCGCTCGTTTCTCCCACGCAAAAGCATACACACCGAACTTGCACGCTCTCACGCACATACTTGCTCGCTTCCTCTTCTAGCTTTTTCAAAAAAATGATATATTTCAATTTTCTGTCTCGATTCTGAATCATCCCTACGCGAAAAATTTCCAAAGGAATCACAATTTCTGAAGTTAAATTTATAGGTCAAAGTCTCAAAAAAATGGCGAATTCCTTTCCATGTTTTTGATTTTCCCATTTGAAAAATCTTCTTTTTTCTTCTTCTTCTTCAAAAAAAGAAGACGAGCGAGGCGTTAAAAAGTGATGAATGGGACGCCTTGAGAATGTTTTGTTCTTCTTTTTTTTTCTTCTCACGCTTTTTTTTCTCAAGTTTCCCCACACCCACCTACTACATTTCGCTCTTTCTCCGTCATTTTTGACGTCGAACTTGTAGTTGAGGACCACAATGTCCCAAATAGTTCTCACGGACGTAAATGTCTCGGTGAATGTCGTCAGGAAAGTACCTTCCCGGAAAAAAGCCGTCTGAACAAAGGAACTCGAAACTTGACGCGGATTTCCTTGAGTTACCAATTTCTTGATGATTTTTTCAGATAATTAGGACCGGTTTGAAGGCCAAAACTCAGTTACGAAAAGCTGATGGGGTGTTTATTTCTTCTCGCCCTCCTGAACAAACTATCTGCGTCGGAGAGTCTGCCGCCCCGAGGCTTATTCCCCGCCGCCGCCGGTCCTTTTTTCCCCACCAATTGAGCCTTTTTCTTTGTTTTTTTGTCTTTTTTGAAAAAATCGTTTCGGGGGTTCATTTTTCATCGTTCATGGAAGAAAGTTCTGCAGAGAAAATTTATGAAAAACTGAAAACTGATTTTTTTGGCTTATCAGACCCAGAGACGCCTTGGTCAACACTTTCGAGAGTTTTGATCCTGTGATCTGCCTCGTTGATCTGAAGATCTTAAGAGATCCTTCAGTTTTTTTCGAGGTTGAATCATATGATACTCTATGAAATAGTCTCATTTTTCAAGTTTTTTCGAGTTTTTCAAGTTTTGCGCCTTGAGATGTCCCCTACATGGAAAGTCTTTTTACTTTGCGGTTTGGATTTTTTTTTCGAAAATCTTTTAAAAAACACTCTGAATGTCCAGAAGGTCCCTCATAGTCTAGACCAGCCCAAACTTCTAGTTTTCAAAGTTTTCACAGACCCCACGGTTATTTTAATTAGGGACTTGGATTTTTCTACGAATTTTTTCAAACGTTCTCGGAAAGTTTATTTTGAGGTCCATCAAAGTTGCAACCGGCGCCAGCTTCTAGTTTTTGAGATAAATAAGTTTGAAGTTCGAAAAGTTAAGCCTAAAACCCATTTTTCGCAACTTTAAAAAATCATATCTCAAAAAATAGAAGTTTCCGCAGGAAACGACTGTGAAGGGTCTTCATCTCTACCTTCAGAGAGTTTTTGAGCAAACTTGTAGAAAATTCCAAGCCGCAAAGTAAAATGGCCTCCCTTGTCAGGTTCTTTGAGAAACTTCATTTTCATAGGACAATCCTTCAGAATCGACCCATTAACATCACCAACTTTTTTTCTTCTTCTGTTTTTTTGACTTTTCACTCGCGAATGAGAAACGACTACAAAACGAACAAATGACGCCTCCCAGTTATTTTTTGGTCGCACAACCCGTCGGTTTTGACGTGGCATCCATCAATTGCGACAATTGGCAAAAACATTCACGTCTTCTTGTAGAAAAAAAACGAGAGAAAAAAAATGAATAGGATAGGGGAAAAAAACGGAGAGAAGAACGGGAGAAGATCGCGTGGGTGCTTCTCCCTGTTTAACTCTCTGGACCCTCCAATTTGTCTCTTTTACTAGAAGCGCCGCCCATAATTTGCCCTCAAGCAAGAAGGAGCAAAAAAAAGCGCTTCAACATGGACTCGTGTAGTGCTTCGTCTTTTTTTGGAAGTAGGACTTCTCCAAGGTTTTCTCCAAAAAAAGTTTTCTTCGCAAGTTTTCCTTTAGAGTCTCAGATCATCATAGTCTTCTTGGTTTCTCGCTTTTCTTTCGAAGCTTCTGCTTTCGGTTCGACGGAAGGCGTTTGGAAGCTTCCCAGCAAGTGATCGAAAACTTCCGAAAATTTGGCTGACTAGGGAACTTTTTACCCCCTCGGTAGAACTTTCGCTGTAACTTTGCTGAAGTGTACTTTATGATCCTGTGATTGCAGATCAAGAAAAAAATCGCAATAGATCTTGTTTCCGAATTATGGAGCTTCAAAGTGTGCAAAATACGCAAATTAGGGCAAAAAAGCGCTATTTCGAGCTTTTGGAGCGTCCTAACTGGGAAACAAGATCTAGTGCGAGATATTTTTTTCTTGTCCTGGAATCAGGGGGTTCTAAAGTACACTTCAGCAAAGTTTCAGCGAAAGTTCGGGGCTAAAAAACTTCCCCTAGTGAGGAAGAAGCAAATTTCATAACTATGAAGGCTCTCTTCAAATGTCTTGATTCGATTCGTGGAAACGGACAAATTAGCGCCATATAATTTCCCTCTTTGAAAAACAAACAGAGGGAGAGAGAGATGCTCGTTCCGCTGACCTATCTACATTTATCCCGTTTCTAAGGAACCTTTTTTGCAAGATATTACGGATGAAAGTACAATTTTTTGTAATCTCGATTTTTTCCATATTTCAAGCTTTCAGGTTGAGTAGTTCTATCTGCATTCTTGTTCAAAGGGAAAACCGAAGATTTTTTTCTGAATTTTATGAAAAATGAGTAATTTTCGGAAAGCTTACCAGGGAACGTTTTTAATTGTTGAACTTTTGCTGAAACTTCGCGGAAGTGTACTTTAGAACCCCTGATTCCAGAACAAAAAGAAAATTTCTCGCAATAGATCTCGTTTTCGAGTTAGGGCACTTCAAAAGCCCGAAATAACGCTTTTTTGGCCTATTTAGCGTATTTTACACACTTTGAAGCTCCATAATTCGGAAACAAGATCTATTGTGAGAAATTTTTTCTTGATCTGCAATCAGGGGATTTTCTGAATTTTATGAAAAATGAGTAATTTTCGGAAAGCTTAGGAGTGCACGAAATATCGATAATTTTTTTATCTTTCTCACCAAACGTCACACAACCGGGGTTATTAGCGGCCGGCACGAACCCGCCATTTTCGGGTAATCTCTGATTATCAGTTTCTTTCGAGCAGCTTCTTCCGCCCCAATTTTCGACGTGCCTACGAGGACGCCCACTCGTTCCCAACTCAAATATATGGGCAGGCAGCATGCAAACGAGTAAAAAGGGTGCCAATTTTTGAACAAACAAACACACGCAAACACCACACGACGCCTTCAGAAGCGAACAAGAAGCAGATGAAGCTCACAATTACCACCCCTCCCCCCGACCTTTTTTTGGTGTGCCAAGTTAGCCCGGGCTCCGCCCTCAAGCTCCACCCACCGAGGACATGATAAACGTGGTCGGCAGATGATAAGAGGCCGTCTTTTTTTCGCGACTCGCCTCGACGGCTTATCCCCAAATCCATAAATCCTTCCCAAATACCTATCCGCAGCCAATTTTTTTCCTGCTCCTCTTTGTTTTTCCTGTTAATTACTCTGGAATGAAGCGTTTAATTCTCAATCGTCTCGTCTGATATTAATTGGAGAGCGATCACCTTGTTGCCCTAACGAACTAAAATTAGCGACTCTCCAAAAAGATCATTCCGATCAACTTTCACTGTTTTTTTATTCGAAAATATTTTTTTGAGTTATCCGAGAAGAAACTTTTCTCCAGGATTGAAGATTACTCCGTAGAAATCCTGGCCCTGAGCCGCTACTCGTAGAAAATCTCGGCTCATCCTTGTCGCGTCGACAATTTTGATCCTCTTTTAAAGCTGCTTTTTTTCTAAATCTTTGCTTTTATCAGTAAGAATCGCTCTAGCCATGTGAGTTTTTTGAGCAAGTACTGATTTTTGAGATTATTTTTCGTTTTCTTTCGAACTAGACACTAATTTTGTGTTGAAATAGTCAGTTCTGAAGAATTTCAGGTCATAGATCAGTAAAAATGTCGATTTTCAGCCATTTTTTCCATTTTTTCGGATCCAAGAACCTTCCATAGGCAAAATGAAAAAGCTCTCCTGAAGAGGAAAGTCATTTAACTTTTCGATGAGGACTTTTTGAAAATTGTCTAGGGTACTTTTTGAGGTATCAAAAGAAGATCCTGAAAGTCTTTACCTGCATAAATTCCTGGTTTTTGAGAAAGAACACCTCGGAATCCGTTAAAATAAACCAATTTGGGATTTTGAGCCTTCATTTCTCAAAAACCCGGAAGTTGTGCAGGCTGAAACTTTCAGGATAGTCTTCTGGTACATAAAAGAGTTTTTCGGTCAATTTTCAAAAACTGCAAAGTGAAATGACCTCTTTTGTGAGGATTTTCAGAAGCAGCTAAAAAGTCCCGCTAAAATCTCCGAAAATGGTAGGAAAATTTATTTGAGCCCCCTTTTCATGGATTTTTTAGTCCCTTGAAGTTTTTTCCAGTTGCTTCTCGGTACCTCTAAACTAGAGGAACGAAAAAAGTAGCAAAAATTAAATGAAAAGACCTTGTTTTAAAGAACCTTTTGAGAAGCTTTTCCATATGCTCGAGTCCACTCCACATTTTTTCAAAAATCCTTCCCAAGACGGAGTTGTTTTTGAGTCAAGCTTATCTCTGACACGCCATCTTATCTGCTCAAACCCGAGATTTTGGCTGAGCATCCGCCGTGGAACTGATGGATATAAAACCTGGTTGCAGAATCCGTTGGCCGCGGCGTCCCGTTCGCCTCGCTGGTCGCCGTTTTCGCCGTCGTTTCCTTCGTCGGCCTCGTCGCGTCCTTCTTCCTCTGCTACATCAACCGAACCAGAAAGTCTCGGTAGGCTCGAAAAATGAGGCGATTGGTGGTCAGGAGAACGGAAAGAACCTCATAAACAACTTTTGCGAAAGTTAGAAAATATTGTCTCGGACTCGAGACAAATACTTGAAAAAAGTCGTGAAGAGGTTTTAAAAACACAGTTTTGAACAGTTTTTTTTCAGCAGGGGTCTGAAAATTGGCCAGAACGCTCCTTGATGTACCAGAAGACGATTCGGAAAGTTTCAACCTGCCCAACTTCCTCGTTTTCAAGAAAAGCCTCAAAATCCCTGAAAATCCATAAAAATGGGCTATTTTGCGGCTTCAATCTCTTATTTCTCCGAAACTAGAGAGCTGTGCAGGGTGAACTTTCCAGAATCTTCTTCTGGTACCTCAAGGAGCATCCTGGCCAATTTTAAGAAAATCCCAACCCCAAAGGGTTTTAAAAAAGAGTTGTTTTACTAGATAGAAAATAACGATTTTCCATGAGACTTTTGGGAATTTTCCCTCTTTAAACGCAAAATATTCTACAGAGACTTCGATAATTTTTTGGAATTTATGAGAAAATATCACAACTTCTGGAAAATTTTTTAGTGGCCACTGTAGAGGCTCGCAAAGAACAACTTGGAGAGGACACTAAAGTGGCCACTAAACCCACCTCTTTAGTGGCCACTATTTTCCGTTTTAGTGGCCACTATAGAAGTTCTCTATTTAATGGCCACTATAGAAGTTCTCTATTTATTGGCCACTTCAGTAGTTTTTCATTCAGTATTCCTTTCTTTTAAAACAAACAGATTGGTTCAGTTATGTTGATCCGTTGACCCCTAAAGTGGCCACTGAAACGTCAAAACCCTATAGTGGCCACTAAACATTTTGTCAGTTATGTTGAAAATGTTTGAAGGGCCATTTTCCCCGGGCAAAAACACGGAAGCAGCGAATAGATTATGTAGTGAGGGCTGAACAGCTGGCTGCAGAGAAGTTGCTTTTCGTCATGAATCTCCGCCCCCTTCTTAACTAGAAAAACTGTCAAATGATAGGAACGGAGGGCTCTCGACGCGCCAGCTGTCGCCCTCCCCCCACTTCCGCAAATCTTTATTTCCGATTTTTCAAAAAATCCTTCTCTTTTCCGTGTTTCCATTGGATCAAAAGCTCTATTAATCGAATGCGTGGTGACGTTTTTGATCGGCTGCTTTTTCCGCGCGGAAAATGAAAAAGAATGGTGTTTTTCTGGTCGAGCCAGGCTGCAGCAGCTGTAGAAACACAAAATCGGTGTCGATATTTATATGTTCTATTCAGCAAAATCTTTTTCTGTCTATTGAAATCCATCCCTGCAAATTCTTCTTTTGGCGAATCCGTTTCGCTGCGCAGTGCGGTGTTTATTGAAATAACCTCGTTCACCGGCCCACACTTTTTTTTTCCTTCTTTTCTTCTTCTGCTTTCCTTTTCTGCTGCTCCGACATCCCACGCTTTCCGTTTTTCTGATTGGCTCTTCAGCCGAACTTTTGTTGAAATACTAGAAAATCGCGTGGGCGCCCGAGATTCGCTGATTTCGGCTGTAGGAGAAACGAAACGTCTAGGAAAAAAGGCGGATTACGGGAATATTTGAAATAAAAGTGGATAAGAACAGTTTTTTTTTTCAACACAGAAGAATATCGGAAAGTTCATTCGAGAGCTTTTTGAATTACAAGGCGTCTTGGAAGAGTTTTCAGCTCTCTTTAATCCTTGGAGCCTATGAAATTTCAAAAGATCAGTTTTAGTTTAAGCCTCCGAAAGTCTAGAAGTCTTACTCAACCGATAAATTTTAAAATCAAAAAATTTATTTGGTTTTTTTCTCCAGTCAAAGACTCTACAAAGGCGATCCTTCCTAAATTGATCCCTATAGGGGCAACCTTAGGGACCACTTCACAAACCCCTATTTAGTCCACTAAAGCTTTGAACAGTGGTCCCTATAAGGGTCTTAGTTAGTGGCCTCTATAGGGGGGACATGTTTTTCGATAATTAAACTCTATGCGAAGAAGCATTTCCATACGAAAAACTGAAAAAAACCTTTTTTATAAAAATTGAACGATCCCTATAGGGACCACTTAACCTTTGAGGGCTAAGGGGTCAGAACCTAAACCCCTATAGGGACCACCTTGATTTCACCCCTTAAGGGGCTGTTTTTCGCTTTAACCCCTAAGGGGACCATTCTAAAAATAATTAAAAAATTCTTTAATTACGTTCAAATAAACATTGAACGGCTTCCATAGGAGGCTGAGCTCACGCAGAAACATCGTTCGCTCCGCCCACCGCCACGCCCCCTTCGGCACTGACCATTGGAAAAACGAGATTGGTTGCAGGTGCAGCAGCAGCAGCACGTACGCATCCTCGGGTCCGTCCAAGGAGAAAGAATCGCAGTGGGCGGCGCTCAAGATGATGATGGCCGAGCGAGCAGCCGACTGTCTTGCCAAGCTGGGTCTCGAAGCGAACGCGACTACCGTATCCGATGGCGTCGATGCCGCCGGCGCTTCTCACTTGGCTCCCACCTTTGGACATCATCGAAGGTTCGTGCTTTTGAAGATACTTTCTGGGGGAGATTTGGTGATGCTACAGTAGCTCTTCCTACAAGGGGTTTTTGGACATTCAATAAAACTGCGAGTTCAGGACCTCTTGACACCAGAAAACTCAGAAAATCATACCGATTCGATTTTTTCAAAGTTATGAAGCTTGAATGCTAGTAAACTACCCGAAATATATAGAAAACGTGTTGTTTTAAGCTTTTGAAGCCTCATAACTTGAATGACGTTTCAGTTTCGGAAATTTTCTATTCTTTGGAAGCTGTGAAAGTCATTCCAGCCAAGTTTTATCAAAAGTTTAACCGGCCACTAAAAATCTTTGAATTGGAAGCGGTAAAGCCAGTTATCCAGAAAAGGAAAAAAAAGAAAAGAAAAAATAACTGATTCATTTTTTCGACGAACTGATGCTGTGTTAAAATGAATTTCGGCGATTAAAAAAAAAGCAAAATAAGAATTCCTTTTGAAAAAAATGGGTCTCACAACGATGTATCGCAATGTATAACCTTCTACGGTGACTCTTACAGTCCGTTCAGTTTTTGAACGTCAAGTACAATGACGTCATTCAAAAACACTCTGTGGATGGCTTGCCCTCTGATTGGTTTATCGCGCCATTAGGGGCGGAGCTTGAGCAAAGACTTGGCATTCAAAATATGAACAAACTATACGCGCGAATTTGAATTTTTCGTTGTGGCCAAATAAAAGGAAAATTTGGATTTTGAGTGTGAAAAATGCGATATCGTTGTAGTACCCATTTTCTTAAACAGCTCTCGGAATTCTAATTTTGCCTGATTCGTGTGATAATTTTAAACGAAAAATGCGTTGAAATCGCCGAAATTACTCTGAAAAGGACATGAATAAGCTGAGCTTCTCTTTTTCGGCTCTTCGTAGAGATCCTTGCCGGAGACCCTCCGAATGTTTTATGGTTTCCCATGCAAAGAGCACTTATTTGACGTAAATTCATAACGAGCACAACTGACGTCATCGAACCTTTCCCCCGTCGCATAAAATATTGTGGTCATCACGTCAATGTAGCTTTATCTTTGATTGGGTTACTTTTTGATTTCCGGTAATTTCATCATTCACCGCCGGTGACGTCAGAGTTTTTTAATGAAAAGTTTTTGGTCTGCAGGATTTCCTTGAATATGAGTTATTCTTTAATGAATTGAATTTTTTGTCAAGTTTTTACTCATTTCAAAACTGTCGCTAAAAGTTTTCCTGAACCTCTTATTTTTTGAAAATTGTTCCGTAATCTTTTAAGGACCGTTTTCAGTAAAAATTTGTTGATATCTCTGAAAAGCTCTATGCGATTTATTCTGCGAAAAAGAATAAAATAGTGCCAGTAAAATGCAATAGGATGGTTGATTGAATAGCATAAACATATTGAAAACCAAATTTTCCCATTCTTGTAGTCTATTCAAATGGATCCGGGAGTGTTTAAAAATAGACAAGGCCCAAAAAATCGTCAAAAAGTTGTGCTCTGAAACTCTCTCATTCCCTTTATGAAACCCCAGAGACCATATACATGAACTTTTCCGGACCGTAAATTATTTCAAAGAAAGTGAACTAAACATTTTTTTTTACTGGTGTGTGAACCTCCAGAGTGGTCCCTATAGGGGCCCTTGGAGGGTTCCCTCTAGGGATTACTTCACCAACCCCTATAGAGGTCATTAAATCTTGCGAAAGTGGTCCCTAGAGGGGACAGGCTAGTCGATAATTTTTATGACTCTATGCAAAAAAGAACTTCCATGCGAAAAACTAAACAAATAACCTTTTTGAATAAAATTGAAAGACCCCTATAGGGACTACTTGGGGGCTAAGGAGTGAGACCCTAAACCCCTATAGGAACCACTTTTTCGACCCCTAACCCATATAGGGTTTACTTTGAAATTCCTAAAACTCTAAAATTCCTAACTATGGTGTCTGGTTCGACTAAGTAAACGTTCAAAAAAAGAAGCTCAAGTTAATTTTGAGATTTTTTTTTTCAATATAAAGAATAGTTTCAGATGTCGAAGCCTCCGGGAGAGGACCGGCGTCGAACACCGTCTGGAAAGGCTTCCTTCTGGGCCGATGCACCGGACGCCCCTTTATACGGTCGTTTCCGGCGTCAACACAAACAAAAAGTAATTTTTGTCACATGCATTCGACTCGAATCTTCTCTATCTCCCAATACATTGACAACAACGGGGCCCAATTTATTGCAGCCGCCCCGTTCGGATCGCCGACTTTGCTGAACACTTCCGTTTGATGAGCGCCGACTCAGATTTCCGGTTCTCCGAAGAATACGAGGTTTATTGCTTGCGGAAGTTGTTATGTTCATAGCATTGTCCACGATTTACATGGCTTAGGAGATGCTGGAGAGCGTTGAATTGAAGAAAACGTGTAGTTTCTGTTTAATTTCCTTCCAATATCACCAATGATTTCTTTCAAGCTGGTAAAAGCTCATGGAAGACTTGAAAAATTCGAATTCAGCGCCAAAAATAATTTTCAAACTCTTGCAGATGATGAAAAACGTCGGCTGTGGGCAGAGCCAACACGCCGCCGAGCTCCTCATCAACCGCTCCAAAAATCGCTTCACCAACATTTTGCCCTACGATCATTCGCGAGTCCGACTCTCAAATCCACGAGAGATCGAGGCCGCCGACTACATCAACGCCAATTTCATCCCCGTTAGTTTAGACTTCTTTGCCCTCTGAATTCAGAAGATCTATTTAACAGGGATTTTTTAGCTTATAGGAGAAAAAGGAGAGACACAGCTTGAAATCCAAAGTTGAAAAGATTTTGCCAGTTTTAGCAGTAACTATATTACTTTTTGAAAAGGGATGTCCCAGATCTGAATGTCAAGTCGTAGCTCTCAAGCTCCGCCCCCAATGGCGCGATAAACCAATAAGAGAGATTTTTGAATGACGTCATTGTACTTGACATTAAAAATCTGAACAGACGAGTTCATTCCAATCTAAGCATGGTGCTATAAATCTGAATATTGGAAAATGTGTTTCCAGGGCTTCTCCTCTCGACACGAGTTCATCGCCGCGCAGGGACCCTTGCCGACGACGCGTGACGCATTCTGGCAGGTCCGTTGAAAGGCACCGCCGTCAACCTGACGTTTGCGATTCAGATGACGTGGGAGCAGCAGTGTCCGGCGATCATCGCACTCACCAAGTGTGTGGAGAAAGGCCGCGACAAGTGCCATCAGTACTGGCCCGACGCCGAGAACACCACCGTCGGCTACGGCGAAATCGAGGTACCCGAGAGAGTCTGTCAGAATATTCAAGGTCGCCTGCAGGTGACGATGATCAGCGAGAAGCACTACGACGAGTTCGTCGTCCGGGAGCTGCGACTTCTGAAAAGGGTCGGCGGAGAAGTGAAGAGCCGTGTCGTCCGCCATTGGCACTACATGGCTTGGCCTGATTTCGGCGTCCCTCAACACCCCGAAGGAATCATCTTGTCAGTCCTTGTTTTTGTGAACTTACCCCCTTTTTGAAGAATATTGAATCATCGTCAAAATTACAGGTTCGCGCAGTTGTTCCGACAGAGTTTGCCGCATTCTGCGCATAACATGCCGACGATTGTTCATTGCAGGTAAATATCTTTGAAAAAAATTTCAGTGGCAAGAAAAATATTCATATTAGTCATACGCTTTTGAAGCGTCCAAACTCGAAAACGAGATCTATTGCGAGAAATTTTTTTTTCTCGCTCCTTAATCAGGAGGGCCGTTTCCTAGTCACCTTTAAAGAATAAATGACGCGTGGTACAGAATTCAAAAAAAAAGGACGACCTAGCGTTACTTTTCGAATTATTCTCTTAGAATCTCAGGAAATTCTCTAAAGTTCTTATAACCTCACTCCTCCACAAGTTTAAATGAACCAGAATTTCGTAGGAATGAAACTCTTTTCTCAAAACTTTAAAAGCTGGAAAATCAATCAGACTATACCTTTGTGTATGTGGACTTTCTGGCTATTCTACAGACTTAATTTACCTTTTTCTGCCTTTTTGCGAAGCTTAACACCAACTTTTTCAAGTAGAGTTTACCTTATGTGAGTGTACTTAGAACTTGACAAAAAACAAAAATAATAAAGTCAATCATCAAGACAGAACGAACAGAAACCGTTTTCAGCGCTGGCGTTGGCCGATCGGGCACCTTCATGGCCATCGACCGTCTCCTGCACTCAATCGAACTCGACCGACCCATCGACGTCTTCGGAATCGTCTACGAGATGCGCCAGGAGCGGTGCCAGATGGTGCAAAACGAGGTTGATTCGATTTCTTCTTGGTAGATCAACCCGAACGATTTCAGCAGCAATACGTGTTCATCCACTCCTGTGTCCTGCACTACCTCCAGAGCTCCCCGGAGGCCGTATTTCCGCCCCAGGCGCACCAAAATCCAGCCTTTCTCGATGATTCCTCAATCGCCGAATCAGGATTCTGAAATCATGTTGAAATTATTCCATCTCCTTACGGGTAACAAACTTAATTGAAACCGCATGACGTTTATGTGTTATTTTTCATTGTTCGTTGTTTTTTTTTTCTTCAGAGCTACTTGATTCTTTCACTTTGATACGGGTTCATAGATTGTATAGATTTGTATGCCATGAAACATCTAATAAAAAGGTTATTATTTGATCCTAGGAAAAGAAGGTTCGAAATTATTTTTAGGTCTCGAAAGTCGCGAGTGGATTCAGAATTCGGACCACGGTAAAAAAGAAAGCTTGACAAAAAAATTTTTCGGTAAATTTCGTCATTTTATTGATGGAATCAATTGGAAAGTAAATAATTTCTATATCTAACTGTTAAAAAAATGAAGCTGTCACTGGCTTGGAAAAACAAAAAAAGAGAATGAAACTACTAAATTCGAGAGCCATTTTTTTGTAGGACTTTAAACGTCATACTTTGCTTGGAAAAACTCTAGGAACTAAATGAAAATATGAGGCGTCTACAAAAAAACGTTTCTCGAATTTAACCGTATCATTCACTCCAATGAAGGAGTATGCGCACAAAAAAGAAATCAAACAGTAAACTATAAAATATTAAACAGGGTATTTGGGGTCAGAGCAGACGAACAAATAGACAGTAGGGAAGACGCAAATAAATTATTAAACCTGTATCTGGAAAGAGGTATGAGTGAAAGACGAACAAATGAAAATCCGTTAAGAAAGCTTGCATGTAAGAGTGGAGATATTCAAAAAAAAATCAGTGCTACCGGGAATTATTAACGGCTTCAAACACCGGCATGACAGATTGCCTTAAATATTTTCGGAGTGAACAAAATAACAATAAATTTGACGAAACAGGGAGGTGACTTATTTCCAACGGTCAACGGAAATGTCGGCGCTGTTGGGGTCGTAGGCCGTCGGGAAGCTTCTTTGCTTCGAGATGAAGACGGAGGCCTCCTCGTGAAACTGCAAGTAATGAATGAATCGATAAGATTCAAGTTGAAAAATGAAACAAACTTCGGAATTGCGAGTACAGCGGTCGTCGGCCGTTGCGAAAGTCGAGCGAAGCCAGTAGATGTACACGAAGAGCAAGACGATCAGCTGCAACACCTATTCTACCTAATGCCGGGTTCAAGGGATCTTTCTAGTGCTGCTAAGTAGTCTTAAGTAACATTTTCAACCTAATTCACCAAACTTCCTCACACTTCTCAGCATTCTTAATAGGGTGAGGGAAGTTGTCAAATTTTCTGAATTTACAAAAAAAAAAGTGCGCGCTCCAGATAAAATGACGTCATTTTACGCCAGAAGTTACACTGAGTATTCAACGTTACTTGTTTTTTCGATCGCCTTTGGCTTTGTATGGCTGATTCACGGCTAGCTTGGGACGTTAAGAGGGCGGGCCTGCCTGCGCTCTCCACGAACCAGGCACTATCTCGTGAATTATCGTGTCAGGACCCTTTTTTCGATGGCTCAAGCCAGCCGTGAATCAGCTATACTTGAGATTTCAATTTTCGCACCAAATATTTCTTGACGTCTCCCAACTCCGTTTGCGAACGCCGTGGCGGCATAATAACATGATTTTCAAGTTTTCTGGCTTGTAAAACTTATGAATCGGAAAATTCCAAAAAGAGATTAGTTTTCAACCTTCCTCCTCTTCTTAAAGATCACCCTGAAAGTTTCATCTCGATACTTTTTGAAACTTCTTATCACTTTTTCCCAAAAAAATCGAACTTTGGGTGAAAATCGACTTACGAAAGACAAAATGACGACGGCGACCAGCAGCCACTTGACGATGTCTATCGGCGAGTCTTCGACCTGCATATTTAACTTTTTTTTCCTAATGTTTATCGTGACTCTCTTACAATCATTCCTTTGCTGCGCATCCACTCCAGCTTCTCGGCATCGCAAATTTCCTTCCTAGCCGAACTTCCGTCGCGGAACATACAGTAATCCCAATTCCTACAAAAACCGTCATGGAAAAAAGTAGCGCAAGTGCGTGTGAAAATGCATTAATTTTTGTTAGATAGCCAATTTTTAACTGGATTCGGTTAAAAAAAACAATAATAAAAAATAAAAATTGGATGAGCTTCTGTAAAACAGCTTTTCAGAGTTCATAAGACTGGGTCTGATTTTTCGATAGAACATGGCTCAAAATATCATACTTCCTAGGCAAAGTCGGAAAAGGTGGAAAAGGATCCATAGAAACGTTCCTTAAAAGGTGACAAATGCTCCTTTTTGTGGCCTTTTTGCACCAATTCTTAAGCACCATTTTGCTACCTTCCTGTGGCCTTTTTGAGCCTCTCCCTCTTAGCGGCCATTATCCACCATTCCTATTTTGCCGGAGTTATCTCAATATTAAAAATTTTGTGGTTTTCATTACCTTCAGAGTTCCGCTAGATATTTGTCTAAATTGGTTCCGCGAAATCGAAAATATCTATCAGAGAGTGAAAATGATAACTAAATTTTGGAGAGTCAGAATCGATTTTGAATTTCGCGGAGATCACTTTGCATGAAAACTGACTTTAGGCGCAAATATGTTCTTGGGCTTAGGCTAGGTTGGAAAAAAAGGGCGTTTCATACTACTTTTTCCTCAATTTCACAAACTTTTGCGATTTTCGAAAAAGTTTCAAACTCCCAAGTAGAGACTTTTCAATAGAAAAAAATAGCACAACTTGTATAGAATTCTTTTTCAAAATAATGATTGAGGTAAGATACTTCACGATGATAGTTGACATGATGGCGGGAAGCGGCAATGGATAATCAAACTGCATCACGAAATTGTATCCGAATGAAGTCTCGTTTTGATCGACTGATCTGAAAATTCCACTCATTTTCCCCTAAAAATCAATAATGCTCACCGCACTGAAGACGAGATGCGTTTGACGTTTCCCAAGTCTTCCAAGAAGCGGACGAAAAGCAATCCACCGGAAACACTGAAAATTGGAGTTTCAGGTCTATTCATTTTACAAAACATTGCAGAGAACTCTAAACCTCTTCTTTTTGGATATTAGAGAGAAATCATTGAAAAATGTCACAATCAAGCATTTTATGAACCATAAATATTCACATGAGGGGTCTTTTATTTTTGACTTTTTTTTTAGAAACGCAGAAAAAGTCCAGCGAAAAATTGCATACACAAACAAAGTCGTTTAGGGTGGAAAAAAGCTCCTAAAATGTTCCTTTTCTGCTGCCTTTTTGCGCCATTTCATCGGCTCTTATGCACCAATTTTCCTGCCTCCCCTCTTTTCATTTGTTGAGCCTAAAAATTATAGAAAAATGGAAGACTGAGACTCTTTTTACTGCCCTGTTTGAGCCTCCCCCTTTTAGAGGTCATTATTAACCATTCCGACTTTCCCAAGATATTTCAATATTGCGAAACTAACGCTACAAAGGGAGTTCCTCTCAACGTTCCGACAAGATTTCCATTCTCTCCGTCCAAAACAAGGGTGAACATTTTTGAGATGGGGCTGACGTAGAGGGTCGTTGTGTCATCCTTCTGAGTGACGTAGTAAACCTGAACAACAGCTTCATCAAAGTCGCTGAAATAATAATGCGGCGAAACCTTAGAATCATACGGATCTTCAGCCCATTGGGTGCGCATCGCATTGTTCGGATGAGCCTTCATTTTCGCGACGTTTCCCAACTCGGAATGCAATATTCGCGTATGCATGTCATGCGCTGAATGGTCAATGTTACATCATGGAAAATCGAGTCCAGAAACGTTTGAAAGGATCTTTGAAGTGCATGACTCGCATATATTGGCTCCCATCCAGGTGATAATAAATGACGTATAACACACGGCTCATCCAGTCGAAGACCGTATGCATTCGGTAAGGCTGTAATTTTTAAATATACATGAAAAAAAATTCATAAAAAAATTATTTTTTTGATCCCTAATAGTAATAAATACTAATAGTTAGCTGTTAGAAATAATTCATGTATGGAATTCAAGCCAACCTCAGCCATGTCAAACAGATCTCCCTGACCAACGTTTGAGGAGAGGTCGTTGGTCTCCAGTAAGAAGGACTCGCTGGTGTTCCTTTTGATGTTCAAACCCTTGAAAAAGCAGTACTTTGCGAAAAAGTGTACAAAAACGAACATTAAAGTCCAAAATGTGGAAGCGAACTCTTCGCGCCTTCGGCCAGACGAGTAGAAGCCTTGGAGGATGAACTTCCGTCGGATCCCGAATCAAATGCGTTCTCATCAAAGGGTTACAATCAGCATCCGTCCTGAGAAAAAATAAGAACACATTTACTTTTGATTCTAAAAGAACGAATCGGAAAACCTTTTTGGAAAGCTCATTCCTCTCACAGTCGATGACGGAATAACGTGCGTTTCAAAAAGTGTTAAACATTTGAACTGCGAAATGAGCATGAATTGCTGAGTGCCGATCAATTCCTCTACAGGAGAAGCTGATGTCGTGGCACATATTAACAATGCGATGAAGATGTTTCGCATCCTGGAAAAGAATTAATTAAAAGATAAAAATGTTTACTAGGAAGATTAATAATTGAACGCGACAAAGATTAAAGCGAGAAAAATTAATGTTTGAAGTAAATAATTAGAAATCACTGTCAGAGAGCGAGAAAATTAACGAAATTTTGGAGAGCTAAAGTTAAAATCAAACTTCGGGAAGTTAATTCGAACACGGCACATAAAATAGAATGGTGAGCAATAATTTATAGTCATTTCTAGCAGAAAACTCGCCTCTTTGTCCTCATGATTGCATACAAGTTTACAATCAACTCGATGAAATTAATGCTTCATGAAAATCATGAAAAAAAAATTGGAGACAGATTGGCGCCGCTGCTCAAAAAGGCTGCCTCGCGCGCATTTGAAAAGCGCGTTGGAGCGAACTTACCCAAATCGAATGAATTTCGCCGATGATTCCTGGTTTTTCATCTTCCGGAAGCTTTCAACGCATAAAAAAGGTATTTCATTCAAATATGAATGATTCAGCTTCTGAACGCTCAAAAATTATAACTTCGAATGCTTCCTCAATCTCAGAAAATAAGAGCGTTTGAAGCACTTTTTTTAAAAATTTTTAATTTTTTTCAGTTTTTTTAAGGGTCTAACGCGTATTTGAGCAATAATATCAAAAAAAGCATAGGCGGCGGTTCATCAAAAATAAAAAAAGAGAATGACCCCTTTCTAGACGGTAAACAAATTTGACCTCTCGTCTGCGATTGTTTTTTTGATATATATTATTTGACCTCTCATCAAATCGAGTTATGATTTTTTTCTGTGAGAAACATTTTTTTCTGTTGATTGCTCCTCACAATTCTAAATCTACAAAGCAAATTGAAGAAAGTGAATAAAAAAACTAGAAGTGTTCTCGACGTGATTTTTGGTTGAGAAAAATTCCAGGATCTCACGAAGACTTCTATAATCGTCTCATCTTTTGAAAAAAATTTTTACGGATACAATAAAAAAATATAAAATAAGTCATTCACAAAGTCAGATCAATTTCTTCTATCCGACGGAATTTCCCAAAAAAACAAACTTCATTTCGAGTACCTTATGTGTCAATATAGAGAGCATCGAAGTAGTTTAGCAAAATCAGAAAATCAAAAAGTTTTTACAAGTTTTCCAACTTTTCTTTGCGGCTTCATTTTAAAAAGTTATAAAAAATTTATAGCGAATATAGAAATGAACGAACAACGGGTGTGATAAAGCTCATTAAGGCAAGATAAGTAACAGAAGAAATTGCGCAAAGTTGTAAAAGGTGTTTCGACAGCTTCGTGTCACTACTGCTGACGGCCTCGATAGCGGTTTCCTGCAAGAAGAAAGTTAGAAAAAAAGTGTTTAAATCTTAAAAAAAAGAAGGAGAAATCAGATTTTTGATAAGGAAAAGGTCATTATTTATAACTGTAGGCATGAAAATATTAATTGATTACCATTCTTGAAATCCTTGAACGAAGAGTCATTCCGCTGATTTGTTCGTGGATTCGTTGTCATACGATCGTGAATCTTAACAAATTAACTTTTGAAAGCATTGAGAAAAATTAATCAGACCTGATTTCTGACGTTTTCGCCCGAAATCTGCGAAGCAGCTCCATACATTTCAGACGAGGAATTTTCTGAATTAGAAACTTTGAAATTTTCGACATTTTTTAATTCCAATTCCAATCAATTCTAAACTAATGAGTACCCATTTCACTTTTTTTAAACTTCCAATTGGTCTCATATCACGACAAAAAAACTCAGCAAGCTAAAAAAAAAAAGCTACAACAACGACAAAAAACTGCACGACGAACGATATTTAGGGGGTCGGTGGTCGTCTTTCTGGCGACGGTTATTGTTTTGGTAGCGGTCGTAGTCGTCGTAACGGTCGCGGCTCTGCTCTGGCTCCCTTCACACAAATCATTAATTTGTCTGATTTTGTAAAGAATTCAAAACCTGTAACGTCCGTCAAAAGATCGTCCTTCTCTGTCGTAATCGCTGGAGTATTTTCTTTCACGAGTATCTCGCCTCGGGTAGTCCTCTCGGTCGTTCCTGGATCTATCTGGATAGCTGGGTTGTCGATCGCGGGTATCTTGAGGACGATCGCGGTTGTCTTGAGGGCAATCGCGAGAGTCTTGAGGGCGATCGCGGGAGTCTTGGGGGCGATCGCGGGAGTCTTGGGGGCGATCGCGGGAGTCTTGAGGGCGATCGCGGGTGTCTTGATGACGATCGCGGCTGTCCTGAGGACGATCACGGCTGTCTTGAGGACGTTCCCGGTTGTCATGAGGACGATCGCGGTTGTCTTGAGGGCGATCGCGGGAGTCTTGGGGGCGATCGCGGGAGTCTTGAGGGCGACCGCGGGAGTCATGAGGACGATCACGGCTGTCTTGAGGACGTTCCCGGTTGTCATGAGCACGATCGCGATCGTAGCCTTGGTGGTTTTCCGGGCCGCGGCGTGAATTGTACTCCTGGTTTCTTCCCTCATCGCGACGTCGCCCGCGGTCGTGATAATCATCTTCATCACGTCGCGGCGGCCGTTGGGACTCTCTTTCGAAGGAGCTTTTCCGCTCGCGAGGATCGCGGGAAGACTGTGATCCTCTTTCGGGGTAGTTCTGCCTCTGAGAATAATCCGAATTGTAATGGGAATCTCTTTCGTAGGAGTTGTTCGCTTTCTGCGGATAGTTCTTTCTGGGTCGATCGCTGTCCTGACTCGCCGAAGCAACGGCGCCATCCTTGTGGTAGTTGCGAGAGTGTTGGTAAAATTTTTGACGTTGATAAGGGGGAAGAGTCTGAGGGTCGCAGAAGTTGTCACGGAAGTCCGAGCTCGCTTTTTGGCGGTAATCACGAGGGACAAATTGGTTGTAATAAGAGCCACGGGAAGTTGTCTGATGGTCTTGTGAAGTATTGGAAGCTTGACAGCTGTTTCCAGTCGAATCTGAAAGAAAGAAAGCGAAATATTTTCTATCCAATAGAGAGTATGCACGGTAGTTTATCTCGAGTCGTTTTTATGAATCCGAAATTCCTCCGTCTTTTTTAAACTTCTATCTTATTGTCTCAGCATCATGAAATGATAATTTTGTAAATTTCACTTCGTTGCGTTTTTTTTGCGAACTGTACTTTCAGGAAAGAAGCCGTCGTTTTGAGAAGGAAAATGCATGTCACAATGAAATCCACAAACACAAGTACAGCCCAAAAATGGAAAATTGAAGCGCTACAGAACGGAAGCGAAGCTACAAGACGAATGAGGGTAAAACTGAAACTTACGAGAATCGAAAAGAGGATTGACAGCGGAGACCGCGAAACCACCATCGTTGGAGTTTCTGGCGACTGTTTCTCGGGGCTGTTCCCTTGCGGATTCCTTCGTTTCCACTTGACCATTTTCCTGGCTCACTCGGTTCGGTGCCACCGTCGCGACGACTAAAAGTCCCAATTTTTCATAAACTTCTTAAATTTGTAGACAAAGGTGATCGGAGGGATATTGCACACAGGCGAAAAAATTCGAATTTTCTTCAATTTCTTTCAATTTTTAAGGACTTCAGTCCGATTTTCGCGACTGGAGACTGCTGTTTTTCTCTGTGCCCTCCATGTCTCTCGGCGACTCTCTAAGGTTGACGTACTGTTTTCATATTTCTCTGACCTCGTCGGTGAGGGAATAGAGAGACGCAGACAGTCGAAAACTTTCTAGCCGCGGTGAACAGATTGTTTAAAAGGATAAAAAACTCAGTCATATTACCAGTTACTAAAATGAACTAGACCAGCTTTACTTCAGACAATTTTTTTTTCCATCTTGCCTATTTCCAATAAATCATCTTTCCCGTTTCATTAATCTGAACCAACTACTCAGCGATAATTTGAAACGAAGAAGATATTTCTGACCTGTAGATGGTTTCGATTCGACTGCAGGAACAGGCTGAGGCGGAGTAAACGCATAGAAAGTGTTGGACTGAAAAACATCGAGTGATAAAAAAAGTTGCACTGAAACATCGAAGTAGTTTTTTTTAGATTAGAAAAACTAGTTCAATTTAGTTTTGCGACCAAAAAGAGAGTTGAAAATTTCCATATTTTACAGCTTTTGTACTGTATCTATCGTTTTTCCTTCTCTCATTTAATTTTTTTTTTTGAAGGAAAATTTTTTGAGAGTGGGAGACATTGAACTTAATTTTGAGTAATGCATTTTTTCGCGTTTGTCATTGTTAACAAGGGAAGTGCAAAAAGACACAGTTTGAGAATTTGATGAAACTTTGGTGTTATGTACTTCCAGGTCCCCTGAATCGAGAACAAGAAAAAAATTTTACGCCTTTCGCCTTTTAGCGGAGTTATGGCCCCTCAAGAATATTGTAAGATTTTTTTTTTCTCGTTCTTCTACTTCTTCCGATTTTTTGCTTTCTGAGGCATAAGATTTTTTGGCTTCTAAAAATGCTCACGGATAGCCTGTTTACGCCAAAATCGATTAGAAGGCTCCGCTATATGAATTTATGAAATTTCATTTTCTCTTTTTTCCTTCATCTCATTACGGATACCCATACATAGGCAGACCATTTTTTAAGGCTGTCATAACCTGTCACAGAGTCTTTTTGAACTATAGTCAATACTACCTGGTGAAAGAATGTTAATATTTTTGTCAACTCTACTTTCTGAAGCTGAAACTCCTTTAGATGTCCTTTTTCTTGGACTTGTTGTATGCTGATTTTTGGAATTGCACAAGTTTGCGGATACCCAGTCAATAACTCTAATTTTATTATTTTTTTTTCACAAATTTCTGACATAAATGAAAAGACAGACTTGATTCAATACCTTGACAGACTCCGTGGGAAGATCATCGAGGAACGGGGAGGCGGAGCTCAGTTGCAGCTTCCTTGTGCTCTCTACAAGCACCGTCAACAGAAGCTGAAGTTTCGGCGGCGCCTAAGGAGAGGAAAAAGTTCCAAGCAAAAATAAGTATCAAACATTGCCCGTGAGTCTGGTGATAGCGCAAGCCTCGTTGAACAGCATCGTGATCTCGACGATTATTATCTGTTCACGAGCTTCAACTTCGAGTTGCTCTTCTCTGACCGAATCCCTGAAAATCCATCGGTTATCGATTGTTTCTAGTGTTCTTACCTTTCCGCAGTTTTCCTTTTGAAGGCTTTTTGCAAAGTTTTTACGTCCTCCAACTGAAAAAAAAATTGAGATTTTCTCACGTTAAAAATAATAAACTTTGGAGTTAAGAGGGAAGGATGAAACGAGGCAACTCATTTCTTTTGTTTTTAGAGCTGTTTGGAAACGTATACGAATGAGGAAGTATGACGAATAAGCGAAATTATTTTAACCTCAAACAGGTTCGGGTACGTTTTGCGCCCCACTGATAACGCCTGCCAAAATCAGAATTTTGATACTTCTCGTGAAATAGGTGATTCAGGCGTGTTTATTTCGAAAATCTGTGATTCAACTGTGCTGAAGCGGTGCCTCAGCCGGGGTGAAAATCATACGTCGGCAGGATCCCACCCTGGGGTGCGGCCTACCCCCCGAAAAGTGTGGCCTACCCCCCGAAAAGTGTGGCCTACCCCCCGAAAAGTGCGGCCTATCTCAGTACATTTTCAAATTTTTTTTTCGCGCGCAAAAGGCAGGGGGTGGGATCCAGCCGACGTATGGTGAAAATTACTACTTCTGATGAAACTTTGCTGAAAAAAATTTCACGTGCTTCCGATTCACAAAAATTCCAAGTCCGCAAAACACGAAAACTATGACAAAAAGCGCTATTTTATAATTTTGAAGGAAGTTACTAAAGTTCCAACAAACTTTTACCATTTCTCCTTTTTTCAAACAGCGATGAACCTTTTATATCTGACAGAGGAGGTCATTTCACTTTGCGGTTAGGATTTTGCTGGTCAGAACTCTCCTTGATGTACCAGGTGGAGATTCTGGAAGTCTCAAACTACACAACTTGCTAGTTTTCGAGAAGTAAAGCCCCAAAACAGCCTTTTTTATGGAGTTCTCTTTGACTTTGAGGCATCTCAAAGACTAGAACTTTGAGGCATCTCAAAAACTAGAAAGTTGTGCAGATTAAGACTCTCAGAAGTTTTTTCTGGTACATCAAGGAGTGTTCTGGGCGATTTTCAGGAAAACCCAACCACAAGGTAAAATGACTTCCTTGTGAGTGCTAACCTCAGCCTCCAAATGGAGCTTGCAAACGTCGCAGAACGTGTCGACCAACATTGTCGCGACGGCCAAATGATCCTGTGGGCCATCGAAGGATTTGATCGGCGATGAAGTCGAATTGTCAGCGTATTCGTACTGGAAACCCGCCATGAGTCATGGGAAAAATGCAAAGTAGACCTTGTGATAAGCAATCTTGGCGGCTTTTGAGAGCAATAATAAGTGCTCGACTATTTTAATAGCTTCGAAAGTACTGCTCGACCAGGATTCGAGGACTTTGAAGTTGCGCGACGGATCCAGGATCTGAAAAAAGGTCATCAAATAGAGGGGGGATCGGGAGAAATGTACCAAAATGAGCTGTTTCAGTAGCTCGGTGATGCCGGGGATGCGTTTTTTCGCAAAAGGTCTCCCACAGCTGTCGACCAAGGCCAGAGCGATTTTCTCCATGAGATCCTCGTCGCGCATTTTTGTTGCGACGCCTGAATCGGCAAGTTTTTCTCCCGATTTTTCAAGTTTGGAGCAAAAAATATAACATCGAAGCTAGGCAAAGAGTTCGTGAATTTTCTACATCGAAAAAAATTGAATTATCTTCAACTAAAATCGGGGAGGAGTATGTTTGAGAAAGGGAGATTTCCGGTTATTTTTGATTTTCTTCATCCTGGTCTCAAAATCATTTTTTCGCGCTCCTCGTCATTTTTGATTGATTTTTCTTACAGCATCTTGCCCTTAAACCGACTGTAGCGAAGATTTTCGTGAAAGTTAAGAACCTCAGGTTTTCTGAACTTACTCTATAGAATAATAAAGACCCGAAAACGGCAAAAAAAAAAATTCCGATTTTTTCCGAAAAGTCCTACTACCCAAATTCAAACACTCTCAAAAGCTTACGAATTATGAAGTCAAAATTTTCGTGGAATATACATCTAACTAGGGAACTGCGCAAACTCGTAATCGCGGTTTGAGTTCAAACTTTGGTGGTTTATAGACTTAAGTCAGAATACTTGAAAAAAAAGAGAAAATATCTGCTGAACCCGATAAAGAACTGAGAAAAAATTATTAAAAAATGTGAAAATTAGTCCTGAACGATTTTCAGAATGCTGCTTTTTACCTTATTTCATGTTTTAATACGATCGCCTTGAATGATCCGACTATGATAAACTCTAAAAAACTTTATTGTACTCTTACCCGGGTCTATAAGCTACCACAGTTTCAACTTGAAACGCGTACCCGAGCCCGAGTAGTTCCCTAGTAAGGAACCAGCAGGACAGGAAAAAAAAGGACAAAGAAACCAAAGGACCTTTGCGAAGTTGCAAAATGGCCAAGTCAACGTCGAAGAGGCCGAGTTCCATGAAGGACCGAAGGAAGCACTCGGCGGACGACGCCTTGGAGTCCGTGGCGATCTCGTCGAACTCTTCCTGTTGCTCCAGAGACAAGGCATTGTAGAAGCCGGAAGGAATCTGCGAGGACAAAGTTGAAGAAAACGGCCAGGATAGGGACGACAACTTGTAGTTTCGGAGAGCCCATCGCGCTGTGGAGAGAAGAAGTGACGGAGAACTTGAGCCACCAGGGAGACTTGTTCATCCGGCCGAGAAGAAAGTTGCGGGCTCCTTCTTCAAGAACGACTTCTTCCTCTGGAAGAGGTCAGGTGAGAGTTGGAGGAGGCTTCCAAGACGAACCGTTGAGCAGGGCGCCGACCTGCTTGATGATCTCGCGGCAAGTTTCGCTGATGCTGCTCTCGTGCTGGTCGTAGTAGATCAACGTTTCCAGAACAATGCCCAACAGTTCGGGCGTCGGCACGCACTCGCATTCTAAGAATAATAAAAATGGAAAGAATCATCAAGGTAAGCTTTTCAAAAACTTTCCTAACAGGTCATTTTACCTTGGAATTTCTAGAAAATCGGCCAGGACATTTCTTGATGTACCAGATGAAGATCCTAGAAGTCTCAACCTGCACAACTTCCTAGTTTACAAGAAATAAGGGCACAAAGCTCAAAATAGCCTATTTTATGAATTTTGAGGGATTTCTTTGACCTTGAGGCGTCTTTTCTCAAAAACGAGGAAGTTGTGCAGGTCGAGACTTCTTCTGATACATCAAGGAGCGTTCTGGCCAATTTTGAATGAAATCCCAATCGCAAAGTAAAAAGATCTCCCTTGTAAGCTTTAATCACTCGACTAGAACCTAAAAGGCGTACTTTTTCAAATTCTATGAATTTAGAAGCTCCTAAATACCTTTGTAATCAATAAATGTTCTGAAAAATTCGCAAAGAATCTAGATATGAACGCCTTTTTCCGTGTTATTTCGTTATGCAAGGCTTCTAATGAAAATTTTTAACAAGATTACCTGTCTCTCAAATTTTTTTCCCTCATTTCCTTTGGTGATATTCAAGTTGAATATTATCAAACTGTAGCCAAAGCTAACGAAATCAATAATTAAAAAAAAACATGAAAAAAGTGTCCAAATCCACATCAAAAAGTTATTGGAAGCCTGTTCTCAGTTTTTGAGATATATTTTTTTCGAATCTTCAATTTTTTCGTCAACTTTTAACTATCCCAGGAACAATGGAAACATAAATTTTTACAGCCCAAGTCATCAGATTTTCGAAGTTCTTAAATTCTTAGCATTTCTCTGCCTAAAGTTTTAAAAATCCAAAAAAAAACCTCCGCCCTGCTGACCAGACTCCGTTGCCCAAACAAACTGCGTATTTTTCGTTAGAGGTCCCGAAAAAGTCCTGAAAGAATGAAACTCATAAAAATGTATCGAATGATGCAAAAAGTTGTCTAGAAAACTCAGTAATTGAAAAAACCCCGCAAAATCCAAAAATGAAAGTTAAAAATGGTCTTTTTTTCAAACTTAGGCTAGTTTTATCGATTTAGTTTTGAAAAAAGAGCTCATTCATTTTCTAGGATCTACTTTGTCAGGGGGGCAACAAAGGAAGGCAATAAAGATATGGGAACCTGAGCAAAATTGTTAGAAGAATCTCCATTTTCATAGGTTTGAAGTGGAAAGTGACGAGATTTGGCAGGATAAAGTGGACAATCAGGTCGACCGCGTAGAGGAAAACTTCTTCGGTCGTTCCGGACGAGACTGAAAATTGACATTTTGCGAAAGTGCGGGAAAGAATCCACTCGGGCAGAGTCGGAATGGTGAATAATGGTCGCTAAAAAGGAGAGGCTCAAAAAACGCAGCAAAGAGGGTCCCTTCATCGAGCCTTCCATTTATCTCGGACTTCAAAGGCTCAAGAAATCGTAAAAAAAAAAGGAGAGGCAGCAAAAATGGTATATAAGGGGCGAGGAAATGGCGCAAAAAGGCAGCAAAAAGGAGCCTTTTTCCACTCTTTTTGTCTTTGCCTATGTAAAAGCTCCGCCAAATTCTAGATCCCATTTGGAAACGTTCATGAGCGAAATTGAAAATTTCGGAAAATTAATCATTTTTTTTTAGATCAAGGTGTTCGCAAGCCTGCCCTCATACATGGGATGAGCATGACTGGCGACTCCCTTCTCCCTTAGTCTCCCCCAACTTTACAAAATGAATTTTTTTGAATTTTTTTCAAGGTTCTTGCCTACCTCCACCTTTTTTCTCGTTTTTTTGCCAAGTCACCTTCCTTTTTTCCGGTCAAACCGAGACTATCCCATGTATGCCTGCCCTGAAACTTACCGGCGTCGTCCTTGGCCTTGATTTTGCGTTTTTTGATCAGCGACAGAGCCACGTAGCTGAAGTTCTGCTGCTGCTCGAAATTCAACCAACTGAGATGAGAAAAACGTTAAAAACGCTGGAAGCCTTGGACCTCACCGATTTTCCTGCGTTAAGAAGATATGCATGAGGACGAACACTAAGAGAGGCTTTGGTTTATCGTCTTTTCCCTCATAAACATCCACAAACTCCTTCCGGTAAAGAGACGGGAAGCAGCGCATTGTCTGCAAAATTATCAAATTTGAGGCCGTGGGCATGAAATTCTACGGAGCGTAAATGTGGTAGAATTTTACTGATTCAAGTAGGGAAACTCGAATTTTTTTTCCGTAAATGGTTTTTTTCTGCTTTTTCAAGTTTTTCCGATTCAGAGTCCTCACGTCAAGAAACCGCAAAAGACCGTTACGTCGCCTTTTTTGCCATTTTTGAAGTCAAAGTTGTGGTTAATACTGTACAAAAAACATTTTGCGAATGAAAAATCCGGTTAGAACTCAAATCTCTATTGGCACCTCAATTTGCTTTCCTGGAGCAGTTCTGCAAGGTCCCTTGAACAAGCTAAACTTGTCTTTTAGCTGCGCCCGACCTTGAGCGACTTATACCTTTTTTTTTGATCTTGAAAAGCTTTGAAACTACGTAAATTGCTTCGAGATTCTTCGACTGTTCTATTGAAAAATGAAGTGAAAGTATTTTTCATGAAGAAAAAAGTCCCAGGTTGAGAAAAGAAAAATCAAATTTTTCCTGTGAATTTTGTGAGTGAACTACCCAAGCTTGTTCCTGAACAAAAAAAAACTACTCATTTTTTTCCAACAGGATAAAATAAAGGAAATAGGTCAAAACGTTGTTTTGAATACCTAGGTTCTCAGAGCCCTAAATTTTTTTCCTTGATACCTTAACCACGCCGGGGACGATTTCTTTGTTGTCCAGACACTGCAAAAGCATCCGCTCGATCGTTAGAGCCGGTGAGGCGAATAAATACCAGAGGAGCTGGAAAATAGATAAAAATACATTAAAAAATGATATAATTTGAAAGCTTTGAACTAAAAAAGTGCTCGGGCAAAGTCGGAATGGTGTATAATGGCCGCTAAAAGGGAGAGGCTCAAAAAAGGTTGCAGGAAGGCAGCAAAGAGAGTCCCTTTATGGAGCCTTCCATTTTTCCGGGAATTTGAAGGCTCGAGAAATGGTGGAGATAGAGAGAGGCAACAAAAATGGTGCATAAGGGCTGGGAAAATGGAGCAAAAAGGCAGCAAAAAGAGAGCCTTCATCACCCTAAAAAGAACATTTTTCCGACTTTGCCTATGCCAGGAAGGCTGCAAAAAGAATCCCTTCAGCGAGCATTTCATTTTTTTTAGAACTTTGAAGGCTCAAAAATGGTGAAAAATGGGACCAAAAAGGGTCGAAAAAAGGGCTCCAAAGGGCAGCAAAAAGGGACCTTCCGACTTAGCCTATTCATAAAAAATATATTTCACTAAACCGACCTTTTCACGAGTCTCTTCAAACCGGGCCGAGTTGTTAATAATATCGTTGTGGTCGCCGATCTGATTGATCGCGTCGGACAAACCTTCATCGAAATTCTGCGAAAAAAATATATATTTCTTCCTTTTTCTATGGAAACCTCGACGAAAGGGCTCAAGTCGGGCAAATGTCTGTTTCCCTCGTTAACGTACCAATCGAGGAGTTTCTCATTTGTTTTTTCCTAAAAATCTCAGAAATTATAGAAAAAAGAAGGCGAATGGCACCTTGACATCCTGCGGAACCATCTGGAACACTTTTTGTAGAACTTTGGCGAAGGCTTTCTGGTTGACCTCATTTTTTCCGTCAACGACCTGCGGGTAGATATCAATAAGCCTGAATATTCAATATTTAAAGACGAGAAAATCTTCTAAGACCTCTGAAAAGTAGAATAAGCATCGTTATCGTCCAGAATAAAATCTGTTGGTTTCTGAATGAACGAGCTGATCGACTTCAAATCCGCGTTTTCCTTTTCCAGCTGTTTGAAGCACTGAAAATGGCAAGAACAGTGATAGGTTTTGCCATATTGAAATCAAATTTTGGACGAAAATTATTCGAATAGGAATCTTCTTCGAAAGAACATGAAAAATTGTACCTTTTTCGGAACCATTCTCACCTAAAAAAGTTATCACTTTATATGTATTTCCGTGAAATTTTTAAAAAATTCGTCACATAATTAATTATGCACTGACAAATTCGAAGCTCTTCAAGAACTCTTCGGTGCGTAGCGTTCGATCTTCCAAGGCCTTCTCGAAGCCGACGGCCGAGATGACGCCGTCGTCACGGGCGTACTGCAGGGCGCCACGTGGAGGCGGCGGCTCGCAGACCAATGGAGAGCCCTTCAAAAATTTTCAATGATCACGTATTTAAGTTTAAGGTAGTGCTGAGACAGCCACTGGCCATTCAATATAGTTTAATCAGATTAAAAAAGGAAAAGTTCCTCAAAAAGTTTTTTTTTTCAAAAAAGAGCTTCTGATGATCACCTACAGACCTTTTTCATTGTCTTCAATAATGCTGGAAGCAACAAAAGGTTTCAAAATAGGAGCTCAAAAGATCTCTCAGGCTCAAAAAAGAAAGGCCGCAAAAAAGCAGCAAAAAGAGTCCCATCGAACCATTCATTTTTCTGAGGCTCAGAGAATAGTGGAAAAAGGGAGAGGCAGCAAAAAAGGAAGCTTTCTCACCCTTAAAAGAACATTTCTGGAACCCTTTTTCCTCTTATTTCACGATCAACACATCAAAAAGCGAAAACTACAGGGAACAATTCTGAAGGTCATCATTGTACTTGAAATTCGAAATAAAAATTGGCTAAACATCAACTTTTAAAACCCTTACGACCTCTTAAGTTCATAAGATCAGTCACATAAGTATATAAATTTTTACTTTATGACTAGAAAAACTTTTTTTAAAAACGGCTATGTTATAAACCGGCCGCCTTGAACAAACTATGAAGTAGATTTATTTTTTTTTCTCACCCGAGTGAAGTAGGAGAAAACCAGGGGCTTCAGCGAGGACCAGTGTCGATCTTCTGAAAAACAGATATATTCGGAGATTTTTCTTCTTTGCGGACCTTTGGTCAAACTATAGGCCTTGCCGACGTCTTCTACAGTCTCATCGATGCACTTGTTGAGATCCTCGCTCTCAACTTGTGGGATGGAAGTCGTGCGGCCGATTTCGAAGAAGAGGGAAAGTCGTAGAGCGTACAATTTGAAGTCTTCGTTCGGCAGACTGCAAGAAACAAATATTTCGAATTTTCGTTCTGTTTTCAGTCTTTCAGAAGGGAAAATATTTCGCTTTGTGTTTCAAAGTTTTTCTGTAGTGCTTTTGAGAGTAGAACTTTCAAGAAAGGACCCTCAAAGGTAGCACTTCCGAAAGCGGAAGTTTAAAAAAAGGACCCTCAAAGGTTAGATTCTCGAGAATTAAAAGTTTTTCAGGTTGAAACTTTTAGGAATTCCATGTTTTAACTTCCAAAAAAATAAACCAAATTGACTTCGAAAAAATCTAGAAGCTTTCCTTTTCCGAATTCACACTTTTGAAAGAAAGAATATTTTGGGTTGAATTTTTGAGTTTTCTGAAAAATAAAACGCTTACTAAAGCTGAAATTTTTAGAAAGAACGACCCAAGGGCTCCTTTTCTCAACACCTTTTTAGAAACTATAGCTTTCAAGCTTAGGTTTTCGAGAACTAGAGGTTTTGTTTAAGTTGAGATTTACAGGATTTTTATTCATTCCCAAAACTATAGAAGCAAAACTTCAAAAAATCGAGACCGAAATGTTCCTTGTTCGCAGTTTTCAAGTTTAGTTTGATAGTAGAACCAAATTTTAAAACTTTTAAAAAATTTCGAATAAAATATATTACTTAAAATTGATACTTTTTCATAGGTTGAGCGGACAACTTTCAAGAGTCAGAATGAACATTCTATGACGAGGAATACAAAATATAAAACTAAAATAAAAACCTAAATTCTTTCAAAACGCGATTTTTTTTCAGTTACAGTTCAAAAAAGTGCTTGTCTTTTACGAAAACAGGAGTCTGAAAGCCATCGGACGCCGAAAAAATGAATCACCTCCCGCTCGTGGCAATCTTGGAGGAATACGTGGCGATGTCGTTGGAAGTGTGGAAGGCGAGGTCGGTGAGGACGGCGATGCACTCGGCGACATTCGTGTCGTCGTTGCACGCCGTTTTGACGACGTCTGAAGCCCTTCTTCTATCATTTTCACATCGATTTCTGCTGACCAAAAAGGGTCCTCGTGCCGCCGAACAAGTACTGATTTAGGGCTTCAAGGGAGTCCCAAATATCCAGTCCACCTCGGATTGTCGCATCCAATCGATTCAGCTGGAGAATTGATGTTCCTAATCAATTTTTTTTTGAATCCTCACCTCAGCCATGCAATTTTGCGAAGCTTGTGCCGACATGGCGTCTCACAACGAAGCTTTGTACGCGAAATGCAGTATATTTACTCTGAAATTAATGATTCTTGTTTTGTCTCAATGCGAAAAGACATTGAGGGATGTAGAACAAAATTTCCGAAGGACAAATCGTATTGGCGTGTTCATCGGAAAAACCAAACATGCTTTATACCAAAAATCGTGTTCATCGGCGCGCCAAAATTGCTACACAACGGTACTAATTTTTGTTTTGGAGCAATTTTTTGGCTTTTCGAAGCAATTTTCGTTTTTCCCGATGAACACGCCATATAAATCCATTCATTTCGCGAGATTTTCAGTTCTAATATAGTCTGATCAGATTTTGAATGTCAAGCCCTCGCTCAAGCTCCGCCCCTAATGGTGCGATAAACCAATCAGAGAGCGAGCCACTTACAGAGTGTTTTTGAATGACGTCATTGCACTTGACATTAAAAATCTGAACAGACTATAATCTTCAAAGTCAAACGCAACAGTCGAATGGGGGACGGTCGATTTCTGTAATATGAGCAAGCATTGATTTTTCCGTGATACGAGCGAGCATCATGCCGTGTTCATATAGTCTGTTCAGATTTCAAATGTCAAGCCCTCGCTCAAGCTCCGCCCCCTAATGACGCCATAAACCAATCAGAGAGCGAGCCACCCACAGAGCATTTTTTATTGACATCATTCTACTTGACATTCAAAATCTGAACGGGCTATATCAATTCAACAAAATTCAAAACAGCCGTCAGAGAGGGAAAAAGACAACTAAATATCGGAGATCCAGAGAGACTTTTGAGTTTCGCGGGAATTACTTTAACACGGTGAGGTTCTCTTTTTAAATGCATTTGAGAGAATTTATGCCAAAATCAACTTCATTTTAATCAGAGAAACCCAAAAAACCAACTTGGAAAGTCTCGATAAACAGTGAAAAGGGAATGATAATCAGGTCACAAATATCTTCTTATTCAAAAACCCACGCTCAAATTGAACATCACCTAGAAAAAAAGTGGTTTTGAACTACAGAAGCTGAAAAATACTTTTTTTGACCTTTTTATAAAATGAAGTAGAAAAATGAAATTCACAACAGCACGAAGAAGCAACCCCTAGCAACCGATCTCTCAATCGAACATTCCGCGCAACGAAAAAAAATGCGAAATTTTTGCCGTGTTCAAAGTAATTTCCGCGAAATGCAAAATGATCTCTGACTCTCCAAAATTTAGTGATCTTTTCCTTTCTCTAACGGGTATTTTGCATTTCGCGGAAATTACTTTGAACACGGCATTTGGGTCCCAGCGGCATATTGTCCGTGGCGCATTATTGCGCCCTTCTCATGGTTTCTGATGCAAAAATTGAATTTCTTCACTTTTTTTCTTGGTTTTTTACTTTTTTCTATTTCTTGCATTTATGTGATCCGCCTCTCTATGGGTACATCTTGTGGAGCTTTAAATTTCGCACTTTTCTAAACCAGTTTCAGATCTTTAACTTTTTTTCTCAAAAAGAGTTGAAGATTTTTTTCTAAAAAGTCCTAATTTTTTTCAAAAATTTTTGAAATCTGTTTCGCGACATGAAAAAGAGTCACTCTATTTCGGAAACTATAGTTTTTTTAATTTAATCAGTTAATAATAAAAAAAGTTATTATCTAGTTCCTTTGACGTAGTTTGAAACCGGTTTCGTGTAAATTAGAGCCAAATTGAATTTGCTGATGCAGTTTAATGATTTTGATATATGAATCATCTAAATTATATATTTTTTTCTAGTTTTTTGATGGTTTTTCGGATTTAAACAAAAATTTCGCCATACGAGGTTTTTTTTTCTAAAATTTCTGCTTTCTATCCATTATTTGTTTTTTTCTGAAGCTAGGTTTTTCGAGGTATATAAAATGTTTTTTTCATTTTCTCCTCGAATTTTTCCTCATTTCAATATTTTTTTCGTATTTATAAATGCTTATTCAATGGGAGCTGATTCACCTTCATATTATTTTTTGTTTTTATTTTGTAATCAGTAATTTAGAGTTTTCCCCTTTCGAAATCGTTCCTAAATGTTTTTTAACGTAAGTGAATTTTTTTTTCACATCATATTCTTCCAACTGACAAATTTCGAACATTTCAGGAGCTATTATCCTGAAATCGCAAATTATAAAATTGAAAAAAAACGTTTTGAGTATGCGATAGTGCGTCTCGGTGTGCTTACACCCTAAGCATCATAATTTACGAAAAGTCTTGACCTTGCGTAATGAAAAAAACACCGTGTACCATGGTGGTGCACCAGGTATAGTGAATTAACTACAACATTGCCTACGTGAATTACTATGATCATTGTTTTGAAAGATGTTGGAGAAAAGTGAAATTACTATAATTTTCTAACTAGGGAACGTTTTTTTTTAAAAATAGATTTCGTTTTCGAGTTGGGACACTTCAAAAGCTCAAAATAGCGCACTTTTGTCATAATTTGCGTGCGGACTCTGAAGCTCCAGAACTCGGAAACAAGATCTATCGCGAGAAATTGTTTTTTGTTCTGTTCTGGGATCAGGGGGTCCTATAGTACACTCCAGCAAAATTTCAGCAAAAAAATTCAACGGGGGGTTAAAACTTTTTCTGGTAAGTGTGCACGGAGTTTTTGGTGGGATCTACTCCAAAACAAAAAAAGAAACTGGAAGATGACGACAAAGAAAAATATGCACCTCAAAAAAACACATGAGGATATCTTAAATTTTTTTAAAAGTTTCTTGTAGTAAAATAAATTTGCGACTATGGGGCCGAAACTTCTTTCGAATTTAATCAAATTAGAAACTTCACACTCTTTTTTTCAGAGAAACGTTGTAAATACGGTGTGAACTTGAATATGTGAAATTGTTCATTAGCTTTTTTTATTTATTTGAAAAACCATAAGAAAATGAGCCGTTTTTCTATTTGAACGGAATTTCTCGTTGATGTTTCTAATTCAACGAGCGCAGAACTATCAATGATTCATCAAAATTTTGATATGTTATCGCGTTCAAAATCTCTATAATTTTTTTTCTTGGATTGAATAAAAAGATTCAAGACGAATATTGGTAAAAAATTCCTTGAAACTATAAAAAAACGCTTCAAGGATGGTCAAACTAGCCATATAAACAAAGGCGAAAAAAGGGTATCGAGTCAAAATATTTTTCCTGCAAGGCGAATCCAGATAAGAGAATGGGCGAGAGAGGAGGGAAAGGTTAGAGTTAGAGAAAAGGCAACAAAAGAGGGACGCCCCATTCTCCGAGAACGCATGTTGAGCATGCAACAGTTATAAATATTTTATTTCGCTTTCCATCCTTCTGATACCAGCTGTGGTCAATCCGTAAAGACTGTCTTTCTTAGGAGCTCCAGAGGGGTCTCTATAGTGGTTTTAGTTAGTGGCCCCTATAGGGATTTTTGTGAACTATGTGCGAAGAAGCATTTCCATGCGAAAAAATAAACAAAACACCTTGATTTTACCCCCATAGAGGCCACTTTTTCGGCCCCTATAGGGATTTTTTTCCCGCCTAACCCCTATAGGGACCGCTCTAAAAACCCCCAGGAAAGGTCATTTTTACGTAGTGTTCGGAATTTTCTATTAACTTGCTAAAACACCATCCGAAAAACTGGGAATCGATTCGGATAAGTGGCTATCTTCTTAAACGTCTAGTCTCGGAGACCCAATTTTCCAAAGTCTCAAAGTTGTTCTTTCAGGCCTGATTTTAAGCTATCAAAGAGGCTTAAAAATGAATTTCTGCACAGATAGCAGCTAGGCCTAAAAATTTCTAACATGTCAATGTTTGAAATCTAGGGAATTATAAAAATTTCCAAGAGATAATTGAGTAGAATAAAGTAAATGATGTGCCTAAAATTTAAAACTATCTTTGAAATTGACCAGAAAAAGTTAGTTTATAAGTTCATTTCGAAAAATTATCGGAACCTTTGGGTCGCTTGGTAGAATTTTAAAAAAAATCCGTGGTCAATTTAGCGGAATGAAAAAGAAAAAATTGAAAAATACTCGATTTTAAAATTATTTTCACTATGAAAAGATTTCTAAAAAGCTTTTTCTCAAAATAAACCAGAAGCTTGAAAATCGACAAAAAACACAAATCTCATCCATTTTACAATCATAATTATTTATTTCACGCAATAAATATGGACTAAAAGCAAATTTACACTTGAAACGAGCTAATCACTACAAAAAGACATTATGAGGTGAAGAGGGAAAAGGGACAAGTTAGAGTTTCGGGTTTCTGAAGTTGGTTCCCGCATAGACGGCCTCGGCGCCGAGTTCTTCCTCGATTCTCAGGAGCTGGTTGTACTTGGCAAGACGTTCCGAGCGGCACGGGGCGCCAGTTTTGATCTGAAGCCGAATCGTCAAAATGGGCGATTCAGATGAAGAGTTTTTGGACATACATTGATGGGGGAAACAATAGAAACACGCTGTGAAATTTGTTTTTTTCAATTTTTTGAAAAACTTATTGAAATAAAAAAGAAATGAAAATCAAAAAAAAGAGAGAAAAGATCATGTTTCTACCCCTTTTATGATCATTCGCAGACGGAAAAATGAGGATTTTTGAGAGTTCTCGGTAACGCAAAGACGACGTTTCTGAGCGTTTCTAGTGGCCACTCTAGCGGCTTCAGCTCCCTTAAGTGATCCCTAGAGTATATCAGCAATAACCGGGGCGCGTCCGTTTGCTCTACAGAGGACCCAGAACTCACATGTTTTGAGAATACCCAAGTTTTTGAGCTAGGCCTCATTGAAGCGTAATTTTCAAGGAAGGGGGGTCCAAAAAACTTGAGATTTCAACATTAGAAACTTTTTCAATTTCCCTTAATTACGTTATCTTCATCTCTCAAGTTCTCATATAGTAAAGTTCCATTCAAACCTGGCCGGTGGCGAGTCCGACGACGAGGTCGGCGATGAACGTGTCTTCGGTCTCGCCGGACCTGTGGGAGACCATCACGCCCCATCCGTTGGCGCGCGAGAGACGCGCGGCTTCGATCGACTCCGTCACGGATCCGATTTGGTTAACCTGTAAATAAACTCCTTTTCGTTTTAATCTGGGGTTCAGCTCAACCTTGAGCAGAAGGCAGTTGCAGCTCTTCTTGTCGATGGCGGTGCGGATGCGCTTGGGGTTGGTGACGGTCAAGTCGTCTCCGACGAGCTGGATGTTGGTCGATTGCTGAAGTCTCCGGTTTAAATTCTGTCACCTTCTCATAAACTAACGTGGAACTTGCCCCAGTTGTCCCAGTCGTCCTGGTCGAAGGCGTCTTCGATCGAGACGACGTCGTAGTCCTTGACGAACGACTGGTAGAGAGCCGCGAGCTCGTCACCAGAAAGCCACTGGAAATTGGAGATTATCGAAAAGTGTTAGAGTTGCTACCTTGGAAGAGTCCGAGTTGGGGTTCTTGAAGTCCAAGTCGTACTTTCCGTCCCTGTAGAACTCGCTGGCGGCGACGTCCATGCCGATGGAAATCTGCAACCGTTTTATAAATATTCATCAAAGAATGGATAAACCTTTCCAGTGTAGCCAGCCTTATCGATGGCCGTCTTGAGGAGGTCGAGGCCTTCCTTGTTGTCCTGGATGTTGGGGGCGAAGCCGCCTTCGTCTCCGACAGCGGTCGCGTCGAGACCATATCTGAAGGCTCTGAAATATTCTTTCCAGGTGGTCCGACCAACCGCTTCTTGATCTCAGCCTTGAGGTGATGGTAGACCTCCGAACCCATGCGCATAGCCTCCGAGAAGTTGGCAGCTCCAACAGGAAGGATCATGAACTCCTGAAAGAGACTGCATTTCCAGAAAGATCAGCTGCAGTGAACCTGCATGGCGAGCTTGTTGCCGGCGTGAGATCCTCCGTTGATCACGTTGAAGGCTGGGACGGGGAGGACGACCTTGAAAACTCATAACATGATCGGATCAAAACCAACTATCACCTTGTCAATTCCGGCCAACTCGGCGATGTACTTGTAGAGGGGGACGCCCTTGTGGACGGCGCCGGCCTTGGCGACAGCCAAAGAGACTCCGAGGATGGCGTTGGCGCCAAGGTTGGCCTTGTTCTCAGTGCCGTCCAGGGCGAGCATGAACTCGTCGATGTCCTTCTGCTGAGTCACGTCAAAGTTCTGAAAGAGCGTCGGGTTAGGGTAGTGCTTCGGGTTGGACAGAAGACCTTGGCGATGAGAGCCGGGGCGATCTTCTCGTTGATGTTGGAGACGGCCTTCAAAACTCCCTTTCCATGATGCACGGCCTTTTCTCCGTCGCGGAGCTCCAAGGCTTCGTAAATTCCGGTCGAAGCGCCAGACGGCACCGCCGCACGGAAAACACCTAAAAATTATCTTTAATGTTGTAAAACTTTTAATTTTTTTCAAACGGACCCTTGTCGGTGAAAAGGTCGACCTCGACCGTCGGATTTCCACGAGAATCGTAAATTTGACGGGCGTGAATCTTGGTGATCGGCATCTTCCTTAAACATTGTTTCTTTTTGCCAATTGAGAATTCACGGTCCGACGAAAACATAACAAAAAAATAGCGAAAAATGTTTAAAAAGAAAAAAATATTTTTCTTTGATTGGTAGTCTTTTTAATAATATCTTGTTAGGATCTTTGAAGCAAGACTCTAAAAAAAGCAAGATCTTGAGAGTTTGATGCAATTTTGTTGAAGAAAAAAACTATCCCAAAAGGTTTGGCGCCTCAAAGATCAACAAGTCCATGCGCGACAATTGAAAACATTTTCTGAGGTAAAAAAAAATAGAACTGTTTAAAAAAATTATATATTTTAAAAGCGAAGAGAAAGATCAAAAAATTTCGCAAGAAAAAAAAGGGCAAAAGCGTGTGAATGGAGCCGCGATTCAAATTGCATCATTGCACTGCGACAAAAAAAGAAATTCTATTTCTAGAAAAACTTCTTTCTGTCATTTTAAAATTTAGAAGTAAACTAAAATGAGAGGTAGAATGTAATGCCACGATTACACTCCGCATGATTATTTAAAAAGAAATTACATTTAAAACCAAACTTCATGAAATAGTTTTTTTTAAAGTTTCTGGCGAATCTAAAAATAATTGATAGCCAGAAAGAAGTTGAGTATTTGTTCAAATATTGCTAGATTTTTCCACAAGCATCAAAACGATTTTAAGGACGGGAATAAGCTATTTTCCGCGTTAGCCTTCAGAAGAGATTGTTGATCAGACTATACTCCAAAAAATGATCTTCGTGGGTCCTTTGAAAATCCTGATCAAACGATGTTATTGGAAAATTTATTTCGAGGTTCTTGAACTTCTTCGACGACAACATAATAATGACAATAATAAAACGACGGAGCTCAAGAACAGTTAAAAACGGACAACCATTATTGAAAAACAAGGGGAGATAACCGGTGGAAAGACGGGACAGCGCGTCTTGAGGCGAAACAAACAACTGCGTAGCGGCTGCCCACTGCATCGATGCAGTTGAGTTTTCGAGAGACCAATGCCGCGAAACATCTTTCTAGAACACCCAAACGCCGAACACGCCCCATTTTTGACAAACAAAACCGTCGCTTTTGTTTCGTCGGGATGGAGCGAAACTCGAGCTATTCTGACCCCTTTGATCTACTGGGACAAATGATTTTTTTTTTTGTTAAAATTTTCAGACTTTTCGGTAATTAAACGAAGTCTCGAAGATTGAAAAAAAGTTTCAAGAATATCAAAATCGAAGTTTTTACTGTTACTTCAATTTGACCAAGCTTTCAGCGCTTTCTACAGCAACTTATTTTATAAATTAAATCCATGAAATACTTCCAAACCGCGCTTTTACCTAAGCATTTATAAAATGAAAAAAACTATATTTTCAACTCGAAACATGATTTATATCAAAACTATAGGTAAAATCACAGGAACAGCCGTTCAAACGCCTGACTTAAGGGAAGCTCGGCAACAAAAAAAGTGGGAAGTTCCCGCCTTGTGCGAATCGATTGCTCCGTGGCGAACGTGCCAAACCGAAAAAAAATACACGAGCGCAGATTTACGTCAAATGAATCAGATAGAAATCAGAAAGTCGAAAAACTTTATTCATCATGAAAACGTGTAGTTGAAAGCCAAAGAAAACAAAAACAATGAACTTTGAAAAAATAGACCTACTCTAAAAACAAAATATTCATAAATATGATAAAATATGTAACATATGAGCAATCCTAAACAAATTCGGTTCAATTCCGGATCCGTGTGAACTTTTTCGTCTGTAGATTATAGCGCTTGTCAGGGTACCTGTAAAAAAAAGTCAGAAAAATCACCTGGTTGGAAATTTCAGAGTGGTTCCTATAGGGTTTAGAGGCCTTAAAAATGGAGCCTAGAAGGATAAAATCAAAATGGTTCCTGTAGGTGTTTAGAGCCTGACTCCTCAGCCCCTAAAGCTTGAGTGGTCCCTAGAGGGGATGCCCAATTTTATTCAAAAGATTTACTTTTTTAGTTTTTCGCATGGAGATGCTTCTTCGTATAAAGTTCATAAAAAATCATCGATTACCACGTCCCCAATAGGGACCAATTTTGCTAGCTCTAGTGGCCCCTATAGGGGTTGGTAAAGTGGTCACTGGACCCTCCACGGGCCCCTGTGGTTGCCCCTATAGGAAACTATCTGGATTTCCTAAAGGATGCGAGAAAAAAGATCAAAACTTTTTCTATATCTTCCTAGCTCTGAACAACCAATTACAATTCTTGATGGACATTCGGAAAATTAGATGTTTTGAAGGAGAAGAGAAAAAAAAACCTGTCCATCTGGCGGGCAACTTCGGGATCCCACGGCATGTCTTTGTCCACTTTCGAATATTCGAACGTCTGTAAAATAAGAAAAACATCAAGAAAACTTCTTAGAAAGTCCTACCTGATCTTCGTAATCAAACCAATCCTTTTTTGGTCTGAACTGTCTTAATAATCGTTTTTGTCGCAAAGAAAACACCTCGCCTCCGGTTCCAGGGAAAGCAGTAACACCTTAAAATTATTATATATGTAGCAGATTTCATAAGAAGAACAAGCTTCATTCAAGACTAAATATAATTCAAACCTAAATGTGAATTTGTAGCTCGATTTCAGCCCACTAGCAATAATTTTTTAAACCTTTTTCTCAGTCTTACACAATTGAAAAAAAAAACCTCTTTTTGAATTTTTTTCTACATAGGCAAGTCCACGAAGACTTGAAAAACAAGTTTTTAGAGAAAAAAAAAGAAATCGTAAATGGTTTCCTAGCCCCTTTTTCTACGACCTTGTCTTAAAAAAGCCCTACTAAAGAGAAAAAAAGGTTAGAAAAAAAGCGGAAACAAGTGCCTCAGAAAACGGGGAAAAAGCCGCAACAAAGATCCGATCGCAAAAAAGAGCTTAGAATACATTTTAACCACTTTTTTTAGGAACTTGAAAAGAATTTTTGAAAGATCTCAAAGGGTTTTTTAACTTTTCTCGTGCTCAAACTTTTTTAAATCGAAAACTCACCTCCGTGATACATTTCCGTGTCTTCTGGGTTGAAACGAACGGCCTGTTCTAGAATATGCACATTCTTCGGCTTATTCTCACTCCGAGCCATTCTGGCGAATATCATTTTGCAAAGAGCTTCAGATGAGCAATGCCTACTGTGAATAGCTTGTGATATTTTGAACAGGAGTTGAATAAAAGTCGACGACGTCCTTGACAGTTTCGAAATGAAGCAATTTAGCGTTCCCTGGCCAGTGGTTGAAAAGCCGGCCTAACTTGGTAAGCAACTGAAAATTAAGGATCAAGAGAGAAATATCGTGTTCCCAACCTCAAACTTCACTTCGTTCTTCCCATCTTCAAACTTGTATTCTAACACATCTTCCGTTTTTATTTTCGCCGCGGACAAAATTGACTTCGCAGCATTTTCTACCTTCTCCTGCACGTCAAGGCTCGGTGTGTAATTATGGCGATGTTTCAAAAAACTGCAAAAAAACTCGCTGTATTTGTTAAAGTTCGACCCATTAAAAATGATATTTACATCGAGGGGAAATGGAAAAAAAAAACTGTTGTTGAATCTCACCCTCGCGCTCTGATGGAGTCTGCATCCACTCGACTTTCCAGCAGGTCATCTGGATTGAAATAAACTTCCTGTCCACTGCTAGTTGCCTTCGAGGTTTCTGCAGAGCGGAGAGTCGGCAAAGCCTCACGAAGCTTGCTCTGAAAATCTATGATAAAAAAAACTTGTTGAAAGCACGATCTCGTCAAAATCAATTAAGATACCAATAAAATAAAAAAAACCTGTTCTTCTTTTGTCAATTGTGGGGTCGTCTCTTTGCTACGAGAAAATATTCCGCTAAGCAGATTTCCTTGCCGAACAAGCCTCGGTAGAGATCTCTGCATCTGCAAAGTTTTGCTTACTGCTTTACGGAAAAAAATTTAATTAAATCACGAGCATCACATCGATAAGTTAATAACGCAAAATGGAAATAATTTGTTGCAGCATTTGACTTTAAATTTTTACCGAAGCGGAAAACCTTATATTATTTTCGATAGAAAACAACTGATACGCTCGTAGTTCAAGTAAAAAGAAAAAGATTTTTAATTTGAAATCAACAGTAATGAAGAATGCAGAAAACTGGAGCCAAGTCTTTCTAATAACTTTTTATTAAAAAAAATGAGAGTATCTTATCAAAAAATCGCAAAAATAGCGGAGAAAAGTAACTTATGACTTCAGTTTTTTTCTCACTACTCCGTCTACAAAGAAATTCAATTACAATAAAGAAAAAATTGAAAAAAGTTAGAAACTTTTGAACTAACTTTTTGGTCATGTAGTTTTCCTACGCAGTGTGTACACCGTAGAGCGTCACAGTAAGCCTTCTGAAAGAAAATTTTTCGACTGAAAAAGTTTTGAATTATTTTCCGATTTAGAATCAATTTTTCATTCAGAGTCACATTAGTTATATCCGTAGGCGTGCCAAAACACGACGTCCTGCTTTGTAATCATGCCGTGACAGCGCCGTCGTCAAAAAGCAACTAGATAATGGAGCACACCCGCGCCATAATTAGAAGAGGGGGTGATGGGCCGGAAAAATAATAGAAATGGAAAAAAAAGGCAGTGAGAAAAAAAGGGCGACAGAATGACGCGGCTTCTATCTCGGGCATCTCGTAATTGACTTAAATGCAACGATGCGGCAACACTGAAGCATAGGAAACCGCCTGAAGGCCTACTGCAACCTTTTTGAACCACTTGGACACCCGGATTTCCGTTTCGTGTCACCGCCTAACTTCCATTGCAGCTCTTTTCAATTGATTCGCTACCGTAGGGTTCAACCTCCATTTTTTTTTTCTTAAATTTTCCCTGATCCTACTGTTTTCGTGTCCTTGCTTTCTCAGAATGTCAGGTAAATCTGGAATTATTCGTATCATATTTGCCGTAATTTGAATAAGAGTCGTACAATCATTCATACTTCCTTCGCGATTACTTAAAACAGTCCAATTTTTCTGCCTCATCTGATTATCGAGTTTGAATTGCACATTCAATTGTCTGTGACCTCGTCAATGAGAGAAAAGAGAGCGCAGACCGGTCAGACTGATTATAAGGAGGAGGTTTAGGGCGTTCAGCATTCTCAGCAGGACCATAGTGACCCCTATAGTATCTTTAGAAACGCCAGAGTGGGCCCTATAGTATCTTTAGAAACGCCAGAGTGGGCCCTATAGTATCCTTAGGAACGCCAAAGCGGCCCCTATAATATCCTAAGGAACACCATAGTGGTCCCTATAGCGGTTGCGCAAAAAATAGTCCCTTCAGGGGGCAAAAAAGTGCCCCTTATTAGGGAAAAGTGTAGGTGGTCATAATAGGTGTTTAGGATCTGACCCTTGAGCCTTTAAAGCTCAAGTGGTCCCTACAGGGTCTTTTATTTTGTTTTCCAGAATTGAGAGTTTAAAAGACAAACTTGTTCTGTTGATATTTTCCTTTTCAAAATTGCTAATTTATTGAGTTTTTCGCATGGAGATGCTTCTTCTCATAGAGTTCATAATTCGTTCAGTATTCTTAGGAGCTCCATAGTGCCCCCTATAGTATCCTTAGGAACGCCTGAGTGGTCCCTATAGGAGTTGCAGGAAAAGTAGCCCCTACAGGGGGCAAAAAAATGCCCCTTATTAGGGAAAAGTTTAGGTGGTCCCAATAGGGGTTTAGAGTCTGACTTTTAATCCCTCGAAGTTCAAGTGGTTCTCAATTTTTTTTTTTCGAGTTTTGATAATTTAAAAGACAAACTTGTTCTGTTGATATTTTTCTTTTAAAAATTGCTAATTTATTGAGTTTTTCGCATGCATAAAATACATAAAATCGACTGGAAAGTCTCTTATAGGGGCCACTTTTGCGAGTTTTAGCGATCCCTAGAGGGTTACTTTAAGGAGCTCTAAGGAGCCCCTAAGTTCCTAAGTTCAGTCCGTTCCATTACAGTTAGCTATTACAAAAGCCTCTGATTGGTTGGTCACGCCTTTTCCGAACTTTCAAAGAGTCACTCAGCAACGTTGTTCGATCAAGCGAACTTGAGAAGCTAGGCGAACAGAAATAGTCTTCAAGACCTGCGAATCTATTCTTATTCATGTAGCTTGAGTACATTTTCCGCTTCCTTATTAACTGAGGCGGAACAAAAACATTGAGCTATAATTGAGAGAGCATACTCCACATCGTCCCATCATACATCTTTGACTTTTCCTGGCTGGAGCTGCCGATTTCAACTGGGAACTCTTGATCGCTGGTGTCTGGCTCTTTTTTACGAGCCGAGTGTCCTTTTGGTGTAGCTACCCTTCTGAGGGCGGAATCAGGTTCAGAAGAGTGCCAGAAGCGTTTTTCTCGCACTCGCCACGAGCTTCACCACTTTTCCAATTATGCCGAATTCCGCTTGGTTTCGCGCACGGCTCCGCCTCCACACTTGATGACGTCACTTGACGCCATTTAAAAGCGATCCTTACCGGGTAAGGATCGCTTTTAAGGCTTACCCTAATTAGGTGTTAGATTGTCTCACGGATCACCTTGTTTTTAGATTTGATTTTTACGGTTCTCTTTTTCTCGGAAATTTCGAGCCAATTTCAGTATTAGTCTCCCTTTTATTACAGAAAATCTGTTCTTAGATAGAGTTATGGTCTCATTGAAACTCTACTTATTTCAGGGAAACATGGCCCAAACTCATGAAGGGCCATTTCCACTGTTAAATGAAGCCAACTTCAAATTCTGAGCTTCTGAAAAAACCCGTAAGCTGCTTTGAATCGACTACACTCCGCTCGATTCGAAAAACAAATCCTTGATTTTTTTGTTCTACTTAATTAATAATTTACACCTATACCTTTTGAAAATGACGATTTTCCAGACTACCTTTTCAAGTATTGCTGAGCTCACAAGAAAGGTTTTCACCTGTAAAATTTTTGCAAGTGAACTTTAAAAGCGTTTTTTCGTCTGACGATTCTTGAACTCTTGAATATTGAGAAGTCATTATTTTGAATATCTGCCAACTTGATATCCAAATTAATGCGTTAGCGACGTAATCCATTTACGTTCCACTTTTTTTTGATTCTTTTTCCTATTTCATTCCGATTCCAAAAACAAGTTAACGATTCCCATTGGGACCTTCTTTTCCCGTGATTCACTGACACATCCCCTTTCTTATTCATTGATATCAAGAACTTGAACTTCTGCTATGACGCAAAAAAAATTGTTGCATAGAAAAAGCCGTTATTAATAATGTTTGGAAGGCTCTCCGCCCGCGCACTTTCAGGCTTTCGACGAAGCTAATCGCACTACTAGCGACCAAGATTAGATCTCATCCTTGATGAAACTTCCCTTGAGCTTTATTCAATAAGTAACTTCGAGATCTACCTTCCGATCCTGGAGGCAGACTTTATTGCAATGATCCACCCACAAAGCAAACTTCTGATTTGTTTTCATGAATCCATTTAAATTCCACCTGCTTTCTCCAGAGAGCGACTTTTTTCTCTTGCTTATGGAATTTTTCTGAATTTTTCCAGCTCAAGTTATTTTTTCATTTCTTTTCCTTGTGAGAATCCAGTCAAGCAAATCATAATTCACTCGCGTTTGGCCCTACTTTTTGTTCGTTGAATATTTAATTCTCAATAGACTAATTATGGATGACTCTCCGTATTTCTCCCTTTCAATTATTTTTCCCGTTTTTCATTCATTCTATTTTGCCAAGTACAAAATTTGGCTTCCGTATTTTTCCACATTTTCTTGTCAGTTGCAGACCGATTCGAGCCTCCCTTTCTTTCCATTCATCGCAAACGTACTCGAGTTGGACTTTTTTAATTGCGTGTTTGTTTCAGGCAGCGTTTTCGCATCCCTTTAAAAACTAATTTGTATGTTTGAAGAAAATAGGCATTTCATTTTTGTAGTTAAAGTTTGGCTACAGTCAGTGAATCTACTCTTGCTTAGAATGATCATGAGCTCGGTTTTTACTATGGGACTTATTCCGCTTCGCTTATAACGTTGTTCGTTCTTTCCCAAATTCTTTGAATATCTCCAGGTAACAAAAAAAGATGCGTCGGGCGTGGTTGCTGACGCTGTTGGCGGTACTGGTAGCACACGTGGCCGCACGACCCTACGTCCTCGTCAGAAGGTTCTCCATGCCGGGCACCGTCCTCCAGAGAGTCCTGGCCTCGGAGAAGGCGCCCGCATTGTTCCGCATCCGCAAGTCCATTCCGGACGGCTACTTCACCGAGTTCGCCGTCGACGACGAGCACATGGACCGTCAGAGGAGAGGTCAGCCGATCGCCGACTACACCGACGAGTTTTCTGCCGACCCATTCGAGGTTTGAACTGGGTAATTTAGTTCTTATGGATCATGTTCTTTTGTAACGACTTATGAGGGACTGAGAAAATTTTTAGTGGCCACTATAGTAGTCAAATTAGTGGCCACTTGAGGGGTTAAAACTTAGTGGCCACTATAAGTGCTACTACTAGACCACTAAAAATTTTAGTGGCCACTTTAGGGGTCAATGGATCAACATAACTGTTCCTATATGCTTGTTTTAAAATTATCAGAGTTACTGGAAGGAATAATGGATGAAAAACTACTGAAGCGGCCACTAAATAAAGAACCTCCATAGTGGACCCTAAAACGGAAAATAGTGGCCACTATAGAGGTAGATTTAGTAGCCACTTTAGTGTCCTCTCCAAGTAGTCCTTCGCGAACCTCTATAGTGGCTACTAAAAATTTTCCCAGGAAGTTTTCTTAAATTTATTTTTGTAGATATATATTTTAAAAGTTCGCGTTCAACACAGAATTAGAAAATTTCAACTTTGAGTATCCATACCTCCTAGAATAAAATTTTGCGAAATTAGCCACTATGGCGATCTCCTTCTACACCATCTGAAAAAATTCTAAACTTAAAACAAATGTTCAATGTTCAGCTGAGAATTCTGCAAGTGTCAACCTGCACAACTCGTTATTTTTTGCCTAGAAAACCAATTTGCAAACGCCCTCAGAGGTGTCGGTTCTCGAATTTCTGTAGATTGACACTTCCAGGAACTCAGTCTTATACTTCAACGAGTATTTCCATGTTGTCAAAATTATCCATTCTGTGAATAGTTTCTATATATATAGTCTGTGTACCGCGAATTGGAATTTCACCGAACGACATTCCGCTGTTCCGCTGCGTGCGTTCGCGAAGCGTCTTTCTAATCTGAATCGCGCTTTCAGTTTATTTTTATTGCTGTGGGAGCATATGAAAGTAGAGTACCTTGAAAAAAGAAAAAAAATTTAAAAGCGCGACCAAGGTTCGCAAAGGCGCGCAGCGGAACAGCGTAATGTCGTTCGGTGAAATTCCAAGTCGTGGTACACAGGCTATATATAGAAACTATTCACAGAACGGACAACTTTGACAACACGGAACTCGTTGATGTAGAAGATTAAGTTCTTGGAAGTGTCAATCTGCAGAAATTCGAGAACCGACACAATATAACCCCGAACCGTAGTTTGACGTGCCTGTCAAGAAAATGAAGTAGATTGCAGATCCCACGACATCCGATGAGGAAACCTCGCTGAATTTGCGCTCACTTATATAGCTAGAAGACCTCCTCCAGTCCAGCCCGTCCATCCGGAAACACCAACGACAGATCGCCCGTTGCCTTACGACCCAAATAAATAAATAAATTGATTTTTGCTACCTTGCGTGCTTCAGCACATGAACCGACGTAGTTTTGGATTTGATTATCTTTCAATTTTCTTCCAATTTCGCCAAATCTTATCTTTCTACTTTATTTACTTTCCTAGATCTCTCTCTCTCTTTCTCTCCCCCTCACACTCGTGTATTGATCTCGATAAACTTTTTTTGTTTTGGGTAAATTTCTGTGGTTTATTGAGAAAAAGAACGTTTTGAACATTGTGGTTAATAAAGAATTCGACGACCGAGCACATTTTTCGAACGCAGTTTTCTAAAAAGGCAACTAGGTTTCCGCTTCAATGACATAGGCAAAGTCGGAAGGACCCTTTACGGGATTTCTGAGCGTCAGTTGTGGATCAAAAGGTTCGATTAATTTTTTCTAAACGGGTGGCAATGGTTTCTTTTTTTTCTATCTTTTTTCCGTCCTGTCATCATCCTTCATCCACCCTTTTTGGACCATTTTAGGAAATACAAAATTTTTCAAATTGAAAATATTCTTTATAAATGACTGTGTACGAACCGGAATGTGCTACAGTAAAATCGGAAATCATCAATGGTCGAGACTTTCAGCACCCTCTTTGCACCCCTTTTGCGGCCTCTCTCTTCTTTCACCCGTTTTTGAGGCTTTTAAGCCCACCAAGAAAGAAAGGCTGTAAAGGCCCAAAACGGAACCCTTTTAGCGGCCATTTTGCAGCCTTTTTCCGCATTTCCGATTTAGGCAGTGCGGATTTGGTTTTGTAGTCTTGTTACCACCGTGTTACTGTTCAAAATGTTTGAAACATAGCGGTTGAATTTAAAATTCCGCTTTCGGTACTGCATAAGCAAAGTCGAAAGGTTCGAAAAAGGCTCCGAAAAGGCTCCTTTTTTGCTGCCTTTTTGCGGCATTTTATCGGCTCTTGTACACCATTTTTGCTGCCTCTCCCTTTTTCCACCAATTTTCGAAAGTTTGAAATTCTAGAAAAGAGCCTTTTTTTTCTGCCTTTTTGCAGCCTTTTGCAGCCTTTTTGTTACCTTTTTGTTACCTGTTTGCTGCCTTTCTGCGGCCTTTTTTGAGCCTCTCCTCTTCAGCGGTCATTATCCACTATTCCGCAAGATCTTCAGCGTGTTTTTAAATGCTACACGATGCTTTCAAGAGCAAGCATTTTTTATGCGTATGAAAATTTTCCAACTCTCAAAAAACCTCTTATAGAAGCTGAAGTTCACCTGCCCGGGAGCGGAAGCTAATCTGACCCATTCAAGCATTGTTAATTCGGGAAGGAGATAAGAAAAGGGTAACTAACTATGTGCGGAAATAACGAAGAGTACAAGGATAGAAGAACAATGGAGGTGTTCTTCTTCCGCCGGCATGGCAACCATCGATCTGGCTCGCCGCCGACGGTTATCTGCGAGTCTCCTCTTCGCAGGCCGATGCAACCCATCACCCGGCGGATTCTCAACCGTTCTCAGACCGCCGCTTCTTCTGGACTCGTCCCACTTGATGGCGACCGACGCGTTAATAGGTTCGTGTCCGATTAGAAGCCTTACTTCGCCTCGAAGGCTTCAGCTTCAACTGATTATCTCAAATCAACCATTCTTCTTCTTTTTATCAAATTATCTCAGACATTGGTAACGCAAAACGGACGTTTCTGGGCGATTCTAGGGATCACTTAAGAGTGCTGAGGCCACTAAAGTGGTCACTAGAAATGCCCCAACACGTCCGATTTGCGTTACCAAGGTCCGAGATGTAGATTCCCTACAGTTTTTCCACAAGAACCCACTTTGAACTCGGACTTCTACTACCACATTCTATCAAATCGCTGCCAAAAAATCACTATTAACGTGAACCTCTCAATAGCAAACTGAACTGAAACGCACCTTTTCCGGTTAATTGCTGAATTTTTTTGAAATGGACTTTTGGACTTTTTCGAAGTCCGATTCAAAAACAGCTTTTTTAATTTATGGCTTCTCGGCACGCAAATTCAGCGTGTCCAGAGGCCATTTTTTCCTGTCGCCAGCACAGGTTCAATGACGTCAGATTTTTGAAACATGCAATTTTTTAATTTTTCAAAATATAGTTTGATTTTTGATGTTTCTAGTTTCAGATCCCACTCAGCCAGCGCCGGCTCACTACTTCCTCCATCTTCAAGCGCATCCACAAGCTCACATCCCAATGTATGTACTTTAAAAGTTTCTGGATCATCGTCGTAAACTTGCGAGCAAATTAAAAAAAGAAAAAGCTTGAGTGAGAAATTTTTTTACGAAAAAGGGGCTTTTCCTCTGAAGCACTGGCAAAGTCGGAAAAGCCCTTTGAGCGTCCGTTTTGGGTCCAAAAGGTTCCATTAATTGTTCCTAAACGGGTTCCTTTTTACAGCCTTTTTCCATCCTGTCATCGGCCTTTATCCACCCTTTTTGGACCAGTTTGCGGAACACAAAACTTTTTAAATTGAGAAAATTATTTACCAACATGAACCTAAATGTGCTACAGTAATAAAATCAGAAATCATCATCGGCCAAGATTTTCAGCACCCTTTTTTGAGGCATTTCAGCCCACCAAGAATGAAAAGCCTAATAAAGACTGCAAAACGGAACCCATTTAGCGGCCATTTTGCACGCGTTTTCCGCACTTCCGACTTTGGCAGTGTGAAAAGTTCCGGAAAAAGTAGAATTTTTGAAGTCTAGAAAACTCGGACAAAAGTTCCTTTTCCAGGCTTCTCATTTCCAGTAATTTCCGTTGCACAACCCTGCTAGGTTTAGATATCAAAAGATTGAAAAAGTCCCGTTCTTTTTCAAACTCAGAGGATTAACGGATAAAGTTACCTTCAATCTCTTCGGGAAAACTATAAAAAGTATTAAAAAATGAAATTTTTCAGCTGATCTGCGTTGAGTCAAAAAGTGGGACTCACTCACTGGAAAGCAGTTCTGCGGGAAGGAAAGGCGTAAAAATGACGCTTTGCCGGACTCCGTCGTGCAGCGAAAGGCACGTCTTCAAGGTAGATCTTTCTGGATTCTGGAAAAGGTGTTAGTTTTAAAGGTACTGGAATATCTGCACATGTGCAATGTCGACATCGACACGACGCTTCTTTGTTCTCGCGGCATTCGCTACGTTATCTCGTGTGGTAGGTTCAGAAAAACTACTATCAATGTTTTTGGCCTTCTGAAATCACTCAAAAGGAAGGGTTCGGTTGGCATTTTCCTGAAAGTTGGCTAGAACACTCCTTGATAGACCAGAAGAACATCCTGAAAGTCTCAACCTCCACAACTTCCTAGTTTTTAAGAAAGGACACCTAAGACTCAAAGAAAATCCTCAAAATTCATAAAAATAGGTTATTTTAGGCTTTTAAAACCTTATTTCTCGAAAACTAGGAAATTATGCAGGTTAAGACGTTCAAAGTCGTCTTCTGGTATAGCTGATTCACGGCTGGTTTGAGCCATCGAGAAAAGGGTCCTGCCACGAAAAGTGACGAGACAGTGCCCTGGTTGGTGGAGAGTGCAGACAGTCCCCGCCTTTTTGCGTCCCAAGCTAGCCGTGAATCGTCTATAAATCAAGGAGTGTTCAGGCCAATTTTCACAAAAATCCCAGCCGCTGAGTAAAATGACCTTCCTTGTCAGAAGAAGCCTAGAATCTTTAGTTTTTGGAAATTTTTCAAGTCGTGGAAATTTTATATTATTTTCAACATCAACCAGGAGTTATAAATCCACTTTTTTAAAATAAAAACTTGAATCCTATACTTTTTTTCTTTCTTATTGACAATGTATCTTATACTCGCCAGTCGCGAAAAAAATTCGCAAACGTCTGAATCTCTTATTTTTGCTCAATGCTTCGCTAATCGCCTAAATACTTCCATTTCAAGCCACGGTTAATGAACTATTTCGAACCAAACACCAAGAAGGTTTTTTTCAACTCATCCTTTTTATTCCAATAATCTGACATAATAGGCAGGAAAAATTTCATCCCGTGTCGAAAAAAGTTGGATTCTAAAAACTTCCCTACAGTCTATAGTAGCAGTTCTAACCCTAATATTACCGATTCTGGGCGATATTTCGTGGAGAAACGTTTCAAACGCTTTCCCAATACGACCAGAATTCTTTCAAGTTCTCGAAAATGTGTCCATAGAAAATCCATAAATCAAATCAACTTGAAGGTAGAAGCAGATCTCTGAAGAGATCGACGTCGTTTGAATGTTTGCCCGTCGAGACTCCCGTCATCTTCGAGTTCGACTTGGACCAAGATGCTCCACCTCAGGCAGGCTTCAGTTGTTCCAAAAACTTTACTTTTCCATATTTTCCTTGTAAGGACAATTTTCCAATGGATAAATGCTCTGAAGCAGTCTAAAAAATATTATACTTCTCATATAGAGTTGGAAAGACGCCTACAAACATTGTATCTTCATATACAACTACAATACTTTCTCTTCCTTCACAAATTATCGTCGATTACAGAAACTGGTGAACAAGTTCTCGGAAGTAAACCAAGTGATAGCCGAAGCACGACAGAAAGCTTCTCAGGTGATGATAATAGACCCTCGACGGAGATTAGGTGAGTAACGTCTTCTTACCGCTTGAGCGGCGTCGGCGCCCAAAGTCGATTAGCCGAGTGATCCCTATAGGGTAGGGTTAAAAAGGTCCTGGGGTTTTAGGGTCTGACCCCTTAGTCCCACAAGTGGACCCTACAGAAGGCTTCAACGGCCCTTATAGGGGTTGGTAAAGTGGCTCCTAGAGCGAAACTTTAAGGGTTCCAAAGGTTGACCTTATAGGGACCACTCCGGAGTTCCTAAGGGTGTCAGAAGGGCCCGAAAAGATCCTGCAGAGCGGCTTCTCCCCTTTACCCACCTCCACCTGCCCAACTTCTCATAGTGACAACTCCAGGGACGACGCTCGCCATCCAGCACATCATGTGGTACTACGAACTGGACGTCGAGCGGGCTCTTGGACACTGGAGAAAAGTCTCGGGAAGCAAGGAGGGTCTCACGCCCAACTGCATGCACTCGCTCACTCTCTGGCAAAAGTCTTTGGTTTGTTCTGGAGATGTGACTCAATGGGAAAGAAAACATGGATAGGAATCTGGGGCGAATGACAAACGCAAACAGTTCGCCAGTCGGAAGCCGTTCAGTGAGGAGGGAACTAAGCGGTCTCAATGGAAGTGACTTGAACGTTGAAGTTGTAGTTTTTTGTCTCTTCTTGTCCTTCTAAGCTATAAAATTCCGTCCCTCGAACAATCAGAATTTTTTTTTATACCCATTAAAATTTTGTGAAAGTTTTGAGGCTTTAAAAAAGTCAAGAGTATGCTATCAAAATTTTCCAAAAGTCTATTTTTTTTTCTTAATATTCATGCGGATTGTAGCCTGGTAACCTTTTTTATGTCAAAAAAATTCCAATTTTTTTTCAAAATGCAAATTTTTTCTCTATAGTTTAAAACTTCTTCTGGTTCCTCTAACAGTAGTATTCCTGTATAACCAAGCAAACAAAATATCAAATTTGCTTCTTTTTTCTTCATTTTTTTGCCTTTTTCGTGCCCTTCCCAATTTACTGGTTGCCATTGTTGAATCTCGCTTTTTTCGATTTTTGCTTGTTTCTTTGACTTATCCTCGATTCATAGCGAAAAATTAAGGCGTGAATCCGATAATAAGTCTTTTTCTTCTTTTTTTTGCCTTGTGAGCAGAAATGTATTTTGGATCATGTATTTTCTCTTTTTGAATAATTGTGAACAGTTTTTCATTGTGAAACGTCAGATTATGGACAATAAAAATAAAGTTGCTTTCGAACCTAACGACGCAGGGCGGCAGGCTTCGCGAACTCGTACTCCGGCCGAACTTGAGCTTTTGGCGCCAGCTTTTGCTTCCACGTCTCGAACTCCCTCTGAAGTTTTCGATAGTCACTTATTGTCCAATTGTCATGTTTTTCAAGAACTCCCTAGAGGGAGCAGTCTGGAGTTGGTTGGCCTTTTCAAAGCCCGCTGAAGCAAAATTCGCAAACTATGCAAAAAAAAGGAAAGCCTTTGATTGTCCTTTTCTCATGTCTTGTGTTTTGTCACGAGTGGGTTTTGACTAGGTGGGTTTTGGAAGGTGTGATAAAACGGACGGAAGATGATAAGAAACGAATTCCTCGCTGATATTTACAAGGCGATAGGCGACGAAATTATGGCGAAAAGTTATGGGTTCTTTTTGTATTGCAGCTTTTTGTGGTCTTGTATAGTCCGTTCGCTGCGACTTGACATTTTTCGAATGTCTACGTTTCTCTGTTCTCTCACCGGCGAGGTTGGAGACATGAAAATTGCACTTCAAAATGAGAGGGTCGCCGAGAGACGAGGAGGGCGTAGAGAAAAACAGCAGTTCCCATCGCGGAAAACAAAGTATACCTTGAAAAACCTTCCAAACCGCTTTTTAAAAATATTTGCTAGAACTGAAGTAAATGACGGGTAAACGTGTAACTGAAAATGGCTCTTCGTTGCGAGACCTTAAATAATCATAAGAAAATATCTCTAAAAAACTAGACTGCTCAGGCACATTTCAGAGGAGGTTGGAAGGTGAATGGAAACCGGAAGGTCTTGGAAAGGCCTTTGGAAGGTGTTCGAAAGGTAGTTGGAAGGTCTTAGAAAGGTAAAAATGGGAAATTCCTGCCAGAAGTTTTCCAGAAGCCTGCTGGAAGGCTTTTAGCAGGCTGTAGAAAGTGTTGGGAAGGTTTTATATGGAAGGCATTTGACCACTTGCTGGAAAGCTTCTAAAAGCCTTCCGAGGAACCGAAAGCAGAATCTTCCTAATTTTCACCTGAGTAAAAATTTAGCAAGATTCAGTATCTTCCAAAAGTTTGCAGCCTATCAAGAATACTCAAAATAAAATTTACCCAAGCAGATTTCTCAATTTCGTGCAACTTTTCCTTGGACTTCTTCTCCGCTAACAGCTTCATTTTCCACTCCGGAACGCCGGGTTTTGAAAACTGAACGAAAAATCAATTAACGGCAACAGTTAACAGTCGAAAAACCTGCGGGTAAAAAAATTCCGGCGAGAAATGGACCTTCGAAGAAGCAATCAATCGCTTTGTCTGTGAAATTTCTACGTAGAAAGAGAAAAAAGTGGACTCACATTTTCGTACATTTCCTCTATTGATTTTTCACGGTTCTTATTCACATTTTGTACGTTCGATCCGACGGTTACACTGAAAAAATACAAAACTTAAAATCAAAAACGCAAATTTTTTTTCGACTTGAGAATGTATGAAATTTAAAAATTGAACAATCAGTCCTGAACTTCTCTAATTTAAGTGAATGAGACGCAAAAATAAGTCGAAAAGAACTGAAATGGGCTCTTCGCTTCGGGACCTATAACTTTTTCCGGTGCTCCTTTTTAAAGTTTTTTTTTAAATTTGTTTAAAAACACTCGATTAGTGAAATCAGAGAAAGTTGTTTTGTTCTTTTTGCTCGGAGCTCAAATGAAATTACTAGCTCAAAACGTAAACATGAGAATATAACTGTTAAAGGCCGTTTCGGGCCAGCTTGTCCCGTTTTTTTTTTTCTAGAGCAAAAAAGGTGTTTTCACGGTATCTAATATTCTGCCGTGCTATTAAAACGTGACCTTCTCGAGCAAAAAAAAAATTCAAGAAATGGAGAACGAGTATCACCGCCCCTGATTCTTGCTAGAAAATAAGAAATGGAGGCCTGACTTCCAAACTTCCAACCAACCTTTTCAAATCTTCAACTATCTCATTTTCGAGAATCGGTACTCGGGCAGGCGAGTTTCTGTTCACGGACTGTGCTTTAGCCCGATCCAAGGAAGACCCGCTATCTAAACAAAAATGAGCCCTTTTTCGATTCTTTCAAAAACTGACATGTGGAGGCGCGACTTGAAGTGGCCTCTTCGGCTTCTTCTCGCGATGCATAGGGCTTGAAGGTTAGGTTGAAGCTCTGAAAAAAAAATCATAGGCAAAGGATCATCAGACCGTTTTAAATTCTCATTTGCGGTCAGTTTCCTAACGGAATTTTCTCAAAAATCTCCCCCCTATCGAATAAATTAACTTCTAGATTCTAGATTTTACCGTCTTCACCGATTCTCTCCAAGTAAACTTCACACTTTCCGCTTTTTAAGAATTAATACCTTCCGCTTTTTTTTTCTCATGTGACGTCATGAAAAACAAGCAGGAATATTAAAGGCGCATGTTTAATGGGTCATGAGACGAATCGTTTTATCATTTTGAAAAAAAACGCAATTTTTCTGGTGCCATGTTCAAAGAAATTTAGCAAAATTCAAAACAGCCGCCAGAAAATGAAAAATATAAATTAATTTCGGAAATGTAGAGATTCACGGCGTTTTTTTTTATCACTAAGAATAACTGAAGAGATAAACGCGAGGTCGGTGGCGGTACATAGACGAACTCGCAAACATCTCGCTTTTTTCTAGGCGCGATCTCGCATTTCTCTCGGCGCGACCTCGCATTTTTCTTGGCGCCAGAAAAATGCGAGACCGGCGCGAGAAAAAAAAGCGAGATGTTTGCGAGCTCGTCAATGTACCGCCAGTGTCTCGCGTTTATCTCGGCAGTTATTCTTAGTGATTACGCAAGGTCAAGACTTCTCGTAAATTAGGATGCTTAGGGTGTAAGCACACCGAGACGCACCATCGCATACTCAAAATTGTTTTTTTCAATTTTTAGAATTTGCACTTTTCGGATAAGAACTTCTGAAATGTTCGAAATCTTGTCAGTTTGAAGAATATGATGTGAAAAAAACATTCACTTACGTTAAAAAAATTTAGGAACGATTTCGGAAGGGGAAAACTCTAAATTACTGATTACAAAATAAAAAAACAAAAAAAATATTACGAAGGTGAATCAGCTCCCATTGAATAAGAAATTGTAAATACGAAAAATATTGAAATGAGAAAATTTCGAGGAGCAAATGAAAAAAGAAACATTTTATATACTCTGGAAACCTAGCTTCAGAAAAACAAATAATGGATAGAAAGCAGAAATTTCAGAGAAAAAAAAACCTCGTATGGCGAAATGTTTGTTTAAATGCGAAAAACCATAAAAGAACTAGAAAAAAAAAATATAATTTAGGTGATTCATATCACAAAATATTCAAACTGCATCAGCAAATTCAGTTTGGCTTTAATTTACACGAAACTGGTTTCAAACTACGCCCATAGGTAAAACGGGAAAGTTCCTTTGAGGATCCTTAAAGGATCCTGAGAGGGAGATAAAAAGCTTCCTTTAAAAGCTCCTAAAATGATGTAAAAAAGCTTTTGAGCACCTTTTTCATAGCCTCGGAGGATCCTTTTTGAATCCACTCGAATCTTTTTGGTTTCTTTCCAGCATCCTTTTTGTCAGAGGATGTGAAAAAGATGCAAAAAAGAATTTAAATGATGTAAAAAAGATCTGCTGGGGACCCTTTCAAGGTCTTTTTTTGAGAAAAGCTTTTGGGGATCTTTTCAGTTTTGCCCGAGCCAAAGGAACTGGATAATAACTTGTACTCATAGAAAAAACGTTAAAAGACGTATTAATGAAGAAAAAAGCAAAAAATATGCTTTTTTTCAATTAACTCTTTCCGTAAATCTTGCGAGAGCTTTAAAGGGTGGGTCTTGTATTCCAAAAACGGGTCCTGAACAGATCAAAACTACTGCTGCCGTACGATTAACGGCGCCCGCCCATGGCATTTTTTTTCTGCATTTTCTTTCACTGACAAGAACGCCGTGAATTATTTCGAACTTCGCCGAAATTTCTTTGAACATGGCATGTACGAAAGCGCTGGAGTGCTTGCACACTACACACTACACTTTACGGAAAAAAAAAATATAGGCGGGGCGTCTTCAAAAAAACGCCGTAAAGGACCAATTATTCAACTATAGCCGATTCACGGCTAACTTGGGACGCTAGGAGGCGTGGTTTGTCTTCGCTCTCCACCAACCAGGCACTGTCTCTGCTCTTTTCGTGGCAGGACCCTTTTCTCGATAGTTCAAGCCAGCCGTGAATCAGCTATAACTTTTTTCTTGTACATAACCTAATTCTTCATTTAAATCTCGTTCTGCGAATGAACCTTGAATTAATAGTATAAAAAAAAATAATAACTTCAACTTTCTGCTTCAATTCGTGAAACGGGATCGCGGCATTTTGCAAGACGTTGTCCAATTCGTTCAATATTTCCTCACTCTCCACAACCGTGTCTCGTCGAACACGTTGGTTACTACAAAAAAAAGAACGTCACACTGAATTCATTACATTGGAGTGGAATACCTAGAATGCGGGAATTTATTGCTCATTCAAACAAAGTCGAGTGGTAAAATCTCTCAGAAAAAGGCAAACAGACTGGCCAAAGACGGGGAAAGTTCTGGAAAAGAGAAACCAAACCTCAGCTGCGGTTTTTCGTTTGTATAATCGGGGGGCGGGTCGCGTCTGTAGATATTGCCGACGTGTCGATAGTCTGAAAAGGTTAGGTATAGTGAAAAAAGGGTTGAGGAAGGTCGTATCACGTGAAAATTCGCATAAAAATGAACTTTTATGCCTCTATTAGATGTATAAAAAAAATTAGAAAGTATTTTGGGTGTGATGAACTTTAAAGTATCATTCAAAGCCCGTAAAAAATGTTCAAAAGTTTAAACGACTTTTTAATTCTAGAAAACAAACCCCAACTGCCTTCACAAAAAAATTTCGAAATTCGAAAAGCTGACAAGGTTTTAAAGTTATAACACAAGTGAATGAGGTTTACAAAAAAAGCGAACACCGTGTTCAAAGTAATTTCCGCGAAATGAAAAATTGTCTCTGACTCTTCAAAATGTAGTTACCTTTTTTCCTGAGTTTGGATTTCGCGGAATCACTTTGAAAAAATCAAAAAAGGATCCGAGCTCAAATTGTGTTATCCATAGAGCACAGATTAACGCAGAAAATTAACAAAAAAATGACTGATTAACTGTGAAAATTTTTAGTGGGTTAGTATAGCACTTAGACCTCTATAGTGGCCACTAAAACCTCAAAACCCTATAGTGGCCACTAAATATTTTCCCAGTCCCGCTTTTTCTTCAGCTTGAAGCAAAATCTTCGATGCTTTGAAAGTTTTTTTTAAATCCTGTATTAATTGACCTAACCCTCCTTAACTTAATTTTCAAGCATCTTTTCCCAGCGACCCTAAATTTCTTTACTTCGCATTGAAGAAGACCAAGACCTTTGCTCGAAGGCTTGACGCGAATGGTATAGTCGACAGGAGGTTCAGGCACTGGCATCAAATATCGAGGAGGCATCGTAGAACCTTCTCCGAGCCTCGGCTGACTGTCCGGCCTCGACATTATTTCCAACGGACTCGGCGGGAAATGAGCAGTAAAATGCGGGGCTCTTATCAATTTACAAGGTAAACATTTGTCGCATTCGTTATTATTACTGGAGACGGCTTTTAGCACGGGTGGGCGTTATTCTAATGACAGAAAAAGTAAATACTGAAAAAAAGGATCCCACACGAAGGCGAGTCATGAAACTGATCAATTTTCAACCTATTTTTTTAACTCAAGCTCATTTTTTAGTTTTGATCTAGCTAGGAAAAGAAAAATCGCCAAAGAGTGTACTTAGGGACTCCAGAGTGGCCCCTGTAGGGTCTACCTTAGGCGCGTTTGGAGGGTCCCCTCTAGAGACCACTTTACTAACCCCTATAGGGACCACTAAAGCTTGAAAAAGTGGCCCCTATAGAAAAAATTCTAGTCGATAATTTTTATGAACTCTTTGCGAAGACGCATTACCATGGGAAAAACTGAATAAATAAGCGTTTTTTGAATAGAAAGAACCCTATAGGGTCCACTTGAGTTTAGGGGCTGAGGGGTCAGACCCTAAACCCCTATATGGACCATCTTAATTGTGCCACTATAGGGACCACTTTTTCAGCCCCAAGAGGGGCTGTTTTTCCTTCTAACCCCTTTAGGGACCACTCTGAAACTCCTAAGTAGTTTCGATCCCCCAAGTGGTCACTCGGTTCTTTCTCTCTTTTTCACTCCGTTCTCTCGCCGAAAGCTTCATGGAGAAGCATTTCGATTTCTTTTTTTTTAGGGAATATATGATTCCGCCACAAAAACATAAGTTTTTATATGTTATATTTCTCATATTTTGAATTAGAAACCATTATTCATTAACAAATCTCATAGTGATTTCGGAAATTTTCAACAGTTTTATATTTCTTTTTTCCAAATGTATTGAGCCGTGTGACACATTTTTCCTCATTATTAACTTTTGGATTAACTTATTTCTGTCGTTTTCTTTTACGCTTTATCTTTGTAAAAAGCCAGAAAACGTTCAAAAAAAAAAATTCTAGTAGTCAAAATGAGCAAAGTGTAAAGATGCCAACTCTCTTATCTCTACAGGTCAACTGGTCAGCCTCTTATAGTTTATGGGGTGCTTGTGGTGTTTTTCGCTTTCGGAATTGATTTACGTTTTTTTCTCTGTAAATACATTTTTTTACTTCGATTTAGAAAAAAATGAAACTTGAAAGCTTTGCAAGTTTCCAAACAAAAAGGTTGAAGTTAAAGAGTAAATGATAATTAATCAAAAAGCCATCCAAAAAAATTGTCAACCAGCATTTTTAGTCTTCTAAAAAAACGAGTTGCAATTTTTAATTATTCTTGCGTAAATCTAAATAACTATTAAGGAAAAAAATATTCCGTTCAAAATGCTCTATGAGACCTTGCAAGAACTCTAACCTATAGGCCATATTTTCTTCTATGAAGGTCGAATTTTGATTTTTCGTTTTTAAAAAATAAGAGTTTGTCAAGGATAACGAAAATGATGCTCAAAATTTCGCCTCTCAAGGCGTTGTGGGCGTTTTTGAATATAAATTAACAACGCGCGAAAAAAAAAGCTTCTTTTTCACGAATGGTACGGCAAAATCTCAAGTCTGGAATATTAACGACCGTAATATTGTGTATGCAGATCCCAAGGCCAATAATCTTGGAGACTAAAAACTTGGAAAGCAAAAACATCGCTTTTGCGAAGAGATTTCATCAGAAATTGTATTCGGTGATTCAAACAAGAGCACATGAGTAGAAAAAGTGCGGTAACTAAGGCGAAAACAAGAGCGTTTTGCTTTTCCAAGATTTCGGTCTCCAAGATTTTGGCTTACAAGATTATGGGCCTTAGGATCTGCGTACACAAGATTACGAGCTTTAAGATTTACGGACTTCAGATTTTGTCGTACATCTTTTCAATCACCTTTTAAAATAAGAAATGATTATTCGAATATTAAAGATCAATGGAACCGGCATATTTTGACAACAACGCGACGACACCTTTAGATCCGAGTGTGATGTCATCAATGCGCGATGCGTTCGATCTCTGGGCAAATCCTTCCAGTAACAACTCAAATGGTAAAGAACGAGTATAGTCGGTTTTGAACACCAATTTAGGATATTTATGTTCACAAAAGCTTTTCGACGTGTTTTTTGACAGTTTTAATTGTATTATTTGTTTTCATTGAGTTTTTTAGCGTGTTTTTCGAAAGTTTTCACAAGTTGAATGTCTTGAAAGTCGCAATAGTTTTGTAATTTTCGAGAAAAAGAGCTCAAACTATTCTAGAAAGCCTATACAGTGCCTACTTTAGGATCTTTACACTTAGGAAAACTGGTCGACGCATTTTTTCATTTTTTGTATTCTGGATTTTTTCTAATTTTTTTACGAGTATTATTGAGGTACCAAGATTTGAAAATTCTCAATGGTTCTCCATTCTTCAAAAAAAAGAGCTTATACAGTGTCTACTCTAGGGTTTTTATAATCAAGAAAACTTTTCGACGCATTTTTTGCACTCGGGAGATTTTTTCATGTTTTACAAATAAGATCAAATTGAGAACTTGTTTTAGAAAAAAGGCTGAAAGCTTCCGAGAAAGCCTCTCTAATTTCTTGAAGACGTCAGTTCTTGCAAACTTAGAATTTTCGAGGCTTTCAGAACCTTCATCAGTACATCTGATAGACTTTTAAAAAAATCCAAAGTGGAAAAAAAAAACAATATATAACTGCACCTATATATTTTTTGATTCACGAAAAGGAAAATTCATGAAAATATAGACCTTCTGGATCCATAATAAAACAAAGGATAAATTGAAAGCTTTCAAACAAATAATCAGGAAAATTAAAAACATACTTCGCTTGCAGCGAGAAAAACAGCGTTGGCCATCTCAGAAGCGCGGCGAGAGATTGGGAAGATGTTCCAGGTGACGTCGGACGACGTCATCTTCACTTCTGGAGGCACAGAGGTTTCACGTCTTCATTATTCTACAATTTTCCAAGCTTTAGAGCAACAACTGGGTGATCGATTCTGCCGTAAGACTTCACAAGTATAACAAAAGGGTGGGAAAGCCTCACGTGGTGACGTCATCCATCGAGCATCCGGCCATCAAGGAGCCTCTGCTTCGCAGGCTGCGAGATGAAGAAATCGGTCTAGAATCTTTTTTTTACTGTTGAATGGAAGTTAGCTCACAGATGTGACATTCGTGGAAGTTTCGCCTGAAACAGGAGCCGTGAGAGTAGAAGACGTCCTGACGGCGATGACGTCATCAACCTGTCTGGTCACCATCATGCTGGCCAACAACGAAACTGGGGTACTGCAGCCAGTCGCCGAAATCGGCGTTTCAGTACGATCCAAGTTCGGCAACAGCGTGTTCATCCACACCGACGCCGCCCAAGCCGTGGGAAAGATTGCGATCAGCATTCCTGATCTCCATGTCGATGCTCTTACTGTAGTCGGACACAAGGTAAGGCAACCAAGTTATTATTAAAAATGATAATCTCAGTTCTACGGTCCACGTAACGGAGCCCTAGTACTGCGATCAAGAGCCGAAGTCGCTCTGGAACCTCTTTTTCTCGGCGGCAACCAAGAGTTTGGCCTTCGATCTGGGTGCGAAAATATATATACCAATGAAAATATCCATTTCCAGCACGGAGAACACTCCGATGGTCGTCGGACTGGGACAGGCGGCCCGGGTTTTCAACGAGGCGTCGGAAGAAATCGAACAAAGGCTGAGGGGCACGCGCGACTACTTCGAGGCTCAGTTGAAGGTAAGCAAGATCCAAAAAAAAAGTTACAAGAGAGTTCATCTGAGGAGAGTATCCAGGATAATCTATAGCTGATTCACGGCGCGCTTGAGCCCTCGAAAAAAGGGTCCTGACACGATAATGCACGAGATAGTGCTTGGCTCGTGGAGGGCTCAGACAGGTCACCTCAGCGTCCCAAGATATTTTCGATGTGATTTTTTATTGAAGTGCGAGAAAAATATCTGATAACTTCTTTCAAAGATTTGATTTTTCGAAAATAAGAAATGTTGGTTTCACAACTGATTTGATAACGCCAGCTCAAGAGATCACGAAAAACTTAAAATTTAATTTTTTGCGCAAAAAGAGAAATTCAGAAAATTTCTCCTAGTGTTTTGGCAAATTGACGGAAACCACCCCTTTTTATAAAATTCGGTCAAAATCTCCTTGAAGTACTGGATTAAAATCTTATTTTTTTCGAATGAACGTCTTAAAGTTCTAGTTTCTAACAGAATGTCAAGAGCTTTTTGAAAATTAAGGCGGATGCTTTTAAGACCTTCATAAAAAACCAAGTGAATATATAATCTGTTAACATTTTAAATGTCAAACCGCTAATTCCGCCCTTTTTCGCGTCGATATTCTATCGCGCGGGATCATTTTTGATCATTTTTGCTCTAAAAGATAGCAAAAGAAGACAAAAGCAGCCTTATTAAAGGTTCATCGTCATCTGGAGATAAAAAATTGACGCGAGAGATATTGTAGCCTAAAAATCTGAGCTACATCTCTCTTTTCGAAAAGTACTCAGTCCAGGAATGCCTCGGCGACGAACACAAAGTCCATTTTGGCGCCTCGCCACGTCTCCCGAACACGAGTAGCGTCGCGTTTCTGAACTACGAACCTCACTCGTGCCATCTCATTGAAAAGTATGATAATAGCTGATTCACGGCGGGCTTGAGCCATCGAGAAAAGGGTCCTGACAATATTCTAGTCGTGGAGAGCCCAGACAGGCCACGCCGTTAGCGTCCCAAGCTAGCTGTGAATCGGCTATAAAGATTTACAACAAAATCATTTTCGCTCAGTTGCAAAACCTTTTCGGCGAGTACCGGCGCGGCTTGTCACAAATCGGAGTGCAGGTTGCATTATTCCTAACTTCTAGGGTTGAAAGTTCAACTTCAGTCCGATCCTGACAGCTTGCGGGATCCCGTTCAGCATCGCTTCCAAAACAGTTCGCTTCAGTTTCGGCCGGAGTACAACCAAAGAGGAGGTTTCGATTCAAATTTGCTTCCGAAAGATTTCCATGCATTTCAGGTGGATCTTGCTGTCGCAGAACTCGTTTCTCTGACATCGAGAAGCAAAAAATGATTTATAACGAGCTTTAAAATGAATAATTTATAACAACTATCTGTAAATTTGCACTAAAGATACCCTAGACGATTTTCTGGCGGATCAGCCCTTTCATCATGTCGAAGGTGTTGCCGTCGTCGGTAATCGAGAAAACCTGATGAATGGGGTTTTGAAAGAGTCGCCGAGCCAAATGCACACCTTTCCCGAGTTTTCCTTGCTGCGGACCTCCAAAAACCCGTTTTCGTCAAGTCCCCGGATCATCACCTTCTCACCAATGTCTTGGAGGTAGACCTCCTCGTAACTGAAAACTCATATTTCAAAATTGAAACTAGAAGATTTCCAACTTATGCAACCAATACTCGTAATATTTCCTGCGGAATCGCTCGCCGCCGTTGTTTTCAAAGTCAGTCATCCAATCTGAAAACAAGATTTCTTGAAATTTTGCCTTCTGAATCCGCACATTGGAATCGATTCAGAGATTCTGCGATGAGTTCCTCCACGTTGATCTTGTTCTCCGAGTCCTTCGGCAACATATCGTTCAGGCAAACCGTCGGCTTTTCATTCCAAACATTGATACCAGCACCTGAGATTATAATTGAAGACGTTGAGGTGAGAAAAAAAAAACCGATGGATATTAAAAAACCGTCATCGCGGGTGTTCACTGCAGCCAGCATGCCTCCAACCTTTAAAAAAATCCTTGTATTCGATTTTTTATTTTTTTTGTATTCGAGAAAACTTTTTGCCTGGAACTTTCCTTTCCTACTCTCCCCAGGATGAACTAAGGAAATATGTTTCTTTCTATAACTAAAATATAAATAAATTATTGAAGCTCAAATGAACTTTTTGCTTGAAATAAATCTTAGCCCAACCTTGTGAGACCGATTGAAGTAGAAATCGTTGGGCCATTTGATGCGCAGAGGGAAATGTTCTTCGCCGGACAGCCTGTGCGCCGCTTCGACGAGAGCCACGCAGAAAACGTGCTAAAAGGTTATTACAAATTTATATATATATATATATATATATAGCTTTACTTTTTCTAGCTTATTCTAGAACCTTCTACACTTTCTCTTTATGACTTCATCTTCATAAATCTCTCTCTTAGAGTCAGAACATTCCAAATTACTCCTGATGTTTCATATTAAACTAGAACCTTCTAAGTTATTCTGGGAACTTCTTTCTTTTTCAGGAAGGAATTTTCAAGTTTCTGGAATGTTCTACCTTATACTGAAGCTTCAATAACCTTTAAATTCCGCCGCCCCATAATCTTCGGGATCTCGTCCTTCAGCATTATAACCTTATTTCAAAAGGTCTATTTTCTAGTTACCAACTTATATTCAATTATAGTCTGTTCATTTTTTGAATTTCAACGACGTCATTGGAAAACGCTCTGTGGATGGCTCGTTCTCTGATTGGTTTATCGCGCCACTAGGGGCGGAGCTTGAGCGACGACTTGAAATTCAAGATCTGAACAAACTGCGTCTCCACTGGCCACCTTTCTAACAAAAATTGAGAATTTTCCGGTTTTACAAAAGCAAAGAAAACCTGAATGATAGACAGGGAAGATCCTAGGCGTGACCTTCTTGGAATTCGAAACGCGAAAGTGAACATTGCAACGCCAGTCGGCGACAGAAATTCATTTCCTCCTCTTCCTGTGAATAGGGAAATTCATAAATTATTCTCATTTCAACTAGAACCTCGTCCTTTTGTTTGATGATCAGCAACAACTAAAACGTTTTCCAGGGATGGAATCGCATCACAAATACTGGAAAAACTAGAAAATTTTGAATATTTCCCCTAGGAACCTGCTGCAAACGTCCATGGTGGTCGTAGCGACAGGAACATGCAGAACAACTTTTCCCAACTTGCACTTGAGTTTGTCGAAAAAGGCATCGAAATTGAACGAACAACCTTGAGGAGGCTTCTTTCTGGAATGATATCAAACTAGAATCGGGCCAATACTTTCAGCAAAAATATTGAAATATTGCCACCTCCGCTTATGAGAACTGCTCGGACAGTCGGAATGGTTGATAATGGTCGCTAAAAGGCTCAAAAAAGTTCGCAGAAAGGCAGCAAAACTCCGACTTTACCTAATGTTTGAAATTATTTCACAACAAGCTCCAAAACTTTAGAAGAAATTTTACAACTTCAAGTTTTTCAAATCACATATATCTATGGAGACTAACTGTTCTGAAATAGATCAAAATTTCAAACACTTGAGATTTATTTCACGAACGCTTTTAAAGCAAAGAAATCAAAAAATTCCCGTTTCCAAAACCCTTAGAATAAAGTGAATTTTCTGGTTATATGTTTACTATACTCTTTCAAAACTCTCCAAAACCTCATCCTCTAAAAATTCAATAATGCTTTAAAATATCGAGTATTGTATTATGTTCAAACTCTATACTATTAAATCCGAAACATTTGAGTCTCAACAAGTATCAAAAAACCAACCTGGAATGAATTTCAATCGGAAGCAAGGACGTGGAGGGCGTCGGCAAGCCTTCCTCTTCAGCGATTTCCGCCTTTCGGAGGAAAACTTTCGGCCAACCTCCGATTTTCTCTCCGTATCTAATACCCTGAAGCAGCGCATTTAATATCAATGGTTAATTTAGAAAAAAAACCGTGATTTCCTCAAGAATGCTGTCAAATTCGGCTAGAAGGAAACCTTTGGTGAGGGGGACGCATTCGATGTCCTGCACCTTCACTCCGACACTTTGAAGAGAATCTCGGAGCAAGTTGCTGTCTGAAGAAATTCCCAGTAGCCTTTTTCAATTTTAACTCATAAAATTTCTTATGAGACGTGTTTTTGGTCTCTGGTCAACATTAGAAAGGAATCAAAACTCCTCTCAAACTTTCTTTTTCCAATAAAAATGGAAAAATCCGAAATCAAGAATCTGAAGCAAGGCTCAATAATTATCGTCGTCCCACGGTAATGAGTGAAAAAAATTAAACTTTGAAAAAAATTCACGAAAATTTTTCGAATATAACTAAAATGTAGCGGTACGCAGGAACATCTCTTTTAAAATATCAAGTAAAAAAACGATTTTTGGTTGGATGTAATTGAATTCAGTTGATTTCAAACTGTTTACTTCATTTTTTCCAGAGTTAAAAGGTATGAGCGAATTAACAAAAACATTTTTTATCGCAAAAATAATTTGAAGTTACGCGCTTTTTCGAAAATTCTGCAGACTTTTGGAATCTACGTTCGAATCTTCGACAGCTAGGGAGCACTGGTAAACAAAAGGACGGTTAGAGTAAAAACACTTCCTCTTATTTTTTTCTAAATAACAAAGGTCTCTGTGAAAAAAACGATTTACCGACAAAAAAAGAGAAAGACTGAAATTCCCCTATTAATTTTTTTATCCCCTCTTTTCTTATGTAATGAGGTTTTTATGAGAAGATTCAGGTAGGAAAGAACACATTTCCGTGTAAAAAAGATTAATTGAATTTGTTTATAGCTTCGCGAAAATTGCAGAAAATCATTTTCCACATTATTTCACGACCTATAACCTCGAATTTTGTAAGTATAACTTCCGTAAACCCACTGGGAGCCATCAGTTGTTCCGTAGTCGCGTCAGAGAAAACAGCTGAAGCCAAATGAGATTCGCTGTTGTGCATGTACAATAAAAGGGGCGTTTCTAAAGTTCAAACTTTCCAAATTTCTTGATTACGTCACAAAAACCTTTCTCCTTCTTAAAAACAACGGTAAACCGGGCATCTGCGGAGATTTCCTTGGAGCGGAAGGTCTCGTTGATGTTGTTGCTCTTGGCCAAATGTTTCAGACACTTTTTCAAAAACTTGGCGAATTCCTTGTTGGTTTCTTCGAGTTTCGTCTTTCCGCCAAAGGCTAGTCTTAGCATGTCCGCCTAGGAAAAAGTTTCAGTTTCAAATTGGGGAATTTAAATATTTACTTGTTGTTTGCTAGAATCGCAGTGGGTGAGGCTGGATAGAAGTTTATTCTGGCAAACGAAAATGATTTTGCCTTTCTGCAAAAGGAGAAAGTTCACAATTTATCATAACATTCGGAATAAAACGGTTTTTTTTATATTTCTTTAAAATGGTTTTATAATGGTAGAGAATGGCTGAAAAGGTTTATATATAGGCATAGTCGAAAACAGTGGAAAAAGGCTCCTTAGAAATGTTCCTTTCAGAGTGAAAAAGGATACTTTTTTGCTGCATTTTTGCGCCATTTCATCGGCTTTTTCGCACCATTTTTGCAGCCTCTCCCTTTTTCCACCATTTCTCGAGCCTTCAAAATCCCAGAATAATGAAAGTCTCGACGAAGGGACTATTTTTGCTGCCTTTTTGCGGCTTTTTTTGAGCCTCTCCCTTCTAACGGCCATTATCCACCATTCCGGGTTTACCCGAGTAACATTTTCAGCGAAATGCTTCAAAAATGGTGAAAAACATTTTGAAATGTTAAAAAAAGTTTTTCTCATATCAAAACAGTGAACCAGCCTATTAAAATGTTCATATGATTCAAAATAGTCCTTTCATCCCCTTTTCAACAAATAAACTACACCTGGTTAAAGTAGGACTGCATCTTCCCCCAAGAAACATCGTCCAACTCTTTGGTGGAAGCGACGATGACGCACATCTGAATGCTTTGCAATCAGACGTCTCCAAACAGTGCAACCGACCGTCGCCGGTTCAATCCAAGGCTGCCGACGCATCGCTTCGACGGAAAGGTTGAACACGGTGATCTCGTCTGGTGGCAGGAGATGCGAGAGTTTTCCGCGGATCTCATCGTAGAGTTTCTGCTCGCCGGCCGTGTAAACCAGGATCTGCGGAAGATACTATCATGTATAGCCTGTGTACCACGACTTGGAATTTCGCCGAACGACATTCCGCTGTTCCGCTGCGCGCTTTAATTTTTTTTTAAAGGTATTTTACTTTCATGTGCTCCCACAGCAACAACAATCAATTGAAAGCATGACCTAGATTCTGAAGACGCTTCGCGAACGCACGCAGCGGAACATCGGAATTTCGTTCGGTGAAATTTCAAGTCTTGGCTTACACACTATATTTTATTTTGATTAAAATTTTCGTTTCCAAGCCTATCTATATATCTATAGCCAATACACGGCTAGCTCGGAACTCAAAAAAGCGTGGTCTGTCTGCGCCCTCCACCAAGAAGGCACTTTCTCTTTTCTTATCGTGTCAGGACCCTTTTTACAATGGCTCAAGCCGTGAATCAGTTAGAACTAAGTTGAAAAAATTTTTTGAAACAAACCGATGGAGGCTTGGGCATGGGTCGATGGGATTTGTCTCGAGATGCGAGAAAAGTCGGCGTGTATGGCCTCGACCGAACGCTGTTATCTCGTGTGGAATCTGTAATTGCTTTTTTTTAATTCTATGTGGACATTGAAACGTTCAGGAGTTTCAAGGCTCCTTGCCGGATTATTTAATTTTCTGAAAATTTATATAAAAATCATCGAACACTTTAATTTTTGGCATGACAGTTTGACAGTTAAGCAAAGATATAATTCTGCAGCGAAATTTTTTTTTCAAACTACTCAGAAATGTTTGCTATGATAACGTAGATAACAAGAAAACTTAGAATTTTGAAAAGTCTGTAAGTTAAACGAGCTTTCACAATAGGTCAAATACAATTCAAGATAATTGAAAAAAAATTTTAAAAAAATGAAAAAAGCAAAAATCAAAACTGGTTCACAAAAATCAGGGAAATGACCTTGAGGTTGTGATGACAAGAATCGTATGGAGCGCAGTTGAAAATACTCAAAACTGGGACTCAGCGAGCGATGTCGATCTCCTAAACGATTTTTTAATATTTTTCCACAATTATTTCGAGAAAACCATCTCCCGAAAGTGTTGAAAAGCGTCGTTGGCTTTGGCTGACGAATTTCGAAGCAACTACAGAAGCCTGTAAAAATGTATGAGAATTTTGAAAAAGATCGAAACTTACACTTCTTCTTCCTCGAACAACACCGTTTGCGGCAAACGCAGCAATCGGCGGTTTGAAAAAATTAGGTGCAATCGTTGTTTCTGGAGCCTTTTGTTTTCCTTCCTCTGAAAAAGTTGTATAATTGGTTCTTTGAAAGGTTTAGATTTGAAGTACGACTTAATAATTAGAGCGAGTTCATTGGAGAAATGGAACATGATTCAAAACGAATAATCGGCGGCGCGCCAAAGTTGCTCCAAAACAGTACTAATTTTTATTTTCGAGCAATTTTTTGCGTTTCGAAGCAATTTTCGTTTTGTCCAATGAACACGCCATTAGAATTTTCGTTAAGTCAGCGACTCGAAATATTTCAGAATCGAAGTTGAACGTAAAAACACCCCAAGGGCAAGAGCGCGCCATTGTACAAACAACTTAGGAGCTCCGGAGTGGTCCCTATAGGGGAAACCTTGTTTCGTTTGGAGGGTTCCTCTAGGAAGCACTTTACCAACCCCTAGAGGAATCACTAAAACTTGCAAAAGTGGTCTCTACAGGGGTTTTAGTTAGTGGCCCCTATAGGGGAATCGGGACCATTTTTCGGCACCTTTTTTATGGGCTTTTCCCCTCTCACCCTTGTGGGGATCAATCTAAAATTCAAAAAAATGCACCAAAAATTTTTTTCGAAAAAAATTTTTTTATAACAAAAAAAGGTTACCAAAGCAAAACTTTTGAAACTTTTTTTAAATGTAAAAGTTTTTTTCAATAAAGATAAATAATAAACTAAAATTAAAATGCCATATCTAATCAGTGTGGCAAGGAAAACACTTCCGCACACGTGATCATAGCAAAAAAGATAGCGAAAAGTTGGAGTGTTCCCTTTAGTGTTGCCAAACAAGTTTTATTCCATCTCATGTCACTATGATTACCATTTCTATTTCTCAAAGTGATAAAACAAACCGATGACTTTGCATCCATTCAGCTTAACCTCAAACGGCTGTCTTCTAGATAATTCCTCAGTTTTTTCCTGTTCTATCGGCTTTTCTTCTCTTTTCGCGATTTTCGCTAAAGTTATTAATGAAAAAAAGGAAAAGGACACAAAAAACCAATGGAAAAATGCTCTTCGGAAAGTTTCTGAGCTTTGCAAAATCGGTCAGAATCGACGGTTTCCGTGTCGGTGTCGTCGATCAGCCGCATGTCTTCCATTTTGCTTCTGGAACATTTTTCATGTTCAAAAACTGGATTTTTCGAACCCAAGGTGGTCAAGGTGGGATTCGCTCTGATCGAGTGTTTCCGTGGTGACAGAGGTTGAGATGGTGGTCGTGTCAGAGGTCGAGCAGCTCGTGGTGACGTCAGACCTGGCGCTGCCGCTGCTCATCGAAGGTTCGCCAAAAGCAATTTGCTTTCTTAATACGAGGATTTGCACTTTATTTCCAACAGAGTGTTGAGGGTTTAGTACGATTCAATTAACTACGTCGGTGATTGTCTGAATTAAATTTTTTCTGACCTTTGTGAAAGTGCAAAAGTCGGCATAGTTTTTAATTAACCCTGTGAAGGGTTCCATTCTTGCCTGTAGTTTTCAAAAAAATCGCGGAAAATTGTTGAATAGATGTTATATTCACGTGAATGCTTGTAATTTTCCAGTCTATCCACGCAGTTTTTGAAAAAAAGTGTTCAAAACGAACTATATGCAAATTAATTTTCAAGAGCCGAGATTAGAAATCTAGAATTCGGCAATTCAGATCAAAAACCCAAAATCTTCATTTCCCACATACAAAAACTAAACTGACGGGACAAAAATAGAGTTTAGACTCAAAATTTTGAACTGAAACGTTGCGGATTGAGCCTTTCCCAGTAAAATTCCAAGAGGTTTTTTTCAAAATTTCCCTGCTCTATTTTTTCTCACGAGCAAAAAAACATCATTTAATCCAATCTCCTAAAGTACGATCTATTGGGTCCGATTTGAAAAAAAACTGGGAAAGTTTTTAATGGCCACTATAGAGGCTCGCCAAGGACTACTTGGAGAGGACACAAAAATGGCCACTAAACCGACCTCTATAGTGGCCACTATTTTCCGTTTTAGTGGCCACTATGGAGGTTCTCTATTTAGTGGCCACTTCAGTAATTTTTCATCCAGTGTTTCTTCCAGTAACTCTGATTAAAAAAAAACATATTTGACCAGTTTATTTGATCCATTGAAAGTGGCCACTAAAGTTTTTAACCCCTTAAGGGGCCACTATATTGACTATTATAGTGGCCAATAAAACGTCAAAACCATATAGTGGCCACTAAAAATTTTCCCAGCTAGTTCTTATTTTCAGGGCGCACTCCCGTAAAATACCCGACCTAACCGTCAAGACAAAACAGAATCAATTTTGAGCGTATTTTATCAAAGTTATGGCTCCTGCTCACGAAAAAAGCAAAACTGACGGCGGCAGACTGCGAGGGGAGTTGAGCCGTTCGTCGAGATGCCGGATATAGCGTGGCAGGCTGTGGAAGGTTGTGTCGAAGCGGTCAAAGTTGGCAGGGCTGACGGCGCTGCGCAACGAGCTCAAGTCGGGCGTCACGGCTCTCGCGTTGTACGAGTTGTTGCGGCGTCGTGACGATCGAGCGCTTCAAAACCGTCTTTCATAGTTTTTCATATGCAAGTGATGGAAGATCTTACTAATCTTGGATCAAAAAAGGCTACGAAACAGCCTAAAATGCTCCTGAACAGCCGTCAAAAGATCTTGAATTGCTCATTTTTCAAAAATTCGTCTAGCTTCCAGACGTCTGAAGACCAACCATTTTGAGAATTTTCCAGGCTAAATTGGAAATCGAGCAGCTATTTTGCTCATCTTTCAATTTTTTTTTCATGAAAAGCACTTCGAAAAGTCTAAATATCAGCCTTTTTAAAGATTCTGCAAGGAAATAGAGAAGAAACAGGTAAGTTATTTTTCGTTACAGCTCAAAAATATATTTTCAAAGACCTTCCCTCAAATTCCTGTGTTATTGGGATAAAAACTGAATTTCTCGAAAACTTTTTCGGAGGCTTTTTCCTTTTCTTCGACTCTTTTTATTTTTCTCTAACAATTTCCGCTGGAATCCACTTAAGAATTGAGAGGAAACAATGATCAAAAAATCGGAAATAACTGGAGCTGAATGTCCAGGAACTGAAATTCGGACGCTTGGAAAATAGCTTAGAATGAAAAAAAGGATAATCTTTTGAGAAAAAGATTAGGCTTATAAATCGCGCAATAAGCAAATTGACTCAGTAAAAAAATGAAGAAAAAAATTCGAGAAATTTCAAGGAATAAAAAAATTAATCAACACTCATCCATTTTTTTCCGTTCTCGATCGAAAAATCAATAAAAATATATAAATATATTAAATCAAAAAAGTTGAAAATTCATAATAATTTCGTCAAAATGGCAAAAGTACGCTCTAATGAACTATATCCTTGATGAGTAAGGGTCTCTTCAAAGGGGCCAGTTTTTTTCAAAGCTAATGAAAAAATTTGAATAAACTTCAAGCTAACAAAAAAAAAATCCAATATCGCTAACCCTATGAACTGAAAAGTGCAAGTATTTTCTTCTGGGAAAAAAAAAACGTCTAGATTTTTCCACGGCTCATTTCATTCAAATCTGGGCGTGGTCAGGCGCAAAATCAGTCGGAACGCTCGTTTTCGCCAATAAAACTTTTGAGTGAAAGCACAAAAACAAAAATTGTCAGCCTAACAAAAACAATATAAAATCATCACGACGAAAATATTTGTGGAAGGATTAATTGGTCTATTTTGGCCGCTCGCCAAATACTTTTACTCTTAAAGTTCACTTCAAGTTGAATAATCTTTTTCGACGGGTTTTTAGTTGAAAAGAAAGCCGGAAAGTAAGACTTCTACATAGCGTAATATGCGTTACAAGGACAGACAACCTTGATTTTTCTATTTTTGATGAAAGCCGGATTTTTTTCCTATCATTGGACTTTAAATGAACTTTCGAATTTTGGAATTTTAAACTCGAATTGACGTTGGAGTGACCTGTTGTTTTTCATTTTTCTGAAGATTGAAAATTTTACGATAAATCGGAAACTTTTTTATTTATTAACGTTTTCATTAGAGCACTTTTATCCAACTGAATTTTTAATTTTCAATTTTCAATTTTTTGGACCTGATTTCTGTTAATGACATTGTGAAAATGAAGCTCGAAAAAAATTCCACGAAATGGTGATTTTTAGACATTTGAATCCTCACCTCGAAAAATGACCTTTGTGAGCAACGTTGAGAGCACTCTCGCTCAGATATCTGTCCCTTAAGGAGGAACTTGCAGCGGCGTCGCCCCAGAACAACTGCTGCAGGATCGGCATCGGCTTCTGAAAATTCATAAAATCTCGTTTATTTCCTGTTAAAAGAACCTGAGAGTTGTAGGAGAGGGAAAGAAGGGAGTTTGAAGCTTTGGAAGTCAGTCCGTTCTGGGTCTGGATCTCACGAGGGGCGAGAAAACGCCTAGAAGTACTCATTGTTCTTCTCTATTTTGAACTAGTGTAGCAAAGTTGTCGGTCGGCCCGCGGTTTGAAGCCCCGGGGCAACCCGCCTTGCAGTGTAGTTCTTAAGAACTCACTGTAGAGACGATTGATGATAAAATGGTCGCTCTTAAGTAGTCCCTCCGAAAAAGCGTCGGCGACGTCGACGAACATTTCCATCGGACAGACGTAGAACGATTCGTAGCGCGTCTTATGCACCGCCAATCGTTCACAGCGTTCGTTCAACTGGAAACTATACGGTAACAGTAAGCCATCATAATGAAACGAGCACTTATATTTTTTACTATAACTTTTTTCAATCAATCCCGATTGCTGTGAAACTTCATATGAATATGTAATATGGCTCGATACACGCTACTGAAAAAAAAACTTTCACTGAACGAGATTTCAAAAAATAGTCAAAAAACGAGAGCCGCCTAGAAGCCAAATTTTTTTTTTAAAGCCGGTACTTCGAAAAAAACATTTAAACTATATCTCAAAAATATTTTTTCTTCCTCTAGACCCCTCTATATCCTCAAAATCTTGCTGAAAAAACCACGGAAAACCTTAAAGTAAGAAACAGGGTCTTCAGTTTCCGCGCTTTCCTGGGGACAAACTTCGCCACCGACGACGAAATAAACGGCCTCCGGATCTGATGGGCGGATCGTAGGTGAAAAGATCCATTCGGCAGGCAGCAGTGGCTGCAAAATTGACAATATACACTTTTTTTTGGAATCAAAAATCAAATTTTTGTTAAGTATTATTCTTTCTTTAAAAAACGCCACAGTGTATACAGTACCGTCAGAAAAAAAAGCGTAAACTTTTTTTTGCTCACTTTCTTGTATTAAGCCCATCCTTTTTAGAAAATCTGAGCTGCTTTTTTTTCTGCGAGCTAAAGTTTCCGTGGTGTTAAGAAGAACAGTCATCAAAACTCCAGAAAGTTCCAGAAAACTTTCTACAAGAAAGTTGTGATTAAAAACCGTTTTTCGTATGATTTCTGACGGAACTGTACTTCGACACGGCGACACCACGCAAGCCGATTGATGTATAAAAATTTGTAGAAATTTCTTTCAGCGATACCTGAGTGAAAAACAGCTAGAAAATATTTTTTTTTAACAATCAATTTCGCCTTTTGCGCGTCGCTTTTTGTGTATCGTGTGCACTGCGTACAAAACATTTTATATTCCGCCGCTGTGGTGGGCGTGGCGTCGATTTGGTGTCGCCGTGTTCGATTTTTCCATCTAAAGGCCATGCAGGGAATATTGCAGAAAATAGTAAACAGGTAATATTGGACACTAGTGTATAAAAATGTTCCTATGTGTGTTTAAAAAAATAGAACGTTCTGTGGGATCAAAAACTTGGTTTGACTCCTAAAAAGCGCGTTTGAGCCATTTACCACTTTCAGGTAACACCTTGAAAGCAACAACTTGAAATTTCCAGACTTACATGCCAAACTTGAAGTTTGGAAACTTTAAGTGAAATAAAAATAGAAAGGATTCGTTTTTTTTTCCGCATTCACTGTGCGTATAGCTTCATCCATAAGGTCTCAGACTTTACCTGACCTCAAATTTCCTAGAGAAGACTTGCAGCAAGTGGCTCTGAAATACGAGGCACGAGTCGAGGTGCGGCTCGCTCCGATATTTCGTCAGTTGGCCGAAACTCGTCTCCGCTACGTTCCTGAATCAGGAATTTCTCATTTTAGGTAATTATATACAGTAGGCTACCGTAACCGCTTCCAGACGAGCATTTCGAACTCGCGGGTGATTTGTTGCTGAGTGAGGCATGCACGCAGGAAGCTGGCCAGTTGTCGTTTTCTCGCAACCTGGATTCCATTGTTTAGGAAAATTTGTGATTGTTTTGAAGTTTGGACCCTTCAAATATAAAGTCCGCTTTCTTGAGAAAAGCCGCTGCACCTTAGAGAGCTTCTATGAATGGAATATTAGAACTTTTTCCGCCACCTACTTGGCGGAAAATCAAGACCTGATGCCGTGTTCAAAGTGATTCCGCGAAATTCAAAATAGCTGTCAGAGAAAGAGAAAGATAACTAAATTTTGGAAGGTCAGAGACCATTTTGCATTTCGCGGAAATTACTTTGAACACGGCATGACTGTGAAGAAAAATTTACTAATTTCTCGAAATTGAGACCTGTTTTCAGTGATATTTTTGGTGAGAATAGCGTTAAAAAACCCAGTAAAAATTTTTTTGATTTTCAACTCTTAAAACTTTCTCTAACGAACCTAGTCACAGAACAGGTCCTTTAAAAAAATATTTTTCAAAAAAAGACGAGGCAAGCCAATTTTTTTCAAAAAAAGAAGTTTTTTTAAGTTTACCTCAATGGCCGAGGAGACGAGAGACCACACAAACAGTATCATTTTATCATTTTGCCTTCAAAAAAATTATCTTATCAATAAAAAAACGAAAGTAACGAAAATAATCCGAAACAAAAAAATTAATTAAAAAAATGTTGAGAATTATCGAAAATTTACTCAAACGGATATAAAAAACGCCTTACAACTTTATTTTGCTGATGATTTAAAAAAAAAGAAGTCTAATCGAAAAAATTGGAAGGAAAAAACTTTTACAGACTTTTTTTCGCGGAAAAGAACCAGAAGCTTTATGGGTCAGCACACTAAAAAAATTATAAGTGCATATAAAAAAATGTGTTTTTTTAAATAGATAATCCACTTAAAATAATTAAAAAGATGTCTTTATTCTGCTAATGAGTTCTAAAAAAGGATCCCTATTAAAAAAAATATTGAGGTGAAAAAAAATTGTTTAAAAAAATTGTCTTGTTTCTTTTCCCGGTGAGCTTCATGCTTCAGCACAGAAAAAAAATTGAAAATGAAAAAAAAAAAATTTTTTTTTAATAGAAGTCTTGAACAGAAATATTTAAACTCGAGTTTTTATCTAAAAGACTTTTCTTGGGAAAAGAAACGACGAAAAGCGAGAAAATTGGCATTGTTCCATTGAATCCCGTCGTAATCGAAAGCTTTTCCCCTTCCAGTATATATAGCTGCAAAGGGAGAACGCAAAATGGCGAAACGGGAGGGACGAAAAAAAAAAGAAAGAACAGAAAGAGGAAGAATCGATAAACTGGAAGCCAACTCGGCTCAGACCTTAACGAATCCGACGCCAAAGCCCCCAGAAATCTCAGATTTCTTGGAACTTTCTTCATATTTTGGTATTGGTCCAACTTTATCATTTTTAATTTCAAAGCACATTTTCGCTAATTTTAAATATGTGTTTTAATCTTCAATTATTACTTTAAATTTGAAACATTTTCTCAGTCTTTCTCATTTTCTGCAGTAATTTGACCTATACTTTTTGAAGAAATGCTGAAAATTCAATCATTAATCAGTATCAATCGAGCTTACAGTGGTATGAAAGTTTATAAAACCTGTCTTTAATGAGATAAAACTTATTGATAAACGAGAAAACGGGATAACAACTGAACAAAATAACAATTTCAAAATCAACAACGTAGATAGGAAAATCTACACAAGAGTCCGGATGACGGCTTTCCTGGCCTTGTTCTTTTTCTTGGCCGTTTTCTCGTCGAGACCCGCGGCAATTTGGTCGAACATTTTCACTCCGTCTTTGTCTTCGAACTCGGCGGCAAAGAGTCGCAAGGCCGACAAGTTCAACGCCGTGATGTCCTCAAAATCAACGTTTGTCAAATTCATCTCGGCTCGGGCAAAGTCGGAATGGTGGAAAATGGCCGCTAGAGGGGAAAGGTTCAAAAAAGGCCTCAGAAAGGCCGCAAAAAGGCAGCAAAAAAAAACCCTTTATCGAGACCTCCATTTTTTTTTTTGGGATTTTAAAGGATCGAGAAATGGTGGAAAAAAGGAGAGGCAGCAAAAATGGTGCATAGGAGCCGATGAAATGGCAGCAAAAAGACAGCAAAAAAGGAACATTTCTATGGAGCCTTTTTCCATCCTTTCCGACTTTGACTATGAATCCAAACTACAAGACTAACTCGTAAATCGTCGATTCCGGCTGGCAACTCTGTTTTCAGTCTTTCAATGACGCCGAGAGCTTCTGTCGAAACGATTATATGACTAAGGTGGAGTCTGGAAATGAATTTCCCATCCAAAAGATGTTTTATTTTGTTACCGAATGAGGTAGAGAGCGACGTTTGTGATGAACTCTACTTTGTAATGAGCTCTAGCACAAGAAGACAAGGAGGAGAGGATGTCGTTGACGTAAGAAAGTGGGACCATCAGAAGAGCTCGTTCCAACTCACTTAATTTTATAGTTGGTATAGTCCATTTTTGGCGACTTAAAAGGGCGGGGCTTCTCTGCGCCCTCCTCCTTTCTCGACGCGTCTCTCATGTTTACGTGTTATTTCCATGCTTCTCTGACCTCGCCGGTGAGGGAACAGAGAGACTCAGACACTCAAAAACTGTCAAGTCGCGGTGGACGGACTACAGAAAGCGTTAGATTTTTACGTTTTAAAAGCACACCAGAAGGAAAAACTACCGTAAACGCAGCTTCTGCTTCAAAAAATTCGAAAAAGACAGCAGAAAGATAAAAGGCTTCTAACGAACTCCGATCGAACTTTTCGTAGAATGAAAAACGGGACAAGCTGGCCCCTTGTATATTTTGAAAACTTCTGATCTTCAAAAAAGTCGGAAAATATGAGTTAACTACTTTTAAACTCTTTTTTTTGGATAATTAATCATTTTATCCCGTTCAGAGAAACTTGGAGGTGTATTTAAAGGCGCATGAAGAATTGATAGAAAGGTCTTGAAACGATAAATCTTTTCTAGTTTCATTTCAGGTCATTCGCAAAATCTGCACCTTGTTCAAAAACACTTTAATGATTCCTACGAGTAAGAACTATAATTACTTTCGAGCTGTTCAGGAAGTTGTTTCTGAAGAGCTCTATTTCAATTATAAATTAGACACGCCCTTATTGAAAATATTAGTAAATCCAAAAAAGAAACTAACGTCGGTCGGCACTTCGCAATGACGTCAACGATGAAATGATCCAGCGATTTACTTCGATAAGCGCCGATCAACGGATGAGGTTCATGCTAAAAAAATCGAACAGGTCAAGTTTTTCGATGAAATAACTGAAAACCTTGTCATCAGCTTCTCGTTGAACCCTTTCATTCCGCACAATGTCTACAGCTTCGATGATATTTTCAGCCTAAACAGGAAGTGTACTATAAGTTTTTAAAACTCAAATTTTCGCCTGAGCATCACAGCATTATAAACTTTATATTTTTGAAGCTATCGAGGAAATTTCTCCTTTTTTAAACATGAAAATCCATAAAATGATTTCCCCTTAAGCCCTCACTCCTAGTTATGGGCTCTAGCCGTAACATTCAGAACATTCAGAGCTTCAACTGGCGAAAAACTGCGCTGAAGAACGAGGTGAAGGACCGTAAGATCATACTGCCAATGAGATCAACTATATATTTTGAGCTCGAGCTTGCCAAAGACGGTTTTTTGATATTGCTTTGAAAGTTCTTGCTTACCTATTCGAATACATATATGTCTAAAACAAGTGATAGATAATTCCCAAGCAAAAAACGACTAGAATTCGTACAGAAGCAATTGAAGAGCTGGTCTTGCTGGCGGCGACGCCGGCCTCGGCCTCCTGCTCCTCGCCGGGGACGACGTCCTCCTCGTCGGCCAGCCTCTTCTCGTACTCGGCCTCCCGTTCGACCTGCTCCTCCTCCTCAAGGATCAGCATCTCTTCTGTCCTCTCCCAGCACCGGATCGACTTGTCGTGCGAGGCCGAGAACTTCAAGACACACAGTTTCTTCAGAGATACCTCTCAAGGATTACCATAACTGCTCCGGAATCAAACTGTGCGAGGGCCCTGATTTCGGCAAAATGACGATCCAACGTCTGGACGTGTTTGAACTTGATCGGATCCCACTGTTTTATCTGAAAATAATTGATAAAGAATCAAAAAATTCAGGTAAAAAGGACCTTTCCGTCTTTTCCAGCCGACCAGAATAGCGTTTCCTCGCCGGGAATGAACAAAACAGATGATACCCTTAAAACGAAAAAAAGCTTACATGTCTGGCATAGTTTTCTAGTTTTCCTAACACAAAAAGACTCAACAAATCGATTGAGCGAATAAGAAAGAATAAAATTTCACTGTCTAGTGGGTTCTTCCGGTCGAAAAAAACCGCAAAATACGAAAAAAAAAAACTTTCCAATAAAAATCAGTATGTAAAAAAAACATTCAAAAAGAAGTTTGTACGCAAAAAAATGTTCATTTTGTCACTAGTTTTCGTTTGAAAAAAGTTTTTTTGGTGCTTTCTCTACCGTAACTCTAAAAAGGGGCGGAGCCAGTAAAAAGTTCTATTTAAAATTTTCAGGACCTTGTGTAATTAGTTAGACCACAAATTGAGCTCAGAAAACTCAATCTGAAATTTTGACGTTATCGAGTTTCTGGGAGAACGTGTGTTGAGTCGAGTTCAAAAATGTTCGTAAAAATATCAAAGTGGAATGAAGACTGAAGGGAAATCAGTTAAAAAAGGTAAAAAAAGAAAATTAATTCATGACTATTTTAAAAAGAGAGGCAACGAGAAGTGAGCAAAAAGTGCGAGAATATGGCGCAATCGCTTAACTTTGGCAATATCGCCTAATTTTAACGATTTTGCCTAACTTCAACGATATCGCTAAACTTGAATGATATAGACGGTTCACGGCTAGCTTGGGACGCAAAAAGGCGTGGCTTGCCTGCACTCTCCACCAACCAGGGCACTGTTTCGTCTCTTTTCCTGGCAAGACCCTTTTCTCGATGGCTCAAGCCAGCCGTGAATCAGCTATACCGCTTAATTTGACAGGTTGTGTGAGATTTTTTTTTTTTGAGAAATTGAAAATTATTATGAGACCTTTGATCATTAAACATAAAAAGTATTTTTTTCTCAATAAGAAAAACATACGTGTCGTCGTGGGCGTGGAAAGACTTGTGACAGTCGCCAAAGTCCAAGCCCCAAATCTTGACGGATTTATCCACGGACCCGGTCACACACAACTTACTGTCCTAGAAATAAAACAATATCATCAAAAACTCAGATATTCGGACCGGCGAAATATCAACGCAGGTGACTGGAAGCGAGTGTCCATAGAGGGAAATGAAAAATTTCAGAGTATCGACAAAATAAACGGACGCCGTGTTGTTCAGAAGACCCACTACCAGAAACTGAAAAGGGGCTTTTTTCTGAATTCTAAGAAGGTTCTGACTTTGCCGTCGGGTGAGAGGCAGGCGGCCAACGCTTCATCGGGCAATTCGAGAACCCTCGATTCGCGGATCGACAGTCGTTGTCTTAAAAATGGTTTTCAAGCCATGTTCCAAGTAAATTGCGTGAAATTTCAAACTTTCTCTGATTCTCCATAGTTTAGTTACCTTTTCTACCGTCTGACGGCTATTTTCAGTTTCGTGGAATTACTTTGAACATGCCATAACTAAATTTAAAGGAGAAGTTTGGTAAGCTAATTTAAAGATTTTTTCAGAAACCGAAATCTATCCCTTGAATTTTTTTCGGCATCATAAAAAAATAACAGAAACATTTCAAAAAAATTAAAAAAACTAAAATCTGATGATTTCACTCAAGAAGTTCTCAATACCTTTTTTTAAAAAAAAACTAAAATGAAACCGTCTACACGTTTAGTTATCTTCTTGATCAAAAAAATTTCTTTCAAACGCTACAATATTTTTTTCTCATCGATTTTTATTTTTTTGAAATTTTTTTCGAAAATGTTGAAAAAAACCTCGTTCCCTCTGTTACTGCGATGAAAGACCAAAACTTCACAGTTTTGTCGGCCGAAGCTGTGATAAAGCCCTGAAAAATAACAATTTAATTAAAAGTTTCCTTTTTGATTTTCAATATTATTTTTTTCGACGTTGATTTCAGAGTTTAAGAAAAACTTTATGACTTTTTGAGAAAAACCTCCGGAAATGTCCTAGTGGCCTTGAAAAATTTAGATAGAGTAGTTTTTTTGACAATTAAGAAAAAAATATTCTAGAAAACGAGAACTTTCATGGGCTATGAATAAATCGACAGAAATTTCATGATAACCTTGAAACTTTAGATGAAGCAATTTTCGAAAGAAGCTTCTAAAAATCAAAATTTCAATAAAATTTGAGATAATCGCTAGCGATTTTTTAATGATTTAGCAACCTTAGATGAAGCAGCTTCTGGAATCGAAAAAATAGAAAAAGGAAAGGATTTTAAGAATTTTAAGAAAATCTTCGGAAGATGACCTTAAAGAAATAATTGAAGCAGTGTGTGAATATTCACAAAATTTCCGAAAAAACGAAAAAAACGAAAAAAAAAATCGCCGAAATGGCCTTATTTTCCTGAACACCTTCAGCTTTTAGGTGAAGCATTTTGAATACCTAAAAAAAGTTCTAGGAAAATGAGAACTTCCACGAATGTTCATTGAACTCTCCAAATTTTCTCAATAAAGTCATTTTTAGTTTATTTTGAAAGCAAACTTTGTTATCGGGCGTGTTCATAACCGTCCAAATGGCGCCGGTGTGGGCTTTGCGGGTTTCCACAAGATCTGCGCTGGAAATTTCAAAGAGGCCCAAGTCTCCATTCTGGAATATTGAAGGTATAGAAAAACATGAAAATGAAGGAAAAACCTTCGTTCCGCAGAGCAAATAATTATCACCGGGAGCAAAAGACACAGAAACGATGTCTTTCAACGTTTCGTCGCTCATTTTCAACGTCGGCCGGAGGGAATGCGTACTCCAAACGATGACCTTTGAAATGAGGAATTTGAAAAATCAGATGAATGTCAAGCTGAACCTCGTTACCGCCAACAGAAGTAACTAAATTATTGGACGAAGAAACAGATAAGGAACGGATGTCGTCCCGATGACCCATCTAAAAGGACTTTTTCAAACTGAAAAAAATTGTGAGGTTGATTAACCATGTCCAAATTGGAATTTAATGCATGGGAGAAGCCATTGGAGTCTTGTTCCAGTTCCAGTTTCAACGAATGAACTGTATTTGTTGTCAGAAGGGCAAACGCCTGGAAAGAATCTATTGTTTTTTGGTGGTATGATAAAAAACCAGCGAATTTTCGAGCCGTGGATTTCAGATTTTTTTTCATCGCTAGGGTACTTCCTGATTTTTTTCCCTTATGCTTTTAGGTTTTTGAAATATCATTTTCTCCTTATTCTTTGTGTTCTAATCATGATTCAACTACCCCTTTTTATATAAGAAGGTTCAAAATGAAGAGTTTATCGAAAAAGTCGGACAGTTCCCTAAAAAAATATTAAAAAAATCGGAAAAAGTTAGAAAAATTTGCCTGTTTTTATTTCATACCACCTTTTTTTAAAGTTTTTCAATTACTTTCGGTTGATGTAATTCTGTCAAACTTATAAAAAAATGAAGTTTTTAATTCAAACTAATAATAAATTCTTTTTGAAAGAAACAACTTGAAAAAAACGTCCTAATCACAGTAAACTCTCAAAGGAATTCTCAAAAAAATCAAAGTGTTTCTTTTTTTCTTGGAAAAAAATAATCTCTAATACATTTCTGTACTTAACTCGGATTATAACAAACCTTAATTTTTTTTCAAAGCTTTAAAAAACTCTTCAGATATGGGAGAAAAAAGACTATAAAAAAGGACTACGCACCATTTTGTACATTTGAGATATTTTCATAACTTTTACAAGCCCTAAAAAACTCTCGCAGGCCTGGAATTGAACGAAAAATACGTATTGAGCCATTTATAGACTTTTTTCACTCAAAAGACTTTTCTAGCCAAAAAAAAACTCACGCGATAAAGCGTTTTGTCGTCCTGCGTCTTCAGAAAATCGACAAATTGGAAGCATTTGATCTTGGCCGGGAGGGAAATGTCAGAGATTCGCGTCAAAATGATCGTGACATCCTTCGAGATTTCCTCCTCGCTGATCGTCGAGCTGCTTTCTCTGCAATTCCGAAATTTTTCGGAATGGTTCGATATTCAAAACCCTGCTTTTCTTTTCGCCGTTTTCAACTTTTTCACGAGTCTTTTCGACGACTCGGCTTCACTGAAGACTCTGTACACGTCGGCGACTTTGTCGGCTCCCTAATATAGTATTTTTACGAGTTTCTAGTGAGAATCTAGCGAACCACACAGACAAGAAGCTTCTCGTCGGGAGACGCCGTCAGTTGCAAGGCGCGGCCTTTACTTTGTCTGATCAGCCGACCGCGGTATTTCGCTGATACGTACCGCTGGAGAAATTTGGATATATATTTTTTTCTTCTCGTCAAAGTGAAAGTTTTTAAGTAACAAAAAATAGAGTTTTCAAAGTTTCAGGCCGGAAATCTTTCCATTGAATTTTTTTTCCCCCTTTTTTTTCGACATGCCGGAAAAAGTCGCTCAAAAAAATCGATTAGATATAGAGTAAGAGTTGAAGATAAAGTATCGAAAATCCAGATTTTTTTTTTGCAATTTTGCTTGATGAATTGTACTTAAGGACGTTTTGATTCCAGAACAAGTATGAAAATTTCTATCAATAGATCTTTTTTTAGAGTCGAAGGGGCTTCAAAAGCTTGAAATAGCGTTTTTTCAGCATAAATTCCGTATTTTGCCAAATTTGAAGCTTCATAAATTGTAAACAAAATTTATTGCAAAAAAATTTTTTTCTAGTTCTGCAATCAGGAGATCCTAAAATACACTTCAACAAAGTTTCATCGAAAGTTCTTGCCAAAAAACCAAAAAAGTTCAAAAATGAAAAACGAAGGTCTCGAAAGGAAATTTGATCATTGGTCAAATTTGGTTTTTTTTTCGCAGAAAAAAAGAGATAAGCTGACGTGTAAAGGGCTATAAAGGATTCCACTTCACTGAAATAATTTCTATTATGTATTCTGCATATTTTCGTCCACGTGAAAAAATAGATAACAGCTTACAAGAAAATCAAAGTGAAACCGGAGAAGAAAAATAAGATTTTAAAGCCATTAAGCCTGTCCTTTTTCTATTTTGAAGTGAAAATTCGCGCTTTCAATTTTGCAGGCATCATTTCAAAGCTGACTTTCTCATCAATCCGAAACGAAATAAAGAGTTTTCCGTTTTTCTCACTCCCGATAAAACAAAAAGTTAGTTAGGAAACAGAGTTTTCTTCAGGATTATTAGGTATAGTTTTCTTTTCTGTGCATGACAGTCTCATTTTTGAAAAAAAGAATCTTAAAAAAAGCTTCCAGAACTAGAAAAAAATGAATATAAAGTCTCTCACATTGGCCATATTCGCCAAATCTTGGGCCTTCTGCTCTTCTGACAGCTCTTCCAGCCGCTTTTTTTCACGTCCGGAGCGTCAGTTGAGGTCTTAAAATCATCTCTATATATTATAATCGTGTTAATCAGTATCTCACACTGTTCACAACTTCTCCCGACTTCCAAGAAAGCTCGAAAACCATTAATTCGAGCTCTGTGCTGGCCGTCACCAAGATGGTTTCATCTCGAAGAAGGGACATGGAATAAACCTGAAAAAATAGAATTGAAACAAAAATCAAAAAAAAATTATTCAAACCTCACTGCGGTGTTCAAAAAGCGTATAGAAACAAGTTTGGCTGGCGAGGCTCCAAAACTTGATTAGGCCGTCTTTTGAACTGAAAAAAAAAGATGAAAAAAATGTTTGTTAGAAGTTTTAAAAGGAGCATAAAATGCAAATTTCGAAATTTTTTGGAATGTTAAAAGCAGAATAAAATAAAGGAAAAAAAATACCGAGGTCAAAAAAATGTTTTTTTAAAATCCTAGAAAAAAACCAATCGAATTTTTCGAAAAAGTTGATCATTAGCGCTGTCGAAATGAAAATAAAAAAACTATCGAAATCTTCTTTTTTTCTGCTTAGGAGCACTTGAAAAAAACACTAATCTTATAAAAAAATATCACCAAACATTTTTTTATCCTTTTAAATAATAATAAATAAATATTTACAAGAGTGAAAAAAATAGTTCAAAAAAAGAAGAGAAAAAGCTCAAAGGTTTAAAATAAGTTTCAAAGCCAAAAGGTTCCTCAAAAGTGAAAGACAATACAGAAAAAAAAAATAGAACTTTCAGAGACTATAACAATACCTGGACATTAAAAACTGGTCTCCACGGACAAATTTCAACTGCGTTATAGAATCCTTGTGGCCAAAGAGTCGGAACATGCCTCGCTCGGCCAGAATGTCCCAAAGAACTATGATTCCGTCCTGAACTTTTTCGAATAAAACTTATTATTATTCAAATGTAGGCACCCTTCCGCCTGTGGCAAATAAAAAGACCGTCGGAACTGAAATCCAAGCAGTTGACGGCTTTTTTGTGGCCGGTGAAAACAATCGGCTCCGAATCTGAAAAAAATGTCCACACTTGCCGAAATTTTTAATTTTTATCAAGCTATCTATGGCCTTTATATTGTTCAAAAAGCAAACTTCTTTTGTTTTTTTTTTAAATTTTTTTAGTCAACCTGAGGCTCAAAATAAAAATATCAACTTAAAAATCTTCTACGCTTCTTTTGACATGAGGCTTCCTGCAATCTCAAACTTCTTCCCTCGTAATAATACTAATTTTGCAAAAAACTTTTTCTTTTTTCTTGCTTTATTGTGAAAAAAGACACTTTTTCTCTCTCTAAAAATTTGCTCAAAATCTCCTTTTATTCCGTGTTTTGTTTTTAGCTGTTAGGTAGATGAAAGACCTTCGGCTTGTCGATCATAAAGCCGTGCCGACCCGTCTCCATAGCCCACGCCGAGCAAAGGCTTCCCCACGCACGGCCGAACACAAGTCACTGCTTTCTGTGTGTGTATCAGCTCGCCCGTCTGAAGAAAAGAACCTATTTTGCCTCAAAAAATAGGTTGGGTGCGTGAAAAGGATGGTCGGCAAACATGTTAAGCAAAGAAAGCAGGCTTGTTCAATTTTGTCGTTTTAAAAGATTTTACTTGATATCTTCTGCTTTCCCTTTGCTTCAGCACCATGGCAACCTTTATGAGATTTGAGAATGTACATAAGGCCTATTATCCTAGAGCAAAATTTCTGTTTTCTCTGTTTCGTAACTTGAAAAATATGAAATTATCAGATTTATACGATATTTTGGAAAATTCTTTGTACAAACACATAACTTGCGACAACTTTTGAGCTTTATCAACTGAGAAAAAATAAGCAGAGCATCGGTCAAACTGAAATTGAACATACTCTGAAATGCTCACATCAAAATGAAACTGACTTTATGTCAGTAGGATGAGCCGATTTTTAATTTTCCGCTCTCAAAAAAAAATAGTCAGACATAGAAATTAGTACAATACTGTAAGTAAATTTATTCATGGCCTTTAAATTCATCTTTTCATTAAGCTCAGAATTTGAACATGTTCTCAAATTGTAGAAAGCTTACCTTTTCTGCTGTGCGAACATTGTAGAAGTTGAGGTACTCGTTTGAGGCGACGGCAACTGTGTTGGGATCAATTGCGACGAGTTCCCCGTTTGTAGAAGCGACGCAGCCACACGAGCCGCTGTGCTCAAACCGAAGATAGTCCTTCGTCAGGCCCATACCTCAATAAATTCGAAAATATGAAAGGTTTTTCAAAAAAAGGGAAAGAAAAATAAATTTTCTGTGAAAATATAAAAATTTCGTTTCGCCATGGCGCGCACTTTTGTTCAGTTTTTTTTTTCACCGCCGGGTTTTGGCAGGGACGGTGGAAAAACAAAAGAACTTTGCGTTCAATACAATAAAGTTTTTGAAAATGATCCTACCGAAGCATTGAAATGTGGGAATTCAAACTTTTCATGACATTCGATCCATTTTACGAAGCATTCCGAGGAAATGTACCGTTTTTCAGCACGATGTGCAGTGGCGACGTTAACTCAATTATTTCTAGCTTCACTGCTTCTCATTGAAGCAACAGCAGCAGTTAGAATAATTATTGGTGAGGTTTTTTCTTGGATTAGAACAAGTTATTCTACAAGCAGACACGGATGGCGTGACGGATGACATCCGTGCGATTTCACTCGCTCTGCAGAATAAAAACACCGAGGTAACTTGTAAAGGAGACAGAAGGATAATGAACTGAGCAGGTGATGGCAATAACGACAGTTCGCGGAGGAGTCAACGCAAGTCAATCCGCGGCAAACGTCGCTCGAACCCTTCGCGCCAATAAAGTCTGAGAAATATTTAGTAAAAAAAAGTTAGAAGATTTCTCAGAGATATGTTCCGATCTACAAAGGGGCCGAGGACGCGTTGTTTCCTCGCGGACCTCTTCTAGAAGCAGATCCGATGTTTGGTTCCGATGGCATCGGCGACACACCCAAAACTGCGCCGGAAGTAGTTTCAGATACCATTGCTTGATTCTAAAGAGATTCTGAAGGCTCTACCGCGGGATTGGCTGCAGCACGAGGCTGAGTCAGCAGCAGAAGCTCTCGTTCGCCTGACGGCAGAATGTGATGACGTCGTTCTCGTGTGCCTCGGCCCTCTGACCAACATCGCTTTGGCTCTCCGACTAGACCCAAATTTTGCTACAAGGCCGAAGAAAATCGTGATAATGGGGGGAAACTACTACGGTATCTCGCTCATCTCTTCCTCCCGAAAGTACAACTTCAGGCGTCGGAAACACCTTGGCCAACTCTTCAGCCGAGTTCAACTTCTGGAACGATCCGGAAGCCGCGCAGATGGTTCTGACCGAGATGCGATCTCCCATAGTCATGGTTCCCTGGGAGGCGTTTTTCTTTGACGGTCCGAAGGTTGAACTATCATGGTTCCAATTTCGACGCTTTTTTTGTAGTACAGCAAAATAATCGATTTCACGAGACACTTAAAATTTGACTCGCCGCTGTCAAAGTTTCTGTTCAACTGCACACAAATAGGTTTCGAAACAAGATGATAGTTCATATCTTCTGATTCCTGTAGTGAGAAATCATCTGGCGAAGACGTCGACGCCTTACTCGTTCATGGACGACATCGCGGTTGCCGTCGCCATCGACCCTTCGATCGCTCTCACGTCTTCCAGCTTCTATGTCGACGTCGAATTGGAGAATTCTTACACAAGGTGAAATTTTTGAGGAAATCAAGAAGAATATATGATTTTCAGAGGTCAAGTCGTCGTCGACTGGCTCAACGTGATTTATAACGAGACGACACAAGGGTTTAACGCGATTCCCGGCCTCAAAACGGTTCTTTTTCATGGGTTTTTGGGGATCAAAAAAAGTTTTTCAATGATAAAAAAGAAGCTATTTGCTTTTTTCCTGATCATAAAACTTCTTTCTTCACCAAATGAAGTTTTGAAAGTCTCAATCTGCACAACTTCCGGTTTTTCGAGAAACGCCCCTTCAAAGTGCCTCGAAATCCGTGAAAACATGCCATTTTGTGGTTCTTTCTCGAAAACTAGGAATTCGTGCAATTTTTCCAGAATCTTTTCACACGGCGTATTTTCGACGACGCCACGCCCACTTTTTCTCCGTAAAGTGTCGTGTGTCGTGTGCATGCACTGCGCCGCTTTCGCGCAGAAATTTGCGTTTGTGTACAGAAATCCGTGTTTTTAATTTCGCATTTTCTTATACTAACAAAAACGCCGTGGAGACTGTTCTGGCCAAAATTAAGGAAATCAAAAGTAAAATGACCTTCCACCTAGTAAGGCAAAAACATCTTCCGCGTTTTTTTTGGCTTTGCAAGAAACGCCAGGCAAAATTATGAATTCAACTCAAAAAAATTTCGTGTTAGAATAAAGTGCCCGAAATTAAGCTCTGTTGAAGGGACCCAAGAACCTTTGAAACCAATCATTAAATTAAGGGGTGGCCGATGCACTCCTTCGTAACCTCATATAACGTCCGTCGCGTCAACGACATCATTTGCGAGGAATTTTCCAAGGGTGGTAGATAATAAATAAAGTTTTATGGCTTTTTCTCACAAAATTTCGACAAACAAAAAAAGAGATCAGTAGAGACGTCGCTTGTTGTTCCTGCCGTACTGGAGCTGGCTCACAGAGTCGGACATGTGCTCGGCGCCGCGACTCGTCGAAATTGGCCGCGACGTGTAGCTAAATCGAGAAATATTAAAATAAGAAGTCATTCTTTGGGAAATTCACGTTTTCGAGGTTGTCGTGTAACGATCGTTGTAGCGGAGTTCGTCCTCGAAAGTTCTCGGCGGCGCAAAATGAGGCGGACTCGGTGGAACTTCGACCCCGTATTGGTTAATCTCCACGTACCTAGGAAGAACTACACCTAGTACATACTGACTTCAAGAAAAACCTATTAGAATTTCCAATATGTGCATAATTGGCTGCATGGATTCCGAAGAACAGCAACAATCCGAGAATAATCACAGCACAGCCAACCTAAAAAAATGAGAAAACTTACTGCAAAAAACGGGCGAATTTGATCATGGGGATTTAAAGCATTTTTCTGTTCACGAAGCTACTTTTTCGGGGGAAAAATTAAGAGAATGAAGAAATATTCAAAAAAACATCAAAAATTCCTGACGTTTAGCTCATTTCATATAACATCATGTTTGATAGCTATGAAAAAAAAGAAACAATTATGAGCTTCTTACACTTCTTAATGGTTGGTCAGTTCAGAGGTATGGTAAGTCGAAAAACGGGACTAATAAAAAAAAATTTAATTTTCGGGAGTACCCTGTGAGCTTGGAGCTTGAACTATCATCAAAAAAACCACCTATAAAATTGAACATTTCTAGGAATTTGGAAAGTTCTTTGAGAATGGTTTCATTCCAAAATTCACTATTTCCTTCTCTGAAAACAGATTTCGCTCAAATCTCAGATATTGCTCTAATTTCAAACCATAAAAGATAGGTCTCTGTTCACCCCAACTATGAAAAATTCAAAAAAAAAGCCTTCAATCATGGAAAAACTTTAAAGAAATATTAACGCGTACCCATCCAACGATGTACCACGTTGAAGCGGTCGCTGAAAGGGCACAAAATTGTTGTGCGTCGCCTCCGCAGACGCGAAGATTCTAGAGTGATCCCGTTTAAGTTTGTAGTTCTGCTTCCTATACCGTATTGGCAAAAGAGGCAATGAGGGGGATGAAGACGTGAAAGTCGATACAATCGGCCTCGGTGTAGGCCGGCAGGGAATAGCAGAGGCGGTCGAAAGTGTGGTAGGAGATGCACATCATTGACACGATCGAGATGATGAAAAGCCAGCAGATAGTCTAAAAGTGATATTTCTCAATAGAACAACCTTTTAATAAAATCTGACTGAGGTATAACTCGTTCAAAACAACTTTGAATGGTCTGACTTTCTGGGCTTTTTTCCTTCGGCGTTGCTCTCGAGTTTGAACGACCTCGCTTCTCATCTTAGGAATTTTAGAGTGATCCCTATAGGGGTTGTTGGAAAACAGCCCCTATAAGGGCCGAAAAAGTGGTCGCTATAGGGTTAAAATCAAAATGGTCCCTACAGAGGTTTAAGGTATGAACCTTAGCCTCTAAAGCTTGAGTGGTCCCTATCTGGGTCGTTCAATTTGATAAAAAAAAACGCTTATTTATTCAGTTTTTCCCATAGAAATACTTATTCGCTTAGAGTTCATAACAATCATAGACTAGGATGTCCTCTATACGGGCCACTAACTAATACCCTTATAGGGACCCCTTTTGCAAGATTTAGTGACCCCTATAGGGGTTGAAGTGGCCCCTAGACGTAACCCTACAAGGGCCCCTTAGATTGCCCCTTTACTGATCTCTCTCGAGTTCATGAGAAGGAAACGTTTTTTACGGTTGAATTTTTGCTGAAACTTGGCTGAAATGTCATTTAGGACCTCAGTATCCCAGAAAAAAAAAACAAATATATCTCTTGCAATGCATTTTTTTTTCCGGGTGATGAGACTTGAAAATTCGCGATCAGAAAAGCGCAATTTCAAGCTTTAGAAGGTAAAAACGCCACCTAAAGATGATAAATGAAAAAAAAGCTAGAAAAGTTTAGAGGCGCTGGAAAATACCCATAGCTCCTGGCCCAAAAAGATATACCTATCGTAAAATACTTCCGCGAAAAATTTCTTTCGGCTCTTAAAACCTAATAAATGACTTGAACCCAAAAAGTCACGCGTAGAAGGGCTGGAATGTGTACGGATTTGATGAAGAAAAACAAAAATAACGAGGAAAATTAGTCCCGACTTACCAACAAAAAGTCGAAGATCATGGCAACAACGCAGGCAAACTTTCCTCCACACTTTGATTCGTCATCTAAATCTTTTCGACTGATAATCATAACAATATTTTAGAAAAAACTTTTGTACATGGTTTCACGAGTGACGCCGGTGGCGGTGAAGCCAATGATGAGGAAGAAGAGAGAGAACAGAGACATGAGAACGGCAAGAACTATGAAGAACACTTGGACCTGGAAAATTTCGATTTCTAACAAAAATGAAATTTAAAAAAAGGGAAGGAATAGACTTTCATTAAATGTTCACAGAAAACGTCCTTATTATAAATCCTTTTGAACTAAAAATAATTACTTCCTTATGGAGGTAATTTATTTTTTCAAAAAAAGGCTTTTCCATTGGATATCAACGAAATCAAGCAAAATTATCAAAAATGCTCACCTTATCGAGCCAGGGCCAATCGTCGATTCTAAGGGTTCGACGGGTCTGTTCAGCCGTCGCGTTGAAGGCCCAAGACATCATGACGGCAAAAAGGACGACGCCGATCACACACATCGACGTCGCCATCAGTGATCCGTAAGGAACTCTGGAAATCGAAGAAATTTCAAGATGTTTATCTCAGTTGAACTTTTTTTTTTCATTTTTACTATTACAGAACTCTGATCAGTCGTTAGAGACGCTAAAGGAGATGATGAAGAATATTTTTAAAAGTTGAAAAAAAAAACAAATGTGCTTTTGAAAAACATCTATGGAATTTAAAAAAAAGGCATCCAAATTTTAGGACGTGGGTTCCCTTACTTTCCCGGTCTACTTTATACTATCCACATCAAGGTTCTGTTCTCGCATGCAAAAAAATAAATCTTCTCATAAGAAAAAAAATTCTCTCTTTTTGCGATGGTCAGCTGTCTTATCGCGGTACACCTTTCTTATTCATAAAAAAAGACTAGTTATCAAAAGAAAAAAAATTGTTCAAATCCCAATGAAAAATTTTGAAAAAAATATGTCTTTTTATTAACCAGTTTATTAGAAGAATCTAAGAAAAATAAAACAGTAAGGGAATAATTACAAATAGCATATATTTTTTCGAAAGTACGTCTATTTCTTGATAAATCTAGAGCTATGATTGAAAATGGAGGTTAAAAAAGCGAAGAAGGCGAAAACCTTGATCCAACAGATCTTTTTGGAAACTAAAAGTTAACTCAGACTTGTTTTGAAAAAAAGAAAAATTAGAATCGAGCTTTTTTCAGCTTCTGGGAAAATCTACCTGACTTCATGTTCTGAAAAGAGACAACGAAGGGACTAAATAAATAAAAAATCTTAATTTTTGTTCAATAATACGAAGAATTTCATTGATGAAAGACAACTTTCTCGAAAAACGAAGTATGAAAACTTAGAAACTTATGAAAATGAGAAAAATCAACATATTTATTAACCTGTGAAGACATCCTTCTTTCTTGGGGTCGTGATGGACTGGAATCACGGCGCCAGTGTATTTTGGCGCCCGCGGACGGGCCAACCTATCTCTTTCGTATCCAATTTTGCCGAATCTCCTAAAATGGACGGAATAAATCGAACAGCACAAGAGAGTATCGATTTCTGAAGGATCCCAAAATGTATACACATGCAGACGAGGGAAAACGGCGTGTCTGGGAGAGCAAACAATTTGCGGAGGCGTCCGAGTTTCAGGTTCGCTTAGTCAACGCATATTTTTGCCATCTTCTAACTTTGAAAAAACACTCTAGAATAAAAATCTGAAGCTCTTACTTTTGAAAAAATCAAAATTTATTTTGATTTGAAGAGAAGAAAAGGTACAGTGAAAATTGAGGAGAAGGGTACTCAGGAGCTTTAGATTGGTCCCAATAGGGATAGAGGAAAAAACAGTCCTGTAGGGGTTCAATCAAGGTGGCCCCTATAGGGGTTTAGGGTCTGAATCCTTAGCCCCCAACGCTTAAGTGGTCCCTATAGGGGTCGTTCAATTCTGTTCAAAACAGTTACTTATTGAGTTTTTCGGATAGCGAACATAAAAATTATCGATTAGCCTGTCCCCTGTAGGGGCCACTAACTAAAACCCCTATATGGACCACTTTTGAAAGGCCCCTATAGGGGTTGGTAAAGTGGTCTCTAGAGGGAACCCTTCAAGGGCCCTAAGGTTGCCCCTATAGGGACCACTTTGGAGTTCCCTAGCAGGCGAGATTATGTTTTTTGACAACAATTCGACCTTCAAAGAGATTTTTTAAAATAATAAATAAAAAAAACAGCATAAGTGGACAGTGGCCGGTGGAAATGGAATCGTATGAATTGGAGACGGCGGTCAGCGGCTTATTTGCTCGGCCGGAGAGAGCAGAGTCCCTGACTCACATACACACAAACACATGTACGGGGCCATCGCGAATGATAAGACGTTTTTCGGCGTGGTTTTTCCAGTTAAATGACTTGGCTCATCTTCTTCGGTTTACTTGTTGCTTCCAGGCCTATTTTGGCGATTGTTGGTAGGATTTTCACGTGGTTTCTCATTATCAGACTTGGGTACTCCAGAGTGCTCCCTATAGGGGCCCTTGGAGGGTACCCTCTAGGGGCCCCTAAAGCTTGAAAAAGTGGTCTTTATAGGGGACATTCTAGTAGATGATTTTCATGTACTGTATGCGAAGAAGCCATTCCATGCGAAAAACTAAATGAATAAGCGTTTTTTGAAAGAAGTTGAAAGACCCCTATAGGGACCACTTAAGCTTTAGCGACTAAGGGGTCAGACCCTAAACCCTTATAGGGACCATCTTGATTTTATCCCTATAGGGACCACTTCGAAAACTTAAGGAAAAGGAAATTAAGTCTGTTCGAATTTCTCTACTGTATTTAGAAAAGAAGAAATTGAAAAACATTCACTTTTTAAGGTTTGGGAAAAAATCCCTAAACAACACTGCTACCTAGTTTCTAAAACCTAACCTTACAGGTGGGGTTCCAGTCAAAATTTTCGATCCAGATCAACTAGGCATCGTAAAATCACTAGCCGAGTTCGAACAGTGGAAAACGTTGAGAAACTCCCATTTGGAACAATTTGAAGGTATTTCTCCATTTCATTTCTCCTGAAGTGACTCCTCAAAGATTACCCACTCGGATGGCCGTCATTTGGCTGTGAGAGACCCAAAAGACCAACTGCGAGGTCAGTTCATCGGCTGACCCCTGGAGACATCGAAATAATCGCCGCCTTGGGTGATTCGTTAACAGTTGGTAAAACATTAGCTAGTAGCAAAATAAGGATGTTTCCAGGTTGGTCAGGCCGCTTTATCGACAAGCCTTTCTGATATCGGAAGTCTTTTCACTGGAATCAACTTTGCAACAGGCACGGCACGTTCACTTGATCATACAGCCAGTCTCGCAAGTTAGTTTCTTTAATCAAAGTAACTAATTCCTCTCAAACTCCTTTCAGACATACTACAATACTACAATCAAAACCTTATCGGTGGATCGAGCAAGTTGAAAAATCATGGAAATGCGGGGATTGGAATGAATTTCGCGAAAAGTGGGGCTACAGCTCTCGACCTTCCGCGCCAAGTTTTTGCGCACTTTTTCTTAAAGATTATTTCAAACCGCATCAGGCAAAAGAACTCGTCAAGTATATCTCTGGAATTAAAAACAACGACCGGAAATGGAAGTTCGTCAATGTTTTCATAGGTTCCAACGATTTGTGCAGCGTCTGCCTCAATGAGGTTTTTTCTCAGAGAGTATTCAACTGAAAATTGATTTCAGACATTGTTTGGATCCGAAAACTATGGAAGGACTTTATTAAAGTCTTTGAACATTCTCAGGTCGGGAATCAAAAGACTATTCGTGAACGTGATGCCTGCCTTCAATGTCGATGTAATACGGAGAACTCACAACATCAGTGACTTCTGTCAGACAATTCACAGGTCAGAAACTCTCATTCCAGTTGCGCAGACTCAATTTCCTTTTCCTTAGTAAAGTTCAATTAGTTCTCTAACTGCCCCGCATACCATCAAAAAAATGCAGACAGGTTATAAATTTCTTTTTAAAATGGCTTTTTTGAAGTGGTAACGGCAGTAGTCGATATCATTACCTCCTTTGAAAAAAAAGTTAAAGGAATTGGGTAATTCATGGCGAAATGTTACAGAGTGGCTTGCCCTTGCCTTTTCGAAATGAGCTCCGCCGAACTGAGAGCGAAAAAACAAGAACAATTTGCGGAGATGCTGAAGATCGTCTCCAGCTTCCCGAACAACGACGACGATTTCGCGGTGGTTGTGTCGCCGGCGTTGGAAACTGACAAACTGCCTACTCTACCCGATTCTACCTTGCCAAACACGGCTTTTCTGGCTCTCGACTGTTTCCACTTTTTTCACGTTGCGCATGACGTCGTCGCCAAGCAAATCTGGAAGGGACTGTTCGAGCCAGTTGGCGCCAAGTCCATCACGGACTTCTCACAACTCCAACCAGCTCTCTGGGACTGCCCGCCGCCGGTTCAGTTCAAAAAATGAAAAATATCAAACAAAACACTCTTCAGAACTGTCCCTACTTTGCAACTGCAAACAATACCGAACTTTGCAAGAAAGCATTGTATCGACCACCGTCCTTGCCTGAGCAACGCTTCAGGGCTAGTTCTGAATATAAGAAATGAAACAAAAACAATCTTTTTCAGCTCTCTGAGACTAGACTTCTAGTGAAATCGCCCAAAGCACAGAACCAAACCGTAATCCCTTGGATAATTTTGTCGATTGGTAGCACATTTATAGGTCCACCGAAGCTTTAAACTCAAATTACAGTTGCGATGATCGGAGTGACTTCAGCTTTTGTCGTAACAACTGTTTTCCGCAGAAGGATGCGTGATGGAGAAATGCAGCCTCTTCTTGTCCGTATGGATATACGTGATCATATTTTCTAGATTCTACCTTGCCAAAGTTTGAAACTACCTCATTTTTTTCGTTAGATACAATTGGTGAAGCTCCTGGTTTGTTTATTGTGTTATTGTTGTTGTTATTCGGCATAAATTGACGCCTAAGATCTCCCTAAGAAACACAAAACAACCGTTGACCCAGCAAATCTCCTACTAACAGCGAAAAAAACAAACTGAGAGTGGAACGGTTTCGCCACGAACAATGCCCAGTACTGCCGACGGTTTCCTGATTCTGAAGATCCAGTTCTTCGCCTCGAAAAAGAAATGAAGGGAACGCACGAAAAACACTTGATTTCGAAAGGAATTTTCTTTGTATTTTGTTCGAAGTTTGTAAGAATAATGCTTAAACAATACCAGATCACATCATAAACGTCAAAAGAAAAAAACTGTTTTTTTCAAAGAAAAAAAACTACGTAACGTTTAGTAAAAAAAGTAGAAAGAAAGGATAAAACTTTCGATTTTCGATGAGAATCGCGTCGAAATAGTTCAAAAGGGAAATTAGATGCGTTATCAATCATTACGGATAAAAAAATGTAGGAAGAAATTGAAAAAGAAAATCGAAAATTAAAAAATTATTTTTTTGCGAGATGTTATCAGTCGAGCGCGATCGACCTAAATTTTCTTATTTTCCACGATTTTTTTATTTCGACTTTTTTTCTATTTTGCAGGGTCCATTTAGACTTTTAATTTCAGATTTTGTTTGTAAAGTGACTTCACTGATGCTTTTTCACGCTGATTAGAACAATTTTTTTTCTGTTGTCATTTTCAAGTTCTTTATAACAAAATATTTTGTAAAATAGTTGCGAATCAAGTATTCCCAATAAAACTCATCGAGATGTAGAAGAAGCTTGACACCTCTCAAGGTTGTTCATAAGGCGCTTCGTTTCTTTTGTTGAGGGGTTGCGCTCTCAGCTTTTCATCGCGATTTGAAGTGATGATTTGGCATCGTCAGCTTCAAATGGCAGAAGTCACGCCCACCTTGGTGATGCCACGCCGACGGGCGGGTACCTGGCGTCGCCGCATGACCGTCGCAGTCGGATCGTCCGTGTGCCACCAATGCTTCTTCCGACCATTTTGTACTCGCTTCTCGTAGGTACGATTCTCTTCCAGATTTTTTTTCTCAATTATTCCATTTTTTGATAATTTCTTGTTATTTTTTTAGTTTTCCTATATCACTTAGAGGTGTTTATCACAAATATGATAATTTATATTATTACTATATGCTTCAAATCGATGTATAAAGACGAAGTGCTTCAAAACTACGTGTCTATCAGCCATTATTAAATTAGAAACAAAATCTCAACGAATTTTCAACTAAAGATGTGGTTCTACTTAATTTCCTGATGCCGAAACATTTTTGAACTGTTTTCAGAATCCTGAATCCTTTTTCGGTAATTAGGAGTTTTTACAGGTTTTAATTTTTAAGATACCATCTCTTACATCAATATTTACTCGGATTTATTTTCATAAATTCTTATAGGACAATTTTCTTTTGGGTAGGAAACGTGGCACAGACTTAAAATGAGGTTTTTTTTTTAGTGAACCTTTTTTTTTCGAAAATACTCTGAGTTTTCATTGATCGATACGCATTCCATGAAAAAAATTCTTGTGAATCTCAGAAAATTATAGTTTCAAAGTTTATCAAGTCCGAAAAAGTATAGAAGAGATTCATTAAAGCTACAAAGAAAAGACGTGCCTGATATTATCGTACAAGTTTCGAACAGAAAAAAAATATAATTTTTTCAAAATCCATGCTCATTCCAACGTTCACACGGCACAAGATTCGCATAGCCGACAGAAAAAAAGAAAAATTTAGAAAAAGAATTAAAATTTTTTTGTGTTCAACAAGAAAAGGCTGGATTTAAGGCAAAGTAGCCGGGCAGCTCTACCAAGGACAAGGCTGGCCTCAGCAGTTCAGCGTGCCGTTCCAGCCATTCCAGCAGCCACAACAGCCGCAGTTCTTCCAGCCTCAGCGACCTGTCCCCCAACAACAGTTCTTCCAACCAGATGCGCGACTCCAGAACGCCCAATTTGATCAACAACAACAACAACAGCAACTGCTGCTGCAACAACAGCAATTTCAACAGTTCCAACCGCCCCAACAATTCGTCCAACCACAGCCTCAACGAACGCTGCCCACACTCCAACAGCCTCAACAGGAGGTCGTTTATCATCACAATGTGCGCTCCATCGACAACTTCAACGGCGAGCGGATGTTCTTCGAGCAGCCGCAGGTCTTCCAACAAGAAAAAGTGGAGTTGAGACGATGGGATTCTCTGGGAAACGACAGGTTTACAGATAACGTTGCTGGCCAAGCCACCCCCTCCGCCGACGCCGCCACCAAGACACATTTATCAGCAGCAAAACGTTAATGTTCGTATTTTTTCTCGCTTTCGTTGAGGGATTCCCCGAGGGCTTTACAATGTGCTCGAGGTAACTGTGGGAATCAAAAAGAGCCGTTCCCGATCCGGACTCAATATTTTTTGACTTTGAAGCCTTATCCGTTGGCAGGTTATCATTTCCAGGAACTTCTCACCTTATAGTTCAAAAAAAAGAGTTGGAAAAAGCTTTCAAAAGGTCCTATTTGACCTGGTTTTCAAAATAGACTCATTTTGATCTCGTTTTTAATAATCTTCTTTTACAAAATCCTAAAAATTTCCAGTTCCGAGTCCCAGAGCCGCCGCCACGCTTCATACCGCAGGTGAAAGATTTGTTCGGAGCCGAGGGAAAACATCTAGTTGATAAGGTTTTTTTCTACTCTGAGAATTTTCTTCCACGCTTACTAAAAATATTTTCTTTCATCAACGTCTTTTTATAAAATTTCATCTTGCAAAAGCGACAGAACCGCAATAATCTTAAGAATTCCATATAGGGGAAACCTTAAGGGACCTTGGAAGGACGAATTCTGCGGTCTCTATAGGGACTGGTTTTCCCCCTAATCCATATAGGGACCAATCTAAAATTCCTGAGGATGAATTTTTTGTCAATAGCTTTTGCAATTCTTGAATCTTCGTCTTCTTATACTTGTTCTGCACATTTTTTTAATATATTTTATCTTACTATCAGAACGTCTTGAGTTATTCACAGTAGTTTCAGTGACAAAAACTCAAGAGAAATTTTTTTATTTTTTTGCTATATTTTTCTTTCTTCGTTAAATCTTGATCAGAGTTTGACAATCTAGCCTAAAAATTTTCGAGTTTTTATGGAAACCTCTATTTAGAGAGTTTTGAGATACATAGAATAGAGCTTATCGTTACATTGGGGTTCATAACTTGGAGTTTTGTGAGTTTGATAAAAAAAAATTTGCTCATTTCACATTTTTTACGCACAGTGGAGTTTTCCTATTTCTCGAATTTCACCAATAAAATCGCGATTTATTGGAAAGAATTTCAAAAAGCTCAACCTTCTTAGGAATTTTAGAGTGGTCTTTATAGGGGTTAGAGGAAAAACGGCCTTTATAAAGGTAAAATCAAGGTGCTCCTCATAGGGGTTTGGGATCTGACCTCCTAGACCCTAAAGCTTGAGCGGTCCCTATAGAGATATTTCAACTTCGTTCAAAAACACATGAAAATGCTTCTTTGCATAGAGTACATAAAAACTATCGATTAGCATGTCCCCTAGAAATTCAGCAGTGTTCAGAAGCTTCTCTTAAGCTAATGAATCTTAGTATTTTCCCTCCAACTTTCCGAGATTTTCAAAGCCATTTGTTCCAGAATGCTCAGTACAAACCACAGGAGATCTTGGTCGACGGTCACCACGCGGCTTATTTCGAGAACACGGCTCGGACGCAGCCAGCAGAGTCCAAGACTCGCATTCAAAGCGCTGAACACGGAACCCAAGGAGGCGTCACTCCCGACTTTAAGCTTCGCATGAGGGTTCGTTTGGGTGTCTGGGTCTCTCTGTCACCGGCGAGGTCAGAGAAAAATGAAATTAGCGCGTTATCGTGAGAGAGTCGCCGAGAGAAGAGGAGGGCGCAGAGAAAAAAAAATCGCGAGAAACGGAGTATACCTTGGAAGAAACTTTTCAAACATTATACCATAATAGTATATAGCCTGTTCGCCGCAACTTGACAGTTTTCGCGTGTCTGCGTCTCTCTGTTCCCTCACCGGCGAGGTCAGAGAAAAATGAAATTAGCGCGTTATCGTGAGAGAGTCGCCGAGAGAAGAGGAGGGCGCAGAGAAGTTCTGTCCTTATCAAATGAACTATATCCTCCTTGAAACTTCCTTGGTGTGAGAATAGAAGCTTCTTCAATATTTTTGAAGCTCCCAATTTAATTTTTTAGGTACCCGAGCTGCCTCCTCCACAGCCGCCTAAAAAGATAGTGATTGGTCCAGTGTTGGCTCCACCGGCGACGCGAAATCGCGTGACGACATCGCAGACGTCACGCCCTCAGAGGCCTGTTCAGAAGAGTCGACGACCGGCGCCAGCGGCCAAAAAGGTTCCCGCGACATCGCATCTCGCGGCCCCCGTCCCTGCCGCTGCCGCTGGGGTCAGCTTTTTCTTCTTCTCTAAAATTTGAGACTATTTTAGGGCTTTTTAGAGTTGGTTAGTTTTTATCTATCAGTTTTTAATAAGGTTTTCACCTGAATTCTTTCAAGGTTGAAGGTTCCTATTAAAAAAAGGTTTTGTATAATAAATCTTTGATGAGCGAATCTATCAAAGGCGTATTTTCATGGGTAACTTGAGCATCCTGGACTGTCTGCGCTCTCTACCAAGGAGACACTGTCTCTTTTCTTATCGTCTCAGAACCCTTCTTAGAAATTCTAGAGTTGTCCCTATAGGGGTTAGAGGAAAAACGACCCCTATAAAGGTGAAATCAAGGTCTCTATAGGGGTTTATAATATGACCTCTTAGCCCCCAAAGCTTAAGCGGTCCCTATAGGGAACTTTCAACTTCTTTCAAAAAACGCTCATTTATTTAGTTCTTCGCATAGAGTACATAAAAACTATCGATTAGCATGTCCCCTCTAGGGGCCACTTACTAAAAGACCCTATAATGACCACTAAAGCTTGACTAAAACCATAACGTACGATGTACTAAAAAGTTCTTCAGAAAAAAGGGGAAAATATTTTTTTTACTCAAAAATATTTCAGACGCCCAACGAGAAATTTTTGTCGTGTTGCAAGAAAAGAAGCGTCGACAAGTCTTGCGAACGAATTTGCAGCTTTGACGTCCTCAACAAAAAGACCGTGGGTTTTACTTTCATTATTTAATTTTGAAGTAAAATTTTGATAAAGGCTTTATTAATTTTGAAAATTTTTTTGTTTTTGTACTCTCACTCATTTCTTCTCTCCAGTTGCCTTTTCATTCCATCACGCCTTTTTTGGAAATTTTCAGCTTCTCAGGCATTAAGCGTGCCTGGCTGAATTTAAACTCATTTAGTGGCCACTCAAGTAGCTCCTTCGCCTCTTTAGTGTTCACTTGAGAAAGGGCAGAATCACCCTGACTTTTACCTCTTCTAAGACATTGCTTTGTGGTTACTAGTACCAGTTACTTGTACCCGACTTTTACTTCCGCTAACTGGTGGCAATAAAAATAAAAAGGTACTTTGAATAACCCGATTTTTCTGTAATGGCGAGTCACTTCAGTGAAAACTTTTGATGAGGGATTTCCTTTATTTTTAATCTTTTTTTAAATAGTGAATGAAAACTTGGATCGCGCAAAATGGTTTTAAGATCGAAAATCCGTAGCTTTTTCTTGACATTGGTTATCAGAAAAGAGGATGTCTTATAAAATAAGGTTATTCTATCCGAAGTGAAAATAAATTGAGATTTTTCGATTAAGAGCAAGAGCCTAAGTTTTCCCTGAGTTGGGGCTCTTTTCAGCAACCCTTTAAGAAAGAAAAACTCCAGAAAACTTCCGGGAAATTCCCAGAAAATCACTTTCTGGTACATAAGTTCTATCTTGTATTTCAAAAAGGCCTTTTTTGCAGTTGACGGGAATGTTCCTGGGAACAGACCCGTGTCCGCAGTCCAACGGACTCGACCTTCTACAGTGCGCCGCCGACAACGACGACCACACGCAGTGCTGCATCGAGCGTGACGTCACTCGGACCTCAGCCGGAAATAAATGCCTTGGATTCTGCAACATGAAGCCCGGCGTCACCTTCCAAGTTCGTCAAGTTCAAGAAGAAAAAATAGAAGCTCCTAAAACGCTCGTGATACATTACATAGATCGGTCTGATCCTCTCAATGTTTTTGTTCTCTGTGGAATCGGCTTTTTGAAAAGTTATTTAGAGGCGTATAACTTGAAAAAAATTTTATGTGACAGGTGATTAGTTACTTGTGACAAGGGAAAAAAAAGAAACTATGCCATTTTTTTATGATACTCCGAATTTTATGTAAGAAAATGAAGTTTAAAAAACCGTTGGCCCGATCAATATGTCCGATCGAAGATTAGGAACGAAATGAGAAGCGTTAAAAATCAATCGATTAAGATCGGCCCAATGGTGAGAGGCAAGGGATATTAGGCGGTGTGTTTGGCATCTGCGTATAAAAAACACGAATTGGATGATGGCGTCTGGGCAGACCCGGCGTTGCAAGTTCTTTGTAGCGAGTTTGCATTGCGTTTGTTGCACTGCGCAACAACCTGAATGCCATACACAGGGCACCATTCGCGTGGACAATACCGATGGCCAACGCAAAAAAACTATTAGAGGGATCATTTTTTGAGAATCGATTGTATTTCTTAAACTGTATATTTGGCCGAAAGCCTATAGGATCCTCCTAAAAGATCTTGCAGAAAAATCAATTTTTAATTTTATACACATTTTCTTTCAGGCCGATGTTTCTATGCTGCCTTGCTGGAGCGTCCTCAACGACATCAAACAATGCTTCAAAGAAAACCTCGAACGACTATAACTGCAATCTTATCTAGTCATTACCTAGAGACAGTTCAAAATTGTTAAACGGAGAAATATTCAAATCTACACTAATTATAACATTTCTGCGAACAGTTTGAACAGCGCCCAAGCGTTTTTCTTTTTGTTTTGTTATTGGTTCCACACACCGGTGACTTGATAATTTTATAAATGAGAAAAAAAAATAAAAATAAAACTAAAAATTTCATTCCTACTACTCGCAATGCAAATTTAAAACAAAAAGGTGTTGTCTACTGAGAGGAAAAAAACTTAACAATCAATAACAACAGAAACAGAAAATCGAAAAGGAAAATTAGGCCTTTAAACTTTAACGTTTCTTTTCGCTCAAATTCAAATAATCGTTGTCAGCGATGTTGAGCATCAAACCACCCGCGGGCAAATAAACCTGAAAATAATAGTTTTTTGTCTGGAAACTCAAGATATAATGAACCTTTCCAAAAGTTCAAAAATTTTGAAATAACTGACCTTGTTACCAGGAGCGTCGGAAATCGTTTTGGCAATCTTTTGCGCGGCTCGAATCTTACGCAGTTTCAAGAATCCAGGGTCCGAACGCATGGCTTCTCCGAGCTATAAAACGAATCATATAACTTTCTTCTGCGATCGAAAAAAGTATTATAGAAGGAAATTCATGTTTGAAAATTAACGAGATCAGGAAGACAACCTTCTATTCCTGGTTCAGTAATTTCACATATTTTTTACGTCGGCCTTTACAACAAACCCATAAACACTACCTGGGTCTGCCAAGATCACGACGATTTTTTTTTCAAATTTTTCACTGTCGAAATTTTTAATTTAGAGATCGCAAAAAAATTACCAGTTTGGCGGATTCAGCTTCTCCTTCCGCTTGTACAATCTTTTCTTGTTTCTGCTGCTTGGCTCGTTCGACCAAGAAGGAAGCACGCTGAGCTTCTTGTGCTGCAACCTGCTTGGCTTCGACGGCGGCCGAATACTGGGGAGAGAAGGCGAGCTCAGTCAACGACACGTCGTCGAGGATGATGTTAAAGTCAAGCGCTCGCTCAATCAGGGCTTTCCGCACGAGCATTGAAACCTGGATTCAAAATTGGTTGAATTATAAATAAAATTGGATACCTGTTGACGCTGGGTGATCAGTTGAGAGGCGTTGAACTTCGCGACAACACCTTTGAGCACCTGAAAAACAAATTTAATTTATATCGTATATTTCAGGGGTATTGATTAGAGTTCTCAAAACCGAACGTTCAAAAAATGACCGTTTGAAAAAAATGAACTTTTTCTTTTTTCGATAGTTTAGGATATATCATTTTCAAACGTTCAACCAAAAAGTTCGAAAATCGTTTTTCTTATAATAATGAACGTTTGCTTTTCACATAAAAAAACGGACGTTCGTTTTTTGAACGAACTTTTTTGAAATGGAAAATGAACGTTCGTTTTTTGAACGAACTTTTTACGAACCAAAAATGAACGTTCGTTTTTTGAACGAACTTTTTTAAAATGAAAAACGAACGTTCGTTTTTTGAACGAACTTTTTACGAACGAAAAATGAACGTTCGTTTTCTGAACGAACTTTTTCAAAATGAAAAATGAACGTATCTTTTTTGAACGAACTTTTTTACGAACGGAAAATGAACGTTCATTTTGGTTGAACGTTCAAAAGCAAACTTTAACCAAAAGTTTGGTTTCAACATTTGTTCGAAAATGTTTGGTCGAACGTTCGTTCGAACGTTTGGTTTTGAGAACTCTAGTATTGATAGTTATTTTTCTCAATTCAAAAAAAACTAGGATGAAAAAAACGTACTTCGTTGCAAATGGAAGGAAGAACTCGTTCCTCCCAGTTTTGTCCCAAAGTTCTGTAGATCTTGACGAGCTGCTCTGGATTGGGGCGAGCAAGAACTCGAAGTCCAATGTTGACCATTTGCAAATCCTTGCTTCCCGTTGGTGAGCGGAGCTTTAAGCGAAAAATTAATACGAAAGCCCTATCTATACAAGTACCTGATTCGGGCGAGCACGGATATCGTAGACGATAGGATATTGGAACCAGGGAATACGGAAGTGAAGTCCTTCTTTGTACACAACATCGGAAAGGCCGCCAACGCGGTTGAACATCACAGCTCTGTGACCGGCATCAACTGCAAAGAAACTAAATCGGTGAAGTCCCCACATACTATTTCATCACCTGTGAACATGGCTTGAGATACACCATAAATGGCAGCTCCTGCAACGGCCACCAAGCCTGCGCCAACTCCTGCTCCGCGAGCATTTTGAATAACTTTTTTCATATCAGGGCCTTTTTGCGCCATCTCAAAAATTGATGATTGAGAAGTTAAAACCAGATACCCAGTTCTGTACGGAATATCAAAAAGGTCGATAGAATTACGAAACGCGCATAAAAAATATTATCAAAAATTAAAAGTGAGAATAAAACTGATAGCAAAACAGTTAATTTAACAGAAAGATTGGAGGGCATACATTGAAACAATAGGTTTCCAAAAATCAAAATAGATTAAAAAACATTTGAATCTGAACTAAAATAAATAAGTAAGAACATTTGATGATGCAAAGAAAAATGAAGTTCTTTCGATAATGTGAAGAAATTCATAAACTATCTAAAATACGCAACTTCTGTCTTCTAAGCTTTTCTTACAAAGTTCTTCAAGTCAGAGGATGAAACAAAGTATAACTTTACAAACAAGAATTGGAAAAAAGACGAAGAAAAATGAAAAAAAAAATCAGAAAAGAGCGGGATAGCAAGGAGAGACGCCAGAGAAACGAAGCCAATACCATGAGAGAGCCATGCGCCTTTAATAACCTGGTAAACTTTCTTCAAACCCTTTTTTTGATAGAATAGAACCTGTTGAAGTCTTTACAAAAAAAAACGAAGACAACGAAGAAAAATAACAATTAAGATGTTAACTCAGGTGCTTTTTTTCCAAAAAAATAATGACTTGTTTTTAAATTTGGTATTTCACCTTTCACCCTTTTGAGTTTTTACAAAATTTTATCAAGAAGGATCAAAACATGAAAAAAAGATCAAAAAGATGGAAATTTTTTTTAAAAAAAACCTTTGTTTTATCAAATAAGGCAATCAAGCGATATCTTATCTCCGAAAGTGGATGGGTACCGCCTTCGAAAAAAGTATTGCGAGAATTACACTCCGAGAAGTAGTTCTATTTGCTGACTATCTTCATGGGTCTCTACCCCATCGACGAACCTACACAAGTCCCCAACATATCTTCTGAAGTCGTTTGTCGAATTCTCAACCAGCATTATGGTATCGCGAATGGTTACTCAATTTTTGCTGTCTCAAGATTCAAACTGAAAATCTCAGCGACTCTCACCAAGTTCTCCGGTTATGAAGACTGCAATTATCGTGTGAGTGAAATCACTTGGAAGGAAGATAGGATTGGACCGAGGCAGGAATGTTTGGTGGTGAAGATCACGAATCCGATCGAAGCGCGGCTTTCCTCTCATTTGGGTCGACACAAGGAAATGGAATGATGAAACTAGGAGTTTCAGATGTTCAAATCGAATTCTGTCGGGTTCTGAGTGAGATTGGAATACCAGTACCTGAACTGGTTCAAACCGTTGATCAACAGCCGTATGTTTATGTTGAAGTGGCACCAAATAGTAAGTATATCTTTAATTAAGCGGAAAAGTATCAATAAGAATCAAAAAAAGCAAACTTTCCAGCGACTTTACCTATAAGAGTGTTCGAACTGCTAGAAGGAAGTCACCTGGAAGATTTTGATTTCGATAAACCCCTCGTCAAAATGTTGGGAGAGCTGCTGGCCAAGATACACTCTGCCGCAGATGCAAATAAATGTCTGTTTTTTTTAAAATTGTATCAGTTTGAATACTTTTTCAGTGTCATCGGACCACGTTCCCTTCATTTCACCTCTAAATCATGTCTCCCTTTTGAAAGAAGCGCAACTCCTCAAAAAGAATGGAAATATCAACGACGAACAGTTCAAACTGGTTCAAGAAAGTCTACAAGAAGCAGTTGAAATCATTGAAAAATCCAAGGATATCGGTCAGAAATTAAATAATTTTTCCCCAATCAGAATAAAATTTACAGGAGTTATTCATTCTGACCTCAACGAGACGAATGTCCTGCTCAGAAACAACGGAAAAAGTGGGGTAGAAGTGAGTTCCCTAAAGTGAAAAACTACAGAATCTCATTTATTTTTCAGATTACCGGCGTTCTTGATATGGGTGATATGCACACGGCGCCGCGTGTTTTCGATATTGGGGCGACTATTTTGTACCTAATTTTAAGCGATCGGAAAAAATCACCGTGAGTTTCCAAAAATGAATGAAAAGAGTAAAGAAGCTTCAGATGGAGTGGGATTATCGAGAATTTACTTCATGGATATCGTAGCAAGAGAGAGTTCAAAGAAGGAAATTATTTGCTATCGGCGATGAAAAGTCGACTCGCTGCTTCTTTGACCTACGGGCTGAGGTGCGCTTTCCAAGTTCCTCTCACTAGTCAGACGTTTCTGGGCAATTCTAGTGGCCCCTTTAGTAGCGTCAGACCTCGCCCAAGAACGTCCGAAGCACGTCCGTCTCCAAGCAAAAAGAAAAAAATTAAGAACGGCAAGATTGAACGTGCGTGGGGAGAGCGTCGACTACATCCTCAAGACCCAAATCAACGGTTGGACTGTTCTGAAGGTTTCTATCTTCACAAAACCGTTTAACTCATAATTTTCAGGAATTGACAAAACTGGACAGAGAGCAGTTCAAATAGTGCGATAACACATGTTTTATGAATAAATAATCACTTTATGCTTTTTCTCTACGAATATCACAGAAGTTCTAGTTAAAACTTGCAAATATCACACGGTTAGAATTAAAACAATGATACATGAAACGAGTCGAAAAAGAACAAACAACACAAAAATCCTTCTGTCGAAACTGAAGGCGCCCGTCAAAGTTTAAATGGTGAATAAATGAATTAAATTAAAATGCGGTAAGCTCGTCAGAGTTCGACCTTCTCGTCGGTCTGGGTTCCCTTGTCCTGAAATGGAAATTCTCTTGGCATAAAAAAGGTGCGGAAAAACCTCAGAGGCCACTTTCTCAGCATCTTCTCCCTTCTTCTGACTCGTTTCTCCCTGTAGAGAAAATAGAAAAATCAATAAATAAAGAAGAATCGAACCTCGTCTTCTTTGGTGGTTTCCTCTGTCTTCTCCGGCTTCTTCTCATCTTTCTCCATTTTGAAGTCCTTTCCGAGCGAGTTGAGGTCAATTTTCTTCATTTTCTTCATGAACTTGTCCACCTCCTTGTTAAGAGCAGTCAGCTGAAACAGAACCTTTTTTTTCCTCATTTTTTACACTCTCAACCTTGGATTTAGCGTATTTTGTAGTCGACGGGAAGTCGTCGTTCGGATATCGACTGCTCATTTTCTCATTGATTTCGGTCAGCCACTCACTCAGCTTATCCAACTTTTTCCGGAAAGCATCTCTGTCTTTCTAGAAAAAAAAGAGATGTAAAAATTTGAACTTATTTCAAAAAACCTTCTCAAAAAGAGCCTTCGAATCATCGACGCCCTCACCCATGGAGACCAAGGTCATCGTGGTGTTGATCAACGTGTTCAAATTATTCAACGCTTCAGGGAAAGTCTACGAGACTTTGATAAGGTTTGAAAAAGTTAGCAAAAACCTTAGATTCCTCGATTCTTTCGCGAATCGGCTTCACCAACTTCTTCAGCGAGTTCAGCCGTTCAAGGAAATCTTCGGTTTCAGTTTCCACAGAAACCTCGTCTTCCATCCAGGTCCGGATTTTTGCAACCTGCACGTCATTAATAAGATTGCAATTTTGTGAGATCCATTTCAGGACAAGATTTATTTTTTTATTTTTGATAAAAGAGCTTCTCTGCTGTTTTTTTCTTCTGAATATTCTCTTCTATAGTCCGTTTTTTCGCCACTTGAAAGGGCAGCACTTCTCTGCGCCCTCTTTAAATCTAAACGCCTCTCTCATTATTACGTGCTTTTTCCATGTTTCTCTGACCTCGCAGGTGAGGAAACAGAGAGACGTAGACACGCGAAAACTGTCAAGAAGTCCCTATGAGACAGTTATTTTCCTAAGTCTCTAAAAAATCAAAAAAGAAGGTATTGAACTTGAAAACTTCAAATAATGAGCTTAAGAACTTTGCAAACTTAGAAGCTTCGAGAGATTTTTTCTTGTTCTAGAATCAGAAGGCCCTTAAGTGCACTTCAGCGAAGTTTTCCGGGGGGTAAAAAAAAGTTTTTCCATCCGTTTGAATGATATTGATATCTTATAAACATTTCCCATCCACAAAAAATCCATTCCAAATGCGCAACCTGCTGTTCAATCGCCTCTCTTTCTTCACTTTTCGACGACTCCACAAACTGCGAGTCATCAAATAGAAGGCTCGACTCGAAAGTGAACGATTCGAGTTCATTTTCAGCCGCAGCTCGTTCAGCCGCAAACTTCTCCGATTCAGCGAATTTGGCGAGTCTGAAATGAGACGCTGAGAACCCATGGTTTCTGAATCTCAACCTTCTCTTTCCGTCAAGAACATCGTAGTTGTTTGGAACGTAGGACGCAGGGAAGTTGAGTGACAACTTGAGGGAAATATTTGAGGGCAACGGAGTCGTGACGTTGGCGGCCAGGGTTGCGTTTCCAGCGGGTTCTGTGATCTGAAGATGATCATTTTGAGATGTTGGACTCCAGGAATAGTTACATTCGAAGAAGCCTGATCATCGGACGTTTCGTTCTTTTTCTGCTCTGTAGTTTTCTCTTCTTTCGGTTTGGATTCTTCTTTCTCAGCGCGTTCCGCTGAAGCAGAGTCCGTTTCTGTGGTCGCTTCTCCGTCTTCTGTTTTGGACGAGAACAAATTGCTGATTGTGTTGGTGATGGCTGAAATTGAATCAATGTTTTTTTCGACGGAACCTTGAAGGATGAAGATACATTTAAGGTATTGTTTGCGCCAAGTTACATAAGAAAGTTACAAAAATTACAACTTAATACTTCAAAAAAAGGGTGGGACGACATAGCTCAGCTGGTTAAGACTCATTTCTAACATTCGCGAGGTAGTAGGTTCGAGCCTTTGACGGCACCGTACTTCTTCCTACGACCTCTCTTATACCTGATGTTCTACGAGCGAAGTTCTCAATTTCTCTGCCTAAGCTACAGCTCCAGCCGCCGTTTAAAAACATATTTAAATTAATGAAAGTCGATTGCACATGTATTCTTACATTAAAGATGCAATAAACAGTTTTCTTTAAACAGCTTCATAATAATGATCAGGAAGCAGTTTGAGCTCCCAGTGTGACTTCTAAATGAGATTTATGTATAAAAATTCAATGTCAGAGTATTTCCTAATTCTATCAACCCTACAGAGACCAATCAATGTGTCAAAAATATTCTCCGCCTTGAACTCGAAGGAAAAAACGAACATTTGACAATTCCTTGGCTGGCTTCGACTGTGGCGTCAGCTCTCACAACACGAACGATTCCAGAACTGTCAAGCTCAAAGACAACCTACAATAAGTTTCTGAAATAAATAACAGCTTTAAAAGTTACCTTGACGCCTTTGAACTCGTCCTTCAGATCAGTGTACTTGGCCAACTCGTCGGAAAGGCCGGAGACATCAATGGTTGTGAATTTGTTCAACAACTGTCCGATTTCGCTTCAAAGACAAGAATAACCTTTTCTAAGAAAATTATTAGAATAATACCCCAGTTGTTTCTTGGTCAAAAGCTCATTGTTTCCATAAGAAAGTGTGAAGGTGAAGTCTTCAGTGTACGACGTGAAAGAAATCGTCTGGAAACGGAAAAAAAAATGGTTAAAAAGATAACGAGCCCAACCTTCCTCTTGGTGGGATAAAAACTTTTGGCCGGGAAAAGTGACTTGGTGACCGGTTTTTCAACTGAACTTCCGTCCGGTTGCGCCACTTTGCTCACGAAATCAATCTTAAAACGGTTTATCATAACATAATTGTGGTAAAACAGAAAAACCTCGACAGGGAAAAGAACCAGCTCGTCGACGTTGAACGGTTTCACCTAGAAAAATGAAAATTGCAAGCGAAAACTTTCCTTTCATAAAATCATTAAAGATTCCGTTTATGTATCATTGAATAAGGAATTTGAATATTATCTACCAAAAAGGACGAAAAAAACCATCATACTTGAATATGAGAGACTGAATTTATAAAGAAAAGAGCTAAATTATTTTTTTCCTAGTCTTCAAGATGAATTTTAGCGTCCCACCAATGAAAAACAAAGTCCGATTTATACAAATCTTTGAAAAATCAGAGTTTTATAAATCATCATGATTTCCTTACCTTGAAACCCTTGCTGAGGTGAGCCGCCTGGAAAAGTGCGCCCATGGCGATCGCTTCGTCGGTGTTGAGGAACTTGCCCAATTCCTTTCTTAAAAACAAATGTTCGAGTTGAAAAGGTATCTCGAAATGATACCCAGCAATGGTACGCTGCACAATTTCCTGGATTTTCGGAACCCGTGTTCCAGCGCCCATCAACACAATCTGGTCGATCTGGAAAGTTTCCAGTTAGGAACTTCAGGAGAAGAGCCAAGAGAAACCTCTTCGATGGGCATCTGAGCGATACGGAGCGCCTGTTCGATGGGTTCGCTGACGCGCGGTTCCAAATCGGAAATCAGGGCGTTCAGATCTTCACGGGTCACTTTCAATCGCACGTCGATGTCGTCGTGGGCGCTTTCAATCTGAGCGAAATGTTCCACGTTCGCCGAGAGGACCTTAAAAAAAGATGTAAAAGGGGTGGTATTCAACAGATTTATGAAATTGAAGCACAAGAAAATTATTTTCAGTGGTGAAAAAAAATGATTCTAACAAACTCAGAATGGTGGATAATGGCCGCAAAGAGTGAGAGGCTCAAAAAAGGTCGCAGAAAAGCAGCAAAAAGGGTACCTTTATCGAGTCTTCCATTATTTCTGAGATTTAAAGGCTCAAGAAATGATGGGAAAAGGGGGAGGTAGCAAAAATGGTGCATAACAGCCGATTAAATGGCACAAAAAGGCAGCAAAAACGGAGCCTTTATTACCCAAGGAACATTTCAATGGAGCCTTTTTGCAGCCTTCCGACTTAGGTTAATAACAATAGAAACACTTCCCTGCAGCTTAATTACAGATTATTTCTTTACAAAATCGGCCATTTTTTGAGTTTTGGCTTCCCGGGCAAAAGGCCGTTATGGATCCAGCCGACGTAAAAAAAATACTTGAAACTCGTATAATTAAAAATCAACACTCCAAGATTTTTAAAGCTGAATTTTCGTATTGATACATCCATTTTTGACCAAACCTGCTTCAGTCTCTCTGCCTCTTTGAAAAATTTGGCCATCGACCGTTTATTCTGGCGAACATCGGTTTTCGTCTTGTAGTTCTTGTTGAAGAGCTCCACCAAGTGATCTCGGAGTCGAATCGTGATTTCCAGTCCACCGAGAGTTCTGTCGAACCCAACTCCGAGCACTGTCAACTTAAAATAATATTCATATAGAAAATTCATTTAAGAAACGGCAAACTTTAGGCGTTTTCTCGTACTTTTCCTTGAAAAGCTTGAACTCTACGATAGTGACAGTAGTTTTCGCGGCGCCCATGTCGTACACCATGAGTCTTTGAGGCTTTTCGGTAATCTAAAGATAGAAAATGGAGAGGTAAGGTGAATGAATTTGGGGAAACCTCTTTTCTGCGGAAAATCCCATGACTCAAGGCGGCAGCCGTGCCGTCATTGATAAGCTAAACGAGGTTATTCAGGAAACTGAAAGGAAATTCGAAGATAATACTTGCAAAACGTTGATGTTCGCCATTTCCGCAGCTTTTTCGACGACAAGGCGTTCTGAGGGTGTGAAGTAAGCCGGAACCGTGATTACAGCATCCTGAAAAATATTTTCTAAAGAAATTACTGTAGAATAACTTTCTTTGAAAAGAAACACACTTTTTCCAGACTTTCAAAGACATCAGGGATCTCAAAAATTTTTAAAAACTTCACTGCTTGAAAAAAAGAATCTCTTTTTAAAAACTAAAAAAATCATTTGCCTATGAAAGCCTGAAACTAATTTTTAATTAACAGACTAGAGAAATTCAACACTCCGTAAGACGATAACGATCTCATCTCTGTTGTGATAATTTTTAATCGATTTCCGAAATTTTCATGCAGTTAAATACAAAAAAACCTTGATCATAGGGATCTGAGCGTGTTCCTCAGTGAACTTCTTCGCGTTTGCCAGAGTCATAGCCAACAAGGTCTCGACCGAGAAAAACTCCTCGCTGTCAACAAAAATGATTTCTTTCCGGTTTCAAGGAAAACCAACCCAGATTTGAAGGAAATCCCCGTTTCATTGCGAGAAGACTTGGACACGGCATATTGTGGGAAACGCTTCAAAAACAGCTCGAAAGAGGGATGATCGACGCTTTTTCCGACGAGATCCAGAAGATAGGCAAAAGCTTCCTGGGGATACCGAACTTGCATGGCCAGCGCCGCGTCTCCGAATGACCTGAACCCGGCGATTTGAATTGACGAATAAAAACTTCGAAAAAGCACCTGTGACCGTCATGTATTAACACCATGTTTGGTGTTTTCCGCCGTGATTCTGGATTCAAAGAAATGTCCATTGGAGATCCGGGCTTGACGATTCCAACTTTAATGAACTGTGTCCCGAGGTCGATCGACATCGCGGCAAAAGAACATTCTGAACGCAAAAAAATCCAAACTGCTAAAATGAGACAGAAAGTACCTGAAAGATTCACGAGGGAGCCAATTACTAAGGAGAACAGCAGCCATAATAACCGCATCCTAAAGTTTTCAAGATTGAAAAAATGAAAAACTGAAAAAAGAAAGTATAGGAGCGGAATTCAACCAGAAAAGCAGCAACACGCGGACATATGAAAGAGCATTTATTTCTTAGAAAGTGGCAAAATGAATGGAACAGGAAAGTACACGTGGCAACATCTTCATCGTGTCTTTTTTTACACAAAATAGTAAGAACATGTAGAATTAATCATTCTTGGGCGGGTTTCTGCGTGGCGGCCAACGAATTAAGACGAGCACTCAAACTTTCGCTAAACTTTTCTCTGCAAAAGTAGGCATAAAATAGATTTTAGCTTGAAAAAAAATACCTGTATAACGGGGAAATAGTATCCAATAAAGCATAAAGAGTTTCAAAATATTGCGTATACATAGCAAGCTGACGGAAATCTCCGTTCATACAGTCTTGTCGATTACTCGCGATTCGCCATCCTCTTTCTGAAAAAAAACGATGGAAAAGCGACCCTTTTTCAATTGCTAACCTGTGAGCTCTATACAATAGGTTTGGCCTTCTAAAGTTGTGAGGTTGAGAAAAAGCAACTGGGCAGTTCGTGGGAGAAGTTCGGAGATGCAAACTGTCTTCACTGCGTACTCCAATTCACGGACAGCGTTTACAGCTTCTTCTTCCAAGCTGTTCCGACACTCCGAACAGTTGCTAGAATCGATATTTTACAGGAAATAGCTTCAAAACTCCAACTTTATGATCATAGAAGAAGATGAAGCTGTTGGAGGCCCAGATTCCATGACCAAAAAAGCTTATTTTCTGGAATCTTCTTGCTGTCGACCTCCCTTTTTCAAACTGTACAAATAGGGCACGCAAAAAACGGCTATGAACAGAGAAAAACACAACACGACGTGATTTATTTACAATTTATCAGCAAAATTCCAAAATATTTACATCACCTTTTGGCAGCTTCCACCAGATCGCAAAGCTTTTCGAGTTTGGCCAATTGCTCTTTTTTCTGAATAAAAAAATCTAATTGGAAGACCGTGAGAACTAAAAAAACCTGCGCTACATAAATCGCCAAGCCATCCAAACTATCCAAAAGACTTTTGAGCTCTTTCAGATCTTTTCCGATAGCCTTCAACTTATGAAATGATAAGAACTTTTCTTGTAATAACCTCTATATGATGGCTACACTCTTCGGTTTGCGCAGATGCAAGGATACTGATGGTCCGCAGCTCATCCAGAATCAGGCTACACTTCTCTACCAAATCGTTCGATGAATCATCTAATGGAGAGTTCTAATAAGAAAGATGTTAGTAACAAAATGATCTCAAAAAGCTTACCGTACTACCTAAATGAGCGAGGGCTTTGCTCACGTTGGAAGAGACTTCTCTGACTTCTTTTTTCTTCATTCAGAGGTCTTCGAAGTTGAAAATTTCAAAGTAAAAAAAGCCTTAAAGTGTATAAAACAAAATAAAAAAACGGAAAAAGTAGACGTGGGCTAATTTCAAATAATTGTCCATGGAGCGCACAAGCCTCAGTGTTACCGTACCATGAATTCACCCGCGAATTTTGAAAAGGCAGTTTTTTGATTTAATGAAAATAAAATCATAATTTTTTTCTTTTAGTTTTTTTGTTTATTTCTCTTACCATTGTTCATAGGAGCTTCACAGTCTGTGTTTTTTTTTTATTTGCTGCAATAAATCAAGTTTTCAAATACATAATCTTAAGTCTAAACAGTTTTACCTAGGTCTGATTAATTCTGATTAAAAGCAAACTTGTAGCGAAATGATTTTGGTGTTGAAAACTTCTTCCTAATTGTAGAACTTTTTTACCCTATTTTTCTTATACAGTACTTCTTTTTTTAAAAAACGGAAATTTCTCAGGAAGGATGAGTCATATAAAGAGAAAATTCCACCTGGCCAGGTCGTGGTTAAATTTTTCCAATGTTGATTTGAACGAAATGTGTATATATATACGCCTCTGAATCACCATGAATCACCTTGCGGATGGTCCATTTCTAGTGTAAAAAGAAGGATGAGCCTCACCGCGAGTTCGTTTTTTTCCCTTCATTTCTCAGAGACCTGCTCTTCGTTTCTATAGATCCATTTTAACCTTGTGTTGCAATTTTTCGTATTAGCTTTGTAGGAAGAGCCTAGAGGAAAACGAAACTCTATATTTTTTTCAGAGGAACATGGACCTCTGATTGGTTATTTTTAAGAGTCTCTTCCTTGAATCAGTCAGCTACTTGCAGTCGATTTTTTATTTTGCGTCATTGGGACGTTTTCTATTAATTTAATCGTATGAATCACAAGTTTCATTCATGTTCGGCGGGTGATCATTTTTCGTTTTTTTTCTGAATCATTTAACCTCTAATTATTTTATCTTCTGATTTTTCGTCGAATAGTTTAGGTCTACTTCTTCAAAAGTACTTAGGGAGAAAATAATAAGCTCTGATTGAATCACTTCAAGAGGGTACTTGAAAAAAACTTTCTATTTTGCAATTTTTTTGATAAAGTTTGAATCTGGGAAGTGTGCAAACTCTTTTTATATTAGAGAGGTTTCTGCGAAACTTTTTTGAATCTCGGGATTTTTATTTGTTTCTGCAAGGAATTCATTTGATAGTTGAAGTTCCGTTAGTTGTTACTATAATAAATTTATTTTTCAGAAAATTGATTTTAATTATTTTTTGTTTATTGAAAGCACCATGCTCCAAGAACTGAAGATGAGACAAAGTCTAAAGTTCAGTTGATTTTCCGAGGGAAAAGCATTTCTCGCTCCTCAGCGCGGCAACTCTTTTTTGTCTCCCGGAAGACAAATAAAGCTAAAACAGCCGTAGGGGGCGTTCTCATCTCCTCTCAATTTCCGTCGTCTCCTCGATCCCGTGCCTCTCTCTCTTCACTTAACGCATGCAGCAAGTCTCCTTTCCCTTAGGGTCCGCCTCTTACGCGCAAAGTTATTGATCGGCTCCGCATTTTCTGCCGCGCGTCCGTTTTGCCTTTACCCGGCTATTTTGCCGGCTTTTAGGTGAATTATTGACATGCCAGGCTGGCTTTTGGGGTCTGTTTGCTTTGTTCCGGAACACTCTTGTTGTCCTGTTGTTACCGTTTTTTTTTCTCGTTTAATTGACCGCTCTCCAGCTATTCATAGCGGACCACTGACCGAATCTATACTCATTTCAGACTCAAAGGAATTATTTTAATCTTCTGAGTTTTTCTCATGGAGTTACTTTTCAAGTTGTTTTTCTTCATTTGATGGTCTGACTTGCAGCTATTTATAATCCGCCGTCATTAATTCCCTATTTCCCATGTTTTCTCTCGGATATTTTTCTTCCATCTCGATTTGAATACAGATTGAAGGATTTATCAGCTTTCAGTTTATATATTCTTTTTTTTTTTTCAACTGAGTCCTCTCAATATCTCATTTTTTTTCTTCCTCAGGGTCAACGCTAATTAGAAAGAGCTCTTTTTCGTCAAAGTTTTTTCGGTTTTCAAGAATTTTTGTTTTGTTCGTTTTTAGTCACATTTTCATTCTCTTAGAATTTTCTTGGGCTCTTCTGATTTCCTTAGGATTTACGGAAGGTAAAGATAAATCCCGGAAGTGTTAACTTATTGACCTCTCCATCCGTTTTCCAAACGCGCTCTCTCTCGGAGAAAAAAACCTCAATCACGTACGTCTTGTTGCAATTTCAATCAATCTGTTCCGTTTCTTTTTTTTTTTTTGAAGTCTTTGTTGACTTTCCGTCGTGAGTTTCGTTGATAATAGCTATCTTATCATCATGTTTCTCGAAAGAAAATTTTCGAGCTTCACGTCATTCTCTGGGAAACGTTCTTTCATGAAACGATCGTAGTTACAAGTTTTTTTCTGTTCGTGATTCATTGTTTGTTTGTCTGAGTTCCTGGATTTTTTAGAGTATAAAAATATTTCAGAACATGATTTTTGAAGATTTCAGTTGAAATTGGAGAAGTTTTCCCTAAGGAATTCATACTGAAAAACCTTATACTTGATGGTTTTTTTTTTCCGATTTATGATAAGAAATAGAGACTTTCCATTCAGATTTGACTTATCTCTTGAAATAGAGCTGCATCATTTCATTATGTGTTCAATTTAATTCCGCAAAACTCAAAATAGACTTCAGGGAACGCATAAGTGAATCGAACATTGTAGAGTCATAATTAATGATTCTGAATTTCTCAAAAATTGCTCTGAAATCCGCATTTTTTGATAAGAATAATTTGTCTTTGTGCGCATTTTAAGAATTTTCATTGCCCAAATAAAGTTTTTTTTATTTCGGACGCCTCTGACTCACGCGTTTCACAACAATATCGTGTGTATGTACAGGGTTTCTCCGCCAAATGCCCTTTTTTTTCCGTTTTTCCCCACGGCGTCAGAAAAGACTCACGCCACAAAAATGCATTTCCCTGCCTCGTTGATGTGAAAAAAACGCAACTCCCACCGCGTCGAGTTGTTTATTGTTGTCCATTTTGGGGATTCCGTCTTCCCCCAGATGACGTTTCCCTCTCAGGCTCGGGCAGGATATTTTCTCTTCTGAGCATCACTGTTCATTTCGTTCACTAAGCGTTCGTCACTAACTTCTCTTGAAATATTTGTTTTTTGATGTTTTCTCGAAAAGCCGCTTCTTTTTAACTTTCCAATCTCTTGTATTAAAATTCGGATGATTTATTTATAAAGTACAGAGTTCAACTTACAGAGCATGAAACCAGTTCTACAGTATCTCATACATTCCTTCCAGTTTTTGATTCAATTCAAACTTTGTGTAATGGGTTTAGTTTGCGCCGGAATTTCTTTCAGTCTACTTTTGAATGTACGGCAACCAATCGAAAACGCGTAATTGGTCAATCTTACCACCTGCGTTTAACAAGGAAGGAAAAAAAAAAACGATAATCGCATTCGAACGCAAATGCAATCATGTTACTGTTTGCAGTAAAGTTTGTTTCATTTCTCTGAAAACGAGACATATTTGAATCTTCACTTTTTTCCACTATTTTTGTTTTCGAATCGAACCCTAGGTTCGAAATCTATTTATCTTCTTTCCACCGCTGTCTCTTTGCCATTGAACTCCCATTCCTCATCAGCCACTTCGTTTTTGCGTTTTGTTACATCTTGTCAAGCAAGCCACGCGTTTTTCGAGTTGCTCTTCTCTGCCTGGCTGGTTAGCGCCTTGGAAACGGGTTCGAGCTGGAAAATATATTCTCTCAGAGCAGCTGGTTTATGGCGCGACTAGGTTTTTGTTTATTGATCGACTTCCGCTAATTTCAGCGTGGCTCGCGCCACCTTTACCTTTATTTTTACATACTAGTTGGTTTGAGTCATTTGTGTGTGTGTTTTTTTTTAAATATCTAAACACGTGGATTTGTTTTTGTTGTGGTAATTGTGGGAAACGGTACTCACTCGTTTGTTGTTGTTTTTTTCATAAAGCCAATCTATTGACATAATCATTTAACTAGGAAACATCTAGCTAGGAAAACCCCCCTGATTGAATTTTGATGAAACTTTGCCGAAGTGTACTTTATGACCTCCTGTATGTAGAACAAGGAAAAAATTTCACGCAATAGATCTCGTTTTCGAATTAGAACACTTCAAAAGCTCGAAATAGCGCTTTTTTGTCATAATTTGTGTATTTTGAGGACTTTGAAGCTTCATAACTCGGAAACAAGATCTATTGCGAGACATTTGTTCTTGTTCTGCAATCAGCAGGTCCTAAAGTACACTTCAGCAAAATTTCAACGGAGGGGGTGAAAAAAACGTTCCCTAGTTAGTCAAAACGGAGAAGCTTCATAAGAGGTTTAAAAAAAGCATCTTGTAAGATCACGACACTTTTCGAACGTTCCCTAGTCTGATGGGCAAGCTTGGCACCTCAAAAAGGAGAAATCTTGAAATGGAGATGCCATGTTTAAAGTGATTCCGCGAAATTCAAAATCACCGCCAGAAAGTGGAAAAGATAACTACATTTTGGAGAGTCAGACGTTAATTTTCATTTTGGGGTCAGCAGATGATAAGATTTTCTCTGAAGCAAAGTAAATCGAAACACCAAAAAATTGATAATATAGTCAATGTTTCCCGACTTGAAAGGCGAGGGAGGCGGGGCAGGGGGCGGGATGCGTAGCGTGTGCGTACGCGGTTCTTGGCACTTTTTCAATTCAGCCGCTATCTACTCTTTGAAAAGCCCGTTTTTCGCTCTTTTCATTTTTTTTTTCAGTTATTTATTGATTATGTTCATATTTTCATCAAAAAATAGTAGAAAACATTGAAAAAGAGCGGTTGCCGAGCTTTTTAAATAATCGGCTGCGATTGAATTTTACTCGTGCCAAGGACCGCGTACGCACACGCTACGCGTCCCGCCCCTTGCCCCGCCTCCTTCGCCTTTCAAGTCGGGGAACATTGATTATACTGACTCACCGAAGAATTTTTTATGCACTAGTGAGTCTTTTTGTGGATCATTTATTTGCAGTTCCAGGCTTTTCAAAAGATTCTTGCACTTCTGCTGTTTTTTCGCGGTTTCCAGTAGCTGCTCGGCTACGGCTAAAAGCCCCATTACTTTTTTTTTCCTGTTAAAAAATCCCTGCTCGTGATTTTGAAAGAACGGCAGCTCATGACGTCCTTGCTGAAATTCTAGCCATTTTCAAGTCACAGTTTATTTACTTTATGATCGCCGCAGTCAGCTGAGGGACACGGTTAATACCAGCCCCCGTGCTCTGCAATAGGTTCAAATACGATAAGAAAAGTTGATAAACGACGTCGAACGGAATGGAAAACGTTTTGCTTTGATTTGATCTACGGGTATAAAGAAATTTCGGTAGGGCAATTATCTTGATCTCCGTCAATATTTTCCTTTTGCGCGCCGTTCTGCGTATTTTTTCTCATCCTTTTTTTTCAAACATATTTCTTCGTTTCTTCTCAGATTTTTAAGACTTTCTCAATAGGATCGTTCAGTGGAAAACTTATATTTAACTTTCCGATGAAGGAGACGCCTATTTGAAAAGGTTTTATTTGTTTGTCCCTTTGTTTAAACGCAGCTTTAAACTGTAAAACTTTTCTTTTTCCGCATACACTTGATCTAAAACTGTCACTACTGCGGAGTGTTCCCATATTGTCAATTATTTTTTCATTTCCAATATTTCTTATTCAAATATTTTGTACTTCATTTTCATTTTATCGACTTGTTCTACTCTCATTTTTTTCTTATTTAAGTATTTCGGAACAGACAAAGAGAAAGGAAAAACAGGAAAGACAAGTAAATTGAAAAAATTGATGAGTGGTTCTAATTTTCGCTTTTCAGTTGAACGAAAGCTGTTTTTGTTATCATGTGAAGCGTATTTTCTTTGCATTTTTTTTCGAAATTTTATATCGATGTTTTTTTGGAACCGTTATCAACCATTTGAAAAGTTTCTCTCGTATAAATCTGAAAATGATGTCAGCGCAGGCAATTTAATTTGATTGTTCCTCCTCGTCCTCGCCGTTCCCCGTCTTTTTTCTTCCTTCGGCGTCGTTTTCCTTTCGCCAAAGCCGAGATTAACTTTTTCCTTCGAAGCCTTCTCTGGTCACGTATTCATCCGACACCGTGATATTTTAAATTTTCATCGGCGTAACGCCACTGTTTCGAGAGATCATTTTTTGTCCGAATTAAGAATTTCTGCAGCTGCCCGAAATAAGATCGACTGGGGCGCCAGAAATGCTCACGTTGCTTGAGCCACCTGGTGCGAAGCGGAACCAAAACGTGGCCAACTACAATAACCGATCCGCTCAGCACCTACTTAATTTGGGTTTGTTTGTTTCTTTCTAAAAAACTCGGAAATCGTCTGACTTTTTTTTGAGTTTTTTTTGAGCGTCAATAGAAATCAGGAGAGCGTCTGGAAATGCTAATTTAAAGCATCTGTCTAGTCGTCTTTTCAAATCGATCCCCGGCGTCAAGAACGAGACAATAACGAATAATTTGAAGCTATATTTATAGAGGGGTCAAAGATGGGCAAGTATAGAACTTATACTGCCCGGGAGCAGGAGTTGGCTCACAAAGTTTTTTGGAAAATAGGCAATAAAATCAAGTTCCAATCCCCGGGAAGGTTACAAGATTTTTGGCCACATTAATACAAGTTTTTCTCAGGGACTCGCTTGCTTAAGACAGTGTCTGTTTCGGAGCCACGAAATTATTTTTTAAAATTTTTTTTTCTTTTTTTGCAATTTTTCAAGGACCTATTTCTCGAGGTTACAAGACAAGTGAAGTCACAAAAAGGACACAAGCTCTCATTTTATTACTCAAAAACCTAGCTTGGTTACCGTAATAAAACCGGCCGCCTTGAAAATGCGTGGGGAGGTAGTATTAATTAAAGTTTGGGAAAAAGGACGGATCGGCGGCCTTTAGAAACGTTATTCCCATTTATGTTTAGGGTCTTATTTGATCAAGGAATATTACCTTATGACAGAGATTTCAAGTAAATGCGGCTTGTTTGGTTTTAAATTGGAAGTATCCTAATTTTAGAATCTTCAAATTGTCATTTAGCTAACTCGGACTTTGGCAACGCGAATCGGACGTGTCGGGGCATTTCTAGTGACTACTTTAGTAGCTTCAGTACTCTTAATTGATCCCTAGAATCGCCCAGAAACGTCTGGGACACGTCCGTTTTGCGTTACCAATGTCCGAGGAGTCTATTTATGAATTTTAAAACGGAAATTAACAGAAAAAATGTTTTATCTTTGCAGCCCCCGATGAAGATGAACTTTATGAAGAATACGACGACGTCGATGACTACGTCGACGCGACTCCCGGCGGGAGTTTTCTTACTAACGTACTGCTCCGGAAAAGCCTCAAAACGATGCTCCGATTTTTCCAGTTTCTCGACTCGAAACTAGTGTGGAAGTCAAGTTCCGGCGATTACTGCGATCGTTGGAAGCGCGAATTTCGCGCCCGTCCTTCCTGGTGCGACGCCGACTTGTGCTTGCAACAAATCAAGCGGGTGAGAAAGTTGGCCGTCGGGATTCATTTGTTTGACGAATGGGATATTTACAAATAATTGGCGGAATTCGAGCCCTCTCAGAACAATATACAGGGGAAAAAACAGGTTTTCATGAATATTCCAACTCAAAAATATTGATATCTGAGCCTATAAGAATAAATAAATTTAGCAGAGGCCCTATACAGCTTACATTTCACTTTGCGATTTGAAAATTCGCTGAAACACTCCTTGATGTACTAGAAAAATTTCATGAAAGTTTCAGCCTGAACAACTCCCGGGTTATTAAGAAATGAGGGCTCAAAGCCCCAAATTGGCCCATTTTTACGAATTTTAGGGTTTCATTTGACTTTGAGGCGTCTTTTTTTTTTGGAAGGTTTTTGCTTTCAAGATCTTTTTTTGGTATCTCGAAGAGTATCCTGGCAATTTTTCAGGAAAATACCAAACGAAAATTCAATTGATTTTTCTCGATTTTTTCATTTTTCTGAATACGCATGTGAAAAAACTGAGATTTAATTTTCAATAAGATCAAAAAATGATCTCCGAGGAGTTTGACCTGATCAGTGTCACTTTTTTCGTTAGGAAATAAAAAAACATTTGGTTTATTTGATTGATTGATTAATTGATTAATGTCCTCACCGCAAAAAAAAACCATGCTCCATTTTTTTTTCGGAACTCTAGCTTGTTCCAAAAGCTTTTTGATGAACTCGATGAGATCTCTGAGCACCACTCGAAAAAATTGCCGTGAAACATAAAACCAAACCGCTTAGACGGCTAAAGCGAGTTTTGCGACACGCGGCGTCCCTTTTGTTTGTGCAGGTCGGAGGGGAAGTTTGTGCTTCATATCCGTTCTAACTGTAGTAGTAGTAGTGCGTGGAGGAATGCGCTTTTTGTTTGAATATCGAGTTACGAACTTTGAGCCAACCATTCGTTTTTTTTTTCTCCGCCGTTCTCTTTGCACTTTTTTTCCAATTAATCATTGGTGAAGAGGCAATTGAAAGTCGGAGAAAAACTGGAATAGGCCCCCAGCAAACAGTGTTGGGTTTCAAGAGAGATCAGCTCACTTTTACGTGTCAACTTGGTCCACCACGTGACACATGTAGAGTTTGAGGGAACTTGAAAACAAAACAGCGGAAAAATTGATGTACAAGCTGAGGTTCAAAGAGAACGAAGATATTTTGCCAGAAAAAATGCCGAGGGCTACGGTAGATTTTTTTTTTCGCAAGTTGAATGAAATTTTGTGAGCTCTGAGATTAGAAGTTCAAGCAGCTAACTCCGCTCTCAAGGCTACAGTATCTGTCGCGTCAATTTTTCGGAACGATGATCCTTTAATAGCGCTACTTTTTTCGACTTATTTTTCTGGCTGTTAGATCAAAAAAGGATCTAAAAATGTAACACGATCAGAGGATGATCGACGCGAAAAGGTAGTTTATTTATAGCCCGGCAAACTTTTCACATTAAAAAAATCATCGACATCTTAAATTAAAAAAATTTCGAAAAAAACCTCTAATTATTCAGAGAAAGTCGTAAAAATGTACAGCGTTAAATCAAGACAACGAAAAACTGCAGAATTTTCCGTAAATTGTTTCGTTAAAGTGTAAAACTTTTTTTGTAAAACAAACGGAGTTTGCCGGGCTATAAATAAAATTGAGAGTTTTTCAATAAATATTTTTTGCGTTCACTGCTGCCTTAGGATACTGTTTGAAGAAGTTTTACACTTTAACGAAACAATTTACGGAAAATTCTGCAGTTTTTGTTGTCTTGATTTAACGCTGTACATTTTTACGCTTTTCTCTGAATAATTAGAGGTTTTTCGAAATTTTTAATTTAAGGTGTCGATGATTTTTTAATGTGAAAAAAGAATAAGAAGCGTCGTTTTCTGGAAAACGAAAGTTGCCTGCTTTAGGGTCGAGCCACCGGCAACCGATGGGCGCTGTACTCGCGGAGCTTCGTTCAGAAGATTTTATTCGCACTCGGGAATTTCGTGCACACGAACGCCCTTTCGGTGATCGTTCTGACGAGTCTCGTCTTTGCCATGTGCTGCTACGGCCTCCAATTTGTCCACATTGAAACAGACATTGTCAAGCTTTGGGTTGCCCGTGAGTTTCCATCTTCCAAAAGAAAAAGGACAACGAACTGTTCATTTTCAGAAGGAGGACGACTCGATGAAGAACTCAACTTTTTGCCCAAAATCAAGGAAAGTATGAAATATAACAGCTCGGATGGCGGGATGGAGATCATACGCGAAAACGGCCTGGGCGGCGGATACCAAGTTTTGATCCAAACGCCGGAGTTCGAAGGCCAGAACGCACTGAACATGGGTCCGCTGCTCAAGCACGTCGATATCATGCACCAGATTGCCAGCTTCAACGTCACTGTCCACGGAGAGTGAGTGGCTGTTTTTCTTCCTACAAGTTCTGGGTTATCCTATCTTGAAGCTGAAGAATATACTATTTGCAATATCAGATTTTTTTTCTTCCATTTTTAGTTTTCATTGAACACTCATGCACTGGGCGCTTCAGGCGGGAACGCGCCGGGTGTCTTTTTCTCATTTTTGCCTTTTCTGTTCATTTAATCCAATAAATTCTGGCTTTTTTTTCACTTTTATGCACCTTTTCTCATCGTGACTCTCGAGTTGAAAATAAAATTAACGGGTAAAACTGAACTCTACTCGTTTTAGATATGATAACTTTTTCAGAAAATTGAACAAAATGCTTTAAACAGGTTTAGAAATGAACATGTATTATACAGTTTAAAAACGCATTTTTTTAAGGTTCTTCCACTTAAAAGGCAAAAATAAGAGCCAAAATGCGTCTCCTATCAGTACCTGAGTAATAATGGGAGATTTTTCATCACTTTTGCCGTGTTCAAAATAATTTTTGCTAAGTGCAAAATTATCTCTGATTCTACGAAATTCAATTATCTTTTTCTTTCTGTGACGGCTTTTTTTGAGTATCGCTTCAAAAACGACATAGTTCTTTAACACTCTCTTGATTCTTTCGAACAGTTTTTTTTTTAAATGAACTGTTCGATGACACCAATTTAAACGCAACATTAATTTGATTAATCGCCAGATGCGTGCAGCTGGAATGGTTGCACAGCTGCATGCATCTGTCATTGCTTTCCTTTTTTTCCGAAAAAAGCTGACATCTCTAAGGCGAAATTTTCCACTACTCGGGCAAAGTCGGAATGGTGGATATGGGCCGCAAAAAGGGAGAGGCTTCAAAAAGGCCGCAAAAAGGCAGCAAAAAGAGTCTTTCGAGCCATCCATTTTTTCTGGGATTTTAAAGGCTCAAGTAATGGTGGAAAACAGGAAGGCAGCAAAAATGGTGCATAAGGGCCGATGAAATGGCGTAAAAAGGCAGCAAAAAAGGAAAATTTCTATGGACCTTTTTCCACCCTTTCCGACTTTGCCTGTGAATCGAAAAAGGTCTGAAAAGCCTTTAGTAGTATGCCCCCCAGTCTGGTCCGCGACCCTACAGTACTACAAGCTATACTACAGTAAGACTGCAGTATTACTGTAGTATTATACACTACTGTCTTTTTTTTACAGGTCTTGGTCACTGTCGGACATTTGCTTCAAGCCGGCGCCTCCGACGATCGCCAACGGCTCAGCGGCAGAAAATCTGGCAGATGTGATCGATAAAATCGTTCCATGCATTTGGATCACCCCAATCGACTGCTTCTGGGAAGGCTCCAAGGCCCTCGGACCCCATCCTCACCTTCAGAAAAGGTAATCCGACTTTTCTCGAGTCGACAATAATTTTGTGCTCCAGCGCTTTGGGATTCATGAGCTTCCTGCTGAACTCGATTCCCAACGGACAGGAGATCAAATGGTCCGACTTTGACCCGATCGCCGTCATCGACGAAATTCACACCTCCTTCAATCTCGGATCTCACTACACTTTCTTTGAACGAGTATTTCAACCTCCCCCTTGACTTTTAATTGACCTAATTTTAGGCTGGAATCGGTCACGGCTACATGGATCGGCCTTGCATCAACCCACTGGACCCCGACTGCCCGAAAATGGCCCCCAACTACTTTGACATCTGCCCCTACGTGCCGAAGATCCTCGAACTCGCCAACCAAACTGGAACGCCACTCGTTTCCGAAGTCGCCGAAGACTTTAGCTTCTTCGATCTCTTTGGTCGCAAGAAGCGAGATGTTGAAGAATCGGAAAGTCCGGATAACAGCACGGAGGTGACAGAAGCTCCGAAGCCGGTCGACCTCGAAGACAAGACCAAGGAGAAGTTGGAACAGGCTAAAGCGCAAGGTGATTATCAGAAATATAGTAAGGAGCTTGTTCGAAGCTATAGCTGATTCACGGCTGACTTGAGCCATCGAAAAATGGTCCGAACACGATAATGCATGAAATGGCGCCTGGCTCGTGGAGAGCGCAGACAGGACACGCCCCCTTAGCGTCCCAAGCTAGCCGTGAATCAGCTATAGACAGCATTGGTGAACAAGAGGGTACTTAGAGAAATAAAACGCCTGCTTTTTCATTTTTGAACGCTCTCTATCTGTAGAAGACTCGAACGTGAAATCCTGAAAAAAAAAAAACTAACTTCAGAGTGCAAAGACTACCGTCGCTCTGCGATGACATGGTTCGCCGCGAATCGCGACAAGTGGTCGATGGTCATGACGAAGGAGCAGGAGCCGAAGCCCGTCGACTACGGAAAAGTCATGTCCGGTGGCTGTTCCGGCTTCGCTTCCAACGTGCTCCACTGGCCCGAAGACATGATTCTCGGAGGCGCGGCTCGCGAGAAACGAGGCGGTCCTTTGGTCTCGGCGGCCGCCCTGCAGAGCGTCTTCCTCGTCGCCAGTCCTCAAGACGTTTTCTTGCGTTTCAAGACCAAGGTCCGTCTGACCAACGATTCGAGACCATTCTGAATCTTTTCAGCCTGGACGCAACCCAGCGAAGGCCAACCTGAAGGAGGAATGGACCGAGAAGATGGCCGAAGAAGTGATCCAGGCGTGGCAGCGGAACTTTACCAGGAATCTGTACAACCACAAGGAAAACCTGGATGAGAATGTGAGTGAATGGGAAAAGGCTTCAAGAATCACCTTGGATTGTAGGGATCGGAGCGAAGAACCCTGCATCCGTTGGCGTCGACGTCGATCGCCGACATGCTCGAGGAGTTTTGCCAGTTCAACTACACCATCATTTTCGTTGGATACGCTTTGATGGTTAGCGATTTCTTCTAGGGTGAATAGGAAAAAAAGTGGATTCTAACTAAAATTCATTTTATTTTGTGTAAGAAAGCAATAATGGGCGGAGTCGAAACCTCCATCGTTCCCACGTGACGTCATCGGCCAAGATTTCAACTCAAAGAGCGTAAAAAACAGGGCTTATTAAAGGCGCAGACAACCGAATTTTCAAAGATCTTTGAAAAGAGTCAATTCTTTTTACTTGAACGAAATTTTCTGCACGAAAGCGGTGCAGTGCATGCACACGACACACGACACTTTACGGAGGAAAAGTGGGCGTGGCATCACGAAAAACGCAACTTTTCAAAAGAACCTCTGTTTGGATCTTCAGAGGATCGAGACTTTTTTCAGAAAATGATAAAGAAGAACATAGGCATCTTGTGAAATTCAATCGATTATGGTTTCTCAATGTGTTTTAATATATGAGCCGGAATTCAGATGCTCTACGCCATCATCACGCAAATGCGACTCGAACGAAATCTTCCCTCGTCGGAATCTTTCATGGGCCTCGCGTTTGCCGGCGTCGTCACGGTGACTTTCGCCTCGGTGGCCGGCCTCGGCCTCGCCACCTGGTTCGGAATCGAGTTCAACGCCGCCACGACACAAGTCGGAAAGCTCCTCTGACCACAACCCTCTGATTTTCCAGATCGTTCCCTTCTTGACTCTGGGTATCGGCGTCGACAACATGTTCATGCTGTTGCACAACTACCGCGACTTGCTGAAAATGTCGGGCGGTCGCCACGAAATCGGCATCCTGATGCGAGAAACTGGAATGTCGATCCTGTGCACGTCAATCAACAATATCCTATCCTTCTTGACAGGTGTGTTTTGAAATCTGAAGGTTGAATCGTCTTTCAAACAAACTGGAAGGATACAAGGCTCACGTTTTCAATTGAAATCAACATAGTTACAAAAAATATGTATGGTGGCGTCACTTAAAATTATCTTATCAAAATTAAGAAACTGGAATTTATTCAGGAACCCTCCTACCGATCCCAGCTCTTCGATCATTCTGTGCCCAAAGCAGCATCCTGCTCACCTTTAACTTTATCGCCATCCTCACTCTGTATCCGGTAAATCGCTCTGTTTTCTTCCCATCTTCATCTTTTTCCTCATTTCAGTCAATCATTGCGATCGACTTGCGCCGCAGAAAATCTGGCCGTCGTGACATTTTGTGCTGTTTGTATGGAGAGACGCGCGAAGAGTCGTACTCGATGATTTCGAAGCCCAGGATTCCGGTAAGCCTGAGTTTTGAGACGGACTTGAATCAATGGGTTGAACGATATGGTTCTTCTGCTTCCTTATTTGTACCTTTTGAGCGGCGTCGCCGCTCCAAGTGGATCATCTGAAAATGTAATTAATTTTTTTCAGACGAAAAGAACGATTGGCGTGAGCGAGAGCTCGATTCTGCCGCCGTTCGACGAGAACAGCACGTCGAACTCGAGCAGCGACGCCCCGGCTCCGTACTCGCTGCACTCGTTCATCCGCTACTACTACATTCCCTTCATCAGCACTCCTTTCATGAAGGTTTGGATGTATCTTTGGCAGGGAAAAATCAAATGCATGTTATTTATAACTCATTAAAGACGAGAAAAAGATACGAAATTTTGAATTGAAAGGGAATTCATCAATCCTTATCATTTGGGTTTCGAAATCTCAAGTTTGAAAGTTTATTGTGAAATATCGCTGTTAAATTTGAGTCATAATGGCCAATCGGGCAGTTTTTGCACGTCTACCATGATTCTTGAAGGAAAGCAAAGATTATTCGACGCCCGTAATGACCATTTTTCATCAACCCTGTTCAGATCCTGATCATCTCGATTTGTGGCCTGATGCTCGGAGCGTCGTTCGTCGGAATGAAACGGTCATCGCTCGGCCTGGAACTCAGTGACGTTTTGCCGGAACATACGGCGCCGGCGCAGTTCTTGCGGGCTCGCGACAAGTATTTCAGGTGGGCCTTTTGGGGGGAAATGGCGAAAATAAGCAGAAAAATCAAAATTAGCTTGGTTTCACTCTCGTTGTCGTACTCGAAAATGGGAAAGTAGTTTTCAAAAATTGTCAAAAATAATCTGAGCTGTGGCGGTTTCAGGCGCGCCATGATATAGTCTATTCTGCGCCAGCTTGTCACGTTTTTTTTTTCTCGAAAAGTCTTTTAATCGATTTCGACCGTTTTTCGCTTCAAGACCTTTGTTTTTTGTTGTCTAAAGTAGAAGTGCAAAGAAAACTGCTTTATTATTTTTTTTTTCACAGTTAGAAATTGAAGAAAAACGTGGTATACTCGAAACGAAAGCCGGGCCTCTCTGAGCGATTCTAGGGATCACTTAAAAGTGCTGAAGATACTAAAGTGGTCACTTGAAAAGCCCACACACGTCAGTTTCGTGTCCGAGTAGAAATATTGAGGCGTGCTTTGAGGCGCCACAGTTCAGGCGTTTCATATTTCTAGAAAATTTGAAAAATATATTTATTCTCATAAACTGTACGAAGTTCCAAATTGACTCTCACCATTCATTTTTCCAGCTTCTACCCAATGTTTGCCGTTCTGCAAGGACCCAACATTGACTTTGCTCATCAGCAACGGCAAATTGACAATTATCGTCAGGCTATCGGTAGAGCGTGTCTGGAGATCCTCCAGTAAACTATCGTTTTCCAGGAACCTCGAAGTTTGTGATCAAGAACTCGGTGGACGAACCCTCGGAAAAGTACTGGCTGGGCCTGATGCGCGACTGGCTCTCGAGTCTGCAGCGAAGCTTCGATCAGGAGATGGCTAAAGGAGCCTTCGACCTCAGCGAGGGCACCATCGTCGCCAAGAACCTCTCTGAAGACGCCCGCTTGGCACACGCCCTCATGTGCAGCTTCGGCGAGAAGTTCCAGTGCAAAGGACGGGTTCGTCACTCGTTGAGCATGACCTTCACATGAATATGCCTTTTTAGGTTGGTCATATCCGATTGGTTGACAACAGCGGAATAATCAATGTCGACGGCTTCTACAACTTCCTGACGGCTTGGTTCAACGTCGATCACATGATGTGAATGTTTTTCCCAGAAATAATACGCTCGTGAATTTATGTTGATGGATCCGAAAAAAGTGAAAACCTTTTTACGTTCTTCTCTCAGTCTATTTGGTTCTTTTTCCACTTTTTCTTAAGCCTTTCAAATCCTAGCAATGTTGAGAGGCTACATAAAGGACGAAAAATGGGATCATTTTTCGGCCAGTTTTTGGTGCGGAACTACCCATTTTGCCAGTCTTTCCTCAGTCTATACGGATTCTTTTTGCTGCCTTTTTCTTTATTCACCTTTTCTCGAGCCTTTCAAACCCTGACAGTATTAAGAGGCTTGATAAAGGACGCAAAATGGAAGCCTTTATGCGCCAATTTTTGGTACAGAACTTCTTGCCAGTAGATAATCTTCCACTTTTCCCGATTTTTGAGGCTAAAATCTTCAATTAACCTTTTTGAAGCAAACTTTTGCAGGTACTACGTCTCCCAAGCGTCATTCTATCCAACGCCTCCGAAATGGGAAATTTCCCCGGACCATACCAAGAACTTCATCCCGGCCGCCGAACCCTTGGCCTACTCACAAATCCCATTCTACCTGACTGGCCTCACAGATACACCTGTGATCGTCGAGATGATTGAAGTTAGTATCGATCTGAAGATTGTCGAAATCTCAATGGTTTGCAGGATATCCGAGGCGTCTGCAAGCGATTCAGCGACCATGGTCTGCCGAACTTCCCTCAAGGAATTGCTTTCACCTTCTGGGAGCAGTACCTCTACCTGACCGGCAACTTGATGCAGGTCCGGATTCAGCAGTCAACAGAAGAAAAAACATTTTGTTTCCAGGCGATCGGCATTATCACACTGGCCGTGTTTGTCGTCATCTCCATCCTGCTGTTTAACCCCTGGGCCGCCGCCATGGTCCTAGTGATCCTGACGGTGATGACGATCGAGCTGGCTGGCTTCATGGGCTGGATGGGCATCAAGCTGAACCCCGTCTCGGCGGTCACTCTGATCACCGCCGTCGGCATCGGCGTCGAGTTCACCGTCCACGTCGTCGTCTCCTTCCTGACCTCACTTGGAAATCGATCACAGCGAACGTCGCAAGCCGTCGACCGCGTCTTCGTGCCCGTCATCCATGGCTCCTTCTCGACGCTGCTCGGCATCTTGATGCTTGGCTTTTCCGAGTTTGAGTACGTTTTCGAGCTGTCTCTCGTTAGAAAACTCGGAAAATGTAGATGGTCTTCATACTCCTAAACTTTTTTTCCGAATAGCATGAAATTTTAAAACTTTTGGAGGCACTAGGGGCTGATTTTGAAAGATTCTGCTTGCTGTCTATTCTATAGAAAAGAAATCTTGTGATTTTCTGTTTCCTTGTAATGATACGATCTCACAGGAAGGAGAGAAGTTAAGAAAAGATTTTCAGAAAATTTACTCAGTTCTTAAAATGATTGTGAGCCTAAGAAAAAACGACCTTTGCTTGATCAGAACCTAAAAGGGTTTTCTCCAGATTTGTCGTGAAATACTTCTTCATCGTGATGTCTGCATTGATCTTCACGGGAGTCATCAACGGCCTGATCCTTCTGCCAGTACTACTATCGTGGTTTGGTCCGCCGCGCGAGGTTCGCCTATTTTCCTTTTTTGCGAGTTTCAAACGTGAATCCTGCAGATATCGCCGACGGACGGCAAAGACCGACTGGCGTTGCCGCCGCCGCTCGACCGCAAAAGCCGGGGATTCAACACCTCCCGAGGGACGTCGCGGCTCGAATCGGACGACGACGATGAACCCAGCGGCCTTGTGATGTACTCTGGCAGGACGGGACAAAAAGCGAGTCGGAGCTCCAGCAGTAACGCCAAATTGGCCGTGTAGTCTCCAAAACTTCTCAGCTTTTTTCTTTCTTTTAGATAGCCCTCTTTCTTCGTTTATTTTTCTATTGCTCCACTAAGCTTGATAAGTCTCTAGACTCAAGTGCCATCTTCAATTGCTTGCGTTCCATTTCTTCTTTTCATGGGTCTCTCTGCCGTGTCTCAGCTTTCACTCCATTCACATCTACGGCAAATCGTTCGATTTTTCTTTGTAATTTTGATGTCCGGTTGTTCCGCTCAATGCTGCTGATGATGAAGTTTCATCGTTTTTTGTCTTTTTTGGTTGTTTTTGTTTTTTCTTTCTGTTTCCATCAACGGAATCCCGACTTTCTAACGTTTGTAATTAATTTATGATTAACATTTTCTTTTCACTTGCTTTTCGTCTTCTCAGTTTGTTGTGCAATCGCCACGAGCTTTAACGCTCCTCCTCAAGCTTGTAAAGTAGTAATTTATTGCCGCCAGAGCGTCAGTTAGGTAGTGTCTCGGTGTACATTCAGTTGTAGTTGCATCATATCAAGTTCTTTGGACATTTCTTTGTTTCCATCGCGCTCGTTCTTCGGATCCAAATGGTTTACTTATTTCTATTGCCTTGGTTGACTTCTTCAAACGCCCTCTTTGCTTTACCTTTCCTAGCATAATAACCGACGATGAGCCCCCCTGTGAAACTATCAGAAAATTCTAATTTTCACCCCGTTTTAGCACTTTACTCTTTCTTCCCTGTGAATGATCTCAGAGCTTCAATAACAAGTTGTATTACACGTAAAAAGGAATATGAAAAAAAAAACTAAAATCGCTTCTCTGGTGTTTTCCGCAGTTCAAAATTGTGCAATCGAGGTTTTATTGTTTCCTTGTTTTCTCTAGTGCAGGTCGCGCGGTGTTTGGCTGGGATATTTGCGCCGTTTTTTTCTCAGCCTTTGTAAATTTTATCAATTGCTCGAAACTTGAGGAAAATTAAGTTTGAGCTTTTCGTCGAGCAATAAACTTCCAAGCCGATCTGTAGTGTTTGAACCGTTCCCAGTTCAAACGCCTCAAACTACAACAACACTTTTTTTTCCCCATTTTCATGCCCATCTCGGTTCGACATCGATAATACTGTGCATTGGTGATATTTTTTGTATACATATACATAATAAACATGTTTTTATTTGTCGGAGAAGTAGTCATTGAAAGGAATTTGTCTGACGGTTTGAACAGCCTTCCAATATTCAAGCGTCGGTTTTGATGTCCCGTTTTATGGGCCATCTCCAGCGAGGCCGTCGTAGCCTTGTCTGGTGTTTTATTCCTCATTTTCCTTCAGCGGATTTCGAATATGTTTCAGAATTTTAGCTAGGGGTTTGAAGGGCTGAAAAAGTTATTAACAAGATATCTCTGTAATTTTCAAAATTTTCTCAAAAACAGCGGGTACAGAAAAAAAATTTTTTGATTTCTTTGAAATTCCAACCAGTGTTATCATATGACGTCAGGATTTCCAGGATTTCGGACACGATTTTTTGAGCCATTTCCTCCAACCGTAACCGGGTTACTGTAGGCAGGTACCTGCGTATCTAAGAATTGATGAGTTTTTCTAGGCAAGTTGTATATCAATCGATAGGTAATGCAACTTTAGAAATTTTGTCAGTAGATACCACCTTGGGTTACTGTAGAAGTATTTGAGATACGGTATTTTTTGTGTTCGCGAAATTGGTTTTTTGGTCACCCTTAAAAATATAGTATGCTCAAAAACTCTTGCTTGGTAAAGGAAACATAGACCTAAGATTTTTTAACAGACTTGTAAAGGTTGAGAAAGATCTCGCTTTAATATTCAGTAGGATTTTTACAAGAGCGAAAATAAAACATATAAAAAGTTGAGCGGTAAGGAGCATAGATTGAAGTTAAGAAAAGTTTGAAAAAATTCAGTTATGAATTAATGAAAAAAGTTAGAGCGTTCATTCCAGAATCTCTCAACCAGCCTAGCTGTCTATGGATAAGCCAGGACCCTCCAAGCCTAAGGTATCAACCGATTTATAGCCCAAAATAACTTGTAAATATCCAGTTAGAGCCACCCGATTGTCTTCCTTCAACTTCGAAAATTACCGACGCGGATCGTGAATTCTGGGACAACCTGGTCGAATTCGTCTCCGATGAGGAGGAGATCACACTCGACCGCCTACTAGAAGACAGCGACTTTTCTGGAAATGAGCAAGACGTCGAGGACCGCGACGTCGAGCTTCAACTTCATAATTTTGGTATTCGAGTTATTAGAGTCTCACTGTTTGATCGTCTCCTAGCTGCTCCGGAAATAGTAGTTGATTCGATTGAAGAACAGGAAGCTCCGCCGGAAACCGTGAATGATGCGTTGAGCAGACTACTCAACGAGTTCAAGCGAGCTCCGATCAGCGAGGCTGAGGGTCCGCCGGTGGGATTAGTGGGTTGAAGTTGAGATGAGATGATTTGGCTAGGCTAAAAAAGCGTCGATCGGGAGGATTTTCGACGAGGGCAATGCTGATGCTGATCCGGTAAGTTCTAAAGGCTGTATAAAAAAGTTTGGTCAAAGATACGAGTCCCTGAGAATCGACTGGTCCGAGCAAAGGTGGGAACGGCGACGGAGAAGGCGCCCGACCCTCATGACATCGCCGCAGCCCAAACTTTTGTGAGTTTACTAGAACCTTGGCAATGCAAACCGGACCTTTTTGAGCATTTCTAGTAATAATGAATGATGAAAATGTGAATGTTTCGAATTAGTCTAACTTCCTTTCATGACTTGAAAGCTTTTTTGATTTTTCGGACTCAGTTTCCTGACCTCTAACTTTTCATGAAACTCACTATACGTTTTCGATTTCGACATGAAGTTTCCCTAGTTCAAGTCTGATTACTTTATCTGACGGCTGTATATCAATTAAAGTTGTACGCTGTTTGACTCCGAAATTCTAAAGTTAAGTATAGCCTGTGTACCACGACTTGGAATTTCACCAAACGACATTCCGCTGTGCCGCTGCGCGCCTTTGCGAACCTTGGTCGCGCTTTTACTTTTTTTTTTCTTTTATTAAGGTACTCTACTTTCATGTGCTCCCACAGAAATAACAATCAATTGAAAACGTGACCTAGATTCGAAAGACGCTTCGCGAACGCACGCAGCGGAACAGCGGAATGTCGTCTGATGAAGTTTCAAGTCGTGGCACACAGAATATAGCTTCAACAAGTTTGCGTCTAACTACATTTTTCCAGGGTGGCTACATGGCTCTGAAGAAAGCCAAGTTGAGACATCAAGTCAATGGCGAAGAGCCTCACGACGGCCTCACTTCTAATATTTTTTCTGGGATATCGGTGTTCGTCAATGGCTATACAGGTATAAGAACACTTTAGAAGGCATTTTTGAATTTTTCTCCTAATGTCCTAGATCCTAATGTCAAATATTAATTGGATCGCAGTAAACGCTTTCGATATTTTCTGCAAACGGCTTCTGAATAGATAACCCTTGAGGAAGCTCGAACTACCAACCCTCCAACACACGAAAATGAGTCCTACCAACTGAGCTATGCCACCATTTCAGAACCGCCGGCGCTTATAATTCGCGAGCTGATGACCGTCCATGGCGGCGAGTACCACTGCTACTACGAGCACGGACGGACGACCTACGTCATCGCGAGTTCTCTTGCTTCCGTCAAAGTCGACAAACTCCGTCAGGGCGAGATCTTCATCAAGCCCGAGTGGATCACTGACTCGTCAGTTGATCTTGATGATTATTCTAGAAATGTTGAGCTGGCCGGTTGAAAAGCACTATAAAGGAAAAGATTGATTCAAATGTGTTTTTTAATATCTGCATCTATAGCCGATTTACGACCAACTTGGAACGTTAAAAGGCGTGGCCTGTCTGCGCTCTCCACCAGCCAGGCACTGTATCTTCTCTTATCGTGCCAGAACCGTTTTTTAGTGGCTCAAGCCAGCCGAGAACCGGCTTTAAAACTTGTCAAAATTCTCCGGAAAGCGAACGCCCTCCTAAATCCTTCAAACTGTCATTCCTGCTGAAAGAAAACCAAGAAAAAATATTTCAGTATTGCTCGTGGATACGCTTTACCACACATCGACTACGTTGTGAATGAAAAAGACAGATATGCCAAGGGAACCTTGCAGCGATTCTTCGCACAGAGCAAGGAAGATAAAGGTGGGTCATTTGTTTCGTTTTAGGAAATTTGAATGGACTTCATTTTTTAAAATTTTTTACACGAATGATAAACCGCTTTTTGAAAAACTTACTGATACGTTCTGTCATCAAAACTGATCCGGGGCCTTTTGAAAATGGCCTGATATTGCCGTAGCGCAACAGGTTGTGCGCCTGTCTACGGTCCGCAGGGTCACAAGTTCGATCCCCGCCTCGACCCACCCATCCAAGGGGTTTAAGAAATCTTGGTAGTGGGAAACCACGACTTCAAGAGTCCCTAGGCGTCCCACAGGTACAAATGCGTAGGAAGAAAAAGAAGCAAAGGCGTATTTCTCATTGATTTGAGAAATTCTTACAGTCCCTATATAGTCAACGTTTCCCGACTTAAAGGGCAATCGAGGCGGGGCAAGGGGCGTTACTACTCTTTCTTCATATGTTATACTATTTTTAATGCGAACATGAAAAAAATCAATAAATAATCGAAAAAGAAATGAAAAGAGCGATGAACGAGCTCTCCAAATAGTCGCTGGCAGTTGAATTGAACTCGTGCCAAGAACCGCGAACGCACACGCTACGCGTCCCGCCCCTGCCCCGGCTCCCTCGCCTTTCAAGTCGGGAAACATTGACAATAAAATAATTATACTTCATAAGAGCCAGTTTGAGCCATTCTCCATGCGGACTCAGAAGTTTAATTTCAGAAAAGCCGAAAAATCCGGCTCCTAACCGCGATACAGTAGACGCTCGTGATCCCGACTTTATTTTTCAGTACTACGCCAGGTTATTTTGTTTCTGAAAAAGCCTTCCACCGGATTAGAATCTCAGGTCGAGGCTTCATCTCATTTCCACTCTAGCCCAAGATATGAAAGATTTCGTGGCGGATCTGAAAAGCAGGAGGTCGCCGGAGAGTGAAACGATAGACTTGAGGGACCTCGGGCGATTTGTTACTTCTGAAAGGTTTTTGACAAGATATCTATGATTTATTGTATGCTTTGAGACGTCCCAAAGAAGACTTCATCTTCCACGTCGACCTGGACTGCTTTTTCGTTTCCGTGGCCCTCCGATCGAGGCCCGAGTGCCGTGGAAAGCCTGTCGCAATCACTCACAGCAAGGTGTCTTTATCCCCAATTTCAGGAGTAGCCCGAATATTCAGGGCGTTGTGAGCAACAGCATGTCGGAAATCGCATCCTGCAGCTATGAAGCGAGGGCCTGCGGAGTGAAGAATGGTTTGAGAGATTTATAGTCCGTTTTACGCGACTTGCGGGATTTCTCTGCGCTCTCTTTATCTCTCGACGTCTCTCTCATGTTTACGGGCTGTTTTCATGTTTCTCTGACCTCGCCGGTGAGGGAACAGAGAGACGCAGACACCCGAAAACTGTAAAGTCGCGGAGGACGAACTATAAATTCGTTCGAAAAAGGGTATTTTGATATTTTTCCAAAATCCATCGTCTTTTCGTTCTCTCTTTCATGTTTCCTCTCAAATAGGGAGTCCTTTCACCTAGTTTTCTGGAACTTTCTCCGAATTTTCCCTTCAGTGAACTGGGATTTGAATCCACATAGTCCAGATTTCGAATAATGTCAAGTCATAGCTCAAACTCCGCCCCTAATGCGTAGATCAAACCAATCAAAGAGCTATAGTCCGTTCAGATTTTGAATGTCAAGTAGAGTGACGTCATTCGAAAACGCTCTGTAGATGGCTCGCTCTCTGATTGGTTTATCGCGCTATTAGGAGGCGGAGCTTCAGCGACCACTTGACATTCAAAATCTGAACGTTCAACTTGATCAACTACACGTTTGGGCTTCTAGTTCATCAAAGGCGATTTTTCAATATTTCTTGAAAAGTTCCTGTTCACCGTCTAGTCGATAAAATCTATGACTAAAACAGAAGAACAATAAAAATGGATTGATTAATTATTGATTGATTTTTCTTTGCCATTCTTTTGAAAAAGTTGTTTGGTAGGAATGCTGGTGAAAGACGCCTTGGAGCAATGTTCACGGCTCGTTTTTCTCCCCTACCAGTTTGAAGATTATACCGAAGTCAGCAAGATCATCTACACTATCCTGTCACGGTTTGAAAAGCGTCAAAAAGCTCAAACCGAGATGTTCAGCTACACGCTAGATCTTCGAGCCGTTTCCTGCGATGAGATGTACTTGAACTGCACGGAGTTGTGCAGAAAGGTTGTAGATAGCCTCTGAGATTATATTAATTTTGATGTTCGTCTCAGTTTTCTATAACGGACCCCAAGAAGTTGGCGGAGCATATGAGGACGGAAATTCGCGAGAAAACAGGATGTCCTGCTTCGGTTGGAATAGGTCAGTGTTTCAGATTAAATAGAAGAAAAAAAAAGAACATCTCAGGACCCACCTCCCTAATTGCCCGCCTTGCAACTAGACGCGCCAAACCCGATGGCGTTTATTGGGTTCCAAAATTAAATATTGCAGATTTCATAGCGAAAGAGAAGGTTTTATCGAAAAAGAAACATATTTGAAAGTTTTTTTGAGATTCGGGACATTCCTGGCATCGGATATCAGAGCTTGGACAAGATAAAGTCTTTTTTTGGTATGTTCATTTTAACAAGGAAGGTCATTTTCCTTTGTTGGGAATTTCTTAGAAATTCTGGAGCGGTCCCTATAGGGGTTAGAGGGAACAACGGCCTCTATAGAGGACGAAAAAGTGGTCCCTATAGGGGTAAAATCAAGGTGGTCCCTATAGGGGTTTAGTTTCTGACCCCTTAGTCTTTGAAGCTTAAGTGGACTCTATAGGGGTCTTTCAAATTTGTTTTCAAAAAGGGATTTTTTTAGTTTTTCGCATGGAAATGCTTCTTCTCATAGAGTTCATAAAAACTATCGACTAGCATGTCCTCTAAAGAGCCCACTAATTAAAACCCCTATAATGACCGCTTTCGCAAGCTTTAGTGGCCCCTATAGGGGTTGGCAAAGTGGTGTCTCGAGGGGACCGTCCAAGAGCGTCTATGGTTACCCCTATCGGGAACACTCTGGAGTTCCTGAGTAGCACTCCACTCCAAGTAAAATGACCTTCCTTGTATTTTGTTCATCGGATGAATTCCAGGCGATACGGAAAGATGCAGCGAGCTCCAAGCCCACTCTTTGGAAACCTTGGAGCCCTTACTCGGCAAGAAAGTTGCTCAAAAGGTTTTTTTTAAACCGTTTTTTTGTTCAAATCCTTCCCTTTACCAGCTCTATAATCAGTGTCGAGGTATTGAAGAAGATCCGCCTGGATTTTGGGAAATCCAGCAAAGAAAATCCGTTTCTTGCGATATCAACTATGGAATCAGGTTCACCGAGGTTGGACGTCGGTTTGAACGATTGACTGACTTTTTAATTTGAGCAAAAAGAGGCGATGCAGCTGCTCAGCGGAATCGGGTTTGAGCTAGAGAGGAAGCTTAATCGATGCAAAATGTTGGCTGGGAACGTCACTCTGAAACTCTTGGTATGAATTATTATTCATCATTGAAGTAATCAATAGAGAAATTTTTACTAAGCGATTTACGAGCAGTTAAAACTCCAGAATGGTCCCTAAAGGGGCGACCTTACGGGCCCTTGGAGGATCCCTGTAGGGACCACTTTACCAATCCCTATAGGGGTCACTAAAGCTTGCAAAAGTGCCCTTTTAGGGGACATTCTTATCGATAACTTGTTTGAACTCTAAGCAAAGAAGCGTTTCCATGAGAAAAACTGAAAAAATAACCTTTTTGAAAAAAAAAATTGAAAGACCCCTATAGGGACCACCTCGACTTTACCTCTATAGGGACCACTTTTAGGCCTCTAACCCCTATAGGGATCACTCTAGAGTTCCTAAGACTGGCCGGAGCTTGATAGTAACAGTTCTATATGGAAAAAGTTCTCAGATCAACATTTTTTAGAAGTGATTTTTATCAATGATCCTTGTAACGTTAAAAACATTTAATCCCGAAAATTCCAGCTTCCAGGAGTAAGATCAATGATCATTATAAAGAATTAAGAAAAATTTTTCATTGATGAACAGAATCGAGATATTTTTTTGTCAGTTTTTTTCAATTTTTTTAAATGAAAAATACTTCAATGGGTATCGTGATTCATCAATACTTTAGTTCGAAGTTGACTTGGAGTTTTTTTAATTTTACTTTTGAGAAAGCTATATCTTGTCTCTCTTCATAAATTTTAGGCCAGGCAACCGAAAAATAATCTGTTTTTTTTAACTTGTAAATGAGTAAGTATATGACTAAGCTAACAAGTTGAATCAAAATAACAAGATAATCCTAAAAAATGAAGGTCCGAAGCGCCGATGCTCCAGTTCAAACGGCCAAGTTCATGGGCCACGGAAGATGTGACGCCCACACGAAGTCTGCAGTTCTGCCCATGTCTACCAATAACGCCAAGGTTTCTCCTACTTTTTGAATTTGAATATTTCCAATCTGCAGCTGATAATCACCGAGATAGTCAAGCTGTACAACAAGATTGCTCCACTCGTGGAAGACCTTCGAGGGGTTTTATACACCTCCAGTCTCTTTTGAAAATAGAAATTTCAGGTTGGAGTTCAGTGCAGCAAGCTGAAAAGCGCCGACCGACAAGCGATGAGTTCCGCCGTCGCCGAAATGTTCAAGCCGACTTCTCAAAGGAAACCTCTGCAACTTGCTGGGAGACCAAGTAATCTTTTTAGTTTTCATTATATCCTACCAATGAAAAAAAAACAGAAAAAGACGAAGAGAGAAAACGAAAACGTCACTTCTACGGCGAGGACGGCGACGAAGACATGCTCATGAGGATGGAGGACTTCAATCGGCCCCACAAAACCAGCCCTCCCCTCAAAAATAGGCACATTTGTGAACACGAGGGCATGAGGAACAGGGTACAGGGTTTTAAAATTAGTAAAACAATCATTTATCTTACTGTTTTAGTCATATTACGGACCAGGCGACTAACGGGAAAGCTTGAAATTGAAAAAAGCGCCTTTGGCGAGCTAGAAGCCCGGATTTGTAGTTGATCAAGTTGAGATCATGGTGCGCCTTGACGAGTTCAAATATAGATGAGATGATCTAGATAAAAGCCTCAAAATCAGAATGGATTTATGAAAAAAATACGGTCTTAAACTTATTCATACATCAATATCCAGAAAAGGTCTTGGCGTCACGAACTAACTATTACAAGTAGTGTTACAATTTTCTGCGGTAAATCGGGACATTCAATGCAAGAATTTGATGAAGTTTTATTCTTTAATAACATCTTTATGATTTTTCAAAATGAATCAAGGCAAAAATGATATATTTTTTTAGCGAGAAGAAATTTTTTTAGGGTAAGGGAAGTAAAATCCGACTCGCGCTTTCAAAAAAGTCTGAAGATCTTCTGTGTTTTTTGAAAGCACTAAAGTTTTTAGAGGATGCCTACTGAATTCTGATAAATGAAACTTGAATCCACTGAAAATTATTATTAGACTGTATTAGCTTTTTTCTTCCTTCAGCTCGAACCTCCAAGAAGCAATCAGCCACTGGCGCCACCGGCTTGGATGCCAAAGTGTACAAAAGACATTGCCTTCGGTTCTCAGTCAAGCTTGAATGGTGTTACGGATGACGAGGGCATCGAAGCTGAATTTGAGAAAATCCTAATCGAAGGCAAAAGACTTTCATGCCAGCCAAGTTAACGAGCGTTTTCAGAACCCACTCGAGAATCAGTTGTACTGGTTGCGCGTTTCTTCTGCACAACGGCTCGCCTGGGAAACCTACAGTCGTTGACCAACCACTCCAGAACCCTGCTCTCCTTGGTCGGCCATCGGAGAACGTCACACGCTGCGTGGTTCCAAGCCGCGCACCTGATTCTGAACGAGGCCGACGCCGTCTGTGCCGAGTACTACGGCGCCCCCATGATGTTGGTCGACTCCTTGGAGCATTTGAATTTCGGTCGATATGATTGACGTTCTCTCCATTTTTCAAATTCTCTAAAGTATCCTCTAAAACTTTTTTCTGTGGTTTGTGTAGCTTGTGAACAGACTACATTGTCTCAAATTTCTTTTCCCCATTGCTCTCAAAAAAAGTCAACTCCAACTTGCATTCAAAACTTTTCCTAATAACTCACTTTTGAGGTAATAATTATTCTCCGCACTTCACACAAATTCACTTTCACCCACGCTCAAGTATTTTCCTAACCTTACCTGATTTTTAAATGTCGTTGTCGAACACTCTTCATGTACGTGATATTTATACCAACTTTCATAAATTTTTCTCCATTTTCAGAGTCAAGACATCGTTGCACGGTTGAAAGCCTTGTAAAATGATTCAACAGATGTGCTTTCCATTAATTTTCTTTCCAGAATGGATTTAATTTTCGTCGTTTTTTATATCAAGTTAAATCAGTTTTCTTGATTTCTTGTTTTTTTCTTCTCTTTTCAAATTTATTTGAAGAGTGATATATATTAGAAGCAAATTCTATTCGGCTTTATTTCAAAAAATGAATTTTTTGTCGGCATAAATCAGTTTCTGATTCCTTCCTCATGAGAAAAGTGTTAGCGGGATAACCGCCAGAGAGTGTAAATCTAAATTTCGGAGAGTCAGTAATGATTTGAATTTCGCGGTACTACTTTGAACACGGCATCTGTTCTATAAAATCATTGTGAGCGCGGCATAAAAGGAAAATTCCGAAAACAGCGAGCTGAAATTGTGTGCGGCGTTTGCGGAGAAGTGACCAGCCAGCTGACTGGAGCCCTCCCCCTTTTCGTTCCTTTGCACAAATGTTTTTCGCTCTTCTTTTTTTCTTTCGCACATTTTTCCTCAAAACCTCGTTTTTTTTTCACGCGCGTTATTGTTGTAAATAAGCCAAGGACCACTTTTCGGTTAAATATTTTCGTCCTCTTAACTTTGACGCCATCTGAACACCTCTGTAGTCAATGATCTTTGTTCAGTTTATTTTTTTGTTCCGATGACTTGTTTTCTTAGCCACTATGTTTACTCTCTAAATTTTCTTCTACAGTTTCGTTCTATGAGCTGTTGAGTACGTTTTGTGGTCGGGTTAGTGCAAAACAATCGATTTTCCTCGTCGAAAATGGACGCTGAAATGAACGAAGAATGAGGGTCGTCAGCCAACCTCAAATTGCCGAGGGGAGAATGTTTCCTTGAAGAATGTATCCACCGAAAATTGGCTGAATTGTTTGCTGTTTGATTTTTAGAATAGTACAGGGTTCTTCATAGAAGAAGAAATGTAAAAAAATACAATATAGTCTGTTCAGATTTTGAATGTCAAGTGCAATGACGTCATTCAAAAACACTCTGTGGATGGCTCGCTCTCTGATTGGTTTATCGCACCATTATGGGTGGGACTTGAGCGAAGACTTGACATTCAAAATCTGAACAGACTATAAAATATGTGATGAAAAAAATGAACAGTCAAAAAATTTCTAAACGCGCGTTCAAAAATTTTTGACAAAGGTGTGATGACGAAAGTTGGTTGTTCACGTTCGGAAAAAATGTTTCTTTTTCGACTAACTCCAATCTTTTTGGGCCACTTATCGCTGTTTCTTTTGTTTCAAAATGCCAGCGTTCATCTTATTTTTTTATTGTGCACCTTTGTCGTTATCAGTTACAAGATTGCCTGTTTATGATTATTTATCATTTCACTTTGTTTGCCGAAATTTCTTTGATTTCTTCTCTTCTTCTTAGTTTTCCAAAGATGAAAGATAATTTATTAAATCCATTTTACAGATAAAAATTGGATACCTAACAAATTCGAGATGAACGGCGCATCGCGCACGCGCAATTCGCTGTCTTCTTCGTCTCGTCTTAGTTTGGGAGGTTATTTTTTTTCGTTTCAAAAAGTAAGCAATGAAAAATGCTTTGCAGGCTCCGTACGCCTTCACGATCTTCTAGAAGACCACGCCGACGACTACAGTATTTTGGGCGTCGACGTCGACAGAGCCATTGACGCTAGGGATCTGGACACCGAAAACTTGTACGCTGAGAGTGCACCTCCGAAAAAGGAACCTATTTCTTCTTTCAAGGTAAGATTATCACGTGTAACCGCAGTAGGTTATTCATCCACAAGAAGAAAAGAATAAATAAAGTAGGTTGAAAAAAAAAAAATCAGGATATAGCCTATTCCGCGCCAGCTTGTCACGTTTTTCTTTCCGCCAAAAAGACCGTATACCAAATTAGATCAAATTTCTGCTTTTAGAACGGCAAGAAACAAAGGTCTTGAAGCGAAAGTTGATTAAATTTGACCTGGCCTTTTGGCGGAAAGAAAAACGTGACAAGCTGGCGCGGAATGGCCTATAGGGTGAAACTAGTCTCACATACAGCTGTTATAGTTCACTAATACTCAAAACCTTAGCAATTCGTAAGTTTAAAAGGTTGCCGTCATTATGACGTCATGCGGCGCCGCTGAGCGCGCTTGTTTTGTTTTTTTTTGTTGTTGTTTACGCGCCGCGCTGATCTTTGGCGTTTTGTCTTGAGAAAACTGCTTCCTCGGATCTTGTCCTTCCGCCCATTCTCATCGATTTTTCATAGTTCTGTCCACCTCCTCGAAACGTTCTTTCAGTTTCCATTCGCTCAGACTAACTGTTGTTCCGCTCGAATATTCAACAAATAAACACACCCCGCGGGCAGAGCCATATCCTCTCCTCTCTCCTCTGAACTTTGAGAGATCTACCATTGCTCATTCTTCTCACCACGGAGTATGGAGCTCCCGATTATTCCTCTTCCAATCTCGATTCCTATCGCTAGTTTGATCGAATCGCCGCCGTCGTCTTCCTCCGAGGACGAGCTTTTTGTGGTGAGTTTTTTTTTTCTTACGACAAATTTATTCAGTTTGAAGAAGAAAAGTATAACCTTTGTTGTGTCCATATTTTCAACACTCATTTTTTTTTTCGGGAGCGCTTATGCAAATTGTATTCGCCCGCTTTCGTAGTTTCCTTCTGAGTCTGTTTTGCAATGGAAAAAACGTGTATGAAAATTGAGAAATAGGATCTTCAAGGGAAAACAAGTAAATGGATAGCATGCGGAGCTTCTTTTTACTATTCTCGAAAAAAAAAAACTGTGCCGGACAACAAGCTTTTTGGCCTTGGCTCTCATTGGAAACACCAGGCTTTCAGCTGTTTGCTCTCGAAATGCGATGAAATTGCTGTTTTGCCGGCCGAAATTGTTTATTTTACGTGTGATTCCCGTCGGTTCCCAAAAATAGAAGCCTCGGAAACGATATGATAGTGGGGAGGTGTCGATCGATCAGCCGCGTTTTTGTTTGGAGCAAAAATTGCGGAACACACTGACCAACGGCTGATTAGGCGACTTTCAACGGACGATATTTGATATGACGGCTAAGATGTCGGAGAAGGTCCATATAATGCTTTTCCGAGGCCTTGAAATGCTTTTCGACGAGCATCGTGAGCAAAACCGATATTTCGTGGTTGGTTTTAATGAAATTCCCTCTTCACGTTGGTTGTTATCCTCTGTTGTCTTGTTTTTTTAATCTCTATGAATCGATCTTTTCTCGGCTTTTTCAGATTGTTGACTTTGTAGTACAAACAAAAAATTGTCGAAGTTTTCTTGTTGACATTGAAAAATGTCCGTTTTTGGAAACTCAAAAAAAATTGATTCTATACTTTTTCACGGACTTTCTACGAGTTTCAATTGACACCTCGGAAAATTAGTTCTCTCTCCAGAAAATAGTTGCCGAATTTCTCCCCCAGAAGCCTTTCGATGAATACCAACGCATTGAATAGACTTTTTTTTCGCTGAAAAACGGCATTCAAGCCTTCCTAACATGAAGCTTTGTATGTCCAGGTGCGTTCATTTTTTTTCTAGCGAAGAACGTCTACGAGATTATTTTTATTTTCCGTGGCAAGCTTTTTATGAGACAGCTACGTTCGAATCGCCCGGAAATGCGTTTTATTTCTCTTTCCTTCTTAGAAGTTGTAGAAAAAGGGCTAGCTGTTTGCAAAATTGACGTCGTGGAAGCCTCAATTTGAATTTTCATCCCCATTTTTAATCGTAACCTTTCAAAAAACTCGGATCAATGACGTGGGATTCCGCACTTGTGGCTTCTGATTTCATTTTTTATTTTCCTCATTTCTCTTGTCGGAGGCTAATTCCCGGGGTTTCATGCTCAGCGACCGAGTGTTGTGGAAGATTAATAGGAGTGACTAGCGAACCGCGTTTTCTCATTTCCTTTGACGGGCTCAGTTTGCTTCTGGCTTTCTCCGGAACGCGCAGTTTTTCGAAATCCCGTGTTTCAAACCATTATGTTTCCGTAAATTTGAGTTTTTTGAAATCTAGTGGTATGCTTTTTTGAGTCATTTTATGAGATCTCGTTATGAGATAGGCTCAGTTTCCAAAGCCGTGCTCATTGAGCCCATGAGCAACGGAGACGGATGTTTTTTAATGTTTCCAAGAGTGAAGTAGTTTCATGAATTATGCAAATAGAAGCGGCCAACATTTTTGTTTATCGAATTTTTTTCTCTTCCTGCAAGTCAGAAGCTTTCCACGCAGTAGATCAAATTTCATCGATTGTAAATGAAAATATTTTGCGAGCGTCCAGTTGCGAACGAATTTTGATTGCGTGTACATTCTCCCTGACGTGTCCCGTAGATGTTTGAGGGTTGAGCTGTCTTGTTGTTCTCGTTTTTTTCTCGTTTATTCGCCTGCAACTCCAAAGTGTTTCGTTGCATTTTGGTCGCCAGGGGGCAATCGAAAAGAAAGAGGTTTTGAATCGGGAAAGTTATGATTGTTTGGTGAGAAAATAGTTTAGTTCAAAGAAAGAAACGAGAAAAATAAAAACTCGCCTCAACACGACTTATGATCAGGACACTATGGACTTTTTCGCACTTAAGAAGCAAATATCGAAGAAAAGAGTATAATTTAGCGCTCTGGGAAAATTATAATCCAATTTTCTGAAGTTTGATTATACTCTTTGAAGAAAAAACAAAGCAGTGGAAAAGCTTTTCCTTCTCTATTCGTTTTGAACATAAAAGACTAAATTGTAGTTTCGTGGCTCATGAACAAAGGACTTTAAAAGAGTAGTCGCAGCTCAAGGTTCATAGTTCTTCGGCTAACTACAAAATTGGTAGGAAAAGGAAAGCAGTGGGCCGGGAATAAGTTGGTGAATTCGTTTTTCCGTTGCCACACATTGATTCTGACTGAGAAAGGCGAGGCCTTTTTTCTTCGTCTCTTTTTTTTTACTCTGAGCACTCGAGCAACGCCTTTGGGCTTGTTTTTTTACTCCCTCTGGGCGGCATCATTGCCTTATCGCCTGGGTTTTCCGCGCAGCTTATCTTTTAGGTTTTGATGAAGTTAATAACTTGTTTTCCAGAAAGCTTATGATGGTAATCTCTCTGTTCTATGCTTTTTCTTCTATTTTTATGAGGAGTTATTTTTTGAGGTAAAGGAGTTGAGGTGAAGAAAGAAATTATAGAAATTCGAAAGACGAAGTGTTTTCGCACTTAACCTCAACTTTCAAGTTTGAATCGGCGAAAAGCTTAAAAACAGCAAAACAAAAAGTGCTGTGCATCATTTTGATAACCATCTGTGACTCATAGATTCCATTGTGATGTCCTTTTTGTCGCTTGTGTACTCCCCCTTCCTTTGAATCGACTTCATAACAACTCTAGAGATTATTTTTGCGGTTCCCTCCGCTCCGACAGAAATTCCGTCAGTTAATGGATGCCAAGTTGAGAACGAGCAACAGATCGAGAAGCCGTTCGAAAGGGCGGCCCCACAAATGGAGGGTACGTGTATCGCCTCTGTACTTTTGTCACTTTTTTGTACTACTATCTGATTTTTTTATCTGCAATATTTTCCTTATGGTGGTAACAAACTTTCTGTTTTGCGATTTATCTTTGGGTTTTTTAACAAGTTCAAAATGAAACGGGGTGTTCAATGAACTATGACCTCGGTGAAAAAAAGACAGGCTCCGGAAAAAAAATTTAAAAGTTAAGATAATGAAGAAAAAGTCATTTTTCAAAAAGAAACGAGTTCAAAGAGTATGAAAAAAATTTCTACAGGCATACGGGGAACCAGCAGCCTGGAGCTTTTCAATAGAACTCATTCGTTAATGGCGTGTTCATTGGAAAAAAAAAACGAAAACTGTTCCGAAACGCAAAAAAGTTGTTCCAAAACAAAAATTAGTACGGCTTTGGAACAACTTTAGTGCGCCATTGAACACGCATTTTCGTTTCGAAACATGTTCCGTTTCTCCAATGAACACGAAATAGTAATGGAATGGAACTCAGGGATATAACTTTTCATTGTATGAAAAGTGAAGGAATATTATAAATAGGAAGTTTAACATTGAAAGGTTTCTCCATTCGGAGAGCTTGATTTTTTTTTTCTTGGCCTATTTTACGATCCTGGATTGAGACATTTACCATATTGGTTATGAAAACTTATCTATTCCGAACATGAAAAGGATATTTTTGGGAAATTTGAAGTCTACGGATTGTTTTGAGAAATATTCTTTTTTACAGGAAATCACAGAAAAAGTTATCCGTGAATGAAGGAGTGTTTTTTGCAGCTGCCCGATGAACATGTGATTCCGGCGGGCGGCGAAGAACGCTCTAACACGCCACCGACCGCTTCTGGCATCAATGGCTCGAACGGCGGAAGCGACGCAGAAACCCACAGCGCCGACAAGGCCTCCATCGGATCCAGCGATTCTAAAGTGCATAAATCGTCTTTTCATAGAGGATTTTTAAGGTCGTGGAGTATAAAGTTTTAGAGAAGTTAGAAATTTATGAGCCTTTTGAGAACTTAGTCAGTTTCTTCTCAAAGATTTTGTATTACCAGGACTGAAAAATATACTTTTTATTTAAAAGAAAATTCAAAAAGAACCTGCAATTGAAAGTTTTTAGAATTTCAGAGCTGAAAATAAGATTGTTATAAGCGTTTTAAGTACTTAGGCCGTATCTTTTCAAAGATTTTTTATTACCTGAACTGCGAAAATGCTTTTTATTATTTTAAAAAAATTTTAAGGAGGGCATGGAGTAAAAAATTTTGGATCTTTCCAAGCTGAGGAGAAGATTAGAAGTTAAAAAGATAAACAGTACCTTTTTTCAAATATTATTGATAACCAGAGCTTTTTATTGTATAGGACTTTCACAGTTTGAATCCAGATCACTCTCGAAAAAACCAGATTTTCAAGAACCTCAGAACCTGTTTCGTAACTCATTCAGAACATTTTTATGCAGCGTTCTTTAGTCATAGCCTAATTTATGTCGAAATAAGCCCTTTGGAAAAAATATTTCTTTCTCAAATATATCAGAAAAGTTAGTGATTTAGCCTTGCCACTGAGTTCTTCCATTCTTACTTTTTTCAGCATGAACAGAGCAAAATTGGGGCCCTCTTCGACAAAGCCAAGAGCAAAACGCGCAAACTCGTTGGCGGCAAAAAGAAAAGCCCAGGTGAATATTTCGAAAATTTTATTTTTATTCATTCGCTCCTATAAAATCATCGATGCATGTTTCAAAATTTCCTTATGTACAAGGATTATTTTCGTTCAGATCTTGTTGACGAAGCCTCGCAATGTGCAATTGAGAAACCATTGGAATTCGTTCCCCTAAGCCATCCGCCGAGCATCGAATCTGAAATTTATACGTGCTCCGAAAATAAGTTCCCCGCCTTGATTGCACACTCGTCGAGCCGAAGAAATGTCATCGAGGAGGAGGTTTTTGAGGCTGTTTATTGGGAGTTATAAAATTTGGTTTGAAGAAAAAAGCGACCGACGAATATGTCGAGAAGCACAGTGCGCACTTCCACGAGGAGAAGGATGTCGCCAAAAAACCGGTGAGAATCTTGGTATTCTTTTCGAAGTTCGGTTTTGAGAAACGGAAAAAAGAAATAAGCTTAAATTTTTTATTCATAGAAAAAGCGCGAAATTCATTTTCAAAATTTGATTTTTTGTGTACCATTTCAGTCTCATTGTCAGGTAGAAAAAGAGGACAAATTTTTCATTTTTTTAGAATAAATAAATAATTGGATGTCATGTTCAAAGCGATTCAGTGGATTTAAAAATTATCTTTGACTCCCCGAATTTTAGTTGATCAATTTGAGCATGACATTATGATTTGGAAGTGAAACTGAAAAAAAAAGATCATTTTTTGTTTAGGATCCGCTTTTTGAAAGTCTTTTTGCGAAGTTTTCATAGTTTTTCTGAAAAAATTTTTGCTTTTTTGGCTTTTTTTTTCAGTTGTTTTTCGCTATTGTTCCTTAAAAGCTCTCTTTTTGACCTTACCACAGAGGTTATTCTCATTTTCCAGGTCTACATCGACCCGGCCGACCCTTCGGACCCTTTCCATGTGCAGTCACTCATTCACAAATTCCGAAGCTTACCATTTTTCCAAAGCCGAATGGTCGTCCTCGGCACCTTGCTGGCTTTAACCCTAGCCACTCCAGGTCGACAAATCCCTCCCCTTTCCCTCCAAAACCTCAAATTTTAGGTCTTTTTGCGGGTCTTCTTTGGGGTTTCTACCTTTCGATTATGGGATTTTTGTACTTTTTCGTTTCTGAACCGAAAATCACGACGGATGAGGTTGTTGATGGTATTTTTCATTTTTCCTTAATGAAGAGATCCAGGGAAATGAATGGGCCGGTATGAAGGACGACGACGTCGTCGCGATGAATGTTAAGGACACGGTGACGTCACAGATGTTGGCTTTGGATGACGGCCAAGGCTTCGGACTGGGCGACGGCATCGTTTACAGGGTAATTGTGGCGGCAGTTGAAAATTTTGAGTAGATTTTTTTGTGGATCATCAAAAAAGTAGGTGCTTGGTTCAACTGGAAGCGTTTAGCGTGAAAATTTTCAAGTTTAAGATATTTTATTATGATAAAAGTCTTTTAGAAGATTTGTAGCTTTTTGAAATATCTCATGTACCTTGCTGGGAAAATTTTTAATGCCCTCTTTACGTTTTATTGGCCACTGTAGTAGTCTAATTAGTGGTCACCCAATGGTAAAAAATTAGTGACTATTTTAGAGAGTGGTACTAATAGACCACTACAATATTTAGTGGCCCCTTTAGAGCTCAATTAATCAAACTGGTTCAAAAAACTTCTTTTGAAATCATCAGAGTGAACTTGCTTTGCGAGAGGTGGGGTTGGTCTACCGATTATTGCATGAAAAATTACTATAGAGGCCACTAAAAAAAAGAACCGCTATAGTGGTCACTAAGACGGGAAATAAAGGTCACTAGAGCTGGTTTTTTTCCCGATAAAATTCCGATAATTTTAAAGGGTTGGATGAATGAACTACGGGCTCGGTATTCTCCGGCCGCCTACCACGTCAATTCGTCCCAATCGGTGCTCGTCCGACTCGAAGGTTCCGTGTTGCGGATCTGTCGTCCGGCCAAAGCCGTCCTCAAACACGCCTTCTACGACGACCCGACGCTGAGACAGGCCCAGCCGACCATGGTCTCACAGACTATATTCGACCTCAAGGACGCCGAAGTGCTTCAATTTCAATGGGATCCGAAATGATGAGAGACTTCAGGTCACTCTCCGTCCCAAAAGACTCGCCAAAAGGCGTTGGTGGAGCCGGAAATACCCGATTCACATCCGCTTCGCTCACACCAACAGCACCATCGCCGACGTTGACCAAGCCAAGACAGGCCATCATCGTGGAATGACCAGGTATTCATTGGCTTCTGAGGCTACAAAAAGTCGAAAAAAGAAAACGAAGAAAACGTTTAAAATTCATCAAGTTATTTGTCAGGAAGCTGTTTTGAACCCTCTTTCATTTGTTTTTTTCAACAATTCCTCTCATAAATTTCCTGTATAAACTTCGAAACTTCCAGATTTCGTTTTAGTAACAAATTTATATCACTTTCAAAAATTTTATGCTACGTCCGGCAATGTCGAAAATGTCACCTATAGAGCATACTTAACATCGTTAAAATCCTCTCAAAAAACTTTTCTTTCTTTTTTTTTTCTGGTCTGTCCAATTTAAATAGACCCCGAGTAAATAATAAGAAGTTGAAATAAAAAGGTTTTTTTTTGAAATACGTTTTTATTTTCCTGATTCTGTTTTTGACTGAAAAATTTTTTTGAACTGTCCCTTGAAGATGCCATAATAGGGATTTTCACTAGAGCAAACGTCTTCAGATCTGTCTCCCTCAACCCCACGCCCAGCTGCCAAAGTATCGAAGCCGAGCTGGCACCATCTTCGCTGTCTGAAGTGCGAACTGAGGACGACGATCCTGGATATTCGGCCGAGAGCGACTGGTCGAGCGATGAAGATAATGGTGACAGTGTCAACCATTTTCAATCTTAACTCTCAGTTTCAGAGCCTAAAACAGGAATCGCGCGGTCCAACTCGACGGGTGAAATGGGCGAGTTTGAGCCGGAGTCGCGCGGAATGAGAAACAAGCGCCGTGGACGCAGCATTTACCTGTTCTGTCGTGCTGCGCGCGAGAAGGAACGTTGGTTCCACCTGTGAGTTGTCCCAAGACCATCGGCAGCTATTCTTCATTTTTCCAGCCTCCGAGAGGCCTGCGCCAAGGCAAGAACTGCGACGCAATTGCAACGTTGCTCCAGCGAACTGTGCAAGTCGCCTTCGACGTCGAGTCTGTCGCGCATCGCCACGGAGCTCTTGGTGAATGGCAAGAACGCCGACGAGAACACGGCCATCGTCGCCGTCGAGGCCATCGACATCGACAACGATGATGTGATTTTTGGCTTCAGATTAACAGTAGAAAAGTCCTAGACAAGCACTACTTTACAAGGAAACTATTTTTGTTTCACTTAAGAACTCCAGAGTGATCCCTATAGGGGCCCTTGGAGGAATCCCTTTAGTGAACCCTTTACCAACCTCTATAGGAGCCACTAAAGCTTGCAAAAGTGGTCTCTATAGGGGTTTCAGTTAGTGGCCCCTATAGGGAACATGCTAGTCGATAATTGTTATGAACTCTGCGAAGAAGCATTTCTATGCAAAAAAACCAAAAAAAAATACCCTTTTTTGGATAAAATTGAAAGACCCCTATAGAGAGTCAGTTTTGAGAAGATCCACTTGAGAAGTCCACTTGAGCTTTAGGGACGAAAAGGGTCAGACCCTAAACTCCTAAAGGGACCACCTTCATTTTATCCCTAGAGGGACTACTTTTTCGTCTACCTATAGAAATTGTTTTGCCCCCTAGCCCCTATAGGGACCACTCTGGAATTCCTAGGTAGTAGGAAATCGTTCTATCTAAAAACTGACTTCAAGTTGAAAAAAATAAAATTATTTTTTTGCTATATTTTTTTAAGATTAGTGACCAGATTTTTCGTTTTGCAGGGACCGAATGAGCACAAAAATGACGTCATCAAGAGCCCGGAACGAAAACATTTGGCTCCGCAGTACGAGTACCTCAAGTACCGCAGCAACTTTGCCAGCTTTGTCAAGTCAGTTTTGAGAAGATATCCAAATTATGTTGGATCCTGATACAGAGAGCTGGCGGGAATCATGTCGATTCACATCCCGGTGAAGCCTGAGCCAAGAAGCACCGTTTCCGTTGATCTCGGAACGATGAAATGGACCAAAGGGCCGTCCCAAGTCAGCTCCGAACTCGTGGACTGTATCAATGTTCTTGGGACAAGGTCTGTACTGAGCAATTCATAGAAGTCTTCAATTAGCTTGATTTCAGAGTCTTTTTCGATTCTTGCCGTGACGAGTTCTGGGTTCACAAGGTCAAGACCAAGATCCAGAATAAATTGGCGACGATTCATGTTGGTTTTTGTGAACTTCCTGAAAAAATCAAGCATTTTTCAGCTTCCTTACTTTATCGAAAAACTGGAGCTTGCCGATTTGAAAGTTGGAACTGTGACACCGAGAATCACGGCGATCTATGCGCCGAGAGTCGACGAATGGGGCCCTTGGGTGGACTACGATGTTTGAAATTGGAAGACCTGAACATTTTTAAAGTTGTGTTCCAGATGAAATACAAAGGCGGCATACGGTTGGTATTGCAGACGAGCGTTAATTTGATCAAACTGCAGAGCGGAGCTCATCAGGTACAGATCAGATTTCGGGTCAGGGAAAATTGGATTTACTTCTAGGCCTACTAAGATATTCGCAGAAACGACCTGTATTTTTCGGCCTCTTTTATAGATGAATTTAACGCAGTTGAAACTCTGAAACAATTTTAGGGAACTTCAACGAGTTCATGTTGATCTGAAGTTTAGGAAAACATTATTTGAGTTTTGAAGGAATAGATACGAAAAGCCCGTTGAGTGTTTGATTGACTTTTTTTTTTCAAGGACTCTAAGTTTTGGCTGAACTGAAATCTAGAATTTTCGGTCCACGTAGATCCAAGTACAAATCGAGTGTTAGGTTAATCCTAATAAAAAGCTCATGAGAAAGAGTTCTAAGGGACGGTTTTAGTTTGTAGCATAAACAAACGGTTTTCGAAAAGTACCGTCACTGAGTGAGAAAATTAACAGAACTCGGGGAAAATAGAGATAGTTTTGACCTACGCGACGTACTTTAAATTTAAAATTTGGTTCTGTCAAAAATCACTAAAAATTTGAAAGGTTTTTCATTATACTTTACGCTTAAGGTTGAAACGGAAAAGAGAGTAACTCGCTGGACGGATTCGGTTCGTGCTGCCCATTACTCAGACTCAGACCTTCCCGAGAGCCCCGAAGACAGTCCAGATGAGGACTTTGGAGCCAAAAATAAGTCCGAGGGGTACTTTGATTAAATCCAACAAGATTCATAAGGGTTTTGCTCAGAATCACCAAAGAGAAGACTGGAAAGAAGCTGCTGACATTTGTGGAACGGGCCGCCCAGAGCAGTTTGTTCCAGAAGGCCGCCAAGCTTTCCACCGTGGCCAAGGTTTTCCTTTTTTGAATCAAACATTAAGATCCTTGAATTTTCCAGCTCATCGAGGACGTCTCCTCGACCCCGCTCATTCTGAACGTCGAGATCGAAGAAGTCGAAGGGACCATGACCATCAACATCCCGCCGCCGCCTTCGGACCGTCTGTGGTAAGCAGTTTCCATCATTTCTTGAAAACCCCAAAACACGGCCGTTTGATGTTCGATGCAAGGTTGTATCGCATTTCAATGGATTCCGTCGGTATCTTCGCCCGTGTTTGCCCAATCTGAATGTTTTAGCTGAAAGACAAAACGGCCAAAACCAAGGAAAACGTGCCTGGGTTTCCGCTCGCCGCGTTTCTAATTCCTGTCCAAATATTTTGATTCCGCTGACCTTGAATACGCATTTTTCCGTAATTTGTGAATTTTGCCGGGTTGGCTGGAAGAGATTCATTTGAATAATGGAAGTTTTCATTCTTTCTTGAGTAGAATAGTATCCTGACTTTCCTTAGAAGCAACTGAAGAGATAAAGATCATCAGACCATGAATTAATAAAAAAAGTCCGGTTTTAAAATGTATTTTTCAACCTTTTTTGTCCCAAAAAAAAATTTTCAAGTGTGACTGTGTCTTCAAAAATTAGAAAATTAGTGGGGGCTTAAAAAATTTTGAGCGGAGTTTTTGGATGTAAATCAAGGTCTCAAAACGAAGAGCTGTTTTCGGTTTTAATTTATGTTTCCGAGGTTTTTGTGTCCTCAAAATTTTAAACGAGGATTGGTAGATAGAATTTAACATGTATAATGATGGATAAAAGGAGAATTTTTTGAAAAAAAAGAATCAATAAGAATTTACGTAAAAATCTTTTTAGCGGTTTCATTTTTCCTCATGAAGTTTTTTTTTCCGATAAAAAGTTGAAAAGTTGAGGCTCATTATGCAGAAGAGGGAGTCAAGAATAGATTTCATTATAAGAAAAACTTTTTTTTCCTAATAATTTTGCCCTCTGTTGAACTTTCACAGCTTGATACCAGTGAAGGTCTTGAATGCGAAAACTTTTTTTGCACACCGAGCTCTAATTCCTGTCCAAATATTTTGTCCTGGCTGACCTCAACCACGCGTTTCCGAGGTACTTGTGAATTTTGGGGTCGGAAGGCCTTAGAAGTGGTAGGCATTGTAAAAGGTTGCGTGAGTATTGCGTGCAAACATGCCACGAGGGCGCGCCTTTTTCGGTTGACCATCCGTTTGGCGCAAGCAATAAAACTACCGTCGATGGCAGCGGCGGCGGCGACGGCGACGGCGGCTTCTATCTGAGAGCCGTTGATTTACGGCTGCCTGTACCTAGTATCTCTTCCCTTATCGCAGGCCATCGCCGCTATAACATATGATTTCTGATTGGAGATTTCCCTCGCGACTCGCCACGACCATCGTGCGAGAAACTTTCTCGCAGCAGCTATCATTTATCACCCGGCGCCTCCCTCATTCTCAATTGCACACCCATTTTTCAATTTCCAACGGCCTTGGTTGTGTGGCAAAAAAACCAACGCCCTGTTTTTTTGGGCCTTCTGAGCAAATAAATATCTTTGCTGTGGCTCCATTTTTGGTGGGAAATGTGAAATCGATTTGCAAAGTTTTGATGGGAAATCGCGACGATTTTAGAGATGAGGAAGATGAAAAAAGAAAGTGGAAAAATGAAGTTTCAAAGATTTTTTGAAATACTCGAACTATCTTTAATTTTGAAGGACTAATGGAACTTAAAGAAATTGGATCCTTAAGGAGTTTCGGAATTTTTTTTAGCACGTAAATTTTAAAGGCCTTTTGAGCTTCAGAGCGACTTTTTAAGTCAGAATTTTTGAATCTAAAGTTTCAAGATCTAGTCTTAAGTTCTTTTTTTATTGAAAATTTAAAGTTGAAGGTCTCGAACGCCATTTTTTCATTTTTAATAAACTTCTGGTTTGCTACCGAGTAATCTGTAGATCTGTCCCTGTCCATTCTCAAAACTTTGGTTTTCCGACACGAATAATTATTTCCCCTGACTAGGGTCTTTCTTGTGAAATCAAATGGAGAATATTCAAATTGCCGAAGTAAAATTTCGCCTTTTCCAGGTACGCGTTCCGGCAGAAGCCACTCCTGAAGATCAAAGCGGTGCCGCAGGTCGGAGACCGATCAGTGGACCTCTCGACGGTTTCCGAGTGGATCGAATCAAAAGTCCGACTTCTACTTGAAAGGAACTTGGTCTGCCCCAATATGGACGACATCATCGTCCCTCTGCTCTCCGGAAATGCTCTCCTTCACATGAACTATCACTTGTAGTTATCTCCTCTTTCCTTTTTCCAAGTCAAGTCAACATCTTCCTTAATTCCTAGGATATGACTGATTTTCCCAATGCTGTTTGCTGTGCTGCGGTCTTCTATTACGGCGTATCATGATGTATTGCATCCAAATATTAGCTGGAATATAATCCTTTTTGTGATCTTTCTGCTGGTTTTTTTGTTCCTTGTTTTGTTTAATATTGTATTTACTTGCTTCCCGGCCAATTTTCGATGGATTTTCAATAAGTATTATTTCACTTCTCTTTGAGTTGTATACACTTTTATAGCTTTATATGAATAAACATCTGAAATATGGAGCTCAGATTTTTTTATATATCGTCGAAAGCTCATAGCTGAAGCTTTACCTGTTCGGAGGTCGAATTTCTTTCTTCGCTCTGTTCTTTTCATTTTTTTTTCTAGATTCGTTGTCATGGAGGTAAAAGATTTATTTTCAGCCTTACATACTCAAAAAAGTTGATTTATTGAAGTTTTTAGGACTAGAAAATCATAAAAGCGGATTGTTGAAACCGCATAGGAACTTTTCAGTGAAAAAATGCTTCAATTTGAAGAATTTATCAGAAACTTGATATTAGACGACTTGTAACTATTTTCTTAAATACTAAACTCTCTTGATTTTCCAGTTTTTTCGAAAAACAGCTTTTTGTATTGATTGGAAAAAATGTCCAAAAACCGAAAAAAGAATTAGGGTATTTTTCGAAAAAAAAAAATTCTTTTAGAAGCTCTGCAGACATAATATTTATATAATATAAAATGTCAATGAGTTACGTTTTTGAATTTTTTTAAATAACCTTTCTTTTTTTAAACGAGAAAAAGCTGAAAAATTTTTTTCAATTCTTTTTTTCGATCCTTTGAGTTTTTTTCTAAGTTGGATGAGAATTTTTGAAGAGGAATCCTCATCTCACAAGATAATATTGATTTTTTGCTACCTCAAGTCAAAAAATCAGGATCGCAGAAAATTTTTACTCGTAAATGTAACCAAAAAAAGAAGTTCAAAATGAAGATTCTCACTCGGGCAAAGTCGGAATGGTGGATAAAGGCCGCTAAAAGGAAGAGGCTCAAGAAAGGCTGCAAAAAGGCAGCAAAGAGAGTCGAACCTGTCATTTTTCTGGGATTTCGAAGGCTCAAGAAATGGTGGAAAAAGGGAGAGGCTTCAAAAATGGTGCATAAGAGCCGATAAAATGGCACAAAAGGGCAGCAAAAAAGGAACATTTCTATGGAGCCTTTACCACCCATTCCGACTTTGCCTATGCAAGAATTTTCACAAAAACCAGCCGCATTCTTTGTGTCCCAACCTTGCGGCGAATAACCTATTTAGTTGAGCCCGTAACTCGAAAGAATTATTACAATGGTACCGCGCTGACCCTTGATCCTGGTCCGTAATTACCTCAATTACCAAAAAAAAAAAATGGCGCCGTGCCACACTCTCAGAAGACGTGATAACCGTAGAAAGCCAGCGGCAAGCCAAGTTTGTTTTCTCAGCACGAGAGTCGCTTGGGACTCGTTTCCGGAGGGTTTTTTTTCGATCTCTATGGGGCTTTTTTGTCGATTTCGAAGCACTTTTTGTAAGGCCTTTTCTCTACTAAGATTTTGAGCTGAAATTTTTTCCCAAATTAGGTATGGTATATTCCCATTAAGTTCTTTGAACTCTCCTTTACCGCTAGCTTCTCACTTCCGCTGGTTTTATGCCCTCTACTTTCGCTCAAATTTGAAATTTAAATCAATAAATTCTTCTATATTCGTCTACAATTAATCTAGAAGCTAGTATGCAGGGAGAACGATTATTAATTTGTTCAGAGCATCACATAATGCCATTTCAATGTATTGAAAACGTTCTTATGCACAAAATATCAAAGTTCCATTAGTTCCTGATCATTTTGAGCAAAGTTATAGCCAAAAAACCAAATATGGCCAGGACTGTATGACCGGAGTTCCGTTGAAAATATTTTTGATTTTTACAAAATCCGAGCATTTCAATCTTAATTTCCATAGGCAAAGTCGGAAGGGCCCTCCGAGGGTACATAAAGGCTGCTGGAAGTCTCCATATAAATGTTCCTTTTTTGCGCCATTTTGTCGGCTTTCATGCACCATTTTTGCTGGCTCTCCCTTTTTCCACCATTTCTTGAGCCTTTAAAATTCTAGAAAAAACGAAAGGCTAGATAAAGGGTCTCTTTTTGCTGCCTTTCTGCGGCCTTATTTGAGCTTCTCCATTTTAGCGGCCACTATCCACCATTCTGACTTTGCCTGAGTATGTTAAGTGAGTTTAGACAAATTTTCAATGTCTAAAATATTGGTATTTCAACGATTTTCATCATTAATGTAACGGTTTCTTATTATAATCCTTTTTTTCAAATCCTGAAAAAAGATAATTTTGTCAGAGCTTTCCAGTGGTTTGTTCAAAACACCTTGGAAAGGTTTTGAAAGCCAAATAAGTTTTTCACAGCCAAAAATACTTTCAAAACGATATTTTTGTCTACAGTACTGGCCATAAAGGTATTTCAAAGTGGTTATTCGAGCATAACTTCTTTGAAAGTGGCTCCAATGACTTGAAACTTCGCACAAATTTCAAATAGCTACGTACAAACTTTTTCCCAAGAAAAGAACTCATTTGCTCGAGTCAGACAATATTTGAGAGCAAAAAAACCAAAAAAGTCGTGAAAATGAAGATTTTTTTCTCTTGAGATTCAAAAAATCATATCTTCAAAGAAACGTCGATTTTGAATCAGAAACTTTTTTCCCCGGTAAAACAAGTCTTCGGCTTTCCAAAAAACCTAATTAGCCCCTTACCAACCCGATAGTAAGAGCGTAGTAACTTTTTTTTTGGAAAGCCTATGCGTTTTGACGCCTCCTCATTCAAATGGACTATACAAGGTCATTTTTTTGCTTGAGAACACCCTGTTTCATGTTGAAAAAAACTTCAAAACACCCTCAAGAAGAGTTTTTACACTGATGTCTTCAGCTTTCTCACTTTATACTCTCTCCAGAACTCGCTAACTTCACTTGGTCTAATTTTTGAAACCTCTGATTTGAACAGTTTTTTTCTGGACTTTCGGGCATTCAAAGCAGTTTTTAATCTGATCAATCGCTTTTTCAATCGTGAATTCGAAAATAAATAATGGCTAAATTGCAGTCTCCTACTTCCTGAAGACTGCTAATTTTTTTGCTGAAGCAGTAATTTCAAAAAGACCAAAAAAACTTATTTTCCCATAAAATTTAAAGAAACTTTTTACAGTGCCTATCTTTGATCTGAGAGCTAGAAAGAGGACTTAAAAATTTATCTCATGATGTAAAACATTCAAAAACATGAAAAAAGAGGTTTTTATCATTTTTCACAAGATTTAGAGCCTTCTAAGCAACACTTGCTGAAACGAGGTTTTGAGAACTTTGAGAAACTCATTATAACTCACTATATCTTTTGAATAAGTAAGCAAAACACAGTGGGCCTTTTTTTATTTTTATTTATCAAGGTTTTAAAAAAGCTTTGGAATCTGACATGAGAAATCGAGAATGTTCTGATTTTGAAAAACGAGCATAACCGCTTCAAATCAGAGGTTTCAAAAATCAGACCTAGTGAAGTTAGTGAGTTCTAAAGAGAGGATAAAGTGAGAAAGATTAAGAAACCAGTGTAAAAACTATTCTTGAGGGTGTTTTGAAGTTTTTTTCAACATGAAACAGGGTGTTCTCAAGCAAAAAAATGACCTTGTATAGTCCATTTTGAATTACGAGGCGTCAAAACGCAAGGGCCTTCCGAAGAAAAAGTCACTACGCTCTTACTATCGGGTTGGTAAGGGCCTGATTAGGTTTTTTGGAATGCCGAAGACTTGTTTTACCGGGACAAAAAGTTTCTGATTCAAAATCGACGTTTCTTTGAAGATATGATTTTTTGAATCTCAAGAGAAAAATCTTCATTTTCACGATTTTTGGTTTTTTGCTCTTAAATCCTGTCTGACTCTAGCAAATGAGTTTTTCTTACTGGAAAAAGTTACTGAGTAGCTATTTAAAATCTGTGCAAAGTTTCAAGTCATTTGAACCACTTTCAAAGAAGTTATGCTCGAATAACCACTTTGAAATACCTTTATGGCCAGTACTGTACATGAAATCTCGTATTTTTGAACATACCATAGTTAAGTATCTATTTTAACACTTGTGCCTAAAGTTCTCAGACTCGAGCCATCCCTCATTGACTCCTGTGAACTACCAATCATAACTTCTGACAGCTTTCCCAGCATCTCAAGCGCCCATCTCTTGCGGTGCAACCCAAGATCACACCTTAAACGGACCAATTTGTGGTTCACATGGTTCCCTGGGACGGTCCCTCCCTCTCGACGCCTCCGCCGCTTCTTCTCCTCCTCCTCCTCCTCATCTCATCTCTCTGTCGCCTCCGCCACCAACAATCTTCGCGGTGCCCACATATCGCTTACGCGCTCCTCCTCTCCGTTCTCTTTCTCCCTAGCCTCTGTCCCGGTGCCAAACCGACCAAGACCCCTTTCCGACCACTGTTTGCCGTCCGATGGGTTCTTTTTGCCTTTTTGGTCTTTCATAGTATTTATTAACCAAGTTTTGAAAAGTTGATTTGGTTTTTCTCATTTTTGATCAAGCTGACGCCTTTGAATGTCAGCTTTTTTCAAATGGAGTATTTTTATTTTTTAATTGATTGGTCGTTTTCTTATCACTTTTTCTTTGTCTTACCCTCCGTTTGAAATTTTGTAGTCCACCTGATTTTTCGTTTTCTTTTCGGTCATGGTTATCATTGTTCGCAAATATTTTTTCTCAAAATGAAAAGACCTTTTCTTTATTCCATCTCTCTTAGTTTTGTATAGCGACTATATTTTTCGCCTTTTCTAGCCGTTTTGGTATATACCGGACTTTTTTTTGACTTCAACTTTTTACTATCTTCAGAAGTAATAGGTTTAACTATCGTTTCAATCATTATTTCCCATGTTTCGTGTTTTTTTTTTCTAGCTAGGATACTGTGTTCAAAGTAATTTCCGCGGAAAATTATCTCCAAAATTTAGTGATCTTTCTCGCTCTCTGACGGCTATTTTGAATTTCGCGGGATTACTTTGAACACGGCATTAGAAAGCGATTTTAAGGGTCAAGAAAATGAGTGGAAATTTTCTTTTCTCACCTTTTATCGTTCATACATTGCTTGTACCCATTTTTTCAAATTTTTATTCAAATAATCTCACAGGACATCATTTTACACTAGGAGAAGATCTCTTTCCAAATAACCGATATTATTTTCTTTCAAGTTCTATCATTCCTATAATTCAACTCGTTGGGTGCTCCAATCGCTCTAAGCCCCTTCGAGAGGTCAATTTCCGTGCGATTTCCTCCGAGATTCCACTCGCAACAGCTTCTTCAGAAAATTGTCCGTTTTGCAGGGAGTTGGCGGCTCTAAATAGATATTGTCACGATTCGGCGGCCCAATTGTCATGTAAATGGCTCGATGCCAACCATGCCCATCATTTGTTTGCCTCTTCTTCTGCTGATCCTCTCGCAAAAATGTCACGCCGTCAAGGATATCGCAGGTTTGTCGTTTTTAACTTTTCGTGGCCTTTATCTTAGGTTCGACATGACCAAACTTGTTCCAAGAAGCGAAAAATTGCTCCGAAACGAAATTTAGACTGTTTTGGAGCAATTTTTAGGCACCAATGAACTCAAATTTGCGTTTTTAACCTTGCTCCGTTTTTCCTATGAAAAGCTATTGAAGAGAGAAACGAAATAACTGTCTGAACAATTTTTAAATATTGTGCTTTTAAAAAAATAAATTCGGAACAGTTTTTGCGTTAAATTGAAGAAAAAATGTGAACTTTTTACTTGAAAAACCTCTTGTCATCTTTTTCAACTTCTCATCCTAAACATTTACTCAAAAATTCCGTTTTTGTAGCGCCCATTTGAATGCGGTTTTGGCTCATTTTTATAAAAACATTTCAATTAAAAAACATTTTTTTTTTCACGATTCCGTTCTTTTGACTCCTAACAGCCGCCCTCAAGGTGACCCACATTATCCTTGTCTGCTTTGGTTCCTTTTTCTTCCTTCTTTTTTTTGCTTTTCAAGGCTAAATATGTTCCTTCGACTCGTCATTCAGTATTTTCCGATCAGAACGAGCACGGCCTTTTTTCCCGTTTTTACGGCGCATATGTTGGCTCGTTTTCGTGTCGGTTTTTTTTTGGCGGCTTGGTCATTTTATTCCAAACGCCTGGGAGCTTTTCGTACGCGCTCGTAACTTTTATGTCCACGGCTCTGGAAAAAAAAAGAATTTTTTTCGTGTTTGAAAATGAAAGAAAGTTACTGGAAAAATGTTTAGTGACCACTATAGAGGCTCGACAAGGACTACTCGGAAAGGACACTAAAGTGGCCGCTAAACCCACATCTATAGTGGCCACTATTTTCGGTTTTAGTGGCCACTATAGAGGTTCTCCATTTAGTGGCCACTTCAGAAGTTTTTCATCCAGTATTCCTTCCAGTAACTCTGATAACTTCAAAACAGGTTGGACCAGTTATGTTGATCCATTGACCCCTAAAGTTGCCACTAAAATTTTTAGGAGTCTAGGAGTAGCACTTAGACCTCTATAGTGGCCACTAATTTTTAACCTCTTAAGTGGCCACTATTTTGACTACTATAGGGGCCACTAAAACGTCAAAACCCTATAGTGGTCACTAAAAAATTTTTCAGTAAAGTGTGTTCGGAAAAAGGAAGGAAAGGTTTTTTCTGATAGAAATTTACGCTTGAAATTAGAGTTTTATGATTATTTTGCGTTTAAATTTCTTCTAGTCGCTCTCAGATACTGATGAATCTTCAAAAAAAAAACCTGAAAGCGATTTTTCAAAGCCTTGCAATTTTTGCATTTATCGAGCCACAGCTGAACGGAATGGAATCATAAGTTGTCCATTCAATCGATATGTTATCCTTTTTCACGTTCCCACACATGAATGTTTGCATCGGTCATTCGGCGGCACATTGATAAAAAAAAGGCACGCGTCTGGTCGGAACATCAAAGGCGGGTTCCTCAAGCCGAGCAATGACAAAGAGGCGTTTGGTTCAAACTTTTTTTCTTTTCGACTGCGTTTCCGGAGGTTTTTGGCACGCGCCGCGCTACGGAGAGCCTGAAGAAAGCCATCGGTCATGCGGGCCACCGGCAGAATTCCTTTGAGGCGTGCCGCCCGCTTTAAGCCTAACAAATGGCTTTCGTCTCTTCTTCAAGCAATTTTCGCTGCATTTTATTGACAGAGATTGGCGATTTGAGTCGTGAAGATTTGATGGATCAAAAGAAAAGTATCCCATCCAAGGAACAAGATGATTCTTAACACGTTTGAATCGAGTGTCTACAAAAGGAATTATGAGATTTTTTGATTTCGCAGAAAAAGTCCAAAAGACCTTGAAAAGATGAGCCTAAAGCTCCTTTTCGAGCCCCTAAAAAGGTTTCAAAAGTTTCTCGGAATTTTCTTTTTTTTTTAGCTCCTTAAAAGGTCCTATGCAGAAAAAGGTCTGGAAAATAGACGCCTTTGAGGTCCCTTTTGAGACATTTTGGACTTTGCCGTGTTCTAAAAAATGGTATTCGAAATCTGAAAAGGTCAGGAAACTTGAGAAAATCGGGTAATCGAGAAAAAAAAACCAAAGAAGGATTTTGAATTTCGGTTTAGGTGCCCTGTTCAAAGTGATACCGCAAAATTCAAAATAACCATCAGAAAATGAAAAATGCATTAATTTTGGAGAGTCAGAGGGCCTAAGGAGTCAGACTCTGAAACTCTATTGGGACCACTTTTTCGGCCCATATAAAAAAACTATTCTCCCCTACCCCCCTAACCCCTATAGGGACCACCTTAAAATGGGCCGAGGATTAATCAAAAATAACTTCAGATGCGCCGCTTCTACGGGAAACCTACTTTTCGATCGGAGCTCACATGAACGGCGACGCCTTGAGCAAATCTCTTCAAAAGAATGCCGACAAACTTCTCGGAATTTCAGAGTTCCAGGTTAATCTTGAAATTTTCTAGAAGCCGTCAATTTGGAGGTTAACCATGTGCTTCACTCTCTTCTTCCAGAAAAACAAAAAAAAATATTCATTTACAGAGTTTCCTGGACTCTTCGGTCTCCGACGGCTACGAGAAGCTGACGGTAGATGACCGCCTGGCGGACCAAGTCGCCGAACGCGTCGACGCCAAGTTGACGCATTTGCCCGGCCTTCTGACGAGCTCTTTCGACGCTGACGTCACCGCTGCTCATTTTGTCCGCAACGTTCCGCCCTGCTCCATGTACTTTTCCACTTTTTTTTTTGATATAGCCCATTCCGCTTGAGCTTGTCCATTGTTTTAAAGAAAAAAAGACCGTATACCTGATTTCAACAATTTTCGCTTTTAGACCTTCTTGCAGTCTTTTGCGGTTTTGTAGGGTAGTAGGACAAAAAAAGTGTTTTTACGGTAGATTTTTCAAAATTTGACGTCACCTTTCAAGTCTCAAGTATAATTTCTCAGATTCCAAAAAGTCCTGGCCACAACTCCGTCGCAGTCCTGCTATGTTCAGCACACGCCGAACCGAGAGCTGACCTACGAAAATAACAATATCGGTCCTTTGGTCATCCTTGCCCTTCTCACAGCTCACTGTTTCAGTCCTCCGACGGGTCGATAACTCTTCGATCGTCCAGCGACAGTATGTCCTGGTCGACGGCGTTCAGCAACTCGAACTCCCCGCGGACTTTATCGCCAAGAACGAGTTCCGCCATTGGCAGCAGTTCGTCATCGCCTCGACCCCGTTTCCCAAGCGCATTTTCATTGTTTTCGAGCTTGGTAGGTTGATTTTTTTTGCTTTGAAGATGTTTCTCATTGAAAAATCTCGCGTTGCAGGTAAGATGACGCCGGCGCTGCTGAAAACGGCCAAAGACGCGGCCCTACACCTGCTGAGCATGGCGGCTCCGGATGATCATCTACACGTTGTGGTCGCCGCTTCCGGGTCCGTCATCGCAAAGTGCAAAGGCGGCGCTCCGGAACATCGACGTCGGGCTCGACGGCTCATTAAAACTCTCAGGTTGGTATAGATCCCAGAGAACTGAGATAGATTTATTGAGATACAATATGAGATTGGGGCTGTTTAGAAGATTCATAATTTTATGATTGTAGGATTCAGTTAGGAAGTTTTGAACAGAAAACGAGGGTTCTCAATAATTTCAGTTACGATGAACAGGCTGAACAGAGTTTTCTCTCTTAAAAGAATAATTTGAACTATTTTTATTTTGACCAGCAACTTCTGTGTGTAGGTAATTTCAGATTTAAGTTAAAGTGGACTTTTCGAAAATAGTAGAAAATTTGAATTTTTAGAATGAAACTTCCTTTATAAGAGACCTTATTCATTTATTTATTTATTTCATTCGTACCTTCCCAAATCGAGCAAGAAAAATCTTATAATTAGGCTTTTGAAACTTTTGTCAAGTTTCCATACTGAAAAGAACTTTCCGGATCACTTTTTTCTCTCTGGAAAATCGCATTTGCCTTCTTCTATCGCCTCCAAATTTAAAAGACACGCTCCAAAATCAAAATCCCTTCGCGCCAACCGTTCCTCCAATACCTAATTTAGCCATTACCTTCGCCACCTCTAACAAAGGAACTAGCCAATTACACGGTAGCAGTGCTTTGAAAAAAAGGTCCATCTCCCTATTACCCAAAAAACAACAACGTTGACCCCGGTGAAGGTATTATTTGCACGGCGCCGAGAGATTTGACCGATTAAAGTTGACCTTCCCTCCTGTTGTTCTACAACGTCTCCGCACGTCGAGAGCCCCCCGTAATCAGTGTCACTTGTTGCCTGTTCCCTCGGAAGTCAACACGGTATTAGCCGACAATTGATACTTGAGACCGTGGTGGATGACGCGCCGTACAGTTTTCTTTGTTCTTTTGAGAGGAATGCAACAGATTTCCATTGTGAACTTGTCACGTTTCAAATAGAATTAGGAAAACCACAGTATGCAGATGTTTAAAAAAATATACCTAAAAAAATTGAACAAAAAAACGCGTACATAGGTTTTTATTCAGTACAGATTCCCGATGTGGATTTTTAATTTTTCCTTGAGTTTTTCAGGATATTACACAATTTATGAAAATTTGTCCTTTTTTTTTAGGAGTTTCATATTTGTTTGTAATGTCCATTTTGAAGTTAAAAAAATTCTAAAATCAGGTTTCTGAATTTCTATCAGCTGTTCTTCTGATGAAAAACTTGATAATTAGCGGAAATAAAGAATTAAAGATTTCCTGAGCCATGAAGATTTTTGGAAAAAGTCCTTGCTATCCGTTTTTCATTCAAAAAGTCCGTTATCGTTTTCTTCCTTTCAGACTCCCAACAAATGACTCGGAAATCTCCTCGCATTCGGCAGCGCTCAACGCCACGTTTGATCTCCTACGCGACGAGGCGACGCTGGAAGTCGCCGCCAACCGCCAAAATGTCATCTACGTGAGTTTCTCCAAGGTCAAGTGCTACCTGCCAACTTGGAGTTTAGTACATCAGCCGCGGAATGTTTGCCGAGCTTCTCGAGGCCAAAGAAATCTTGAATTCGCTCGCCAAACGCGTCATCGCCATGCAACGACTTCAGTGCAAATTCAAAATCAACACGATTCTCATCGCTGAACGTGAGATCGCCTTAAAATTTCTTTCAAAAGAGGTTTTTCCAGAAAATAGAGCCCCGTTGTCGTGGTCCTACGAGTTCCTGGAAAATATCGCCCAGCAAAACTTTTCCATTCACAAAAATTCGATCGAGAACGAGACTTTGGAACAGTTGGCCAGCGTTGATTTCAGTCCGAGCAGGGGCGAGGTGAGATTAATCAAATTTTTTGGGTTCAGTGGTCTTAAATGAAAAGTCCTGACCAAAGTTGGGAGTTCAATAAAAAAATAATAATAGAGATTCTTTCACTTGTAGGTTTTTCTAATGAAGGGTTCGCTGTTAAATTTCTCAGTTTCACAATTTTTTGAGTATGACTTGGATTTTTGTATCGATCCAAAGTAGAAAGTATCCACAGAGGCTTGACAAAAAAATCATCCAAAGTAGAGAAAAAAACTTTAATAATAGAAAAAAATGTTTAAAGTCGGTTCATTCTAATAAAGATTTTTGCTGTACAATTTTACAATTTACACTTTTTTCGCGCTTGAATTGAATATCCATATTGGTCGAAAAGGAAAGTAATTCTGGGTTCTCGAAAAGAGTCATCTAAAGCAAAGCCAATGGTTTCGTAGTAAAGAAAGCTTACCATTTTCGACTTTTGAGGGTCCATAACTTTTTTAACAGACGTATTGTGCAACTTTTGAGATCAGATTTGAAATCAGCGTAAAAAACTACATCTAGAAAAATTGGTCTGATTCAGAAGTCCCACCACTCCCTGGTTAGAAATATAAAAATGTCCAGAAGGCTTTTTTTAAAACTGGGTTCCAATTTCATCTACTTTCTCATGTATTTTTCCGTGAAAATCATGAATTTTTGCCCCAGATGGTGGTGCTGAGCGATGAAGTTATGAAGCAGCTGAATCTGCGGACCCTTCTGAAGATGAACTGCGTCGAGGGCCGCTGTGAGAACCATCCATCGACGGTCCATTGGACCTACGATATCAAGGCGTCTTCGGTTCGAAATAATATCACTGAATTTCCTTAAAATTTTCTTCCAGATGTCCGTTTTCCGTCAGTTCCAGCATCGAAACAGGTCCCTCGTCATGGGCTTCGACCTGCACCTCGACGAACTTTTCGATGAAGTCCTCCAGCCTTTCGCCTTCCGCGCGGCACCTTCTGACGTCCGTCTCACCATTTCCGTTGTCGATTTCCGAGGGTTGGTTCTTGAGAGCGAACAAGAAGATCAATGGTTTTCTGCAGACACGTCGTCGCATCTTCGAGCTCGAGGTCTGATGTGCGACTGAACGTGGCCGACGGCTGGCCCAAGTCGATCAACTGGCTTCTCAACGAGTTCCGCAACCCCATCAACCAAAGAGGCACCTTCACCGTCGGCACCAAGGCCCACGGTCTTCTTTCCTACTACTGGCGCAAGGTTCACCCTTCCAAAAGAAGGTTCTCAACGAGATTATCTGTTCTCAGATGCAAGAAGCCCCGTTTGTCATCGTGATGTCTTCGACCCACGGAAGTCTGCCCGTTGATGTCGTCAGAGTGGCCCAAGCTCCCAAGCAAATGTACACGATGGAGAACGTCTTGTGGCACAAGAATGATGTTAGTCTTTTGAGTTCATAAAGACCAGGAGAAAAGATAAACTGTGACTAGTGGAATCTTTAGGGTCTCAAGTGGCCACTATAGTGGCTAAAAATTAGTAGCCTTTTTGAAGTCTAAGTTAGGCCACTCAAACTACTATAGTGGTAACTAAGACCCAAAAGAGGTGGTTTTAGTGGCCACTTTAGTGTCCTCTCCAAGTGAAGGAACTTCTTGGGTGGCCACTAGAGTCCCCCCTATACTTCAGAATTCATACGCCTATCTCAAAAAGCTGAAGATATGAAGATTGTGGGTTTTTTCCGCCTTTTTTTGAGAGATGTTTAGAATACTTTCTATGAAGTTTCTTTTTATCAAATTTTCCGAGGAAATGAATCTGATTCTCAAAAAAAAAAACATCAACTTTTTTCCAGGACCGCCAACAGAAATGCCTCCTCCATGGAACTCCGGTGTCCCAGAGATTTTCTTCAATTTTTGTCCCTCCCTCGGTAAGCTCTAGATTTCCAGAAAAGATCATTTTTGAGTTCACTTGCAGGCCTACCACCCGGCAGCAAAAAGGATGCTCTCATCGGACGCCCTCCGAAACAATTGGGTCTACCTCTTCGACAATGTCGGCTTCATCCGGTCGAATTCTCTGCGCCGAGGCGTCCGTGAACACCTCGGAATTCTCAGCAATCTGTCGCATATTTGGCAAAACTTGGAGAAAAACTTGAAAGGTGCGGTTTTGCAATGGAAACGAGCTGATAGGAGCCGTGCAGAAACATCTCCCCCCCACAGGTGTAAAATTCACTTGCTCTTAAATCTCTTTAGCTTCTTTTATAAGAGGTCTTATGACCCTAAAAAAGGTTTTATTTATTGCAAAACGGATGAACTGATAGTGGTACTTGAATATCCCTTTGATGACCTCAATGATGTTTTTTTTTTTAAATATCTGTTTCTCAGATGGAAGCGAATCTCCAGTGATCCGAAGGTACGCCGCGACGGTCGACGGCGTTCTGACGACTTTTCCAGCCCAAACAATCCGAGAAGACTTCGAGCCGACGAGGCAGAAATGGTGAGGAGGGCAGCTGTCCCAAAGAAAGAAAAACTGTCTCCTTGACAAGACAATTGGCTCACAAAGAAAGTGGCGCGAGGTGGATTTGTCGACGTCTGGCAGGCCTCCTCAGATCCCAGACGTATTTGCGGTTGATTAGCGGCGGCGACCACGTAAAGGCACGCGTGTTGACAGGTGCTCGCCCCCCTTTGAAGTCGCCGCCTCGACTGGATTAGCGCCGATTTGAGGGGATTTCTTTTTGAATTCTTCGAGTTTCTCACTCAACTCGGAACTCCAAAAACCGTCCTTATAGGAGTTTTAACTTAAGTGGTCCCTATAGGAGTTTAGGACCTGATCCTAAAGGACTCAAAACCCAAGTGGTCCCTATAGGGTCTGTTCATACGAGAAGACCAGAATGACATTACGATTAGGCTTGTAGTATTTTTGCCTTTCTAAAGTTCTCAAATATTTGGCCGAAAAAATGAAGATTAAACTTGGATCGAATCATAGGAAATGACTTATCAAAAAATTAAGATTGAGGACACTTTTTAATTTCAGGGATTTACCGTAAGATATGAAAGTGTGAAGTAAAGTTCCAGCTTTTCAAAATAATCATATGAATATTTTTCCCCTTGCCGGTAAGGTCAGAGGAACGTGAAAAATTAAGAAAATTTGAAAAAAAGGATTTCTGTCAAAATGGTGATCCTTTAAAGGTTTGTCGACGCGATGAACGAACCGGGAAAGATCGTGGTGACCGGCCCCAGCGAGAATGCACTCCTTGGCGACGTCATCACAGTTTCGACGACTGTCCTCGCGCTTTCCAGCTCTCCCAACAAGCAGGTACAGTAGAACTTCCTCTTTGATCAACGCCAACTTGCCTTTTCAAGGTGTTCGCCGTGGTGGCGATGGACGTTCCTTCTGGAGTCTTCAACACTTGGCTCCGTGAGGGAATCACCGCCTGTGGACAGGTGGGACTTCACCTTGATTATAGGAAAATTTTCTTGACTTTTTCAGACTAGAAGATGTGTCCTGTTTGCTGCCGACGGCAAGGTTGTCTACGCCGATCCGGATCCTAATAGAGGTTTTTTTGAAGTTGATGCTCAGGAGTTAGCTTGAGATATAATATAAATATGTTAGAATTGTGTTCAGTTTGTGTGGATCGGTTCCAGTTTTATGAACGCAAGGCTAAGCTCGCGAATAACTTGACTTCCGAATATAGGTCTAGATTTAAAAATTTTTCTATGTGGACACAGTTTGATAATGTAGTTTACGGTCGAAGAATTGTCTTGAATTTTTGGATTAAAAGTTTTTTTTAAACAAACACAGAGCTTGTTAGGTTATCTATTGATAGAAATTTATTCCTTGGAAAATGTTTTCCTTTAAAAAATGCACCTTTTGATCTTATGCGCTCCACTGCTAAATGTTCTAACTTCTAGGACATTTTTAACACGAATCGGACGTGTCGGGGCATTTCTAGGGACCACTTTAGCAACTTCAACCCTCTTGAGTGATCCCTAGAGTTGCTTAGAATCGTTCGAAGCACATCCGGTCAGCCTTACTATGTCCGTAATCTTTTATAAGAACTCAGGCCTGGGCAACGCGAACCGGACGCGCTAGTGACCACTTTAGTAGCATCAGACCTCTTTAGTGACCCCTAGAATCGTGGAGAAAGCTCCTGTTTCTGTTACCATGATCTAGGGAGTTTTTTCCAGCTTCTTTTGGGCTTTTTTTCGTTGCTTTTCATGTTCGTCCATTTGTAGTGAAGTCAACGGCGGAAGCGTTTGAGCGATACCACATCAGTCATCTGGAGCCGATTCTGGCGGCGCGAATGTCGCGAAGTCCCGACGTCGTCAAGAAAAGACAATGTCTCGACGAGGGAAACGAGCTGCAGAGAACCTCGGTCTGGAACACCAAGTACACGCGCGTCTTCACGGTTAGTTGTAACTAGAATTCTCGAAGTTAAAAAAAAACATTATAGGTTGGCTGCGGCGAAGTCTCGTCGGCCATCGGAAGCCCTCTTCACAGCGAGACGTTGCTCGTCCCCGACACGAACATCTTCCTCTCGATGGTCAACTCCAGCTGCACCAAACCTGGTCTCGGGGTGAGTTTTGGGTTCCAAACGCTGCCTGGTCTTTGGTGGAAAAGAAATTAAGTTGAAATTTTCTTGTTTAACGTCAAGAACTCTCCGGGTACCTCTCAAGAACTCCTGATAAAAATAAGAATGGACAAAGTGACCCAAATGAATTGAGATGAACTTCCAGACATTCTGCCCCTGCTCGGTGAGCGACCGACGTTGCTTGTTCTGCGGCCGCTTCGACTCGAACGAGTGCGAGTGTCCGTGTCAGTGTCCTTTTGAGGAAACTTGTGCCGGTTCGTGCTCCGAAACGAATCTGAAGATGATCACTGAAAGTTTCAGACGAGGACAGCTTGCCGACGTGTGTCCATGAACCGACCAACTCCGACATGACTTTTGAAGAAATCGACATGACCTACAAGGACTGCCCCAACACTTTGTGAGTTCTTGTTTGGGTCTGAAAATAAGGAGCGTGGTCAAACTCCTTGTAAATTCTCAAATTTGAAAATTGAAACGATTGATTTTGTAGTATCAACTCTATGGGAAAAACTTGAAGAGAAACATTTTTTCAAAAATTAATTTTTAGATGCGGTGTAATTGGCTCTCCATTGGCTTGCCGAGCCACTCCGGGCTGTGAATGGTGCGCTTTTTCCGTGTCTGGCGCGACGATCGACGTCCCCGCCTGCTCGGCTATCTCCACTTGTTATCAAGGAGTTCAGGGCCGCACCGTTGGAAGTTTGCCCTCTCCCAAATTTCCACCAAATTGCATTTGCTTTAAGATGGCTCAAGCTCGAAGTTCGATGAAATCTGGCCCTCGAAAGCTCCCATCGGACCCCTAATCGCTTGTCTTTTTGCCGTCGCTGTCCTTGTTTCTACTGTCGCCTACTGTTATCGATCGCAGGTATTTTTTGATTATCTTTCATTACCTGAGATTTTTCAGATGACACGGTTGGGAGAAAGACGAGTCATGTTTGATGCGTCGGGAATGCCTCTTTTCGGACGACATGGCCCGCCTTTCGAGTTCGATCTGGATGGTTCTGGATTCCGAGAATGTTCGTTTACTCATCTTTTCTGAAGCTCGAGGGAAAAAGGAAAAAAAAAACAGATTAGAATTAAGAACATTTTTGACCTTTTTGAATCGGAAAACTGGTACCTGCAAGTTTTGAAAGTGTGAAACGGCTTCAAATTAAAATTAGTAACCTTTTGGGATTAGAACTGAAAATATTTGACTTGAGTTGAAATATTGGTTTAGATTAGTTTTCCTGACTTTAGGAGAACTACTGTATTAACAATTTGGACCAGTGAAAGTTGTTACTCAGTGAAATGAAGGCATTAGAAACAAAAAATAATAGTTTTACTCATATCCCAAGAACAACTCGAATGAATGTTTAACTTCAGTGAAGCAACCTGTGCAGCTGGCGTCGTTTGAACGCGTCGCCCCGATCGCCGAGCGGATCGGCCAGGCGCCGACCGTCAGCAGCGACCACGGCTACTCCACCATGACCGATCGGAACGCCGCCGACGACAGCGAGTGTGCTGAAAGGTTCCTTTTTCCTTATTTCATTTGGACCTATCAGTTTTCTTTCTATTGAAACTTATTGTTTTTCGCCAAGCTTTTATCAAAGTCAGGAGCTGATTTTGGCGGTACTTTGAGTTGCATAAAGGTATCTGAATGAATCGTAATAGAGAATTCACAGTGCCGCCAGAAAAGAACCCGAAAAAACGCGACTTTGATCACCTTCCTGAAAGTTTATGAAGCTGGGTTTTCTTTTCTGTGAACTGAAATTTCATCAGAGTGTTAAAAATACCAGTCTTCACATCTCCGGAAAGTTTCAGATTGATTGAATTCCTTACAAGAAAGATGTGACCGAAAATTAGTCTTTTCTGACGGTACTGTGTACTTTTGTTAATATTTCGGTATTGAGTTGAATATCGTCTCGAAACAAAATTTTTCTGGAAATCAATCTTATTTTTTCCAGTGTTCTGACGGCCCTGACGCCTACAGGACCTCCAGACGGCTCGCCGCGGCTGAAGTCATGCTCATTGGTGACGACGTCGGTCGTCGTGCATCACGTTCCGGAACACGTCCTCCGCGAAGTCGTCTCCTCCCCCATGATTGAAACCTTATAGTATTCCCTTCTCGATTGTAAATATTAATTGTTAGTTTGTTCCGGTTCCGGGTGGGAAACTGGCCATCACAGCTTTCAGATGTTATTTGTACAAACTACGGGTTCTTCCTTGTACCTTGTTTTCCTGGCTTATCACTTTCTCGATATTGAAATTGTGTCAAACACCAAGAGAGATTTCCCTATTAATAATGGTATTCTACGTGTAACGTTAATCAATCTGTTCCAATCTGTTACGGTTTTCTCGTCCCCATCTTTCACCATTTTATATAGTATTTATTGTTTTGATTTGATTGTTTCTCGAGCGATTTGCCATGTCCATTTTCACATTGCCTAGTCATTTCTTGTCTCTTTATGTCTTCGAAGAAGAACAAAAAACTACGGTTGACCAAGTTTGATTGATTGATAAATCCTTTCACTTTATTCGAACTTTTGGAGTACTGCGTGAAATCTTATTATTTTCAAATACTCGGACTTTATCATCATAACAGATTTTGCCGATTTTCTTGTTCCGCTGGCCTTATCAATGTCAACTGATTGGCTGCCCTTCCCACGCAAGAAAGGACGACGGGAATGATTGTTGGTTTATTTCTTATTGGTTGGATAATCACAGGATCATTTTGGAAAATAGGTTTTTTTAAATATATTGTTTGGTCAGCTACTGTTCACTGCCAAAGCCGAAATTGCTGGAAACGGGTGCAAAATGGCCTCTAGAAGGATTCCTTTTTGCGGCCTTTATTGAGCCTTTCTTTCTTGGTGGGCTAAAAAGCCTCAAAAAAGGGTGCAAAAAGGGAGAGGTTGCAAAAAGGGTCCTGAAAGGGTTTCGTTTTACACCCTTTATTGAGCCTTTGTGCTGGGTCTCGACCATTGATGATTTTCGATTGTATTACTGTAGCCCATTTTGGTTCATACACAGTCACTCCTAAAAATTATCCTCAATTTAAAAAAGTTTCGTGTTTCTCAAAAGGGTGCAAAAAGGGTGGATGAAGGTCGATGAAAGGACGGAAAAAGGCAGTAGAAAGGAAACCGTTGCCACCCGTTTAGAAACAATTAATGGAAACCTTTTGCACCCTAAAAGACCCTCAAAAGGTTCGTAAAGGGTCCTTCCGACTTTGGCTATGACATGAAAAAATAATTTTCAATTTGCGAACCTTTTTCTAAAAAAAAACTTTGGAAGTATGCTTTTTGGAAAGTTATCGTTCTTTAACCGGTTTCCAGTCACCTAACCCTCAAGGGATCAGACTTTACGCGTTTTTTTAAACTTAGCTATGTAAAAAATAAGGATATTACTTTTTTTGACTAATAGGATAGTTTGAAAATGAAGGCTTCTAGAGTTACATTCAGCAGAAATTTTTCCGATTTCTATTTTTTGGTCGTTTTGTGAACGTGATATGCTCGAGAAGTCGAAAAATTCACCAAAATGTGATTTTTTTTTAAAAAAATCTTTTCCTTTTCGTCAAACCCCGCCAGACTCAATATCACTCCGAGATTGAATTCTTCGAATTCTAGAAGAAAAGGCAGAGATCGTCGGGCGTTTCTGATGTTTCCCATTGGATTTCTCCCACTGTTAGACAAATTGCCAACGGAAAACAAGTGGAAAAAAGGGCGACACCACCGCCACAACTCATACGAGTAGAAGAAAAAAAGAGAAAACACTCGACAACAAAAATGAAAGTCCAAAAATGGGAGGAAACCTGATTTGAGACGAGGCTCCGTATTTAAATCGCAACCATTAGTACGCTTGCTTCTCGTCTTTTTCTTCACTTTTCAAGCTTTTTTGGTAGGAGTTTTAGAGTGGTCCCTATATAGGGGTTAGGGAGGAAAACAGTCCCTATAGTGACCGAAAAAATGATCCTAATAGAGGTAAAATCAAGGTGGTCCCTATAGAGGTTCAGGATCTGACCTCTTAGCCACTAAAGCTCAAGTGGTCCCTATAGGGGTCTTTCAATTTTATCCAAAAAAGGGTTTTTTTTTTGCATGGGAATGCTTCTTCGCAGTTCATAAAAATTATCGACTAGCATGTCCCCTATAGCGGCTACGAACTAAAACCCCTATAGGGACCTCTTTCCCCAAAACTCTTTCTCTGAAACACACTGTTTTGTCGTTGTCCTGCAGCGAGAAAGCGACGAAATAGTGTAGGTCAGAGAAATGGTTGTGGCGATCTTTTGGCGCTCCATTACAGAGTGATGGCCCCTATAGGATTTGCTAAAGAGGTTCCTAAAGCGGGCCCTCAAGGGCCCCTATAGGGACCACTCTCGAGTTCCTAAGTACGATCAATCGATATTCACTACAACTTGCTGTCCTTTCAAATCACATATATCGGTTTTAAAAATTTGAATCAACTCAAAGAATGGTTTTTTACCACTCGACCTTTCATAAATTATCCTTTTTCGAGTAGAATGTACAGATTATCTTTTTTTTCAAGTTATCACTTTTCAAAAGCTTTAAACAACGCTTTTTTTCTTCATATTCGGGTATTTTGCGGACTTTGAAGCGTCAAACTTTGAAAAAAAGTACAGTGCAGCAGAAAAAAATACTTGAAAACTCCAACCGGAGGCTGATAACAGCTCCCTTGTTGGTAGAATAATTTTTAGTAGTATCGAAAAATGAAAAAAAAATAGGCTTGGAACCGACTGTTTTCGGGACAGCTGACCGGACCAGCGATGCGAAACCGCCAGCGGCTATTGTCATACCAGAAATATATCGCGCAATAATCCGACCCCATCGCAAATAATCGACCACTGTTCGATCCCATAATCCCATCGTTGTGTTATTGTTCAACGAAAACACTTTTGCCGACGGTTTTACTTTTGCTAAGGTGTTTGGCCGGTCGGCTTCTTTTGTTTGAAAGGTGGATAAAAGCTTTGTTCGGATGCTCGCGACTGGCTCAAAGATCGACCTTTGATAAAAATAATGTCCTGTGATTCTGAGAAAAAACGCCGGGAGCTTGATCGTTCCTAGAGAAACTTTTAGAGTTTCGAAATCAAATTGAGAAGAATTCAGGTAAATATGACACTTCTAGCATGTTGAATCGATATACAGAGAGAAAGAAATAACTTCATTAAAGCAAAAATAGGCTTGAATTCATTTATTTTTGAACTTTTATCCTTGAAAAAATTTATTTTCAGTTACAGTAACGTCTGAAAAAATGAAGAAAATTTTTTTGATCAGAACTCGATTTTTGTGAAAGTTTCTGAAGCCGTGCTATTTTTAGAAGCTGGAATCTTACCAGTGTGTTAAAAATGATAGTTATCACAATTTCAGAAAGTTTCACAAAGATTGAGGTTCATACAAGAAGATCAAAAAAGTTTTTCGTAATTTTTTTTTGACGCGCTGAAAAAAATTTTTAATGGTCACTTTAGGTTTTTGACGTTTTAGTGACCTAGTCGAATTAGTGGCCACTTAAGTGGCAAAAATGTAGTGACCTCTTTAGAAGTCTACTAAGTAGTACTACTAGACTACTAAAAACTACTATAGTGGCTTCTATAGAGGCGATTTTAGTGACCACTTTAGAGTCCTCTCCAAGAAATCTCTTAAGTGGCCACTAGAGTTTTTCCCAGCAACTGTAGCTCGGAACCTTCAAAACCACTTTTTGAGCCCTTCTCGCCCATCCAAACACATCGGCGTGTTTTTTTTTTTTCTCTCGATCTTCGAAACAAAATCTGGCTAGCCAATCTAAATGCGGCCGGCGTTTGGTCGGCTACCGGTACATGCTTTTATCGACGTCTTGGCTCGACGATCAAAATCCGCGAGACTCTGTATATAAGGGGACCCTCATGGGATTTCTTCAGATTTTCTTACTTTTACGTTTTCTTTGACTCAACTTTGAGACTTTGAAATTTCCCAAAATCTTGCTTTTTTCAAAATTTAGGAACCAACATGGGTAGATCAATCTTGAAAGCTACAAATCCTACTCTTGAAGCTTTTTAGACTAATCTTGAGATTTTTCAAAATTTGGATTGACTTCTAAATAATAATAATAATAATAATTGACACTACCGCCTGGAGGCTGCAAGTAGGTTTTTGTCCCAAAAAAACTTCCCTGAACTTAAAAATCAAGTTAACTCTTAATTTTGGCAACTAATTGAGTTCGGTACTTGCCCATGTATGGTCAGAAAATTTTTTTTTAATTCCTCAGATTCCCAAAAAAAAAAATCCAAATAAAGCTTAATCTCAATCATCTGAAAAAAAAACCGACAAAAAATCGATTTTTTCAATTTGATAAGGTATTTTGGGGTCTGAAAATAAAAATAATGGTTCACGTGGGTTTTTATTGAATCATTTCAGTAACTGACAATTTTTCAAGATGATATAAAATACAAGACCATTTTTAGTTGGTCTCCTAACCTGTCAAAGTTTTTCAGCTCTAGGAACTTTGAAAAAAACTTTTTAAGAAAAATCAAAGAAAAATTCAAGTAATTTGAACGGACCCATTCCCCACTGTTTCTTGATTCCTAGCCGTCCCGATGAGGTCGTCTGGAAGGAGACTCTTCTATAGTCTCATCCACCTCTTCTACGTCTTTTTTTTTTCTTGTTCCAATCTCTCATCCAGCCAATGGACAATTGCAACCGACGGCTTCAGCTTCAGATTTTGATCTTTCCTGCGAGCCGGCGGGTTTCGCGTCGGCCGATTGCGATCGGCCGTGGTCTCACGTCGCTGCTCCCAGTTTTCCGAACCGCTCACGCCGCTTCCCGATTCGGATCTCCCTCTTGCGCAGAAAAAGCCCCCCGTGATTTTTGTTCTTTTAGGGCCTGCTTTTGAAGAGACGCAGATTTCCAACAATTTGATGGAAACTTTAAAGGAGCAGAGGCGAAATTTATGAAGAACTTAGTGTTATGAGAAGCTGACCTTAAATTTCGGGACTTAAAAGTTCAGCAAGCTGTTTTGAAATGACTTTTTTACGTCGAAAAAAAAGTAGCAAGGCCTTAGTGGAACTGGAACTGTGCCAAGTTCAAATGGAAGTAGCCAGGATTGACATTTTTACTTCATTTCTATGAAATTATTGGGTTTTTGTATAAAATTAGTCCGTATGAAGTTTTTTCAGTACTTCAAAGGGACTTTCCGGAGTAGCTTATCGATTTGCAAAATAAACAATACTAAAAAAATTTTTTTAACTGTGTTTTTTGAGAGTAAACAGTGTTAGGATCTGGCTCTAGTTTTTTTTTGAACTTATAAAGTTTGAGAGTTTTAATAAACTGCTTTATTAAGACACATTTTGGGTAGGTTCGGTTAATTTTTTTTTCAAAATGTACCCTTTAAACCGCTAGATAAGCTCACTTATTATAACTATGTTCATTTTGAAAGTCGGTTTTCCAAACTATATTGGAGAAACGAATAGAAACGCGACGACGGATTCGCTGCAGATCTGTTCACAAGCCACGTGGCTCCGCCCACATTTTGTGATCGCCATTTTTGGGCTGAAGGGTATAAAATGCGGCGTTCGTTTCGGGTCGCTTTTTTCATCACAGCTGATTTTCGGCTTTCCTTTCCTGCCTTTCGTAAACAGTTTCCCTGATTTTAGAAGTGATATCGTTATTTGAAAAGAATCGTTTTTTTGATAGTTACTGTTTGAAAAATTAGGCTATTTTTTTGAACAGAAATATTGCATAAATTGATAATCTTGAATTTTTTTAAAATCTTAGTTTATTTTTTTACTCAATTTACATGATTTTTTTCAAGTTTTTTTGTCCAGATTTCTCCGTCTAAAATTGGTTTTTTTATGGAATTGGATACAGTAAAGAAAAAAACGTTTTTTTAGAAAAAAAGTTTTTATTTTTTTGAAAATTTATGCACTTTTTTTGATTTTTTTAAATCATTCCATATTTGAACAAAAATCAAAAATCCAATCATTTTTTCTGATTTGTGAAAGTTCGAAGCTTCTCCCTTTCAAATACGCGTCTCGTGATGACCTATTCTCCTGAATTTCGAGGAGAAATCTGTGTTAAATATTCGGAAACACGTTTTTCATTTAGACAAAGGAAAGCCGGTTCCCTGGCCGTTTTCAATTATTCGGATAGTTTCCGTTTCTTGAACTTTCTCAAGTATTTGATCGACAACTACTTTTTAAATCCCTTGACCAAATTTCATGAATTTGTCCAGCAATAATCGTGAAGGTGATCATCAATTCACTTTTTACGATCACAAGAAAGTCTGCCATTGCGCAATCAGATCCGAACAATCCATCATGCGTGATATTTTCTGCCCCGAAATGGGAAACACGCGATACAAGCCGGTCCGAGGCGGAACCCGTTGGCAGTCTGCCACGAGGGCCGGCTTCGCAAGGCCTCCTTTCCGTTTATACGTCTTTTTTCTGTTTCCTGAAAGCCCTATGAATATTCTCCTCATTTCAAAAATATTCAAATAGCCTAATAAATTTGAAAAAAATATACGTGTAAAATTCTGAGCTTTTTGCCTGAAGTCTGGTACCATTTTTTTGTTGTATTACAAGCTTTTGAAAAGCACAAAAATGAAAAAATTTCGAATTTTCTATATCGAAACCTTATGATAAAATGATCATGCTAGGAATAAAAAAATCAGTTCTTAAGAAACGTCTGAATCTCTTCTTTTTTTCACACTATTTTTTTATAATATTCTGAAGATTTACTCCACTATCATGCCAGCGATGAATCAACTTTAAATTTATAAAATTTAATTTTTATTAAAAAAATAATTTTTTTCAGTTCATATTATTTTTGAGTTAGGGCAGTTAGAATTGGAGGCTTTCAAAAACCAATAAATGCTGAATTTTTAATTGAAACAGTGCGATCTTTTTCGAAATTACAGTTTTCATGTTTGAGCTTTGTGAATCTTCTCCTGAAAGTCAGAAAACTGTAATTTTCCGCCCCATTATTTGAATTCAAGCATATTTTTCAAAAAAGGTTGTTTTACTTTTCCCTGGAGTTTTCGAAAGTGGCATCAAAAAAACTTGTTAGCCGATTTTTCAAGTGTTGGCACCTAAGAAAAAGGAAAATTTTCGCTTTTTAATAAGCTTAATTATTATAAAAACAAACCACTTTCCGCCTCCTTTTTTGTGGCGATTCTTGACCGTCATTATGTCTCGAGAGGGAAAGTTATACACGCAATTAGAAAATCCAAAACCAGCTCCGTTTCATTTCCCTGAGAAAGCTTTTTTTAGATTTTCCAGACAAAAAGAACGATTTCGATTCTCCCAGAGACGTTTTTTGTTTTGTTTTTGCGCGACAGGAAACTAAAAGGTGGGCGGAACGAGGTTCCTCGGCTCGAAAGCCTTTCATTCTCAGAAAATCCGTCGTCGCGGGCGTTCTGTCTTGTCTCCCGATTGTAAGCTTGCGCGACAATCTTCAAAGATTATCGTTTCCCAGTTGGGGGTCCCTTCCCGAATTCGCGAGATCCCTATCTAAATAGTTCCACCAGCTTCATTCCTCCATGCGTCCTTGCTGTGTTCAGGATGTCATTGAATGTTTCAGAAGCTTCGGAGTCATGCAGATCTGGTGTATGGAGCCCTACCCGTGCGGCGACCGTCGTCTTCCCCACCACGTCTTCCCGCCGAAGAAGCTCAGCCCCGACCAGTTGGCTCAGAAGACCGGCGTCCAGTACTTCAAGGTCCTTTTTCGATTGAAAATATTTTATAAAGCAGGCCTTGTAGCTGATGATTAGAAAATTATGAACAATAATCTGAAAAATATAGTTATATAAAAGAACTATAGTATTAAAAAAAATTATGAACTCGAAAATTTCAAAGAATATTTCAAAAAGAAGGCTTTGTTACCCGAAAAAATACTATTTTTTTCAATCCCAAAAAAATTTTTTTCAGTCTATTTTTTTCAAGTTACTAATAACCTGAACTTCTCCTGAGAAAAATCGGACGGCTATTTTTTTGAACCCTGCTGATCTAAAAATTTTCATAAAAATGAAAAACATTTACAAACCTGATAAGCTTTGTACTAGCTTCTGTTAGCTACCGAAGCATTAAAAAAAAATTTCGGAGCATCTTTCGAGAAAAAATTTTTTCAAAAAAAAGGCTCTAAAAATAGCTCACCAAGCTTTCCATTGTTACAGCGATTCGTTTGAAACCAATGTTCTGAAAGAAAGAGAAAATCGTCTCGAAACGTTTTTAAGTGGCCCTGTAAACGTTTCGCAACCTTTCAGCTATGTTTTTGAGGAAAAAAACGCGTCTCAATTGATTCTTAGAAAGATCTCTGGAAGCGACATCGTTTCGCGAGATTGTTATCAGGATTCCATTAAGATGTTACTTATTGAAGGTGGACCTCGATGATACGGTGGCGATGAAGAAGCGCCTCTCGCGAGTGAAGGCCGAGCGCAACGTCAGCTCCTCCGACGTCTTCACCATCAGCGAGAGCATCGCCGACTTCAACGACAAGCTCGAGGAGTTCTACGAGCCGCAGCAGCGTGCCGACGACGTCGTCTCGTTGGTAATCGACGGCTCCTGCTACTACGACGTCGAGCCCGAGGTTTCCTAGCTGTCTGCCTTCCTAGAAGATGTCGATGATTCCAGGAGGACGAATGGATCCGCGTGCAGCTCGAGCGCGGAGATCTGCTCGTAATTCCGAAGGGACTCTCTCACCGCTTCACCACCACCCCAAAGGTTCTCCATAAAAATGAGAAACCTGAGGGATCACTTAAGTAGGGAAGTGTGAAAAGAGCAAGAAAAACGGCTCACTTTTTGATTTTTGATTACAGTGATTTGAGTTATCACTCAGAGACGAGTTCAAGGACCTGAAAATTTCAATCATCTATAGTTTTCTCGAGTTTGAAAAACAACAAAATCAAATCTAATTTGTTTGAGATTTAGGTAGATACTCAAAAATAAATTCAGAAAATACAGCTCCAAAGAACTTTTTCCCTCTGATTACTATAATTTCAGAACTTTGTGCAAATGCAGCGCTTCTTCTCCAAGAAGCCCGATACCCAGGGCTAAGAAACCCGTTGCAATGGAGGATTTTTGTTCGCTTATCGAAACCTAATTTAATATTCGTTCTTGAAAAACTAACAAAAAAAGCAATTCCCTTTCGTTTCCGTTGTGTAAGCTTGTAAATAAATTCATATTGGGATGCGTGAAATGTATGACGGTTGATTTAAAGCCTGGCTTTTTCTCGTCGAGCAACTTCGTCGCGGAGAAATCGCCGCAGGATCTTGCCGGACGGGGCTTTTGGGATTTCTTTGAGGAACTCGACGCCGCCCGCCAGCCATTTGTACGATGAGACTTTTCCTGGAAATTCGTCGGTTTTTATTTAGCGGAAAATGTCATAATTTGAAGTAGATTTCAAATTTTTATGAAGCGAACATTCTGCGAAACCCACCTTCCACGAACTTTAGTACATCTTTAATCGTGAGAGATTCATCCTGCCTCACGACAAAGGCCATTGGAACTTCTCCACATCTCTCGTCTTTGATTCCTATAACTGCGGCGTCTCCGATCTTCGGATGCGATAAGAGCAAGTCTTCCAGCTCTGCCGGCGGGACCTGATCTCCTTGGTCTTCTCAAGAAAATATCGAAGCTTTACCTGCAGTCCTTTGACCTTGATCAGCTCCTTGAGCCGGTCGACGATGTTCATTCGCAAGTCTTTGCCTAGATAGCCGATGTCGCCGGTGTGCAGCCAGCCGTCCTTGTCGATGGTCTCGGCGGTAGCTTCCGGTCGGTTGAGGTAGCCGAGCATGACGGTCGGCGAGCGGACGCAGATCTCGCCTCGCTGGCCGAGTGGCACCTCGGCTCCGGTCGTCACGTCGACGACCTTCTGCTCGAAGTTGTTCAGCACGATGCCGACGCTTGTGTAGTCGTCGCTTTGTTTGAAGTCGGCGATGTGCGATGCCATGCCGCATTCGGTCATTCCATAGGCTGGAATGTTCACTTTTTTCCGATTTTCAAGAAGCTGAAGATTTATCCGTTTCTCTTACTAATGCCCAGATCAGAAGATTTTTGAAAGGAAACATAAGGTTGCTTAAACTTCTTAGGAACTTCAGAGTATAAGGGCAACCTCAAGAACCCTTGAAAGCCCCCTCTAAGGACCATTTTACAAACCCCTATAAGGACCACTAAAGTTTTCAAAAGTGGTCCCTATAGGACTTTTAGTTAGTGGTCCCTCATTTTTAATGAAGTTGAAAAACCCCTATAGGGATCACTTAAGCTTTAGGGGCTAAGGAGTCAAACCCTAAACCCCTATAGTGACCACTCGGTTTTACCTCTATAGGGATCACCAAACTTTTTGAAAAGCTCTTCCTGACAGAAACTTCTTTGTGGCGCCAGTTTTCTCTTCTTTACAAATACCAACCTTGTGCGATTCTAGCCTTGGGATATTTCCGCGTAAACTCTTGGCAGAGGTCTTTTCCGGCTGGAGCTGCTCCAGATATCACGACTCGCAACGAAGAAAGGTCGAACTTCTCAGCGACCGGATGCTTGGCCAAGAAAAGAAGGATCGGTGGGACCAGGAACAGTATTTGCACCTTAAATAGGGGACTTGTGAGACTTCCTCAGAGCTTCAGCCAACCTTGAACTTTTGAATGTTCTCCAAGAAAATGGTCGGCTCAAACTTTTTGAAAACGATGCCTTGTAGGCCTTCCAGAACGGTCTGGAAATGATTCTTAAGCTTCTCGGATTTAATTAAAGGAAAGATACATTCATTAATAATCCCATCCCGTAAATATGGTAGAATGGGAGCATCAGACAGAGTGGCTGTCCTCTCCACTGAAACTTGTTGCCGTTGTTTGATAGAAACGACGAAATGTATTGGTTCTGGTGTCTGGAATCGAACGTTCATTTGAAAAATCCAGGGAGCGACAACTCACGCCTGCACGACTTCAACCATGGTGCCGAAGTTTTTGTGAGAGAGCATGACTCCTTTCGGAGAGCCCGTCGTGCCGCTCGAGTATGGCAGAAGAGCCACGTCGTCGGGGCTGGAATCTGCGAGGTTGGGTGTTTTTATTTGAAACATTCCTTTACCTGAACTTATAGGGAGGGAGGCCACGGAACTTTGTTCGAATGGCTTCGTCATAGGCAAAGACGCCTTTTGGCAAGCTCTTATTTCCTTTCCGCACACACAAAATCGTCTGAAAAGCAGATTTCGAGTTCTTCTCAAAATTTGCGCTCATCTGATAAATATGTTTTTTACTCAAATTTAGTCTTAAGGAGCTATTACGACAACTGGCGAAAGTCGTTTTTGGTCGGTCACATCTTCAAATAAACAACTTCACGGTGTTTTTTTCTTTACGCAAGGTCAAGACTTTTCGTAAATTATGATGCTTAGGGTGTAAGCACACCGAGACGCACTATCGCATACTCAAAATGTTTTTTTCAATTTTAGAATTTGCGATTTCAGGATAATAGCTCCTGAAATGTTCGAAATTTGTCATTTTGAAGAATATGATGTGAAAAAAACATTCACTTACGTTAAAAAAACATTTAGGAACGATTTCGAAAGGGGAAAACTCTAAATTACTGATTACAAAATAAAAACAAAAAATATTATGAAGGTGAATCAGCTCCCATTGAATAAGCATTTATAAATACGAAAAAAATATTGAAATGAGGAAAATTCGAGGAGCAAATGAAAAAACATTTTATATACCTCGAAAACCTAGCTTCAGAAAAAAACAAATAATGGTTAGAAAGCAGAAATTTTTAGAAAAAAACCTCGTATGGCGAAATTTTTTTGTTTAAACTCGAAAAAAACCATCAAAAAAACTAGAAAAAAATATATAATTTAGATGATGCTTATATCAAAATCATTAAACTGCATCAGCAAATTCAATTTGGCTCTAATTTACACGAAACCGGTTTCAAACTACGTCAAAGGAACTAGATAATAACTTTTTTTATTATTAACTGATTAAATTAAAAAAACTATAGTTTCCGAAATAGAGTGACTCTTTTCATGTCGCGAAACAGATTTCAAAATTTTGAAAAATTAGGACTTTTAGAAAAATCTTCAACTCTTTTGAGAAAAAAGTTAAAGATCTGAAACTGGTTTAGAAAAGTGCGAAATTTAAAGCTCCACAAGATGTACCCATAGAGAGGCGGATCACATAAATGCAAGAAATAGAAAAAAAGTAAAAAACCAAGAAAAAAACTGAAGAAATTCAATTTTTGCATCAGAAACCATGAGAAGGGCGCAATAATGCGCCACGGACAATATGCCGCTGGGACCCAAAATTCCGCATTTTTTTCCATTGCGCGGAACACCGTGACTTCATACTTTTTTCGAGTTTGGTGTTACGACAAGAGCGAGTTTTCCGTTTGCGAGGAGTACGGTATGCGGATATGCGCATTGCGTGCATACACTGTGTTTACACTTTCGTTGCGTGACGTCACCGGGTCCGACATCTCCGGGTTTTTTGTTTCGAATATTTTTTAACATTTTTTGCTTTTCTTTTAAGATGTTCATTTTTCTCGATGATATTTGCACGGTATAAAACAGTATCAAAATGTTAATTGAAAAAAATTTGAAAAAAAAACCCGGTGACGTCACGCAACGGAAGTGTAAACACGCAAAGTGTATGCACGCAATGCACATATCCGCATACCGTACTCCTCGCAAATGGAAAACTCGCTCTTGTCGTAGCGCCTCGAGTTCAGCCATTCTCCATGCGACCAACAAGTTTCAAATCAGCATAGAAGAAAATTTTAAACGAAGATCAAGCTTACACGGTTTCCTTGACAAGTGTTTACAGAAAATCCGAAAAAAGAGAATAACTAGATGAAAGAACAATAATTTCCTTAACCACTAAAAAAGAACATTTTCTTTCGCTCTTCTTCTAGCGTCACATATCGTCTCTATGTGAAAAATGAATAAACTATATCAAATAACGAAAAATTGAATAATGCTGTGAACCTTAATTTGAGGACATCGCTCGGCGGCCTGCATCACCTTGGGCAGGTGTGCCTCGTCCGTCGCCACTGCCGTGCACCGGGAGTCCAAGAATTGACGCTCCAACTCGTCTTCAACAATGGAATCCAGCGAGAAGCGATTTTTGACTTACAATCGGTGAACATGGCGCTGGCGCCGGACATGGTGCCCCCGCATTGGAGGACTCCCAGAAGGACAACGGGGTATTCGAGGCCGTTTGGCAGCACTTGGCAGAGCACGTTCTTGTGGCCGAATCCACTGAAAACTTATTTTATGAAGAAGAAGGGAAGAAGGCTTGCAAGCCTCAGAATACTTCATTTCAAAAATTTTTGATATTTTTTTTAAGTTTGAGATATCTTTTGAGAGTAACGAAGTTGAGACTTTCAAGGTCTTTTGTGCCTTGAGACAGCCCTTATTAATTGATTTTTATGAATTTTTGAAAAAAAAAGCTCTGAATAATTTCTTCAACTAACCGATCAGAAAGGAATTGGGCGCAATTTTTCGCTTTTTCTCGATACTCGCGGAAGGTCAATCGGACGTTATTATCTTCAGCGCAGACCTAGAAGATTTTTTTCAGAACGGTCGGAGCACACTACATACAAAAGCAACGGCGTTGGGATCTGCAGCGATGTGACTTTCGATCGCGTTGAGCATTTTCGTGTGCAACGGCTCCAGAGATACCGGCACCGGTGGCGAAGGTGATGAATACACCATTTTGGAGCAGCTCAATTGGAAAAGTTGTAGAAAAACCAGAGAAAGAGAAAAAAAAAAGTTGAATTGTTACGACATCATGAGAAAAAAATCATTATAACACGATTAATCGCTCGGAGAGACTGTAGTTGTGTATAACCAGAGTTGACAACAGTCTTATCAGTTTGATTCTGATAATCAGGCTGCCTTGGTCAGAGTACGGAAATTTAGAAAACTAAATTGTTTTTTATAACGATCTAGCTGTATAACTTTGTAATTTTCAAGCTTTGTGGCGGTTTTGTTAAGCTTATCAGTGAAAGTGCAAACTTGAGAATCAAAAATTGTGAATTTCATGGGCATTCTGCAAGAAGAAAGAATATTATAACCAAAGAAACGTTTTTCAGAAGTGAAGCAATCTTAGAACAGACAGAAATTTCAAAAGTTGTTCAAGGTCATCAAATAAAAACATGCGTAATATTCCAGCTTGATGGTCAAAGATGACCAAAATGATAACTGGAGGTAAGAATGTAGCGTCGTGTCCATGTCAGGCCGACAATAATGCGTTGATTAACGCTTATCACTCGATACGTCGCTTGTTGTAACTTTCCCCTTTTTTTACTTCTTATATTGAAGAAAGTAGTAGTTTCAGTCCTTTTCGACATTTTATACGTGTCCTCTGAAAGTTACCAGTAGGATTTTGGAAGGTGTATGGAAGCTTGAAGGTCTTAAAAAAGTTTTTGGGAGGTGTTCGGAAGGTTGTTGGAAGGTGAGAAAGGAAAATGTCTGCCAGAAGCTTTCCAGAAGCCTGCTGGAAGCTTCTGGAAGGCTTCCGGTAGGCTTTCTATGTTGAAGGCGTTCGACTACTTGCTGGAAAGCTTCCAAACACCTTCCGAGGAACCAAAAGCAGAAGCTTCCCAACTTTTACCTGAGCCAAAAGACTACAATGAGAAGTCTCAACTTAGGAAGCCTAGCATCAAAACCAAGCGGCGATATCAGGAGAGATCATTTTCGCTCTATTGAGAATATTTTTATATACTTTATATAACAAAACTTTTACAGCTTCTGAGAATTTGAAACACCATCATCAAATAAGACATCAAAAGAGTACAGGTAAACTGAACGAAATAAAAATAAAAAAAAATTTTTTTCCAAGTACTCTGAAAGCTTATAACGTTTGAAAATAGACACTTTAGCTGACATTGAATGCCATAATAAAACCTCACAACCCTTGCAACCAAAAAAAACGTGAGCGGACAGATCAAGTCTTATCAACAAAAACCATAGACACCAAATGATAAGAACAAACTTTGCCCCCGTCACTTGGTCTTTTTGCTTCATCGATGAGCAGTCGTAAACGTGAAGGTTTATTACTGTATGCACACGGGATTTTTACAAACATAAAATAAGAGCAAGGATTTTTCATCCGTTCCGATGGCCGCAGTACCGCCAGTACTTGTCGCAGGCGGTTCTGTACTGAGCCTGGGCCGTCAGAAGCGGATTGTTGCAGTAGTTCAAGGCGAAGCCGCTGAAAACAACTCTTAATTCTTGAAATTCATACTTTTGAGCTTTTTCTCAGAATGGTTATTCACCGATAACTGCGGCAAATTTGGTCAACAGTGCTGCCGCCACTTCGGCCTCCGGCTGGTTTTCTCGTCGGAACGACTGGGTGATCGGGCAGCGGAACGTGACATCTTTCTGAGTAGATTGGACAGAACACGATGGCCTGCAATCCATCATTCAACACTGGCTGCCAAGATGGTTGTTTTCTCGACTTTTTGGCCGAATCGGAAAGGGTCGGGGCAGACGTAGAGGTAGCGGTTCTTGAACTCCTTGCAGAATCGGGTGAAATCGATGCGCTTCTTCTTCTTCTTCCTGCTCGGTTCAGGCTCTCTGGAAAGGGTTTTGAATAATTTTTGAAGAGTCTCTGCCAGAAGCATCGTTCTTTCATTTTTTTTTTTAGTTTTTTCCACACAGTCCATTTTGATAAGCGAGAAAAGCTTAGTCGCAAAAAATTCAGGAGCCCCAAAAGCTGTAAAGCTAGAAGAGGAAGCACTATTCCGACTTGAAAGGCGAGATGGGTAGATTGGCAATTATGACGCGTTGCGTACGCGACGCGGCTTTTTGGCGCCAAACTCAAACCGCAGTATACCAAAACAGACGAATGCAGGAAAAATTCTTTTAAAAAGATTGTTCATCATTTAATACACATTGAAAGCCTTTGAAAACTTGCGAGAACCCAGAAAAAATCATATTTTAATCCACAAAACTAGACTCTCATCTTCGCGCCCCTATTGCAATAAACCGTGCCGCTCTCCCAGGAAACGATGCGGAGCGCAGTGCTGGTTTCTGCGGAACGCGCGCAAAGTGAGCTGCGGAAAGCATTGCCTACGCATTTGCCCTAAAAAAAAGGTTGTTGCGTTGCGCAAAAACGTGGCTGGCGTTGCGCAGACCTTCTAAATTCGTCCTGGCTCGTCCCGCCCCTTTGGGTTCAGGAATTTTCGCTATACAGGAATACCACTGAGGCTTCTATTATTGCGATTTCTCATGTAAGAACAACGTTCAGTATATCTATTTTATCGAATATCATTTAACGACCACATTAAATAACAAAATCATCAACAAAAAGGATACATTCACTGGTAGACAAAAAAAATAAGATTATATTCAATTCAACTTGAAAGGCAAGATGGATAATTGGCAAGGTGAAGCGTTGCGTACGCGACGCATTTTTTCGCAAGAATTCGAGGTCAAACGCGTTTATGGAACGAATGTAGAAAAAAAATTCTTATTCTAGTAAGTTTTTTAAAAATTTTTATACCTTCATTCGTTCAACTAAATTTATTAAAAACCATAAAAATCGAAAATAATTTTTTTTTTAGTCTGAGAAAAAACATGGATGGCTCTCCTTGGACCTCAGGTTTAGCTCCAAAAAGCCGCAACGCGCTTGCAACGCTTCAATCTACTCGTTTTGCCTTTCAAGTCGCGAAGTATTCCATATACAGTAGTGAACAGAAAACATTAAAAAAAACAAAGCTGGGTAACAGAAAGTACAAAGTAGTAAAAATAAATTGCTTGAAAAATGGTGGTATGGAAAAAAGCCAGCGAAATTTTGAACGGCGACTTTTCCGATTTTTTCATATCGCTAGGGAAATTTCCGACGGGGACGTTTCCGAATAATTCCTTTCCGACTTTTTCCCTTATATTTTGCGGTTTATAATAAATCTATTAACATTGTTTTCCTTTTTTGTTCTTTAAGCAAGAATCAACAATCTTATTCATATAAGAGAATTGAAAACGAATATCTCATCGAGAAAAAAAAAAGTCGGAAAAAGAATCGGTCGGAACGTTCCCTAGCGATATTAAAAATCGAAAAAGTCGTCGTACGAAAATTCACTGGCTTTTATTTCATACCTCCTGAAAATAACCACAGAAAAGAAATCAGAAAGAGTCTGCTTTTGAACATATGGTAATGGTAAACATAAAGATCCGATAGCAAATAGATTTACTGAATGAAATATTGCGGAAAACTTGAATAGGTGAGACTTTTATGATATACGTGTTATTGATTAAAATAAGGAAGAAATAATTTCTGAATATGCCGTTTGGATGACTATTGAGAAAAATAATTTTTTTGAGCTTCTGAACAAGGGTTTTTTTAAGTTCGCAGTTTTTTTGGCACGAAAAAAACGTTCGCAAGCTTGGAAACCAAAAACTTTGACCTTATTTAGGGTATGGTCAATTTTACTTATCGCTATCGCTCCATATGAGTCAGGAAAACTAGTTGAGAACAACCAATATATCTGTAAATTCAGAGGGGGTCTTCTATGACGCGCATTGCATAAAGTTTTGAACGTAAATACTTTCTTGATAGTTTTTGCCAAAAAATTAAATTTACCCTTATTTCCTATCTCCCTCTACGGCAGTTTACCAAAAAAAAAATTGAAACAACAGGAAGATATACCACAAATATGTTTTTCCGTTTTTGTCGAATTTTCCACAGACGCAGTCCGTATTCTATCCGGCAGTAGTTCAACTCAGTACGTCAATACTGCAAATCAGCTTTTTGAAAAAATAACTTATAATATCCCACCGATAACTGTTTGAAAAAAACTCCGCCTAGCCAAGACGACCTGTAAACACAGAGCACTTTTTTTAGAAGCCCAGAGACCATAACAAAAAAATCAGAAAAAAACGGTTCCTCTTGTAAAAAAAAGCTGTAAAACAGAATAGCTGAACACCAACCATCCAAGCTCAAAACCTGCGTTAAATTATAAAACATTAAACTTTTTTGAGTTGATGCAATCGATTCAAGCAATCAAAAGCCTCCAACAAAAATCAAGTTTTTTTAATTAATTTTTTTACAGCAAGAAAAAAATTAAATTTCTTTTTTTATTTTTGTCGTGAAGCCTAACTTTCCCATTCAGCTACTTCATGGAACTTCATTGAGATTTGCGGCACTTATTTTTTTGAGATTAGACACAAAAAAATAAGGAAAGTCTACCATGGTGCCAATATGAAACACGTTTGAGAAACCTTGTGGATGTGCCGGAACAGTCGGCCGCTTTTTTTATAGTGGGCATTTTTTTGAAAATGTTGAAGTTATTTTTTTAGCTTTTTTGAGTGTCCAAAATGTGTAAAATTCTCGATTGGGGTAAGGCTTTGAGTGCCGAAAAAAACCAAATACTGGCTGCCCAATTGGGAACCCATAATCAAAAAAAGTTCAAAGAACTGAATAACGTCAGCAGTGTGGATATTGTGAAAAAGATGCGATTTTGCGTCGGTTCTCGTCGTGTAAACATTTTTGTCAGTCTGAACAGAGAGCCCATAAAAGTTATAACGTTAGGGGTCGATCGAGAAGGTCCTTTAATATAGGAAATTATTTGTGTTTTTCAATTAATTTTCCTATCAACCTGATTGACTTGCCCTGAAAACAAAATATGTTAGGTGCGAAATAGTGTTTATTGAGATTTGAGAGTACTTTCTTTTCGCGAAAATAGAAAAATTCTGACAAAGAGGGAAACTTTGTAAGAATAAAGGCCAGAATTTCCGAAAAACTGAGTTCCAAACTCGCCACATAATGAAGAAATAAGTACTTTAAAACCGTTGACATCTCAATGAAAAAGAGACCGACTTTTTCCAGCATGCCTACTTCTTTTCGAGAAAAAAATCCCAAAAACAAAAAGTTTGAACGAAACTTCAATTCCATATTAAAGATATTTGCTCATAAACGAAGTGTGAGAATCATCTTCTCCAACTTTCTCACAACCCGCAAACAAAGGAAACAACGTTTAACGTACTTTGAACCGTAATAAAAAAACAAAAAGAAAAAAATTGAATTGAAAAAGTGAAATGAGAACAGACGTCAAATAAAAAACGCTTGGCCGTATTACTTTTTGCGTGGTCACGTACGTAGAACGCACCGTAACCTTGCCCTCAAATGTTTCCCCTTTTTTGCGCAACGCAAGCCTCTTGCTCGCTTTCCGCAAGGGCAAAATTGCGCTTGATACCTCAGCCACGCCCACTTTTTCGCTCGCGCTCCGCACCGTTTCCTGGGAGCTGTTGCAGTCAGCCACGGCTACTGACCACAGCTGCCGTCCGTTTGGGAACTCTGTGATTAAACGTGCGACACCATTTTAAATTGTACTCCTTTTTGAAAGTTTTTCGAAAATTTTGATGGGTTTGAACAACTTAACTATTGAAAAAGCTTATGAAAATAAATAAAAAACTTTTTTCCACATTTTTTAATGATTTTTCCTGCCAAAAAGCCGTCATACTTCCCAATCTCGCCTGTCAAGTCAGGAAAAATTGACTATACAGGCTTGACTCTATACCATTAACACAAATTGACAAAAGCAGGCACATAAAAGTCCAGACAAAAGACGTAAAAAGCATTTCTCAGCATCACTTTCAAAAATTCACGAGACGCTTCAATACCTGCGATCGTCGTCCGTCGAGCTCATTGTTTTAAGCTCACTTGAAACTTTTTTCTAAACTCCTTGATTTAGAGAAAAACAAAAACCCAGAAGATCATATTATTCTCGTTGTAATTATTTTTTCGAAGGTGAATCCAGCACTCACGTCACAACTGGACCATCCGGGTCGTCAGGAGAAACGGCGAGACAAATGTTGTCGAAAGCTTGGCAGAACTCCTCTTCCTTGGCGTCCTTCTTATGTTGTGCGGACTTGGCACAAACGCGTATGTACTCCTCACGGAGCTCTGCGCAAGCGGCCTGAGAAAAAAGAACATGTAAAACAGCTATAAATTCTGAATCGTCAAGAAATTCAACGCACCTTGTCCTTATCGGAATCATCTCGCTTTTGCTTTCTGAAAATCGTGAATGTGGAAAAATAGAAGACGTGGTTATGAAAAACACAACCTTAACAGTTTAAACGGACGAACCTGCCAGTCTGTTCTTCCGACTCGGCAACTAACAACGTCGGAAGAGCTAGTAACAAAAAAACCGACTTTGACCGCATTCTCATAACCTCAAAAAAGAAGGTTATTCAAAAATAGTCCCTTCATTTCAAAAGAAGAGGAAACAGGAGATATAAACTCAATAATTTAGATTCTACGGCTTGCAACAAATGGCATCCGACGGTTATTTTCGCCTTCACCCAACCGGTCTTCTTCTTGCATCTTCTTTTTTTAAAGGAATCTGCACTTGTTTTGAAAACACTTCAGTTCGGGAAACTGTGTTCGAAGGAATTAAGAGAAGTGATGTTTTTTAGGGTCCTAATGATTTCGCCTTACTTCCTTAATATTTTAGAGCCGTTTTAACTATGAAAAACAAAATAAAAACTTTAGGGCGATGCGGTGAGACTGAACATGAGTAGTTTCAAAATGATCAACATTCAATTTCTGGTTTTGGTTATTTATCATTCTCTTCGTTTTCCTTGCCGTGATCAAGACGATATGAGAAAAACACTTTCGGTACATTGTTCGAGAAGGTCAGACGGAAAAAGTTTTTTTTAAACGACAAGTATAAAATTAAACAGGTGATAAAGTGATGATGATGGTTGGCGACAATGGCAGCGTGATTTCAGAACGAGCTTTCGGCTTCTTGCATCAAGGTGAAAGTGCCATTCGACCGGATTTCTGCCAGTTCGCTCCGCCAGGTCTTCCGCCCTTCTATTGATTCGACGTCAATTAATTCACTGTTTCATTCAGTAGTTTCGCCGAAGCATTGAGGACATGAAACGACAAATCTTGGAGTCTTCTACATGTTTCATTGACCACACTAACTGTTTTGACGGAAAAAAAGAATAAAATCAGTCAACTCCGGAATCAAAAATTAGTAAAAAAGGTCGATGCAAGCTAAACTGCTTCATCATTAAAATTTTGAGCCGTTTTTTTAAAATCAAAAGTTAGGATCTGCAGAGAACCTTGACGCAACAGGTTCAAAATCTGAAAATGACATTTTTCCACTGGATTCCGAAGCGTGTATGCTATTTTTCTCATTAAAATTCCGATTCGGTATAATGTCCGATTGCTCACAAATGCTATAAAAATATCAAAACGCTATTTCCTGAGATCTAGCTTTTTATTGAACTTTAGCATACCCCGATTGGATTAACGAGTGTACATTTTTTGCTAGTACAAACTAGACTACGCTCGTTTATATGGTTAAGGTTGGTTTAGGGTTTCTAAAACTTATCTTCTTCTGAAGATTGGACTTTTTGATCCGAAAATGAGGTGTCCAGTAGAGCGCAACTGCAATCCATGTCTCGAAACGTCGTGGTACAGCTCCGTTCGTGTTACAGTATCCCTTAAAGGCGCGCTGCCGATTTTTCTTTTATTTTTATTTTTTCTATTGTGAATATTTTAATTAAATCAAATTTTTATTGGATTTTTACGGAAATAAGCGATTTTATCAATGATAACGATTTTTTTAACTATACTTGATTTTTGAAGTTTTTTTGAAATCTATTTTTCTACTTTTTCTCTTTTTTTAAAAATTTTTCTCGTTTTACCGTCTGCAAATAGTTTTTTATCACGTGAAACGATTGTATTGAAGTTTCGGGAGGTTTTAGCTCAGGAATCGCTACGAAATCGGTGTCATACATTATGCTCACGCTTGTTTTTCGTTTTCAGGTAATATGGTCAACGTTCCGAAGTCCAGAAAAACCTTTTGCGACGGCAAATGCCGTAAGCACACCAACCACAAGGTGACCCAATACAAAAAGGGAAAGGAATCGAAGTTCGCTCAAGGTACTTTTTATTTATTTATTTGTTAATTGATTCTTTTTTTATCTAACTTTTTTTGGATATTTCTTCTTTAGTTTTTTTATCATGTAGCCTTCAAAGTTATGTTGAGAAATTTGAGGATTGCGCGGCGAATCAGGCTGTAGAATTTTTTTAATGGTTCCTTAGCCGCCCCAAAAAAAAAATTGAATTTTATTTGACGTGAGCGCCAAAATTTGAAGAAATTCGAAAGCGGAGAGCAATTTTAAATTAATAATTTTTTGCATATAAGATCTTGTAAAAAATTTTTTAGCCCTGGCAGGAAAAAAAGGTTAAAAAAATTTCAACATTATACAGAATATTTAAAACATTATCAACAGTTTCATTAAATTTCTTCGGAAAGCACAATCCTGGAAATGTTTAAATGATTTTTTTTTGTCACTTCAAAGTTTTTTTTTTTGAGTCTTGGACGTTGTCCACTATTAATTCACCTCGTTTTTGCAAAACCTTGTACCGTTCGCAAAGTAATTTTCGCATACATTGTTTAGCAAAAATTTGCGAAATATGTAAAGGTGTTCATCGGGTAAAAAGATAATTGCTTCAAAACAAAAATTAGTACTGTTTTGAAGCAACATTTGGCGCGCCGATGATCACGATTTTTTGTTTTGAAGCATGTTCCGTTTCTCCGATGAACACGCCATTAATTAAAAAAAGTCCGGTTTTATAAATTTTAAAATTATTTGGTTTATTTGACGAGAAGTTCAATATCATGCGTAAAAAGTAACTGTAAAGAGTTATATAAAGCTATATATATATATAGTTTTAATATTTATGTTTAACGGCTTCCGTATTTATAATTTTGTCAGTTTTTTTGAGAATCTCATTCGCCAAACGTGCGCTTTCATCTAGAAAAAGAGCTAACGAACACGTTTGGAACGTTTTTGGTTTAAAAAATTCCATATTTCACTCATAACTTGGCAAAAAAAGTTAGCAGCAAAAGGATTCGAACCTTCGTTATGGGCAACGCGACCTGAATGATTTTGAACGAGTTGAGTGGCAATTTGGAAATCCGTTCGAATAAATAAAGATTATTTTTTAATTTTTTTCATTTCAGGAAGACGGCGTTACGATCGCAAACAGTCCGGCTTCGGAGGTCAAACCAAGCCCATCTTCAGAAAGAAGGCCAAGACCACCAAGAAAATCGTGCTCAGAATGGAATGCACTGACTGCAAGCACAAGAAGCAGTTGGCCCTTAAGCGGTGAGCCGTTTTTTTTTCTCGAAATAGAAACAGTTCAAGTAATAGTTTAACACATTGGTTTTAAATCCCTTTTTTTGGCATTTTCCGAAAGATAAAGTACAGTTATAAATTCTTGTAGTTTATTGAGACTAACTCTTAGTTGGAGCGCCTGAAGGCACGCCCGAATGTCTCTCTGCCGCATGCTATTTCGTCGTTTTCTCGCAGTCAGAGAGTGAACAACTAACATGCGGCAGAGAAAAATACGGGCGCGCTTCGAGGCGCTCCAGATTAGAGAATAAAACCTACTCGAAAAAAATATATGAAAACTATTGTTTCTCATTAGCGAAAAGTTAGAGTAGTTCCGGCGATTCCAAAATTGGCGCTTTGTTTGTTTTGAATTATTTCGGGAAATAGACGAATTCAGGAATTCCGGGAGCCTTCAGAAAAAACGGGTCCTACAACGATATATTGCAAAATATCTATACGTTCGAGTTTTACGCACGATGTCGAAAAGACTCGAATAGTTTTGAAATTGGAACTTTGTGCGGAAAAGACGTCTTGAAAATTTATCCATATTAATGTAGGACCAAATTTTTTGAGCGCTTCCAGGAGCCCAGTTTCTTCTTTTTCGCTAAATCATTTTAAACGAGTACCACGTCAATTTTGAAATCCCGTATTGCTTTGAACAAAGCCTGATCAGTGATGCCAATATATACGAAAACAAAAAAAATTTTTTTCTAAAAAGTAAAAAAATAAAAAAAGCCTGAAAAGCCAAAAACAATTGAAATAAAGTTTCTATTTTTTTGTTTCGGTTTGACGTAAAAAAATTTTTCCCTTTTTTTCCAGATTTCCATTGTTGCGTTCTCTTCAACATTTTTTTAAAGAAAAAAATAAGATAATATTCCACTCTTGCGGCAATTTTAGAAATAACAGCTTTATTAGAAATTTTTATTTTACCATTTTCCTTACAGATGCAAGCACTTCGAGCTTGGTGGACAGAAGAAGGCGAGAGGACAGGTCATTCAGTTCTAAGTGTCTTCATTGTTATTGTTTTGCTTCAATAAAATTATGTTCATATTTAGATGTTTTGTCGTGTAAAATTCCGTCTACTCGAATATATGAAACATGAAAAAAAAATTTACACACTGCCAATTGTGTATTACAGATGCGATTAGTGCTGGTAGAAGTAATGGACAAAGATGGAAATGGTTTTTTAACTTCTCTCAGCTTTTGTACGGAAGTTTTCAGTTATTCACACTATGAAATCTCCCGGGGATTACGTTAGCTTTGGTCGTGATGTGAAATCCTGCAAGATTAAACTCCCGGTTGATGCGCGAGGAGTTTCTCGAATACATACAACACTGAAATGGAACGATCATGTAGTTTTCGTCCACTCCTTTTTTTGAACTTTTGGCCACCTTTAGGGCGTTACTCTCACGGACACTAGCTCTTTCGGAACTGTTGTCGGCGGAACAAATGTAAAAGGGAGTAGTGTTGAGCTTGAAGGGAGCACTAAAATCGGTGTCGGTTTATACGAGTATCAGGTCGTCTGTACGAGTGAAGAAGCTCCTTCTGAGGTTCAGAAACTTAGCAACGCGTTCAAATCAATGAGTTTAGACACAAAACCCGAAGAAAAGGCCCTTGGCCTTCCCGATATTAAGAAAAGAAGAAGTTAAAAAGTCGAGACTATCTGCCTCTCCTCATCCCATTGAGGCGCCTTCTCAAGCAACTACATCGAAAGGAGTGAAAGCAAAGTTTAGAAATTGCCAAGTTCCTCTGATTCCCTAAAATTTCAGTGTTCTTAATCTGAAAGCAACCAATGCTTTACAACTTCTGAGAAGAGGTATTTCGTGAGGTCCAATTTTGACCGGTTGAAGTTTTTTGAGAACCTCCGGCGAAGAAAACTTCGGCAAAAAGAGAATCGCATCAACCCGACATTATCGTAGAGGATGCTTCATTGCCTCGGAAACAAGCTCGGAGAGGTCCCACTCAGAGAACAGCTGTGCCTTCTCCTATCCAGGAATCTATCCAGTTGGATGAAGCCTTCGAGCCGCCGTTCACCAGGTTTCTTTCTCGAAATATTCTTGATAAATTGAAGATTTTTCATGCGTTTCCATCAAGATTATATTGGATGAACACAAATTTCTTCGAATTTCTTCCAAAATATAGTTTTGCAGCACTCAGCTGCCCTCTACATCAGAGCAACAAAAAAAGAACGACAGCATTTTTGAAGTTCCGAAAGTCGTGAAATCTCGGCCAGCTGTAAGAATTAGATGAGTAATATTTACAATATAAAGTTTTTATTTAGATCAGCGCAAATACAGAGGAAGGGTGGGAAGAGCGGCCAACAGGTTTAAAAAAAATAGAATCTTGAGAGTTTCACGATTTTTTTTCAGCTAAGAAATCGGCACCGTCAGCTTCTTTGTCACTTCCTCGCGTCACGGTATATTCTAATCTTGAACAAACATCTTTCAATTTTTATAAAGAATTATCAAGTTTCTGATTATTCTCTGAAAAGCTGGTTTCTGAGGGATTTTATGGGCATCACCAGATTGGGAAGAAAATGTTCACTACTAGATATTTTCTAGTATGTCTATAATGCCGTGTTCAAAGTGATTCCGCGAAATTCAAAATAGCCGTCAGAGAAAGAGAAAGATAACTAAATTTTGGAGGGTCAGAGACCATTTTGCATTTCGCGGAAATTACTTTGAACACGGCATAAATTTTTATATGTTACAAGTTTATTTTGAAACACAGTGGTTTTTTTAAACTCAGAATGAAAAGGAATGAAAATGAGTAGAAAAGAAGCGATCGATTCTGAATTGGAAAGCTCGAGTCAGCATTTCCTAATGGTATATTTTAATGGTATAAGCTCTATTTTAACGCGAATTTCACTTATTTTGCCATATCAATTTTCCAAAGTTTTCATTCTACTTGTAGGTGGGTGCGTTGAGCGCTGTGGCGAGCGGGAGGAAAGACGAAGAATCGGACGAAGATGAGAAACCCGACGTCAAGGAGTTGCGATTGAGGTTCATGCGGAAAGTCGCTTCGATCGCTCCGAATGAGGTGAGGTCGAGATGAGAAAAATTGTAACTTCAAAAAAAAAGTTCAGCTTTTCAGTAACAATCAAAAAAAAGTATAAGTTTTTTTTTTGCAAATTCTTCTCGGTGGCTCATATATAAGCTTGAAATTATCTCTTTATGAGGTTTTTCCTTTTTTTTGTGGAAAATTCTGCGATAGATATGGTTTTTGACCTTGCGAAACTTCGATTGTTCGAAATCTGGGGTTTAATTCTTCCAAATAGCTCTCAAGAAATTTGAAAAAGCTAGTTTTTTTTTAGTGGTCCATGACTTCTAAGTTCTCCCCATAGAAATGTTTCTGCGGCTAAAAAAAAATCTAAAAATTTGCTGTTTTGCTCAAATTTCAGAAAAAAAAAGCGTTACCTTGAGAAAATTAATTGCGATTGTGTACCGTCTAGACGGAATTCATTTTGACGGTTTTGAGAGGTCCCTGGTTCGATTCAAAGACATAGAACCGCCCAAACCAGAGCCGCCACCTCAACACGACGTGACCTCCGAAAAAAGCGGAGCGCCTAATTTCAAGCGATTCCACAAGGTTTCCCCTTTCAATGGCTTTTCAACGGAAAGTATCTAGGCGAGCCAAGGCGTCTTCAATAAATCCCTGCCTCAATTCTCCCGCCATCTTCGCCATCACACCAACATTGATCTTGTCGATTTCCGGAAGCTCGACTTGTCTACGTAACTTTTATAAACTTACTGTAAAAAGAAAAAGAACTTACTACGTGCTTATACTTGCCCTTTTACTCAGAATCTCTTGTGAATGAATATATTTAACTTTTATGAAAGTTTTGGTGATTTCGCCTATCATTAAAACACCTTAAAATCGATCTTTCGGATTCATATCCCCTTTAAAACAAGTTTGAGCAGGTAAAGATCATGAGAGGCCTTGATTTAATCATGAAAAGAAAGAAAAATCTACAGTGAATTCCAAATTTCTTACAGAAAGACCTTCCTTTTGGAAAAAAGGTTTTACTATCAAACTTCCAGCAGCAGCAGGTGAAAACCAAGTTGAAGAACCAAAAAGTTCGGTTCTTCAAAACTAAGCCTCAAAATTGATATATTCTCTATTTTTTGTTGGAAGTTTTAAGCTCCTGAAGAACATATGTTCCTGATTATCCGGTCCGCAGGATGGGAAAAATAGAAATTTTGTTTCTCCTCCTTTTTTCTCTGGAATTTTCGGATTTCCTGCGCCAATCCAGAAATTGCAATTATCGGCAGGGTATCGGCCTATTAAGCTTTCGCCTGCGTTCCATCGGACTCTCTGCGACGCCTTGGGCGATGGGCCGAAACGCGCAAAAATCCCAGAAGCACGTCTCCGGGGACCAATGAAGACAATTTCCGCTGCTCCCCCCTCTTAACCGAGCGCCGGTTCCTCCGCCCCTCAAACGTTTTTGCCGTCTGAAGCTTTTCATTAACGCTGCCCACGTCGTTATTGCCGTATTGGGAACAATTTGTTCCCTTCTTGATGCTTCTATTTTGAAGAAGTGAATGAATTGCGTTCCCCCGAACTTTGCACTCATAACAGTCCCATGTTCAGAGTGGCTTCCAACACTCTGCCTAACATTTTTGAAAAAAATTTGATAGAACATAAATTGGGAAAAATTAACGCAAAAGGTTTCTTTTTAAAAAAACTTTCTAGATTTAATTTTTCTAATACCATTTAAAAAAATCCAACAGGTTTGTAAAATTTAAGCGAAGGTAAACCTAGAATTTCCAAAAATTAGTTCTCAATTAAAAATTTTCTTCAAAAAACCAGAAAGTTGAAACTTCATATTCCTTTTTTTCCGATTTTGAGTCCATCGTTCTTGAAAAGGATGAAGCTTCATTTTTTTCCCTCTCTCAAACGCTCGACTCGTCCATCTCCTATACCCGATTGTTCCTGCCAAAACGCAACTTGTGGGTACCCACATATCCTGGCCTTCCCCTTGGGGGCGACGTTTTCTGGACGTGTGTTCGATTCCGGAGTTTCTTGCGCCACTGATTGCTGCTGGCCCCCCGGCCGAAACCTCGTTTTCGGTTGGCGGACCTTGGCCTAATCCTCACGCGATGTTATTACTCCACATAAAAAACGCTTATCCGACATCTGTCTTTCCTTTTTTCCCGTTGCTCTTTGTCTTTTGAAATTCGAGATTTCGTAGTTCAACAGTCTCCATGGTACCGGCTTCTTCTCAATTTCTTGAAGTTTCATTAAAAATAACGTTTTTCTTTTCATCTTTATTGAAAATGAAGCAGTCTTAAGTTTTTGGAATGGTGTACCCGAGTTGAATCAACAAGAAAAGCTTCATACAACTTTTTTTGAATCTTGAATTTTACTTACCAGGGAACTCACAGAAAGAAAATTTCTCGCAATAGATCTTTTTCCGAGTTATTCGTGTGCAAAATACGCAAATTAGGCCAAAAGCGCTATTCCAGGCTTTTGAAGTCTCCTAACTCGAAAACGAGATCTATTACGAGAAATTTTCTTCCTTTTCTGGGATCGGGGGGTCCTAAACTACACTTCAGCAAAGTTTTATCAAAAGTTCATCTGGAGGATAAAAGATGTTCTCTAGTCAACGAAAAAGTCAAAGATGTTGAAACCTGTCCATTTTCGTCTTCTCAATAACGTCCCCAACCTAATTACCCCCCTTAATAACCTGAGCAAGTGCCCATGAGACCAAGAAGAAGCCCTTTGTTTTGCGAGTTCCCCCATCGCCATTGTCCTCAGCACTTTGTCCATTCATCCTTTTTTCTCCCTTCTACTCAAAAACAATAGATTTCGATTCAGTTAACAAAAAAAGAGAGTGATGAACTGAGAAAATATGGTGGCGGCGAGTCTACTGCACTCGGAAGAGTCGGACGACGACGTCCCAGACCTCGACCTGCCTGGTTCGACCCGTCGTCGGCAGTTCTTCAACAAGTTTGTTGTTGTTTCTCGCTTTCTGAGATATTCTACAAGTTGAGATCATCCTCCTCGGCTCGCTCGGTCCAAGACTTGCTCAGCGAGCGTCGGCGACCGAACTGCGTCAAAATGGCGGCGTTTCTCGCTTTGGCAGTCGCCATTTGTCTCGTCTACACCGTCTACAAGACTTATGGCGAGCTCGACCTTCTCCGACGTCAACTCCGAGGTTTTGTCGTCAATATTTATTGCTTAACTGCTCTTTGAAAAAATACATAATATTGGGAGTTGAATTTTGGCTCTATTTTGACTCTAGGTCGTAGAATGATGCTCCGAGATCTTCATGAAAACTAGAATTTGAAGCTGATTTTTCTGCGAACTTTGATTTTTCAGAAGTCTCAATGAAAAGGAGAACTTATAGTTCATTCTGACTAGCTTGCAGAAGCTCAAGCTGAAGCTTCGGGTTGGAAGAAGCTGGAGCAGGAGGTTCGGCGCGTGACGATGCAGTTTGATTTGGTGCGCGAGGCGGCGAACGAGACGACGAGGCCGGTCACCGACTACGTCTACGATCGTCTCGCTAACCTTTCCGCGGCTGTAGACGTCGCTGTTCATGATCTCCGCAAAGTCAGTGTCACCTTTGATTTAACGTGGGAAAGTTGAGAACTCAATCAATCCAGGAGGAGAGTTCGACTTTAAAAAGGCTATAATACCAGTTTGAGCTTCAGGGAGATAGTCATAAAATAATAAATTTATTTTTTAACCGGTGGAGGTAGTGATGACTTCAATCAGAACGACATGGTAGGAAAGCTGACGGCTTTCAAAAATTGTCTGCCTTTATCAACTTCTAAATGTTTTGATAATCTTCGAAGAATCGAAATCTGATTCTTAAACAAATCCTGGGAAGTTGTTCAATCAGAAGAAGCTTGGAAGGTGTATGGAAGCTAGAAGGTCTTGAGAAAGCCTTTGGAAGAAGTTCGGAAGGTACTTGGAAGGTGAAAATTGAAAATGCCTGCTGGAAAGCTTCTGAAAGGCTTCTGGCAGGCTTTTTTTCTATGTGCGTTCGACGATTTGCTGGAAAGCTTCCAAACGCATTCCCACGAACCGAAAGTAGAAGCTTCCAACTTTTACCTGAGTTAAAAGTCTACCGACAAAAACCTCTAATTTTCTAGTCTAATAGTACCAATACCCAATGAACTTTGGAAACATTCGGAAAATCTCAGCGCTGAGCTATCCCATATAAACTTTTCATGTGCGTCTCAAGAGAATCTTCCCTGAAATATGGGCATGGGAAAAAATAGATGGACCCATTGAAACATACGGCCGTCTTTTTTCGCATCATACGCGCTATTTGGCAAAGAAGTTCTTCGGACTTCGGAAAGCGAGTTTATAGAAACGAGTGGCTGAAAATAGCCAATTGGTCTTTTCACCAAATTTTTTGTTTTGCGACAGAAGTTTCGGTCATTTAAAAAGCAAAATAAAAGAGAAGTTGCTCTCGTAGGATTAGAGATCAAGATTGTGCCAAACAGTCGCTACTAAAACAAAATTTTCCACTTCTCTTCAAAGCCGCGGACTCATCCGCATCGAAGCTTAATCGCAAAAAACAAAGCTTTTCTTCAGCGCGATAATTAAATGCGGACGAGCTGCCGACGGATTGAAGTACGACGGAGCATAATTAGCATATCCTGCAGCGAAATCTCGAGTGGTGTACATAATTAAAGTCTTTTCGAGCAGAAGGAATCTTTAAGAATTGAGTTAGCGAAGGCAAAAAAGCACGTCAAACAGCGTAAAGCCCTTGAAAATCTTGTTTTGACTCCGAAACCAGCATCTTTTGCGGGGAGATTCTGCCTTCCGAGTAAACACTAAAGATGTGCTAAAACTACTCAAGTGGTCACTGAGAGGCTTAGAGCAGTCCGGAACACTTTTTCCGTATAAATTCTAAAACTTTAGACCACCGGCGCCGTCGACGACGTGATGCATCGGATGTCGCGAGTGGAGTCAAAGTGTCTGGCCGTTTGCCAAGACGCCGGCGGCGAGGCCTCCAGAAGCAGTCGGGAGCAGCCTCGACGTCGTCAGGCCGAAAAGAAGACGTCGCGTGTGGCCGTCGGCGACGACGTCGTTTTCAAACGCAACGAGCCGTGACCTCGTTTTTTGCGGCTAACGATGCTTGTTAGCTCTTTTTTCGAATATTTCCTAGCGCTCGAAATCATTTTCCTACGTTTTCGAAAACGGAAAATGTTTGAATCATAACTCTGAACGGACCAGTACGGTCACTTTAACCAAAAGTTGTGAACTTTCTAGTTTCGAAAAGGTTGAACTTTTCCTGTTTTTTAAACTATCACTTACCGAAGTCTCATTATTTTCCTTCCACTGAAAATTTACCTGAAAAGCGCCTAAGTTTCCAGATAAGTTCTGAAGTTTCCTAAAAGGTCAGCGAGATAAGAAATGGATTTTTAGACCTTCACAAAACTTCTCGGAGCTCGGCGACGCGAATCGGACGTGTCGGGGCTTTTTTAGTGACCACTTTAGTAGCTTCAGCACTCTTAAGTGATCCCTAAAACTGCTCATAAACGTCCGGAGCGCGTCCGGTTTTCGTAACCGAGGTTCGAGTTCTCATTTAGTTTCAAAAAAGAAAAATGAAAATTTTCACAACTATTTTGCAACTTTGCGCCGCGCTATCACGGGTTCTTTTTTTCTGATTCATGAAACCGCAATCATTGATTTTTTGATAAATAAAATCTTTATTAAATTTCCTCTTTTTTTGGCAAACGACATATTTACACATATTTTTGAGCAAAAGAAACTCCTTTTTTCAATCTCCATAATTGGAAAGTGTTACACTGACTGTGAGCAAATTATGTACAAAAATAAAATATCGCCAAAAATCAATGAATTTGCTTGAAGCTGATATTCTCGCCACTTTCGTTCTGGAATCGCACGCGATGGTACACCGTAACAGATCTAATCCAGGCCTGAAAAAGGGATTTTTTGAAATTATCAAAATACAGAAGAAGGCTTTGAAGAAGATGAATTTCAAAAAAGATCACTCAAAAAAAAAATCACCTGTTCATTTCCCCATTTGACTTTATAGACGCCTCCTCCCGGTACACGAATTCGCAGATAATCCACCGTCGGCATGCCTATAATAATATTTTGTGAAAAACTTCAACAGGTAAGCACCTGGGTAGTCAAAGTCTGGACAAAAGTCGCGCAAGTCTGCTAGAGGCAATTTGTCGGCGTCCTTCTCAGCGCTGTACCAAATGCCCATTCCGTAGGTCCTCTCGCAAAATCTGAATAAGTTCATGAATTTGATTCAAGAACGTGAGAAGGAGCTTTAGAAAAAAATGTATCAAAGAAAAGTTGCTAACCATAAGTTATCAGAAAAAGCATGTGACTCAAGTTTTAGAGCTGAATTCTCATATTTAAAAAAAAGGTTTATGGAAGAAAATAAACCAACTTTTACTCGGCTTTCTGGAATTTCGCTTGAAAAAAATCTTCTAGTAACTGCGAATCGAACCCATATAGTCGATATCTGCGTAAACTTTCCGTTTTCCAACCCTATAGGGGTCGCCAAGGCTCGCAAAAGTGGTCCCTATAGGGGTTTTAGTTAGTGGCCCCTATAAGGGACATGCTAGTCGATAATTTTTATGAACTCTATGCGAAGAAGAATTTCCATGCGAAAACTAGATAAATAAACGTTTTTTTAAATAAAAAAATTGAAACACCCCTATAGGGACCACTCAAGCTTTAGGGGCTAAGGGGTCAGACCATAAACCCTATAGGGACCACCTTGATTTTACCCATACAGGGACCACTTTTTCGGCCCCTAAAGGGGCTTTTTTTTCTCCAACCCCTATAGGGATAAGTCTGAAATTCCTAATTGAATATTCCAAAACTTTCATATCGACTATATGGGTTCGTTTCCCGGTCCATCGGAGATTGTTTGAGCAAATTAACAGAAAATTCCAGTAGGCGAGGTAAAGGAACTGTGAAAAAACGGACCTGTTGATGATGATGTACATGGGCTGCTGTTGTTCTGGGACAATGTAGGTGAAGATGGCGGCCTTTCCGGCCGGGATGTTGGAGCAGGTCAGTTCGGAGCAGGCCGGCGTCTCCTCGTTCGGTGTCCAGTAGAGCTGGCGCGGGATTTGCTCGGTGGGGATGTTGAGACGGTCTCTATAAATCGAATGGATGATTATAGTCTGTTCCGATTTCAAATTTCAAGTCCTCGCTGAAGCTCCGCCCCCTAATGGCGCGATAAACCAATCAGAGAGCGAGCCATCCACAGAGCGTTTTCGAATGACGTCATTCTACTTGACATTCAAAATCTGAACAGACTATAGAAGATAGTTAAGCACGAACCTGCACATTGGGTCACCATTTTTATCGACGAGATTTCCGCCCCAGTGCTTCGGAATGTAGTCAGGGTCGGCGTACTGAAATTCAGAAATGTTAAAATATTTATAATATTGACTTCAGGCTTACGATTCTTACGAGGGGGAACAGCCTCTATAGGGACCGAAAAAGTGGTCCTATTAGGGGTAAAATCAAGATGGTCCCTCTAGGCGTTTAGGGTCTGACCCCTTAGCCCCTAAGGCTTAAGTGGCCCCTATAGGGGTCGTTTAATTTTATTCAAAAAGGCTATTTTTCAGTTTTTGGCATGGAAAAGCTTCTTGGTATAGAGATCATGAAATTAATCGACAAACGTGTTCCCTATAGGGGCCACTGACAAAAAACCCTTTAGTGGCCCCTATAGGGGTTGGTAAAATGGTCCCGAGAGGGAACCTCGAATTCTAGTTTTCCTCAATAGCCTAACGAAAAAAAAGTATAAAATTCAAATGAAGATTGAAATTATACAAATTGATAGAAAAATCATTTTCCAGCTTCTCCTTTCAGGTTTAAGTTCTCCATGATTTCTATGATGTTCATTATAACATTCCTATACACATTGAAGAACTTTAAACATGAAAAATTGAATAATAGAAGCCTAGAAGGTAAAAAAAAAATGTCCAAAACATTTCTTTCAGCTTTTCCTTCTCTACAAGGGAAAAGTCGGAATGGTGGATAATGGCCGCTAAAAAAGGCAGCAAAAAGAGTCCGTTCATCGAGCCTTCCGTTTTTTGTGTGATTTCAAAGGGAAAAAGGGAGATGCAAAAAAAAATGGTTCATGAGAACCGATGTAATGACGCAAAATGGCAGCAAAAAAGGATCCTTTATCACCCTGAAAGGGACCTTTCTATGAAGCCTTTCCCACCCTTTCCACCCTTTCCGACTTCATTGGATATGTACCTTGTGAATGAGCTGCTTCCAGTCGCTGTTGGCCGTGCAGATGCGGACCTTGTTCCTCGTCCGTTCCGGCAACAGGGGTCCGATCGCCTTCCAGATGATGGTCATGAACGAAGGCGCGTTGATGATGAACATTTGCGAGATCCATTCCGGGTAGTTGGTGTACACGGACGCCCACAGGATTCGATATGGGCCTTTAATCATTTTATAAATCCTTTTTCGTATTTGTTCGGTCGGCTGTGGCGCGAAAATCGATGAGAAGCGTAAATTTAAAGAAACGACTCTTAATACAACGAACTTCAAAAAATTTCCCAAGATCTGAATTTTTCAAACGCATGAAAATTTCCCTTCCTCTTTCAAAAACAGAGGTGTATTTTTCGCAGTAGATCTGATCTGCATAGTTTCTTTTCGAAAACTGCTCTCTGATCGGTTAATTCGGTGACCAAAAAGGCAAATGGGGCTGTTTACCTGTGACGATGTTCAGGAGGGCCGAATCGAATTTGAGTCCCTCGAGGTCGAGGATGTAGATCACAGAGGACTGCAAAACAAAGGTTACCACTTTTTGTTCAGTTTGAAAAAAAATCAAGGAAAATAACGCGGTTTTTTCGACAGGTAAGACATTTAGTTTTTCAAAGTCGCATATTCCATTCGCTCGCTCTATATTGAAAGTTTTGTCGCTGATCAAATGACTCAAATAGATTACTAGAAGAATTTGGTAGCTTCTTTCAATGACTTTCGATGCATTCGTGCGTAAGTAACTTTAGGTCGGATACGTCATGAGAAAATGAAAGAAGCATCACATATCGAGTTATTTTTTAGCGCGATTATGAGCTTTCAATTCAGAACGAATTTACTTGTCCAACTCAAAAATATGCCCATATATTTGTGAGATTCATGTAAAAGCTTCATTTAGAAACGAATTGGAAAAATAGATTTAGAGAAAATAATTTTGTATTCTATAAAAACTGAAGCGCAATAGCTCCTGGTCTTGAAAATCGACGGTTTAGAAGGCGACCCATCCCTTACCAATATACAAAAGCCTTCAAAATTCTAAACTAGGGCAACGCGAGAAAGACGTGTTCCGGACGTTTCTGAGCATTCTAGGGATCACTTAAGAGTGCTGACGCTACTGAAGGGGTCACTAGAAATGCCCCGACACGTCCGATTCGCGTTGCCAATGTCCGAGTGAAGGAGTCAAACATCATTTTGTTTTTGATATGAGAATTTTGGTTTTAACAGTACCAATAATTGGTATTTTCTGAGATTCTGGGACTAATTTTTGCGATTGCTTCTATTTATGAAATGCTCGAGTCGTAGTAATTTTTTCCTAATTTCCGTTCTTGGACGTCTTCCAATCTGGAGCAATAGTTAGCAATAGTTACCTATGACTTTTTTTTAAGCTTCAAGAAGCAGAGTTTTAAAAATGCTTATGAAAATGTTAGGAATTTCCCTTTTTTTTTTCAAAATACCTGCTTGCCATTCCTCGCCTCAAGTTCGTTCATCGTCGACAGCATTTTCTCTTGAAACTTGTACCTAAACACTCAATCAATATTGGACCTGAATTTTTCGAAAAAAGAACCTCTGGATAAGAAAATCGGATAAGTGAACAGATTTCAGAATGCCCATCAAGTCTATCCGGCCGGCACATTCGATGACCAAAAGCTGATTGTTTCGGCCGGTTTCCCCTGCAGTTTGCCCCTTTTTTGAGAATATGAATAAAAGTTTCTTATTTTTTCTCTGTGAATAGTTAGAAACAACAAAAAGTTCCCTGGTGTCTTCAGATGACGTTTTGGGGGTCACTCTGATCATAAACACTTTTTTGGACTTTTCGAAAGAAAATAGAAGGAACACCAAAAATTCCGACCGAAACCAGTCGTCATTTTGAGTTATTACTCAAAAATGTATCATTTTAGAAAGAACCGGTTTTGCGGAAGGCAGGGTCCTGGGCCAAAAAAGAAAACTGGTAAAATTCTGATGTTTTGATGAATGTTATTCCTTTGATGTTGCGATGGTATCGAAAAATCAGATTTTTTACGTGTGAAGAAAAAAAAAGTTTCACAAAGAAAGGTTTCGAATTGAGATTTTAGTAAAAACTTAGGAATGCCAGAGTGGTCCCTTTAGGGGTTAGGAGGAAAAAGCAACCCCTATAGGAGTAAAAGGAAGGCGGGCCTTATAAAGTTATAGGGTCTGACCCCATAGCCCCTAAAGCTCAAGTGGACCCTATAGGGGTCTTTCAATTTCATTCAAAAAACGCATATTTATTCAGTTTTTCCCATGGAAATGCTTCTTAGCTTAGAGTTGATAACAATTATCGACTAGCATGTCCGCTAGAGGGGCCACTAACTGAAACCCCAACAGGGGCCACTTTTGCAATTTTTAGTGGCCCTATAGGGGTTTGTGAAATGCTAAACAATTTCCCAGTAATTTTGAACTTTGTGGAGATTATTTTGAAAACAGAATGTGGCCTTTCAGAAGATTTCAAAGTGATCATCACTAACCAACAAGGCCAATCGGGAAGTACTCCTTCAAGATGGCGTGCTCTTCGATGTTGGCGGCGTCGTCGAGGTCGTAGTAACGTCGGAACTTCAGATGACGTCGCAACTCGGCCAGCGCTTCTTCCTTGTCGTATCCGTATCCCTGGGAGTCCAAAATTATCGAAATAATGATCATAAAATCACTTGAGCCCATCGAAGCAAGTTAAAGTCCGTATCGTACTTTGGGGTCATCAAGTCTTTGGTCTGGAAACTGAGGAATTTAAAAAAGAAAGAAAAACAAATTATCACCTCCGCTCGAAGAAAGTCGATGATTTCGACGTCTTCAGCATTCAAAGCCATGTCTAAAATGTTATTAATCAAAGAAAAGAATATGAGCCGCACAAGAGATCGAAGAACAGATGGAATGACGGGAAAGGATCAGAGGAGCTCATCGAAACACTCGGTTTGGTGATCTTCGACGCTGCTCGGCAAGGTCACCGAGTCAAACTGGCGGAGCACACCTACTGTAGCTCAACGAAACACCCTTTTTGGTGATCTCTGTTCTAAGTACTTCTAGTGTACAGAGAAATTTTTTGGATCTCTAATTTTTGGATTTCGCTTGCCTCACAATGTCACTTCTGAACGAGGCAAGAACAATGATTCTCGAGCTTCAAATATAATTTTTCATGCTTTGAACTCGAAAACTCCCTTGCAGGAATTCAAGGAACACCCCGGACGCTCAAAATAGAAAATAAATTTTTTTAGAAATTCCTGCGGTGATTCTCATGATTCCAGTCCCACTCGGAAGTAATTTTATTTTTTCTCGTATTAAATTTATCAAATTCAAACCATTCTTTCTGATCTGAAAGTTCTTGTGAACAAACTACGAATGAATTTTGAAATCAGAAACAAAAAAAAAACGAAATGGACCCTCTACCAGTTACTACATTCTCACTGTTTCAATGATTCTTCTTTCTAAAACTCTGAAAAAACCGTGATCAAATTGGAAGTTTGAACTAACTAAAGTCGAAGAAACTTGTCGATAAATGGACTCCAAGTAACTTTGAAAAGTGAAAATGTGGAAATGGATCAAAAAAATCACGAAATAGAAAGGAAAAAGGGAAAGATTTGCAATGCCGTTGTGGATGGTGCCAAGTATTATGGCCCATAATTTATGGGGAGGAGAACGAGATTCGACCAACAGATAGTCCCAGAATGGTAGGCCATTCGTATTGTTTTGAAAACAAGTCTGGCCGGTCACATGAGCCCGGCTTTTCCATCTGGGTCAACCCGAATGAACCAGTTTCGCGAGCTTCTATTGGGAGAATGGGATTATCATATATCAAATGGAAAAGCCGAGAATAAAAGAATGGGGCGCTGATATCGGAACGGAACAAGAAGAAATGGAGAAGAAGACGTGCGAAAGTGACCCACATACGACCGTCCGGTTAACAGTTAACGCATCAGCAGATGCAACAGCAACGCGGAGAGAAACCTTGAAAAATCACTGGGCGGAGCTGGAAATAACGGATGAGATTCCGGGTTCAAGGACGGAAATGAGATCGTGACAGGTCGTGCTTTTCGCTTCAAACTTCCGAGTTGGACCCTAGTACATCTGATCAAAGAACAGCTTATCGATTAGACTATTTTCTTTCCAAATTTTGAACTTTAATTATTTTTTTAATGCTTCATTGTGCATACTCAGGTAAAATTTCCGGAAAGCGTTTGAAAGCTGCCCAGAAAGTGGTCAAACGTCTTCCACATACCTTTCCAAAACCTTCTACTTAGAAAAAAGCCTACCGGAAGCATTCCAAAAGCTTTCCAGCAGGCATTTTCCATTTTTACCTTTCAAAGACCTTCCAACTGCCTTCCGAACACCTCCCCAAGGCCTTCTCTAGAACTTCTAGCTTCCATTCACCCTTCTACCTCCTGCTGGTTACCTTCCTAACACTACCAGGATTCGCCTAAATATCCCCTCATTCTTTTTTTTTTGTAATTTTCTAAACATCTTAAGAAGACTTTCGCAAAAATACTCTCTAGAAATGTTGGACCTTTCCTTCCGAAGTTTTCTCGAAGAGTTTATCACTTCTCTAATTCAAAAGCTACAGAGGCCTCTTTGAACTTTCAGAATACACTAGTAAAGAACTGAAAAATAAGGCGCAAACCTACGGGAAACTAAATATTGATTTTTTTGCTGTATATTAAAAAAATTTTCCTGAATAACAGATGAGATTTTGGGTTCAAGGACGGCAAGGGGATTGTCCAAAAATATAAAATGAAGAAAGACAAAGTTTAGGACGAAAATCGCAAGAAATTTTTAAAAACTGGTCGAACGCTTCCCGATCTACCCTCTAACTATGATGAAACAACAAAAATCTAAATCTCCATTCAGAAAATTCTCTCTAACTACTCTTTTCTTCGTTTCTTCCTACTAAATTCCACAACCTTACCTCTGAAATCTGAAGAAAAGCCTTTAACTCATACCTAAGACTCACTAAACACCAATAATTTCTTAATATTTCGATCTTTCAAGCCAGCTTGCTAGGAAGTTTCAAGATTCCTGAAAACCGGTGAAATAGAGAGATGAACTGAGACGTCTAAAATCTCAAAAACTGTTCTAGTTTGATAAATCTGACCAAAAAGGAAAAAAAAGCGGCAAATCAGTAATCGAGGTTGAGAGGAAGACCGCCGCGAGCCGGCGGCAACAAATGGAACATAGTTGCCGTTTTCTGAAAACAGGTCTCGCTGTCCTTCTGGGCGGAACTTGGCCCATTCCAAATAAACGATGACGTCGTTCCGCAACTTCCACCGACGGGTTAAGGTAAAGCGTTCATTTGATACAATATCTCTGAAGAAAACAAAACAAAACAAATAATAATAATAACAACCGGCCTAAATTATGATTCTATGAAAATTGGAACATATCTAAAATGAATTGCGGTGACGGCGGAAGATGCTAGAAAATCCACCAAGTTTTCTTTCGTCCTTTGTTGAGGTCCTTCTCGAGGTCACGAAGGTACTGTTGGGCGTAACTTTGTACTCGCGGATCGGCGCTTCGGCTCAAAGTAACCGCCTTTTTGGCGAAATCTAGAGCTTCTTCCTGTAAGTATGATACTTCAAAGAAGCGCTACCCACTTTTCTATACTTTTTGAAAGTCTTTAAAACTTTTTTATTTGTAACATGCGTAAGAAAAATCTTATATCATGATGAATGTGATTCCGTGAATAGCAACATAGCCGTCAGAGAATGGAAAAGATGACTAAATTTAGGAGAGTCAAAAATAATTTTGAAATTTGTTGGCTTCAGATTTCAGAAAAAAGCCACTTGTTTTGTATATTTTTTTCGAAGAGTTTCCAATCCCTTTTTGCACGTTCCGCTCAAATTTTTTTGTTAAATTATTCCCCATTAAAAAAACAAGGAAGTAAACAATAAGAAACCATGAATGAACAGTGAGATAAACGCCAAAAAAATGGGCTTGTTTATTCTTTATTTTTATTTTTTTAAGTCAACCGTAAGTACAGTATATCGCCTGATGAAACCTATTTGTGGACAACAAAAATATTTTCTTTTACGGGGATGATTTTTGATAAGGAAAAGCAATTTTCATCTCTTTCTAAAACGAAGAAATCCTTATTTTCTTGTCAGATCTAGGCAGTAGAACTCTAGAACTTAGAAATTAGCTGCTAATAGCAATAAATTAGTAAGAAAAAGCCCTGTGAGGTATTTTTGGATTTGAAAGGCTTCCAAAAAAGGACCTATCGTTTTAAAGAATCTTTCAGTTTCTGAGAATATTTCAAATTTTTTCTTGTTTTTTGGGTCTATTCAAAGAAAAAGGGCTCGGAAAACAGCAGAAAAAGCTTAATACAACCAATTCCGCACCAGATTGCACAATTTTTATTTTCCTGCAAGTTAAAGAGCAGTTCCCTTCGATACACGCAGCCTGTCTTTGTGTATGTGCCTTCAATATAACGGAAAATTTTAGAGCTTTCTCAAACGGTTCTATAGCTCGGAGAGAACTAAAAACCGCTGGTGCGAATCGGGCTGGAAAAAATTATTTTTTCGAAGCGATTTACATTATATTAAAGGCGCATACACAGAGTGCCTATCAAAATTAGAATTAAAAGTTAAACCCTTCGATCATTGTGATAAAGAGCCTCGGCGTAGTTGCAGTAGTACCCGGGAAGCATGTGGGCGCACTCGTTGACGTACAATATCCGATCGATGCCGATCGCCAAGTACTTCAACGCCAGTTTGAATCTACACATTTATTCGAATGACCAATCACGTTCTAGATAGAAAACCTATGTTTCAAAATCAAGGCAGCGCCGAAATTGTTCAACAACGTAACCGTGTGCGGAGAGCTCGTCCCGTAAATCTGATACGAAATCTGAACAAGTCAGAAGTCTGTCCGGTCGATGATTCGATGGTGAAGTTGGATCACCGCCTGGCTTGGGCCATTATTGGGAGAAAAATGGGAAGTTTTGGAATGGAACATGTCCCAAACCACCGGTGAAACAACTATAAACTACAGAACTCGTAAAACCTTTAAAACTTCGTCCATGTATTCTTCTGCCTCTGGTAGACGGTCCTCTTCAAAGTTATCTACCTGAAAATTTCAGTTCTTTGCCACAATTTCGCTCTATGAATAAGGAAACTTTTCATTTAGCAAACTCTCGGACATTGGTAACCCGAAACGGACGTTTCTAGTGACCACTTTAGGAGTGTCAGAACCCTTAAGTGATCTCTAGAATCACATAGGAATGTCCGGAGCACGTCCGTTTTGCGTTACCGCTTACCGAGCTCGGAAGTGCTCCGGAGAATTTTAAGTAATCACTTAAGAGCGCAAAAGTCGCTGAAGGGATCACTAGAAATGCGCAGAAACGTCTGTGGGAAAACGGTATGCGTCTGGTTCCCGAAGACCGAAATAATACTTTTTCAAATCCTCAGAAACTCTAGAGTGGTCACTATAGGGGCAACCGTACGGACCATTGAAAGTTCCCCTTTAGGGACCACTTTACCCCTCGAAGATCATTTACCATTAAATGAAAACATTCTGACCTGTCTGCACTCTCTTCTGTCCTACCGAAAAGATCATATAGACAAGATATTTGAGAGAAGAGAGGGCACAGAGAAGTCAGAAAATTCCAAATTTTGGCAAAGTGGGTATAATAAAATGGGAATGTTCCATGAAAATTAGCGGAGCAAAGATTTTCTGATCTTTTTCAGAATTGGAGATAGACTAACAATGAAATGAGCATACGCCTCGAGAGCCATTCCAAACAAGGCGATCGGATCCGTGAAAATGGGTCCGTGAGTGTCTACCGTATGCCGATCTTCGACCAGGGCTCCGTGAGCCACGCTGAACTTTTTCATGTGCTCTTCCATCACCTGGAAACCATTTTTGTTCAAAATTCAGTAAAATCAATCTGAGTAGGGAATGTCCTCAGCTTACAGTGGGTGAATGAGACTAGGTTCGCTAGATGTATTTTTCACGCTGATTCCGAATCTGTGCTCAATAGTTGCCGTCGAGGCCTGTGACAGAAGTTATGGGCTGTCGAAGTCGTCAAGTTTCCGGAGTTAAAAAAAAAGATAATTTTTCTTGACCACAGGGACAAGGACTTGCTACCTTCCAAAAAGGAGTTCAATCGGAGACATCAAATTTTTTCGGCTTTAACAGTCCCCAACTTTTCTCACAGGCGTCGAGGGCAACTATTGAGCACAGAATCGGAATCAGCGTAAGAAATTACATCTAGTGAACTCATTCAGAAGTCCCACTGTGAGCTGAGAACATTCCCTAGTGAGTAGTTTTTGAACCTAGAACTTCAGTTCGAGGTATTTTGCAATTTCGACGTATGCAGCTGTGAAAAAGTTACGTTATTCCGATGTTTCAAGCTAGTTTATCCGTTTTTTTTGGATTTAAAGAAATTAACACTATTGCTAGTGAACCAAAATATTCACTGCGGCAAAAGTTGGATGTACAATGCGCCTTTTCGCGACCGCGGGCGTCCCAAAACTTCTCAAAATGACATTTTCCAATTTTTACCTGCATCTGCTTCCGTACGCAGTGTTTGAAGCCGCTCTCGGCGCTTTCCAAATCTCCTTTCCTAGCCAAAATGTCGGCCAGTTTTAAAGAAACTCCAATAAACTCTGGATCAAAATCTTTCTTCCCGTGAAGCTGGACCAGTCTGAAAAGTTCTGATCTTACTAGGGAACCTTCTGAACTCAAAACATATCTTCTGGATGAGACTAGAATCAATGATTAAACTTTCATAAGCTATAAGAAATCTTTGAAAGAAGCTAGAGCCGTTAAAAGTTAAAACATTTCAAAAGATTTCTGAATGAGACTAGGACTTTTGGATGAAAAAAAAACCTCTGAATAACAATTCGAAAATACTTGTCGGCCTCTTCAAAATCCCCCATCTCGTAGAAGGTGTTCGCCATTTCGTCATAAACCCTGCAAGAAAGGGCTATCTTGCTTGGAGTCGTCGCGCGGAACCTCGTTATGGGAAACGGCTCTTTGCGTTGTTCGGCCTCTTCGAGCGCAATCTGCAGCACTTGTGTCGCCTCGTTGTATTGTCCACGCTTTCGGTAGAGCCACGACTGCAAAAAATCCTATTTCCGTTATACAGATGCTTTCGAGATCCACCGAGAACCTAAATGTCTATAAATCTTCCAAGAAGCTACATTGCTCCTTTTTCAAAACTTTACTCTAGTATTTTATCGACCTTTTTTATAGCATTGTCTTCCTGAAATTCAAAGATCAGCCATTTTTGAATGCTGCAGAAAAGCTTATGGGCAAAATGTTTAGTGGCCACTTTAGGGTTTCGACGTTTTAGTGAGTGGTCGAACTAGTGGCCACTTAAGTGGCTGGAAACTATTAGCCTCTTTAGAAGTCTAAGAGGTACTACTAGGCTACTCAAACTACTAAAATGGTCACTAAGACGCAGAATAAGAGCTTCTATAGAGATGGTTTTAGTGGCCATTTTAGAGTCCTCTCCAAATAGTTCTTGAGGACCCACTTGAGTCGCCACTAGAATTTTTCTCAGTAGTATAGATTATTTTAATCACTTGGACCATCCTGGCCTAGACCAGAGGCCAGTGAGGCAACAGACAGAAATTCTTGAAGCCCATTGAAACCCATTAAAAATGGCAAAATATTACAGATCTGACGGATCGCTCTTAATCAAATAATTCTGCCGAGAGAAAATTCTAACGGTTTTGGGAAAAGACAGAGAGAACCGAATTGGAAATATCTTCTCCACAAGGCATTGAAAATTAGAAAAAAATTGTCATTTTCTGGTCCCAATAATTAGAACATGCCTGTTTGACTTTCTCCTTCAAGGGATCTGCATCGAGTTGGATTTTTTCGATGCCGAGGACGTCTTTGATAGTTACCATCCATGATAATGCCAGCATCTGCGCTCCCATCACACCCTGCCACCGCCTGAATTCCAATAAAACTTTTCAAACTTGGAACTTTCTAGACCAATTTCTCTCGCGCCCATTCCGTCTGTGGTTTCGATGGCTGTCTCGTAACCGCGTAAAAATCATTTCGTTCTGTTGTTGGCTGCTGCAGCTCTGCGTGCAGAAGAGGAACTTGGAGGAGGACGCCGTCGCCAGCGTCTTTCGACACGAAAAACGCACCAACGAAGGCAGCATACTGTGGAAACGCTGAACTCGTTATTTTTGGATTCTTTATCTCGCCTTTTGCACTTTATTTTTTTTTGCCGTGTATAGCTGATTCACGGCTGGCTTGGGCCATCAAAAAAAGGGTCTTGGCACGATAATGCACGAGATAGCGCGAGGAGAGCGCAGACAGGCCACCCCCTCTTAGCGTCCCAAGCTATAGCTGATTCACGGCGAGCTTGGGACGTTAAGGGGGCGTGTACTGTCTGCCCTCTCCACGAGCCAGGCGCTGTCTTGTGCATTATCGTGTCAGGACCATTTTTTCGATGGCTCAAGCCAGCCGTTAATCAGCTATATCAAAATATTGAAAAAGTGGAATATTCTTTCACTCAAAAATATCTGGCAAAAAAAATTCTTCAAAAGTTAAATAATGTACATTAATGTGTAAACCTTCTACATGATTTTCGAAGACAGTGACTATTTCGAAACAAAAAAATTTATGTTCAGCATTATTTTCTTATGTCGATAGGAACACCGAGTTACGGTAATTTTGATTCGAAAAACCAGATAAAAAATAAATCAAGTTTTATTACGCAATTAAAAAAAATCAATCAAATCAAATCACGAATTGAAGAAAAGAAAACCGGTGGAGAAACAGAAATGGAACAGAAAATGTGTATTTACAAGAAAAAGTAAACTGTGTAAATTGGGATCCTAATAAAATGTACTGTAGTGAATAGTTCGATCATAACGGCTTATTCGTATTTTTGAAGGCTTTGTGAAATAAAAGACTCCTTCAAAAACCACCAAAAGCTGTTCTGATTCATTTATGCAAGCTCTGGGAGGGAAATAAAATAAAAATCTAGCGTTTGAGAGAATCTAGAGGCTAAAAAATATTATTTTCTCAATAAGATAATTTAATCCATTTTAACTGCGAAACTCGTGCCACAGGAACAGCCTTTCTCGGCGACTGGGTTGTTGACGACGCGAAAGGAGGATTTCATGAGGTCCTCGACAAAGTCAACCGTCGCTCCTTTCATGTACCCCAGCGACATCTATAAAAAAATTAAGTCAAAATTTTTGTTTAGAAATCCTAAAAGGTCATTTGTCTTTTTCCTATTCATAGGCAAAGTCGGAAAGGGTGGTAAAGGCTTCAAAGAAATGTTCCTTTTAAGGTGACAAAAGTTCCTTTTTTGCTGCCCTTTTGTGCCATTTTATCGGCTCTTATACACCATTTTGCTGCCTCTCCCTTTCTCCACCAATCATTGAGCTTTTAGAATCTCAGAAAGAACAGATAGCTCGGTAAAGGGACGCTTATTAATATTTTGTGGCGACCAGAAAAATCCCAAACTATGTCATTTTTATCAACACGTTAATTAATTTATGTATCAACCAAATATCATTTCCCCTACCTAAATACCAAGTTGACTGTAGATGAAACATTTATACCATGATTCGCATAATAAATAATTGTTTTAAAAGTTTTTTTCATAAATTGAAACATCAATTTTTCACTTTTAATGCTGAGATTTCTCGATTTTCGCTATTTTGATACTTTAATGAGCCTCTGCACTCCCTTCATCGAGACGAAAATCGTCAAGTTCATTTCAAACCGATAAGATTTTCAAAAAAGAAGACAATTTTCTACCATACTTTATTTATAAACTTTTGGGACAAGACAGTGGAGGTGTGGCAATCGGCAAATATTATAAATTAGTTATACAGTTAGTATTTTGGCTTTTTGAACGTTTTAAAAAAGAGACCGAAGTTGAGGTGTAGAAAAGATTCCTTAAGAAACTGAAATATTGGAACATTTTTTACCCCTTTTCAGGCTTTTTCGACCGGAATTTCGTGATGGAACATTTTGAAAGTCAATTTTCAGCTATTCTGTAATCCGCACAGTTTTTCTACAAAGCACGTTTTGTTTCAAAATTCAAAGTATAATCAATCAATCCTATAAGCAGCTCAAAATACAATCAAATACGAAAAAGGAAAACCTCGTCAACGACGATCTCCACGTCTTCTGCGCCGTGCCAAAGTCGATCATCGGCGTTGAGTTTCTTGTCCAACCTGATTTTGTACTCGAAGCCTGAGCAGCCGCCACCGTCCACTTCTACTCGCAGCCGTTCTCCGGCCTCGGCAACTTCCTCAAAAATCTCAGTTCAGAGGAATTTTTATGGATTTTTTTTTTAAAAAGACGGGACACTGAACTTTCATTTTCCGCAATGTAATAAATTTCACCGATTAAAGAAAAAATATACAAAAATGGTTATAAAGACTATTTTTATGGAAAGCGTGACCAGTTATAAATTTTTGTAGGTAAGAAAGAGGCTCATTCTCTTCTTTAAAAAAATCATTAAAACGTTAGTTTTTGATCAAATCTTTCTCTAAAAAAATCGTTTTTTTGCTTCAAAAATTCCCAATACTTCACGGAATAAACCTTTAACCGTTTGACAGCCCTCGGCGTCACCTTGAACTCTTCCTCCGTCAGAGGTTTCAGGCTAGATGGAGCTGTGGCGAGGCTTTTGCTGCAGGAAGGGGCCGAAATCCAGTATTTTCGGAACAACGTCATCGGTGTCCTCGCCTGCCGCACAACGAACATCTCTGAGTTTTTTTATTCTTTTATTATTTTTTTTTTTCACAAACTCTTTGAGAACTTATCAGAAAAAGATATTTCAAAGCTGCAACGAATTCGCGAGTTAAATCAGGTTAAGAGAAAATTTATTGAATAACTCCTAGAACGTTGACTAAGAACATAACATGAGATTCCACTGGAAGAAACTTTTTGAGTTTAAAGCACGATCGGGGAAAGCGGCAATGTGACAATTTGTTGAGTGAAAAAAGGTTACAAGAACATTGTATATACATCAAAATATCAAGAAGCAGGAGAAAATAATTGGAAAAGGATATTTTATCGTCTGGAAGAGCCAGGAAGGGCAGTTGGGCTCTGTTGATTGGATCGAACTCGTTGTCGCTCGAATCTTCTGCAAAGAGGGTTTTCATCAGCAGCAGAATTGACTATTGATACTAAAAAAAAATGCATAAAAAGCTTCTAAAAATGGACTTTTGATGTTTTGAAGGCCTAGGACTCTGTTTATGATTTTCGAAAGCTTCTGGATTATTTGAACAACTTTGTTTTGAATTTATTAATTTTCGAACTTTATCGAACGCTTTCTAATAAGTTACAGTTCTCAAAAAAAAAAAGCAAATTTGATTAGTTGAAGAAACCATTATTGAGAAATGGCAACCAAAAAAAGGTATAATAATTTCAAAGAAATTGCAAAACCACAAAATAATAAATACAAAAAAATCGAACCTTTCCATCTCGTCAAGGAGCCGTGGCGTGTACCGAACTACCAATTTCACAGTTCCCTGAGCAGATTTGAGCAAGTCTACAGCCTTTTTCATGACATTCACTCTCCACGTTCTGAAATATGAACGGATTCATTTTTGAAATTTTTTTATTTGAAAAAGTAAAAAAATTACACCCAGAACTAACTGAAAAAAATTTATAAAAAAATATAACCGACGACAGGAAAAAAATCAATCTACTTATTGTAGAATTGCAACAATCCTGCAGAAAAAAACACATTTTTTTAGAAAATAATTTTTTAAAAAAACCGATGATACAATTTATTTTTTTCACCTGCACCTCTCCAATAAAAAAATTTGATTAAAGCCTGTGGAATTAGATAAAAAAAAACAGAAAAAAACGTGTCAAAGTTTTTTTAATTTTTTTGGGCGCTCTAGTTTTTTTACCCGCGGTTTTTCTATCAGTTTTGCCCTCTTGTAGGAGCATAATTCGCGTAATTAGAGCCAAATTGAATCAGACAATGCTGTGTGAAGTTTTTTCAAGAGCCAAAAATTCAAAAACTTTGATCATTGAAAACTTTTTCAGTGTCTCCGGTAGCTCTACCTTTCACGTCATATGACCCAGAATTTTATTCAGAATAAAAATTTCATTCTCTGCAAAAAAAAAAAAACGTGGACCCCGTGGCAAGGTCATTTTCTTGATATCGAAAAAAATACCACGTACAAAAAACTTCCCGTTAAATCGCAAACCGCTACTCCCTGACGTCATCCCTATGACATCATCTTCATTTGCAAAACTTGCGCACGCAGCCATATCATTTTATTCATTTTTTACGTTCCAATTTATAAAATTAGATTCGACGTGAAAACTTTTCCGGTCACATGAGAAACAGAAAGATAACACATTTGAAAATCCCCTTTTGATTGGAAACTTTTTTTTATTCTTCTATTTTCTTACTTTTTTTTAGAAACCTTTTAAAAGTTTGGAATAATCCGAAGCGTCGAGGCCCACGCCTACGCAGTGTGCTCCTTTAATTTTTTTTTCTTTTTTTTTTGGGGAAATACATTTCGCAGATTTTTTCGCTACGCGTATCAAGTTTGCAAATCGTTTAGAGCGACCTGATAGTGTTATTAGTGTCCACTTTTTTTGAAACTAAAAGCCTTTTTATGTCAAGTATTTCATTTATTTGACGAATTTTTTTACTGTGGCTCAGTTTTTTTCGAAGCGAGCCACAGTCGGCTTCGCGCTATGCGCGCTCCGCCTCCGTGTGAAGCCTTAAAACTAAGCCTATTTTCTTAAGTAATGCATGAACCTGTAGGCGCAGTTTTAATGCAAAGGCGCAATTCAGGCTCCTCCCATTCTTCAATTTTTTAATTTTTTCAATCTCAATTTCAATTCATATCAATTTATTCAGTCTTCAGAGTAAGTTGAAGAAAATCTCTGCTGAATCATGGTATAATCGGAGAGTTAGTCGTCGGCGCGGGTGACGGTCCACAATCGTTGTCCAATACGTCCCGGAGTGACAGCTAGCGTTGGGAAATAATGTTGGCCCGTTGGTAGTACCAGCGAATAAACTGCTTCACCATGTTGGAACAGTACAGCGCCCAGCTTGTCCAGGGCTGACGGGCGTCGGAATATTATCCCATGAGAGAGCGGCAAAGAGACCGACCAGTCGACGTGATGAAATGAGATAATAATAATCTGCTGAATCATGTTCACGTGAATAAAATAAATATTTCGATTACGCTTATTTCTTGTGTTACGAATGGTGTCATGAAATGACGTCAGGGAGTAGCGGTTTGCGATTTAACGAAAACTGTACAAAAACAACGTGATAACGTGTCATTTTTTTTGTATGGCCTGGATTCAAATATCATTTCTTCACGAATCGCTTTGCTTCTGCACTTCCACGTCAAAGATGAGTTTTGAGCCTTCATAAAATTTTTAACTTCCGAAATAAGTTTCTGAGTTGTAAGCGCTAGTAGAATAGGCCCGCGGGACTCCCGGAGTGCCGATCCTCTTTGCTAGCAAATTGGATACGCAAAGTCACGCCGAAGCCCATTCCTGTGGCTGAAGCACAAACTGTTGGCAGCGCGATGCTGACAAAGCGATGATGGGACCCCCGCGGAAAATGCCGTCACGGCCTTCGGCGTCTAGGAATCTTAGTTCTGACAAGGCCGAGCGGAGCTCTAGCGCACCGCCTAGTTAGTTCTTCTCACTGAATAAAGCTTTCCTAACTTACTTACAACTTAGCTAATCAGTCAAAACATTGCGATTCGAATAATGAAATTGACTAGCTTTTTTCAATGTTCAAATAATTGCAGGAAGCTTTCAACGAAATTGTTCTGATCAGTCGATTCTCGCCAACAATTTCAAGTAAACCAGTTTGATATCTAAAAATTTTTTAAAAATTAGTTTTCCTTCAGAAAGAACGCTTGGAGCATGGAGACGAAAAGGTGTATCGGAAAAATTATCGATCGACTACAACTGGAACGATTGATGTGAGGTTTCCAATTTTTTAGTTTCGAAGAATTTTAAATGAGAGAAAAAAGGCATGACCTTATTAAAACTGAATTAAATAAGAAAAACCTTGATCCGATATCATAGGCAGAGTCGGAAAGGGTGGAAAAAGGCTCCATAAAAATGTCCTTTCAGGGTGACAAAGGCTCCTTTTTTTTGCTTACTTTTTGCGCCATTTCATTAGTACTTATAAATCATTTTTGCTGCCTCTCCCTTTTTTTCCACCATTTCTTGAGCCTTAAGGATTCTAGAAAAAATGGATAGCTCAATAAAGGGACTTTTTTGCTCCCTTTTTGCGGTTTTTTGAGCCTCTTCTTTTTAGCGGCCTTTGAACACCATTTCGACTTCGCCTGACACTTTTTTTGATTCCAATTTTGCACTTATCTCCTCTTTTTCAGCTTTCTAAAGTCTTTTATCTTTGAAAATTCAGGTAATCGCGATGAGAAGAAGACCGTGATATAATTCGCGGCGACATTTTCGAACTAAATTCAAAGCACACAGAGCTTGACCAACTTCGAGGCCGGCTAGAAAATACCAGGTACCAGCCCAATGCTCTTAAAAGCAGCTGAGGGCTTTTTTTTTGTGTGTGAATTGCAAAGGAGGAATGAAATGACAGTAAATTTACAATGGCTGAAATCGCTCCTCACTGTCTGACCACTTTTTTAAATTTTGCGGAATCCCTTCGGAATGGGCATGAAAAAACTTATAAAGAGAAGAAAAAACTCGGCCATTGGTAACGGAAAACGGACGTGTACGGGCATTTCTAGTGACCACTTTAGTAGCGTCAGCATTCTTAGGTGATTCTTAGAAATGTTCTGAAACGTCAAGAGCACGTCCTTTTGGCGTTACCAATGTGCGAGAAGATAGAAGGAAAAAAAAATGAATTTAAGGGGTGTGGAAAGCGCGCCCCAACGATAAATCTCTTGTCAGTTTACGTGAGACAAGCAGTACAATTACCAGAAGCTAACGGCAGGCTAGCGTATGGAACACACTTAACTTAGAGAGACCGTTTTTTTCTCTGATTTTTTATGTAGACTTTATCACGAAAAATTTGAATCATCGATAAACTCACTACTCCATTAACAGCCACGAGCTGATCGCCGCGTTTCAAGCCGCCTTGTCTGTCCGCAACCCCGCCAGGAATTATTCTAAAATGATGCGATTGTTTTTTGATACAAGGAATAACAGGATTACCTAGAAATGTAGATTGGCGAGTTCTGTTCCTTGCCTCCCATTACATTGAAACCGAGGCCCTGGTCCGTTTTCGGAAGTTCGACGATACGAGGGTGGGCGTGGCCTTCGGCTGCGGCGAAAGCTGCCACTGTCGCTTTTGCCGTGGCAGCAGCTCGAGCCTGATAAAAAAATAATAATAGTGTTTTTTTATTTGTCTTGAAGTTTTGTCACAGAATGGAATAAATGATGAAATCAAATGAAAGAGAAAGAAAAAAACAAACCTCGGCTGGTCCTTCAAGATCGACAGTCTCGTAGACGCTCTCGTAGACCTCCCTGACGGCGTTGAAAAAGTCGGACTGGAGGATTTGCTGGAGAGTTGCCAACTTTGGGGATGTGATCTCGCCCGTCTTCTGCACGTGCTCCATCAACTCCAAAATTCGCTGAATATCTGAAAAATTATTATTTTTGAAAAGAATATAATTACAGACAAACCTCGCTCAAGGTTGGGCAATTCTGGATTCGTTTTTGTCCATTTCATTCGATTTTTCAAATCTCTGAAAGTGAAATTGGAAGAGGGAAACGTCGGAAAAAAATCAGTAAGATATTTGATTGTCCAAACAACCGTTTAAAAACCAACCAGACAATTAAATAATAAGAATAAAGTTTATGTGCAAATTTCGAAGATCATTTTTCCCGTGAGGTCACAAAGAGAGAGGAATAAAAAAAAACTAAAACTAAAAAAGAATTACAACAATCTAAGTTCAGATTTCATGCCGCAGGGTGTGCGCTTGTGACATTTCAAAAGGAACAACATTAAAAGTCAATTTTTTAATTTCGGTATCTTTCCTATGTACGTTCTCGGCCATTTCAGGCAAATCAAAGTCAAGATCCGTTTTTTCTGTGCTGATTCGTACGATTCCGTCGCAGTGAGCTCGTAAAAGTTTTTTTCCCCTCTGTCATTTTTCATAGTAAACCTGAAAAAAATTACAAAAAAAACAAAAGCGTTTTTCTCCATGTTTATTTATTAAAACTTACATTCAATCCCGGGTGATAGTTCATTCTGAATTGACATACTAAGAGATCGCCCTGTCTCACAGTTTCGCCATCTTTCCTGAAAAAAACTCAGACAATTTTAAAAATCGCATTCAGCCGAACCTGTAAACCCCACGGATTGGCAGATTTTTTGGTGGACGAACCAAACCTCTCGACTGTTCTATTGTAAGCTTCCGGAAATGATTGAGAAGTGATCTCGAACCCGACATTAAACCTCTAAAAACATAATTTTTTTTCAAACATTTTCTAAACGCCTTATTAGAGAAGAAATATTTTAAAGCCGGTATTAAGAACATGAGTAAAACTCAGTGAAAGTAGATCTGTATACCAAAAAGGCAAAAAAGTAATGGTTTATGAAAAAACTTTATTCTACGTCTTGAAGAACTACGACGAGCAGAATAAAACGTTTGAAAGTTTTCAGGTCTTTTTTTGGAATTCAGTTTGGCGCTAGAAATATTATAGAAAGACTTGATATACATGTAAATTAGAACTTCTAATCGAATTAAATTAGAAAAAAATACAATTTTTACACAAAATTTTTGCGCAATTTTGGCCAAAGGAAAGTCTGCTCTGGCGAAAAAAAATTGGAACCATTGTTACCGTACCCGAAAAAAAGCCTGAAGATCTTGTTTCAAAAAGCGTTTTGAAATACGAAAATTTTTTTTTCTTTTCATTTATTTTATTTATTTATTCATATTAACGTGTTCGACGTAATTTTTGAGCACCTAGAAAAGTAAGAGATCGAATTGAGAATCGTCAGTCAAGTTTTTACCACCTTGTTAGACAAACTAAACCAGTTTATTTTCGGTGTTCAAAAATCACGATAAGTTCATCATATGACGCGCTTTCATTGTTTATTTTGATACAGTGATCAGTTATGACTGATGTTCAGCCGTTATTATTGTAAAATTTTCCTCCGATGAGCTCACTTAACTCGAAATTAAAATGATTAACATCCTTAAAAGTCAGCCAGAAATGTCTTTTTTTTTTTGCTCATATGTGTCTTTAAAGCTCAAAACGTTATTTGAACGTGCAGAATATATTTGAAAATTTTGTAACTCTGGGCATAACGGATAAATTACTTGTATAATTGGAAATACCACAGTTTTCACGGTTATTTTACAGCCCACACGTCCGTTAAATGGGAAAGCGAAAGTCGAAGAGGAAGCCGCCACCGAAATCAAGGGCCGTCGAACCTCTTGAAACTCAGTTTAATTGCCCTTTTTGCAACCACGAAAGGGTTTGCGAAGTGAAAATGTAAGTGTTTTCGTCTCTCTATTTTCATTAAACTTGGCTCCTAACTGGAGAACGTTTTTAGCCTTGAGTTATAACTTTTGATGAAACTTTGCCGAAGTATACTTTACTACCCCTGATTACAGAATTAAAAAAGAAAAAATTTTCTTTTTTTCTCGCAATATAAGATCTATTGAGAGAATTTATTTTTCTGATCCCAGAAATTTCTAAAGTACACTTTGAAAAAGTTTTCATCAATAGTTCAACGGGGGGCTAAAAAAACCTCTCTTGTTAATCTGAGAAAAAAATTGTATGAGTATATTTTTTTCGGCAAAAATTTTTTTGATAAGCAAAATAATTTGAATAATTATTAATGTTTTTTTAATCTCTCATCAGAGCTAGTGCTTTCAAAATTTTGATGATCGGGTTTCATTTTTTCTTGTCCAAAAAAAGAGTAATGGAAATGATAATTTTTCCGTTCTTCGGATTCTTGCGCTTTTGAATAATTCTCTTTTTTTGTTGGTTTTGTGTATGTTTTATGCGCCGTAATATGGTTTCATGGGTATGAGAAACTTTTTTGACGTGCATTTCATGAGAAATAATAAAAAAATTAAGTATAAGAGAATAAAAAAACTAACTATAAGAGATCTTTCATTGAAATTCATACACACATTTTCGAGCAATAAAAAATATGATTGAAATTGATTGCAATTAAACGTTTTTCTCACTTTTTTTATAAATATTATGTTGCATTAAAAACCCTTTTTCTCAATTTTTTATCTTTTATGCAGGGATCGAGAGAAGAACGTGGGGTTCATCTCGTGTAGAGTGTGCCTCGAAGACTTCCAGACGAACATCAACTACCTCTCTGAACCAATCGACGTTTATTCCGACTGGGTCGACGCCTGTGAATCGGCCAACGCTGCTGCGTAAAATCAACGAATTCGCTGTTCGGTTTGATCTCTTTGACGCTATTTGTACATTTTACTCTTCGTTTTTTTTCTTCAAGGAACATATCCCATAAGTTATTTTGTTCATCAACCTCCAAATGGTTCTTTTTTTTTTTGCGTTACACAAGTTTTTAAAACTTTCCCTGGTAGCGCTTGTCTTTTATACACAATTCGTTTTGCCTCGAGATGATTTGATAAATTTAAAATTAACAGCAATTTGTAAATATTTATAATGACAATATGTATCTACATTCCTACATATAAGTTCACCTAAACATTATGGCACACGAATAAAATATTAGTTATTGGTTAGATCGCCCAATTTCTGGCAAGTTTCAATGAAGCATCCTACGGACCACGCTTGAGCTGGACAACTGTGATGACAGTCTGCACCTCCTTCGTTGGTGAGCTCTGGTAATGATCTCCACACCGAATTCTGAACATTTTTCCTTTAAAAATTCTCAGAATCTGTTCATACCGTAATGTGTTGATGACATGCGCCTAATCGTGACTGAACTTCTTTTATCGCAGCTTGTAGTCGTTCTCCTCCTAGTCTCTCACCAATCGCTAATCTCGCAGTTGAATAGAAAGCGGCCACCCACACCCATTCCTGAGATTTTTTGAAACCTAATTATCACTAAAAGAATCGTTACAAACCGGTCCTTGGTGATAATTCCAGCCTTTTGCCGTTGCTTTATTCGTTCCATCATCGTCGTTGTTGTAGTTGCCGTTGTAAGCCCAATCACTAAATTCTCATAATATTTGCATGAGTTGGAAAAAAGGAAAGAACCTTGGGTCGAGTGTTTTTATTCCAATAGGTCCCAATAAAGCTTTAGCGGTGTCCAAGGCCGCCCACGCTTTGGATTCATCGATGAGATCTGGTGCCTGTGAAAAAAAAAACGATCTCAAATTTTTTTTGTTCCATAATCTTACCGTAGCCAACGCGATAGCGAAATTACACCGTAATTGGTAATCAGTGAACTTGAGGGTCGAACCGACGCTATCTTTTACAATTGATCGCCTATTGATGAATTCTCCCTCCTCGTCGGCTTCTACGAAGAATTCCTTTTCGAAATTCTCCTTGATTTTGGAAGCCCAATGTTCCCATGTCCATGAACTGTCTGAAGAATTGAATTTTGAAGAAAAAGCTGAAGTAGGGGTTACCATTTTTGACGGACTTTCGAGAGATTGTTCCATCACCCGCCCAGCTGGCCAAGGCCTGCAGGACGCGGTAGGCGAGTGCCTGGATTTCTACGGCAGCGCCGTCTCTGGGAGTCGCAGGTTCGCCACGGTTTCCCGCCTTCTCGCTGCTGCCCATTTTGTCCATCCAGGTACCGCAGTTCCATCGGTTTCCGCCCAAAACGAAGCCCGTTTCTTTGCAAACGTGGACATCGATGTTGAAGCCTGAAAAAACCTATTTTTGCGCTGATCTGGCCTAAGAGTTGCGAAATGTGTGTCAATCCGTGATTTTCTTCCATTTTTATGTAATTTACTGTACTCACCTTCATCTTTCATGTGTTCATCAATCGAGCTTCCAGCGTTCCGCTCCCGATAGCTTATTCCGTCAAAATGGCGGTCCAAAGCTTCCAGGACTGTATCAAGCAGTGGTTCTTCCTGAATTCTTTCCAATTTAAAAGAAGAAAAAAAATTGTGTACCCTCTCATCTTCTCCGAAAATGGTATCATCACTCGGGTAAATTCTTCGGACCGTCGCTTTCAAAATATTCTTGCCCTCGGGCGCCATTTCGACGTACCGAACGATGGACAGAAGCCAGAACCAAACCGCGTCACGGCAGTTGAATCGAGCTCCTAGGCTCAAAGTTGAAAACAATACAGATATTTTTATATTTTTACCGATTCCTTCTGCCAACAAGTTCGGAATCAGTCCATGTCGCATTGATCCGGCGAAAGAAACTATGATGTTTCTGAAAATTCAAATTTGAAGGTTTTATATGGTCAAGTTGACTTGTTGGACAAGTTTTCCTGCAGTTTACCGTGCTAAAAACCTCTGACTTCACTGAAGACCTTTTTTGTCGAATTATTGTACCTTCTGATACAAGAATTGACATGAGAAAACTCAAATAGAGTTCGACAGAAAGGCAGAAATCTTAAGTTTGAAGTTTTCAAGTAGTTTAATCCCTTTTAAGGAACATAATTTGACTGAGATTTCTGAAACTTGAGCAGATAACTTTCAGTTGAAGATCAGGAAAGTGCCAACTTCACAATATTTTCTCAAGAAATAGCAAACCGTGAAAGCTAAAGTTCCATTATATCCATTATATCCAAGTGATTTGGTCAAGTTTCAGAAAAATCATGAAGCTTTATCTAAAAGGGGGCTTTATTTTGTAAAGTTTTGACTACTGAAATGGGCAGGACCTTTCCTATCTACTATCAAACATTTTTAATAAATAAGAGAAAACTTGGAAAAGCCAACGAAAACTTAGGACTCTGAATTTTTATGAATTTTGTCTCCAGAAGTCTCAGTGACGTTGAAAAATTGTCGACTATTTTTCGGGGATACAGAATCTTTTCGAACTATGCTCCTTGATGAGAAACGGACTTGGCATCTTCAAAGCGTCCAGTGTGGAGAAGACATCCAGGCAGTGCGATGAAGGTGTCGCGTCCCCAGTTGCGCCAGATGCCGACGGCAAAGTGAGGGAAGTCCAGCCGCCAACGACGACGGACGTCCTCCTTCTGCTTCAGAAGACTCCGGCAGGGGCGCGAGTCCGGCGCCTGGGACGTCGCCTGTGAAGGCCACCGTCGACGTCGTCAGCCATCGCAGCAGAGTATTCGAGTTGAGCATCCTTCTAAAAAAAAATCTCCACGATTTCCAACTCTTCTGAGGAGTGCCCACGTGGAAAGCTTGTCGAGAAGGACCGATCTGACGGATCGGTATAAAAAGGAGACGACGGCTTCGAAATAGCTTGGCCTCAGGTAGTAAGGAATATCACGGAGTGGGCCGAGAACCGTGTCGAAAAAGGTTGAGATCTGAAAAACTCGGATTACTTTTGGTCTAAATAAAAAATTTTTTCACTTATTCTTCGAAGCAACTCCTTCTGAAAACTGAATTACTCAAAAACTTCAGGTCAGTCAGCCCATAAAAAAGGTACTGTTCAATTTACTTTCAAGCGAGTATTTCATCTATTTTTGCGGTGTTATGACAGGAGCGAATTTTTTTTTCGAGGAGTACTGTAGGGGAAAGTCCGCATTTTGCTTGTTTGCACATTCTGCGCGTTTTCCATTTTTATTTCAAAGTTTTTAGTTCAATTGCTTCCCATAGTTGTAATCCTTTGGACAGATCTTAGAGCAAACCTGAAAAAAAATAGGAGGAACGGTCAGAGTGTGCAAACACGCATATGCAAAATGCGGAATTTCACATACAGTACTCTCCAGAAAAAGGCCCTTGTCGCGCCATTTAGCAGGAATCAAATAAATTCAACCATTTTACTGCTACGTAGAATCATCAAACCCCAAAATTTAACTTTTCCTATAACGTTTTGATGCTTGAAGTTGGTTTTTATGATATCTTACACTACAAAGATGACTTTCGTCTATTTCAAACTTTAGCTGTACCCCGGAGAAAAGCAATAGAGGATTTTCAAGACGTTTCCAAAACTGAATTCACCATTTCGAGACCGGCAAATTTAGCAATTCTTTGAACGATGTAGTCGCAAAGCCAAGTTCCATCACGCAAGTTCTGGCAAAGCGGATGGCCCAAGTCGTTGTTTTCGCGGATTTTGTCCAAAACCGGTATCATTCCTGACAAAAACTCCTTCTTTATGTTGTCTTCTTTTAAGCACCTTGTATTCCACAATAGACAAATTTTCCGAAATTGGGCACTTCGTAGCCGCCTTGGCCAATGACTGCGTAATCTTCGGCTTCACAAGAGAAAAGAAGATGATTGAACTGTTGGAAATTGAGATCTTGGAGTAGGAATTTGAATTCTGAGACGAGTTTGATTTGAAATGAGGGGGACGGTATGCGGACCTTTTTCGAGATCGTTATTTTCGCCCTCAACAAGTTGGTTAATCTGATCGGCAGCGCCGCTGGCCTCATCCGAGAGTTTGATTCTAAAAAATCATTTCCCAAAACTTTCAATTTCAGGGAAAAATTGTGATCTCGTGTTACTCTTCTTCAGTCTGACCTGTCTGCGTCTCTTCTCCATAAATCGGCTGAGCGGTTCATAGAGAAAAGGACCCATATAGGGGTCGAAGAAGTGGTCCCTATAGAGGTTTAGGGTCTGACCCCTTAGCCCCTAAAGCTCAAGTGGACCCTACAGGGGTCTCTCAATTTTTATTAGAAAAACGCTTATTTTTTCAGTTTTTCCTATGGAAATGCTTCTTCGCATAGAGTTCATACAAGTTATCAATTAGCATTTCCCCTGTAGGGACCACTTTCGCAAACTTCAGTGACCCTTATGGGGGTTAGTAAAGTGGTCCCTAGAGGGTACTCTCCAATAGCCCCTATAGGGACCATTCTGGGGTTCCTAAGATAAGTGTCTTTCTTTCACAGGCTTCTAGGTCCACGGAGATCAAAAATTCTCTGACTTGAACGCGACAACGGAGCCGGTGGGGAAGGCGGTCAGCTCGATGTAGCCCATCGGACCTCCGTGAAGTCGGAACATTGAGCCTTCCTCGGGCGGGACGTGCTCCCGGATCTTCACCTCATAGTTCGACAAGCCGATCAGGACTTCTAGGTCCTCTATAAATATAAATATGTTCATTTTGAAGAATATTCAACGGCCTTGCCTGGCTCCCACTCAGGAACAGTCACATTGAGATTGATCTCAAACAGGACGTTTTCAAGAACTCCTAAAAATAAAATCTTGGCGGTTGAATGGATCATCATTGGCTAGCCTCCAATGGGGATATGCTTGAGTCCGTGAGGAGAATCGACGAATTTGTTCTTGTCAAAGGCCGTATGAGCGACGAGAACGACCGTTTCGTGAGTTTTCGGATTGTGGCGCGTGATTCCAACAATGTCCGTGTTCATTTGGTCGACGAAGACCTGAAACGAAACTTTTCAGAGAGAAAGTTTTATTTTGAAGTCTCTTGAAATTCTTACAGCTCGGCCAAAGTCGGAATGGCGGATAATGGCCTCTAAAAGGGGGAGGCTCAAAAAAGGCCGCATGAAGACAGAAATAGAGAGTCCCTTTATTGACCCTTCCATTTTTTTGAGATTCAAAGGCTCAAGAAATGGCGGAAAAGGGAGAAACAGCAAAAATGGTGCATAAGAGCCGATAAAATGACGCAAAATGACAGCAAAAAAGGAACTTTTGAAAGCCTAAAAGGAACCTTTCTTTGGAACCTTTTTCCACCCTTTCCGACTTTGCCCATGAGAGGAATTTAAAGCTGCGAAAATTTAATTTTGAATTTCAGGTTTATTTCATTTCGAAAAAACTAATTTTCCAAAAAAAGGGTCGCTAATCTCGATCAAACGTCAAAATGTTCCAAAATTGGTAAACGCACTTAAGATCACAGAATAGGAATTAAAAATCATTAAAATTGAAACAATTATCAAATGTTTAAGAGCAGATTCTTCAACTTCAAAATTTCCTAGTCACATCCCATCTTACTAAAATGTTGATACTCTAATTTTCAAAAGTAATTTTGCAAGTTGAGAAGGAAAATTTTTATCTAGGGAGTTCAAAACTCTCTTCGATTCAAAAAATGATAGAATCACAAAATTTTCAGCTTTTCTAGTCCAATCTTGCTTGACTGGAACGCTAAAACCATAATTATTTCTAAGTAACCTCAAAACTTACACTCTCATTTGCATCTTTAGGATAAATTAGGCCCACTTAATCAGGTATTTTTTTTTAGCTCGTACCAATATTTCACAAGAAAAAATCAAGTGCTTTATTTTTGCTTCCGTTCACCCCACAAGGCTAGACCAACCTGTGTGTATCCATTCTGAGCGAGCCAAGAATGGAGGTTGTTGAGCACCTTTCTGGCGCTGATCATGCCCTTCTTCAGGCTCACTTCCTCCTCGCGCTCCCAGTTCGAGTAGAGCCGTTTCTCCGTGACGACATGGATCTTCAAAGAAATTCATATTTCCAGAAGGCCCGGCTAGAATTCTGACATGATGTCGGATCAACTCGTCGTAGCCGCGGTTGGAGCCGACGGCACAAGACGCCATGGTGACCATCGCCGCCGTCGGCAGCAGGTCGTACACGCTCCGGGTCTTGAATCACACATTTTTCAATAAGTTCGATAGAGGATTCAACCAGAATCGGCGACGGGTTGTCGTGGGACAAGTCGAGGAAGAGTCCATGGGCGATAGATTCTGGGGCCAGTCGTGTCTTCTTCGGAATCATCGCTCCAACACAATCTCCGCCGTACCTTCAACCAGACCAACTAGTCTCAATGGGAATTAAGGAAGGGAATTACTTGTAAACCAGCCGTCCTTGTTCGTGGCTATCGTGGGCCGATTGAGCTTCTGGGAAAACAGTTTTTTATTCTTTCGGGATTCTGAATTTTCATAAAAACCGAGCTTATTTTCAGTAAATCGATAATCATATATAATTTCTTTAATACCTCAGATTTGAATCTAACCGAGGCAAGCACATGATTCATTGTAAGTCATTTCCCTAGATTTTTTTGGATATTTTTTTATGAGTTTGCTAAAATAATCGCTGTATGTATTAAGAATCTAACACGAAAAATTCGTAACCTGCTCATTTTCAGAAATTAAAATTTAAAATTAGAAAGAAACAGTTGCTTATTCCGTGTTGAACTTATGCTTTTGAAAAATCTTCAGAACTAAAAGTTTTTTTACAGACAAATACCGCTCCTGTTTCATTTAGAAGTTTTTGAGCAAATTTATAAATTTCCAAATTTCAAAAGACCGGCTAAAATGACTTCTCATGTTTCTAATCTACAAAAATGCTCCAATTTTAGAGAGCCATTTTTACAATGAGCCATAACTCGTTCTTCCATTAAAATCCAAAAAATCCATTATTTTTAAGCAAATATCACAAGAGGTACACGAGACAAACTTCTCACAATTAAAAAAATTTTTTTCTAGCATAAACTTTAAAAAAATATAAAATGTAATGAGACCCTATCTTTACACGGGAAAAGGTCAAAAGTGCCCAAAAATGGGCTTTAAAAAACCCCCTTAAAAGACTTTTTTCTTGACTTCTCATCGGAAAGGTCCTTTTAGAAGAGATAAAAAAGCATTGAAAAGAAGTTCATAAGTTTCAGGTCCATAAAAAACCCTTAGTTCTTGAGAAAAGTGAGAAGTATTTTTCAGGAACTTAAAAATGAGCTTGGGTTCTTTCTCTAAAGTCCAAAATAAGTCGTTTGGACTTTGGCCGCGTAGTGTTCTTATTTGTATAAACACCTCGAATCAAAGAAGAAATGCCGAGACGATTGACGAAGAGATTGTCGAGCTGCTCGCTTCCGGTGAACAGCTCGGCGAAGACGTAGAGGTCCGGTTTGACCTCTCTGGCGGCCAGGAGAAGCTTCTCCGCCACGTGAATTGGCGTCCCATGGGCGTTGTCGATCCGGAGGCCGTGGAAAATTTTTGCGCACTTTTGACTGAACTTCGGGAAAGTTCAGCAAACAAATTGCAGAATGGCTCACGTATAAGTCTTCATGAACTCCCAGAGGAACGGACTGTCTTCCTCCTTCTCTCCGTAGTTCAGTTTGACCGAGTCGCCCCAGCAAACCAGCTCTCGTCGTAAATAAACCTTGAATGAACTGAAATTTTTACCCTTTTTCATTTCTACCTGTGAGTCTGAAAGAGCAAAGTTGACTAGAGGATTGCTGCTCATGATCCAGCCATTGAAAGCCATCAAAAACTTCGACTTTTCCGAGTCGTAGGCCAGTTTTTCTTCGTCTTTCCATCCGTTCGAGCTTTCCAAGTGGAGGAAATAGCTCAAGTATAATAATACCGTAAATATTGAATATTATTGATTACTCTGTGGTGAGTGGGTTCTCGGGATCGACTCGGCCTCGCTTGGGTCCATGGTCGGCGGTTCTTTCGTACCTTATGTGGCCCATTACGGAGTTCAGCCCGGACATGATGATTTCCCATGAATCCGCGCCAGCTGAGAGAAGAAAAAAAATTTTTTTTGGGAACGAAGAACTTCCGGAATTTTTTCCGATTTTTATTCTTAAAGATAATGAGTCTGACCCTTCCTAAACGCTTCAAAGTATGTATGCTTTGTCAATTAGTTCAAAAAAGTTACTTCACACTAGAAAAAATAATTATTTTCACTTTAGGTAATAATTTCAACCAGTAAAAAACAGGAAAACTTCAGAATCAGAATTTTCCAGAGCACAATTTTTCTAGATTCAGACTGAGGCATATTCTATTCTTCATAATTAATTTCCCAAAAACCTTTTCCGTTGAGATATTCGACGTGCTCGCGGAATAAATTGACACATTGCTCACGTCGGTGCTCCTCCGACCAGGAACCTTCTCTGAAAACTTGATAGTAAACCATTTATGGACTTAGTGAACAGTTTTTTTCCATTCTTAGGAACGCCAGAGTGGCCCCCATAGGGGTTAGGGAGAAAAGCTGCCCCTTAAGTGCAAAAAAAAAGTCTCCTATAAGGGTAAAAATTCGGTGGTATCTATAGAGGTTTAAAATTTGAACTTAATCCTTAAAGCTCAAGTTGTCCTTATAGGGTCTTTTCACTTGATAATGAAACATTTTTTCAGCTTTAATGGCCCCTATAGGAGGAGATAAAATGTTCCTTAAAAAGCACCTTGAAGGAAGCTTGAAGTTGACCCTAAATAGACTATTTTGAAATTTTTGAAGTCCAGCTTAACTTTAAGCTTATTTTCGCCAGGATGAATGGTAGGGGGGGGGGGAGAGAAGAATAGCGTTTCGCGCACCTATGACGATTGAAAACACGCAGAGCCGTTTTCATGTCGACTGTTCGCCCAAAACGCCGCCATTCCGGATCAACTTCCAGCACGAGCTCTTGGTCAAGTGGCGCCTCGACGGGACCGCCGGCGGCGTTGACCAAATCCGAAAAATGAGCTGCCAAGGCGGCGACGTCGGCTTGGAAAAACTCGTGGAGCTGGATTTTTGGCAGCACTTCTGCTCTTAGAAGATACTCGATGTTCTGAAATTTCAATTTTTTTGATTTATAATCCCAAAATCAAGCCTTTCTTGAATCATTTTTCTGTTCTGGGAAAAATTTCTAGTGGCCACTCAAAGGTTTTGGTGGCTTAGAACTCCTAGATGAACCTCTCAAGTGGCCTCTTAAGGGTTTTTGGCGCTTTTGTCGCTAAAAAATTTTTGAGGTGCTTTTTAAGTGGCCACTTAAGGGTTTTCGGCGTTTTAATGGCTAAGAAGCCCTCGAGGAACCTCTGAAGTAGCAACTTAAGGTTTTTTTGACGTTTTAGTGGCTAATAAATCCTTGATGAACCTCTCAAGTGGCCACTAAAAATTTTTCTAGTTTCTTCTCAATTTTTCAATTTTTTTTTTCAAACGTGATAGGATCACAGCTGGCTTGAGCCATAAAAAAAGATCTTGACACGATTTATGAAAAAAGTAAAGAAAAGGGCCTAGTTGGTGGGAAGCGTGACAAGCCACGCCCCTCAGTGTACTGACCAACTTTTCCAGAAAAAAGACAAGTTTTCTGCTACCCCAAGGACACGATACCTTACAAAAACCTCAATCGGAGACATTGAAACTTTCGACTTTTGAGGGTCGATAACATTTTTCACAGACCTTCGTGGCAGTTTTTGAGATCAGATTTGGGATCAGCGTGAAAAATTAAATTTAGTAAACTTGGTCTCATTCTCAAGTCCCACTGGGAGCTGAGAGCATTTCCTGGTAAGCTGAATCGACCACCAACCGAAATGTGATGGATATTGTCTACAACGGGAGGAACGCCTCGATCCGTCCAGACGCCTTCGCCGACTTCTTTTCCGAACTGATGGTAGCAACGGTCGACGACGTAGGCCGGCCTCAGGTGCGGACTGTTGTAACAATTATACGAAGAGTTGGGATTCTCCTAAAAATTCTCCAGTCAAGGATTCCTTCGAAGGAAAACCCTACCAAGAGCCACTTGGAGTTCTTGGCTGCGTGGTTCCAGACGACGTCTTGGACTGTGATGATTCCCCACTCTTTTTCGATCTCGTTAACCAAATTTTGAACGTCATCGAATGTATACTTTTTGCCATCCTGATGGAAAATATCTTTGAAACAAGGAATAAAGCTTTCGATCTAAATACGTATTCATTTTTTAGTCTTTGAAACATTGATTAAATTGAAAAATTTGAGGAAAACATGCAAGATTTCGATTTTTAAAAATGAATACTCGGTAAAAGTCACAATGGTGGATAATGGCCGCTCAATGGGAGAGGCTCAAAAAAGGCAACAAAAAGAGTCCCATCATCGAACCTTTCATTTTTTCTGAGGCTTAGAAATGGTGGAAACAAAGATTGGCAGCAAAAATGGTGCATAATAGCCGAAAAAATGGCGCAAAAAGGCAGCAAAAAGGAAACATTCTTTCCGACCTTTCCTATGTACAAAACCTCATAAAAATGGAGCTTTTTTCTAAAAAAAAAAGTGCAAAAATAAATCAGTCAATCTTTTTTTCAAAAAAATCCCCTCATAAGAATTTTTGATTATCAAGTTAACAAGCCGAAATTGATTATAACACTCAGCTCATTTTTCTAAAAATTTTGAGAATTTGACGAATTTCTGAGGAAATTTTTCAATATTTTTTTCTGTAGGTTATGCAAAAACTCTACATTTCTAAACACCCTAGTGAAAAATCTGAACAAACTGAACCAGAAAGAGTATAAAATAATTGTTTAATGACAAAACCGACCTTATGAATAGAATCCATCAGAGCGTGATGATCACTGAGAGAATAACTGCTGTTGGAGATGCCGAGCTCGTGGATCGGCGTCAGATGGATCATGTTGTAGCCGCTCTCCTTGGTGACCCTCAGGCGGTTCTTCCAGGAGGAAAGGTCGCCGAGAAGTTTCACCAGGTGCGTTTGGCAGGTGATGCCATCCAGAGGGAGTGGATTTCCATTGATGCTCAGCTGCGGCATCACCAAGAAGTAGCCACTTCCTGATGTTTCCGAGCTAAATTCCTTTTTTTTAAAGATGGCCTTGAACTGTTGAATATACCTCGAGTCAACTGAAAATGTGTATTTGAAAGATCCGGCTCGCGAACAAACAATCTCGCAGAAAACTGCCAAATGGTCGTTTCCAGGACTCCATCTCAGAGGTTCTGTTCCGGTCAGTGTGGTTCTGACTGAAACTTCCTTGCCGAGCAGCGAGGAACCTCTCTTGAACCGCACGACCCATCCTTTAATCATAAAGGAAAGATGACAGTAAAATTTTTATGGTGGAAAAAATGATTCTAAAAACTATGATACAAAAAAGACATCTTCAAATTCCTAGCCTCGTAAATTAAATTGCAGCAGAAAAACTGAATTTTCAGATGATACGGATTAAAAATTGAAGCTCGGATCAAAAAAAAAAACTCGCAAATTTTCACTCTGAACATTTTACGCGAGCTGAAGTTAAACGGAATTTCCGCGGAATTCTACAGTGATAGAGAATGACATTTTCTCTAAACTGTCAAAGAAAAACTGACCTTTTTCTAATCGCCTTACTACAGTGTCAAGGTTCTGTCCCTCTTCTAATACGATTATTCGCGTCTCGATTTCCATCTGAGAAATATTACCATTGTTAAAATTTTTTCTAATAAATTGAGAGAGTGCAAATGAAACTAGAAGAGAGTACAACTTTCAAAAAGTGCCAGAGAGTGTGGAAAACAGCCATGTGGACACCAAAACATAAAAATAAGAGAAAAATTGATCATGTACGGAGGTGAAACACCAAAAAATAGGAGTTTTATTATCCGCAGTAGATGATAAGACGATTGTCAACATCACCGACTTTACAACAAAACATCGACCACCGACAAACAAACACCAAAGTCACAAGCACGAGGTCAACGATAAAAATCGCAGATTAGCGGAATGAACACCAGACAAGCATCATGCAATATCTAAGATCCGTAAGATTGTATTTACCTTGATGAGAGAATCAAAATCCAAACACTTCTTGTTGTAAAACGGCTTCAAGCACTACGCACATCGAAAAAAAGCCGCTAAACACACAGATGTTACGAATACTCGCAACAATGAAAGCCTCATGCTCCCTGTAAAGATTAAGTTCATTAAAAACACTCGACAAGCCTCAAAAACAAGGAAACAAAGCTGAAATGAGGAGGGTTCAAAATTTGAGAAAAATAAATTCGCTCTCTTCAGCGCCTGACATGTACGCGCCATCGCACTTTTCGATTAAAACATTTCACAACTTTTCCTATAAATCGCGTTCTTTTCTCGTTTTTTCATTGTTTTCTCAAGTTTTTCGTTTGTAGTTTCATTTCTAAAGGCACTATACAAACAATTTGCAGCTACTACCGCGTGTAATCGAACATCTTTCGCAGGAAAATGTGAGTTTTTGCCAATTTTCTTTGATTTTTTTTTTTTAAAGGATTGAGAACAATCAAGATGTTGGAAGCTGGGCTGAGGCTGTCGAAAAAGAAAGTAAGGAAATGGTCAGGAGTAAAATTGTGTATATTTTGTTTTAGCTTTGTCTCATGAGACGAACGAAGACGGTATCAAGGAAGAAGTTGGCTTCGCAGAAGAAAACGGTATTCGCTACAAAGTTTGTTTAAAAACACGGCTAAGATAGAAATATTACAAATTTCAGGTTGTAACTCAATTCAAAGTCATCAAGAAAAAGGTTCCAAGAGTTGTCGCAGATCGCAAGAAATGGAAGAAGTTCGGCATGTGTACTGGTGAACCACCTGGGCCACAGGTAACAGATCCTTTATCGTTTGAAAACTTTGCTGTGTTACAAATTTTTATCAGAATTAAAACGGCCTAAACTTGGAAAAAAAACCCATCTATTTTTGCGTTTACTACTAGTTATTTTTTTATTGCTGTTCCGAAAACTGAATTTTTGCCTAGGTCGCAACAACTTACGTGGCTGAAGAAGTAGAAATGCAGTTCACCCGTAATCGCGCTGGAGAACAAATTCTCGACGTCCAAGAAGACAAGCAAGTGGTGAGTTATCAACTAAATTGAGTGCTATAATTTCAACTCTAAATTCTCAGGCCAAGGCATCGAATCGCGAACATTGCCGTCATTGCAAAGGAAACGATCACTGGAGTACTCACTGCCCATACAAGGTTTCATTTTGCTATGAAATTTATATTTATCTGTATCTTTCTAGCAAATGTACCAGTTGGATGAAGAAGTCGAGCAAGTTGATCCGGAGAAGGATCGCGGTGCGGGGCTTGGTTTACGTGGCGATGGCCGACAAATCGATCGACGGTATTTTCTTTCACTTTTTCATGGCTAATGGATAAGAAAATGAGAACATTTTTTGAACTCTCGAAAGTTCTTTCAAACAAACCCAGTAGAAGAGAAATTTTGTAAACTGCTTTTCGTCATCATTAAAGATTACTATAAAAAAAATGAGTTGAAAAATTTTTTTAGTTTTAAAAGGCCTAACCTATCTTCAAAGATGATCTCACTATATCTAAATCAGGGTAAAAATCAGTCTGATTGAAAGTAATACTTGTCTTTTTCAGAAGTCGCACTGTTAAAATAGGCATGAGTTTAACCGAATACTATTTTTTTAATTTAATGAAAGGTGTTTTTAATTTTTCATAAACTAAAGTCAATTAACATATTCTCACCACTTTTTTTTCCCAAGATAAATGGCGAATTTTGAAAGCTACTACATAGAAAAAAATGGAGATAATTATCATCGTATACTGTTCGAAAAAGAAAAAGATTTCGAACTTTAAATTTGTCTTTTTAACTTTAATAAGAATCATATTCGTTTTTAGAGCTTGAAAATTGTCGTTTTTCAAAGCTCTCCCGTTTCAGCAGCGACGAAAACACGTGCCGTGTCACAAATCTACCACAAGAAATGGAGGAAAACGAACTGCGCGACATTTTCTCGCGCATCGGACGTGTCATCGTAAGTTTTTTGACCCTTTTTCACAAGATTTTTGAAAAAAAATGCTTCAAATTTCTTTTCTTCAGAGAGTTTTCATTGCTCGCGACAAGGTCACAAACTTGCCCAAAGGATTCGCCTTCGTTACCTACGAATCCCGTGAAGTAAACCTTGAATTTCTAAATTTAAAAAAAATTATATTTTTCAGGATGCGACACGGGCGATCGCGAAGCTGAACGGCACTCGCGCCTATCACATGATCCTGAAAGTCGAATGGACCCGTCCCAGCAATCAGAATTAATATTTCCTGCTTTTTTTTACGATCCTACTTCTTCTCCATGGTTTCTTGTTCTTGTTGTTAGTTGCTTCATGGTTTTTCTTGGGATTTCTTGATGAATAATGAATTTTTGTTGGTAAGATGCGTTCTTTCTTGTTGGAATCAATGTCAAATCGTTCTTATATCTGAAATTTTTACAGTTTTTGGGATGGGTTTCGAAGTTTATTCAAGATGCAGGGAGTAGTTTATATCATTTCGGATGAAAAAAAATTTTTAAAAAATTTCAGTGCAGCTTAAAATTGCAATAAGCCGCTCTAATCCAACTCTAAGTTCGTTAAGGAAAAATTTTTTTTTGGGATTATACTTCCCTTGTTTATCGAGCTTTCTATCACGAAAATTTCAACTCAAATTATTTTGAATAGAACGTTTGAATTCAACGTCCTTGTTCCACTAATTTTTTTAAGTTTGGCTTCAGAATTAAGTTTTTAAAACGAAAAATAGTATTTTTCAGTTCAGAGGTCGTATGAAAGAAAATGGAAAACGATTTTCTTGAATAAAAATTTCTGAAACTCGATTTTACTGCATTAATTTTGACTTTTTCAGAATGTGATAAGATCTAATGAGAAGTTCAAGACATATTTAGGCATTCCCAACGAGAAAAAAAGTCAATTTCGCACGTAAAATTTACCGTAATAACTTATCTATCATGATATATCGTTATGGGACCCACTTTTTCAAACGGCTCCTAGGAAAAATTTTGAAAACCGTTCTAAACGAAAAACGCTTCGATCTAGAAATTATTTTGTACACTTTTTTTTTTTATTTTATCAGAAAAACTTTCAGAAATGGGATTCCTGAGTATCCTGCGAAAACAGAAGGCGCGGGAAAAGGAGATGCGAGTTCTGATCCTCGGCCTGGACAACGGAGGAAAAACGACGATTATGAAGAAGTTCCTCGGCGAAGATCTCAATCAGATCGAGCCGACGTTAGGTGTGTCTCCAAACTCCGAGGCCCAATTTATCCCTGTTCTTTGAGGGTTCGACATCAAGACGGTGGAGTTCAAAGGCTACGTTCTCAATCTTTGGGATGTTGGCGGACAGAAAAGTCTCAGGTCTTACTGGCGTAATTATTTCGAGCAGACTGACGCTCTCATTTGGGTCGTCGATTCGGGGGATAAAGGTTTTTATTTTTAAATATAAGAAAGAAAAATCTAGGTGTTCAGTTTCCCTATTAGATTTATTCTGTGGAAGCTTTATTGATCGTTCTTTTGATTATTTTTATTTTTCTTATCAATAAGAAAAGTGGATCAAAAGTCTCAAATTTGCCAGTTTCTAAATGGGAAAATTTGATAATTTCTCTGGTATTTGTACTTCTTGCCTCACGTAAATTGACAAGAGATTTATCGTTGGGGCGCGCTTTCCACACCCCTTAAATTCATTTTTTTTTCCTTCTATCTTCTCGCACGATGGTAACGCCAAACGGACGTGCTCTGGACGTTTCAGAAAAGTTCTAGGGATCACTTAAAAATGCTAGCGCTACTAAAGTGGTCACTAGAAATGCCCGAATACGTCCGTTTCGCGTTACCAATGTCCGAGTTTTCTCTTCTTTTCGGAAGTTTTTCATGGCCATTCCGAAGGGAATTCAAAAAATCTGTTACAGTGAGCAACGACTTCAGCCATTTTAAATTTACTGCTATTTCATTCCTCTTTTGCAATTCAACACACAAAAAAAGCCCTCAGCTGCTTTTAAGAGCTTTGGGCTGGTACCTGATATTTTCTAGCCGGCCGCGAAGTTGATCGAACTCTGTGTGCCTTGAATTTGGTTCGAAAACGTCGTCGCGAATTGGATTACGGTCTTCTTCTCATCGCGATTACCTGAGTTTTCAAAGATAAAAGAGTTTCAAAAAAGAAAAATAGGATATAAATACAAAAGTTGAATCGAAAAGAGTGTTAGGCGAAGTCGAAATGGTGTTCAAAGGCCGCTAAAAAGAAGAGGCTCAAAAAACCACAAAAAGGGAGCAAAAAGAGTCCCTTTATTGAGCATTCCATTTCTTCTAGAATCCTTAAGGCTCAAGAAATGGTGGAAAAAAAGGGAGAGGCAGCAAATATGATTTATAAGTACTGATGAAATGGCGCAAAAAGACAGCAAAAAAGGAACCTCTGTCCCCCTAAAAGGAAAATTTCTATGGAGCCTTTTGCACCCTTTCCGACTCTGCATATGATATTGGATCAAGGCTTTTCTGGCTGTAATTCAGTGTTAATAAGGTCGTGTCTATTATTTTCCTCATTTTAAAATTCTTCGAAACTAAAAACTTTGAAACCTCACATCAATCGTTCTTGTAGTAATCGATCGACTCTTTCCAATTTTCAATCAAATGCTCCGAGCGTTCTTTCTGGAAAAAAAGTAATTTTTAAAAAGATTTTTTTAGATATCAAACTGCTTTATTTGAAGTTGTTGTCGAATCTCCATCGACTGATCAGAATGAGTTCGTTGAAAGCTTCCTGCAATAATTTCAACTTTGAAAAAAGCCAGTCGATTGCATTATTCGGATCGCAATGTTTTGACTGATTAGCTAAGTTGTAAGTAAGTTAGGAAAGCTTTATTCAGTGAGAAGAACTAACTAGGCGGTGCGCTAGAGCTCCGTTCGGCCTTGTCAGAACTAAGAATCCTAGACGCCGAAGGCCGTGACGGCATTTTCCGCGGGGGTCCCATCATCGCTTTGTCAGCATCGCGCTGCCAACAGTTTGTGCCTCGGCCACAGGAATGGGCTTCGGCGTGACTTTGCGTATCCAATTTGCTAGCAAAGAGGATCGGCACTCCGGGAGTCCCGCGGGCCTATTCTACTAGCGCTTAGAACTCAGAAACTTATTTCGGAAGTTAAAAATTTATGAAGGCTCAAAACTCATCTTGAGGTGGATGTGCAGAAGCAAGGCGATTCGTGAAGGAATGATATTTGAATCCAGGCCATAAAAAAAGAAATGACACGTTTTTTTGTACGTGTTATTTTTTCGATGACAAGAAAATGACCTTGCCACGGGGTTCACGTTTTTTTTTTGCAGAGAAATAAATTTTTATTCTGGATAAAGTTTTGGGTCATATGGCGTGAAAGGTAGAGCTAGTGGAGGCACTGAAAACTTTTCAAAGTTTAAAGTTTTTAATTTTTGGGCTCTCTAGTTTTTTTTTACCTCCAGTTTTGTATCATTTTTGCCCTCATGTAGAAACATAATTCACGTAATTAGAGCCAAGTTGAATGAGAAAATGCAGTTTGAAGAATCTGAATTACATTATTTTTCTATTTTTCTGTTGGTTTTTCGAACTCAATTAAACAATCCGCCATACAAGGTTTTTACTTTCTGCTTTCTATCTATTAATTCTTTCATATTTTGAATTCTTATTCGATGGGAGGTAATTTACCTATATAATATTTTTTTATATTGTGTGATAAGTGATTTAAAGTAGCACGTCCTTTTCGCGTTACTCATGTCCGAGAAAATAGAAGAAAACAAAATGAATTGAAAGGGCGTGAAAAAGAGCGCCCCAATGACAAATATCTTGTCAGTTTACGTGAGGCAAGCTGTACAAGTACCGGAGGCTCTTATCACAAGCAAGTTTAGAAAAAAGCTTTTCCATGAAAATCTGAAGTTTTCAAACTTTTATTGTATATAAATTTTCTACCAGTTTTTTTCTCACTACCTTGTCTTAGCGATTATTTTTAGTTTTGAGTGGGACTTGTTACCACAAAATTTTCAGGCCAGTTTCGCGATTTTCACCTCACAAGGAAGGTCGTTTTATTTTGTAATTTTTTTTTAAATTTTACTCAAATTCTCTTCGAAGATCGAGATGGATATACCTCATAGTAGCAACCTGCGAAAGCTCTAGTTCTTTAGGTATGGGTTTTCCGAGTTACAAAATACAGATAGCCACTATAGAGGATCTTCTTTTGGTCCTTCGAAGAATATTTGAGAAAGTTCAAAATAAAATGAGGTCCCTTGTTAGGAACTTCCTTCATTAGAAAGCTCAAAATTGGTCTGCCCATGTCAGGCGGTCAACATCAAAAGTAGTTGGACCATTTAACGAGCGGAGGATTATTCAGAGAGGCTGATGCAGTGCAAAGAAGAGCTGCACAAACTGCTGGTGGAGGAGCGGTTGGCCGGCGCGACGCTCCTCGTTCTGGCCAACAAACACGACTTGCCGAGCGCCCTTGATGTTCACGCGATATCCAAGGTGGGATCTGGTCCCGAGCGTCGAGATATACCATTTTTCTGCGTCTCTTACAGTTGCTCGACCTCGACTCGATCAAGACCCATCACTGGCGGATATTCAGCTGTTGCGCCATCAACGGCGAACATCTTCTCGACTCGATCGAGTGGCTCACCGATGACGTCGGCAGTCGAGTCTTCACATTAGAATAGACAGTTTCTGAATGGATCACGTTGAAACCGGTTTTTGATCTCTGGGATCGTTCACCTTTTCAAAGCTAGATTTTTGGACATAACTTCGTTATCATTCCTCAAGATTCAATTTCTTTGAGTCTGGTATCAGTTGTATCTCAGGAAAATGCTTGGTTTGATCGCCGCTGACTCCGGCCGAAAATTAAGAAGAAATAAAAGTTGAGAAAAATGAAAATTTGCCTTGTCATGTACTCTTCTTGAAGCCAGAATCACCGGTCAATCAACTTTAGTCTGTTTGCAAAACTCAAATTTATCTTTTCCATGGGACAGAGCTTACATTGGAAAGTTCATTCTTTATATTTTTCGAGTGAGAAATATGCTAATCATTAAGTAATGGTAGACACAAAATTTCAAGTAGGTCATTGATACACTCGGAAATATTACGTGAGTCTTTTTGTTCATCTCCCTTCTCGAGTACTTTATTTTCCCAACGATTCAAGTGTTTACGGAATTCTCAGTTCTATTTCTGCCAAACTCATTGACTTTGTGTGATTGTTGAATTTTCACTTTGAGAAATTCTAAGGAATTGAACCGCGAAACGTTGCTCCATCAACAAAAATTGTTTAGACTTCTCACTTGGGAACTATTCGGACTCGAGTACGCGTTTCAAGTTGAAACTTTGTTAGCTTATAGACCCGAGTAAGAGAATTGGAAACAAGAGAGATTATCTGCTGAACCCAATAAGGTACCGAGAAAAAGCTTTTTGAAAGTGAACAGTTTAGGCTTGAAAATTATCAAATTTTTGCTTTCCTCCTTCTTTTGGCTCGAAAAAAATTTTTTCTCATAGCCGAATATAAAATAAGGTAAAAAGCAGTCTTCTGACAATTTTCAGGCCTAGTTTTCATATTTTCTACTAATTTTTTCTCAGTTCACTATTGGGTTTAGCAGATATTCTCTCTTGTTTTCAAGTATTCTGACTTGGGTCTATAAACCACTAAAATTTCAACTCGATCCGCGAGTTCGCGGAGTTCCCTAGTAAGTGGTTCAATTTGAGTCTCTAGAAGGACCCTGCAGTTTTCAATGTATGATAAACTCCTTCGGACCGCGGTCATTTCAAGTTTCAGTTTTTTTTTCGCATTTTACGATCTCCCTATACATGTATTATATTTTTACGAGAGAATAAAAAATGGTAAAGATTTGTAGACGAGACTTTCGTACGATAGTGACCTAGGTGCAATTGACCTCTAGGAGGTAGGCCGTTCGAGGCGGAGCCTTTCCGGCCGGCAGATAGGGCAGAAGAGACCGGCTATTTGCGACGAGTCGAGGGTCACCGCTGGTCACACACACACCGGACCTCTACTCCCAGAACCATCGATTTCCTCGCTCTCTCAACGTTTTTCTTGTTGTTGTTGTTTTCCGTCTCTCTCCTCTCTCTCCATTGACGATGTTTCAACTGGAAGCGAAAAGGGAGACGCGACGCGGCTTCGACGACGCGTCGCGGCTCGTGGGGGGCACATCAGCTGACTAGCACAGCTGTTGTGCTGTGTCGTTGGTTGAACCTTTGCGCTCTCTCTTTTTTTTCCTCGTATCAACGGGTTTCTGCAAGGAGCGCCGTCAGCCGCCGCTTGTACTTTGGAACCGTACTAGCCGTCTTTGTTTGGGGCGGAGAGCACCTGAGGCTCACTTTACGATTGTTTCAGAACTTTTTTTGTTCCGCAGCTGCAGATGTTTGGAGGCTCAATACTTTTCTGTTTTTTTTTTACTTTGCAGGTTTCCAGTTATGTTTGGTCAAGTTTTTCAAACTGAAAGGAAAAAGTCAAAGATCTCATTATTTTCAGAAGAAGCTTGAGATTTTTTTGGTCTGCTATGCTTTTTAAATCTTCCGTGAAAAAGTTCAGAAAATAATAGTTCATTCAAGTATTTTTTTTAAATTATTCATAGACTTACAAGGTATCATGTGAAGGTCATTCACGAATAAATGGGTCTCATTATTTCTGACAAGAAAATCATTCGGAGATCTTGCGCAAAATTCCATCTTATAATAAAAGTTTTATTTGCTTGTTCTTCAAATTTAGTTCAACTGAAGAAATAACGTCATTTTTCTGAACACAATATTTCGTCTGAATTTGCAATCGTCATGAATTTAGACGTGAAGAATGAGAAAATCTACAGGTTGAACCGCGAAAAAAACAACGATGGACATGATTTTCTCCTGTCGCTACGGCCACCCGGAGTTCATGTGCCTCGAGGTGCCGAAGGGACTGCTGAAAGAAGACGTCGGCGATGTCGCCGCCTGGATGCTCGAGAAGCTCAGGTGATTATTCTTGATGAATGGTTTTTATTCATTGACATGAACGACTAGGTCGTGAGCAAGAATTTTTGAAGCCATATCGGACAGCTAACTTTGATGAAAAGGAAGTCCAAAGGTGTAGTTGATCAAGTTGAAAGCATGGTCTTCATTTGCTTCGATCTTCTACGTGTAGTTGATCCAGTTACTCCTTGAGAACTTCAGAGTCCCCCGGAATTTGTACCTGGAGCCCGGAGATCGTACTTTGATCGTTCTTTAAAGCAACCACTTTGAGAAAACAATAAGATTGATGAGATAATCGCAAGTTATTAAGGTTTTCGACTCATTATTCCATTCCTTTTTACATATTACGTTTTTACTGATATGCGGTAGGTCAGTGAATGCTGGTTATGAACAAGGAAGATATTGATAACACCTAACAAAAGAGTCTGACTGATAAGGACGCAGAATTGGCTTTAAACTCAAAATCGCCGATTATTACTTAAAAAGGTATCATGAAATTTCCAAAAAGTTTCAAGAAGGGCGCAAAATTATACGTTTTTTTGAGAGCTTCGTCCAAATTCTCTTAATTAGTGACGTACATTTGATAGCTAAATTCGATTTTTCAGTTTCAAAGGCAAAGTCGGGGGGTCAAAAGAGGTTCCCTTTTAGCTGCCTTTTTGCGCCATTTCATCGGCTATTATGCATCATTTTTGCTGCCCTTTTCCACCATTTCTTGAGCCTTTAGGATCCTAGAAAAAATGGAAGCCTCGATAAAGAAACTCCTTTTGCAGCCTTTTTGCAGCCCTTTTGCAGCCTTTTTGCAGCCCTTTTGCAGCCTTTCTGCGGCCTTTTTGTAGCCCTTTTGCATCTATTTTTTGCTGCCTTTTTGCTGCCTTCTTGCAGCCTTTTTGCAACCCTTTTTTGAGCCTCTCCCTTTTAAGGGCCATTATCCACCATTCCGACTCTTCAGACAGCTTTCCTGAGTCTCTCGTGAAAACATTGGCGTGCAAATTTTTCCATAGTTTACATTGGAGCCCCACGTTCAAACATCTGTTTCTATACACAAACGTTGGACTTTTGCAACGAGAACTAAAAAGAAAAACTACACTGTGAGAATAACCGATGCTTTTTACCGCAATCGGTAATTTGTCGCGCACCTGTCGCTTTCGCTTCGGCTTCCAAATGGCCGAAAAATTCGCGCAAAAGACGACCTTGAGTCCAGGGAACCCGATCGGCGATAATTCAATTGTTTATGCCAATTGGACAAGAGAAAGTGAATGTGAAAAACACGTGTGAGAATGGCAAATTTTTCAGGCTGAAAGTCGACTCGACTGCTCGATTCGTCTACAGCTTTGAGGGGCCGAAAAAGCGGGGCAATGATTGGCTGCCATTGACGGAACGATACTTGGTGGTTCGTATTAGTCAATTTTTAAAATCCATACATCATCAAAAAATCATCAAAATGTTTTAATTCTCACACACAAGTACTAAAGCTCACGAAACAGATATAGGGAGAATTCGGGAACATATGTGTCATGAAAATTGAAAATAAATGTATTTTAATTTTTTACTAGAACTTAAAAATCTTTTTCAGTACATTCTAATTTGTAAGAGGATATTTGAAAATTGAGTATTTTTGGAGAAAAAAGTCATAAATTTTTCAAAGGAACTGAAAAAAAGCAAGTCGGAAGGGTCAAAAAGGCCTCATTAAATGTTCCTTTTGAGGCGACAAAGGTTCATTTTTTGCTGCCTTTTTGCGCCATTTCATCGGCTCTTATGCACCATTTTTGCTGCTTCTTCTTTTTTCCACTATTTCTTGAGCCTTTAAAATTCCAGAAAAAATCGAAGGCTCAATAAAGGGAATCTTTTTTCTGCCCTTTTGCTGCCTTTCTGCGGCCTTTTTGCGGCCTCTTCTCGGCCTTTTTGGGGCTTTTTTGAACCTCTTTCTTTCAGAGTTCATTATCCACCTTTGCCAGAGTTTTTTTTCTGAAGTTAAAGCTTCTAATTCTCATAAACTTTCTGATAGAAAATTTTCATAGCACCTCAAAATTAAAATTCAGACGGTGCTGGAGCACGCGAGGATCCTCTCCCGCAACTCCTGCTACATTTTCTTCGACCAAGAGCCCAAGAACCGCTTCTGGCTGCTCTACTCGTACGGACCGACGTCGTCGTCGCCGCAGCTGACGCCGCCGCCGCTCGTCGGCTGCCGCGCCGAGTACAAGAAGCTCATCGAAGGCTTCGACTTTTCCGCGTTCCTTGAGGTGCTGCTCAACAAGCAAGAGATCACCAAGGTGCGGTGGTCAGAGCACTCATCGTAGATTAGAGAAAAAAAAGTTACAGTTGAAAGAAGGGCATGAAACTCCGAGATCCAAGTATAGTTCTTTTTTTGATGTCGTGAAAAAAAAACAAGAAATAGTCTGATTTCTATGCGCTCTCTGATCTATTAGAAACGCTCTCCATGATTTTTGGCTTCTTCGGTGACAAGGAAGGTCACTTAACTATGGAATTTTCTCAAAAATTGGTCCTTGAAGTACCATATGAAGATCCTGAAAGTCTCAACCTGCCCAAATTCCTAGTTTTTGAGAAAGAACACATCAAACTCGAAGAAAACCTTCGAAATCCGTAAAAAATAGGCCTCATTTCTCAAAAACCCAGGAGTTTTGCAGGCTGAAACTTCCAGGATAGTTTTCTCGTACATCAAAGAGCATTTTGGCCGATTTTCAAGCCAACCGAAAAGTGAAATGACGTCCCTTGTGAGGGAAAGGGAGCGCGCACAGGTTTTTGAAACCCTGAAATGACCACTTGCAAAGGCTCTCGTTTCATAGTTTTTCAATCGGAAACCTTATAAGAATCTTTTCAGGACCAAGCCAAAAAGGCTCTCCAGGCGGAGTTTTTGGCACAGAGAAAAGATTCGGAACCCGACCTTTTCAACGGCATTTCCGCCGATCTTGACAACAAAGTCGAGAAAGGTCTTTCTATCAGAGTAAGAATATCCCATGGAACACTGGAGAAACTCTTCAATTTTCCAGAGAAAAACGCCGGTTTTGTCACCGGCTGAAAGCGAGAGAAGACAATCGTGCTGGCAGGAGATGATCCATGACATGCAGGCTCGTTATGTCAGGGAGAGCGAGGTCCTCAGACAGGTCTGTCTGATTTTTGAAAAGTGAAACTCAAAGAAAAAGTCTGAATTTCAAATTTCTGAAGGCCTTGTCTAGTCATAGGGATGCCATATGATTTTTTAAACGGTTTCAGTTTTCCAAGGCTGTGAGATTAGTTAATTCTCCTCCAAAGCTTCTTTCCGAATTGCAAGTATCGGTTAGAAGCTAATTTTTGTTTTAAAATCCTTTCTTCAAAACTTAAATTTTTCGTGTGTTACGACCTCCATCTAGGCCATCCTGGGAAAGTTTTTAGCGGCCACAATAGTAGACAAACATATGGGGTTATAAGTAAGTGGCCACTATAGAGGTCTAAGTGCCACTATGGCCTAGTAGTGGCCACTTTAGGGGTCAATGGATCAATATAACTGGACCAATCTGTTTGTTTTAAAATTATCAGAGTTACTGGAAAGAATACTGCATGAAAAACTACTGAAGTGGCCACTAAATAGAGCACCTCTATAGTGGACACTAAAGCGAAAAACAGTGGCCACTTTAGAGGTGGATTTAGTGGTCCCTTTAGTGTCCTCTCCAAGTAGTTTTTGGCGAGTGGCCACTAAAACTTTTCCCAGTGTAGCTCGAGTTTTTGACCAATTTTAAGGATTAAAAAAAAATTCTGACTCCCTTCTGAGTTTTCACTAGTTCAGAGAAGTGAAAGGATTGATTATTTATGAAAAAAGATGAAAAATTCAATTTAATAGATCAATCACTCGTCTGTTCAGCAAATTTGAGAGCCCAGTTTCAGATGGAAGACATGGGCAAGAGAAGGACGCCAACGACCGTTCCCACTCCAGTGGAAGAAGCGGATTTCCCGAGGTCGGATAACTTTTACGACGACGTCGTCGAGAGCGTGATGCGATATGAGAGCGACCTGACGGTTCGGCGCGTCGACAAGGTTCGGCGGCCTATCTTATCTGCGCATCCAAGGCCCTTTTTCTCTGTTACAGCAGCTCGAGCAGGTCGCGCTCACGCTCACGGAGGCCGAGAGCACCAGCATCCGAGGCAAGGAGGCCTCCGTCGCTCAGCAGATGGAGGACGATGAGCAGGTCTGTTCCTCTTTTTGAGAAAGCATCTTTGCTAAGAAGCTGGACTTTTTGAAAGAAGTCAGCAAGAATGATAGTTTATTCAGTACCATTTTAACGTTCAAAGGTTCAAAATAATGGATAAAAATTGAAAACTGACAATTCTTAAACGAATAACTAAAGCATAAAAATAACAAAAAGAGTTTAAGATAAGAAGAGATGAAAGGATGAAGATTTCTCAGATGGTGAACGAGCTCGTCAAGAGAGTGATGAGCCTGAAGTCGTCGCGCAGCCGCAACATTCTCCGTACGGCCTTGCGACAGATCAAAGCCAAGCGACGCAGTGAGAAGGACCGTCGCCGGGAAGCGAAACGCGAGAACAAGGAGACCAATCTGGTCAACCTCTTGGCCAAAATGACACTTGGCGAGGCGCCAGCCGAAGAGGAACCGACGAGACCGTGCTGCGGCTGCCCCACCGTCGACCCTCTGCGACGAAAGAAGAATCCGCGAAAGGAGAAGCGCGAGTGTGTGCGTCGGAAGCAGAAGATCGTGTTCGATGAGGAAGAGGCCCTAGCTCGTTACCACAGAAGCCTGGCCTATCGGATCGGCTCATATCCCAGACCGGCGGATGTCCCTGTACCGGCGCCGAAACCAGAAGTGAGCAGAGTATACTCCGTAAGAAGAACTTTCGAGAAAAAGGCTAGTGAAATTGGAAAATTCGACACTTTTATAGCTCATTCCCGTAGCTTGAAACCTTGTTGGATGAGTTTAAGAGAATGCAAAAAAAATTGACCCAGCTAGCGGTGAAGAATTTGACATGCTGGAAAAGTCGGTCGGTGGGTCGATTTGGAAAACTAGGCCACGCCGTAATTTTGCTCCATGGAAAATCGAATTTCAGACTTTTTTCCCTTTTTCTATTTTTTTTCCTTTCTTTTTATCAGTTTTCTAGGATATGGGACACATACTTCAAACTGAAATGTTCCTTATTTATCATTGTTTCCCTAGGTAATGTTTTATTTTTTGTTGGAGGTAATTTTGTTTCTTGCTTTTTTTGTGTGTGTTTTACACATTTTTCTCATTTCGACCGATTCCTTATAATTTTTTTAATTTCACTCATTCGGTTATATGAAGTTATTTTTCGATCCAAAAAAATTAATAAGAATTTTCAACAATTGAATCAGTTTATAATTTTGAATGTAGTAACCATCTTATTTTTACTCGCAAGAACGATACAGTTAAATGAAAATAAGCGAAAACCTTTTTTTAGTAAAATTAAAAAAAGTAAGAAAAAAATTTATGCCGTGTTCAAAGTAATTTCCGCGAAATGCAAAATGATCTCTGACTCTCCAAAATTTAGTGATCTTTTCCTTTCTCTAACGGGTATTTTGCATTTCGCGGAAATTACTTTGAACACGGCATTATAAAAGAAAAAAAAAGATTGAGATTCTAAGTGTTCCATAAAGCAATATTTCGGCGTGGCCTAGTTTTCCAAACTGACCGACCGAACCGACCAACTTTTCCATAGAAAGTTGTAATGACTCGATTATATATCAAAAAAATTCCCTAAGAACCAAAATTTTTCTAACTTGGGTATTTTTTTCAGAAGCCGGTCGAACCTCCTCGATCGAATTTTGGAAATTACAATGCTCCGTCACAAAACGTCCCCGCCGACCAGAAGCCTCCAAGAATTATCCTGGTCGCCGTGAGTTTTCATTCAAGAAATCTTGCGAAAAAGGATATTTTTCTAGGAATCGAAGACCAACACTTGCATCCAAGGACAAGGCTCCCAATGCTCGACCAAATCGTTCAAGTTCTACAATCCTGGAAACACGAAGCTCGACAATATCGACTTCAAAATCGTCCAAGGATCTTCGCAGACGTTCTTCAACTCGAGGTCGTTCAACATCGAGCCCAAAGGATACAAAGACGTTTCGTGAGTTATTCAAGTATATTTTTCATTCCGGGTGCACCCGATTTTGCCAGTTTGGATGTTAGCGTCAAAAAAGGGCCAATTAAATTCACGGTTCAAATTTCTTGGCATTTCAAGCCGATCAAATGGTTTTTAAAATAAATAACATGTTCGGCTGCAGGATCGTCGTGATGACCTGGGGCCAGCACGACCCGAAGCGTTTCGTCCTTGCCCAGCTCGTCCACAAGGGCCAGCCCGTCTCCTCCGCGATCGTCATCGACTTTGAGCAACAGGGACCTCCGACCCCACCTCAGGTATGATCATTTCATGGGAATTGGATGGAAAAAAAAAATTCAAAACGAACTTAACGTTTTAGAAAACACTTTTTTCAAGATCCGGATAAAGTTGGAAGGGTGAATAATAAAAAAGGGAAAAGCTCAAAAAAGGCAGCAAAAATACTCCCTTTATCGAGCCTTTCATTTTTCCTGCGATCAAGAAATGGTAGGAAAAGAGAGAGGTAGCAAAAATGGTGCATAAAAGCCGATGAAATGGTTCAAAAAGGCAGCAAAAAAGGAGATTTTGTCAGATTAACAGAAAAATTTTTATGAAGCCTTTTCCACCCTTTACGACTTTGTCTGTTTTTCAAGCAAAAGTGCATATACGAAATTTTTAAAAAGTGAATAAATCTAGTACTTTTTTGATGTTTCACGACGACATCAAATCAACGCCACATCCACCGCGATTGCGGGAACTTAAATGTGTTGTACGCAGTGCACGCGATGCATGAAAAGCGACGCGCAAAAAGCGAGATTTTATTTTAAATAAAATTGATTTTCTGGCTAATATTCATCCAGGAACATCCTAAAATGTTAATATTCTGAAAAAAATTAAATCTAGAATTAAAAACAGAAATAATTCCTTTTTAAAACTAGTATTTTATTTCAATCTCCAAAAATTTCTTTCTGATCTCTAAACACTGGTGAAAAATCTCTAACTTACAATAAAAAAACAAGATACTTTTTAGAAAAAAACCTTATTTAATGAGAAACCGATCGAATATCAAGAAAAAAACTAATCGAAAAAAATGGTCAAAAAAATGCGTTTGAATCCAAAAATTATCCAAATAAATTTTTAGAACTATCAGCGCCCCATCGAAACCATCGTCATTTCCGACGACGAAGAAGAAGTAAAAGTGAGAATGCATATTCAAATTAATAAAATAACTTTTTTCTAATTCAAGGAGAAGAGAGTTCCCGACATCCATGCCGAGCAAAAAGGATGAGGTAAATTTAAATTCAAATACAGTTAATAATTTTTCCAGGACTCCCAAAAAGACTGCACTGCTGTAGCCCCTGAAGACGACGAAGAAGATGAGGAAAATGTTGAGGAGGTTGATAGAATTTAAAAATAGTGAAATTTACGAGTTTCGTGATTTTTAGGACAACGAAAATGCTGAAGAGGAAGAAGAAGAAGAGGAAGAAGCAGAAGAAAAAGTGGAAGAGGAAGAAGAAGAAGAAGATGTCCAAGAGGTTTGATATGGGAACTTATATGGACAGATCAATTTTCAATATTAAGGACAACGAAAGCATTTGCTCTACGCTTCCTCCCGAGGACGAGGAGGAAAGGAACAAACTCGAAGAGGTTCTATCAGAAAATGGGCAAACGTTCAAAATTTAATATTCCAGGACAATGAAAGCGTCTGCACTGCTATCGCTCCGGAAGAAGACGAAAATGTTAATGAGGTAAAATTTTTAGAAAAATCAGACTTTATAGTCATTATTTTAAGGACAACGAAAGCGTCTGCACCGCTATCGCTCCGGAAGAAGACGGAGAAGAAAATGCGAATGAGGTAAATTTTTTTACTGGATTCTAAACCGTCTTGGACAACGTGAAACGGACGTGCTTCAGAACTTTCTGGCGTGAGACTAAGCCTAAGGCTTAAGCCGCCAAGCAGCGTCAGCACTCTTAAGTGATCCCTAGAATCGCCCGGAGCACGTCTGTTTAGCGTTACCGATGCTTTAGGAAACAATTATTTCAAGGAAAGCTAATGAAGAAATTAATTGATTATTTTCAAGGACAATGAAAGCGTCTGCACTGCTATCGCTCCGGAAGAAGAAGACGATGAGAACGACTTTGTTCACTACGAAGAGGTACAGCTAAAACGAATCATCTTTTTGATATTTTCAAAATGAAAATTAAATGAAAAAAAAATTTTTTTCCTTACAGGTGGGGTTAGTTAATCTACCTAGTGGTCTTTTTTTCCCTTCCTGCAACATCACCATACAATCCCGATGTTGCGAAAAAAATAAAGAGATTGATTTTGAAAATGTATGAATTTACAAGTTCGAAAAAGTTTTTCATGTAGGTTTTTAGACCACAATTTTTCATCAAAGTTTCAAATTTCGCTTTCCTCGCTCTCTATGTATTGCTCTTCAAGGCTAGATAGACCCGAAATCTTGGAAATCCAAGGAAATTCGACAAGAAGTTCTTTATAAAAAGCCTACTAGGGCCGGCCATAGGTTAAACTTTTGTGGACCTCAGAAGGAGCTTAATGGTTCTGATCGAATGAAAGAAAGAATTTTTTTCCTAGCTTCAGGAAATGTCTTTTAATAATTTTAGTCGCTTTTCAGTACTTTTTCATTGAAGAATGTAAAAAATCTGAATTTAGAAAAAAAAAAATCGATTGATGTTCCTTAGGAGCTTTTTCGTTTTAGCTTTGAAAAAAGAACTCAAACCAAAACTTTCTATTTTGAGGACAACGAGAGCGTCTACACGGCAGAGACCCAGGAAGGAGAAGAAGATGACCAAAGCGTCGATGAGGTATAACTTTCAGTGTGAAACCTTCCTGATTCAATTATTTTCAGGACTTTGAATACGTCGACGAGCCGCAAATCTACGATTTCGTTTGAAAAGTACACTTTTCTTCAGTTATAGCAAGTATCCTCTAGAAAGTTTTTATAATTTTGTGTCGCATTTTTTGTCTTGTCTATTCCGCTTATTGCCTAACATCGTTCTAATTGTATATTATTCCAATTTAAACCTCAAAAAATTCGCTTAAAATCTGCCAAAAAAAAAAGAGGTCATTGTAATATTTTTGTATTCTCCAGTTGTATAATTTTGCTGTATCTTTTGTAATTGTCTTTCGCTAGTTTTCTTTTAGATTATTGTTTAGTTTCTTTTTTGTCGCGTTCAAAGCAGTTCATTTACAAACGATTTCTGAAATAGTATCACTTTAGTGAATTTTTTTCAACTTTAATGAAATCTCTTTGAACGCGGTAACCACTTGTAAATAGTATATTCAACTAAAATATAAACAAAAACCAAAAAAAAGTTTTTTTTTAGAAATATGCAAAAGAAAAAAAAAGTTATAACCATCTATCGCCTTCACAAATAGTCAGTCGGAACGCCTTCACAATTCTAATCATTTTGAACAATTCTAATCAATCTTTCTCAGATTTTTACCTTCAGGACTTTCAGGAAATTCTGTAAATTTGTTTTTTCTGTTCATCTTTATACCGTTTCAAGAATAAAGGGAAAATGTTGGAACGTACCTGTTTGTAAAATGAGAAAAAATCGAACAACAAAGAAATTGGAAAACAAAAAAAAAGTACGGAAAAGATCACCCGAAGGAGACAAGCGTTGAATATTTGAAGAGGTGAAGAAAAAAAAGGCAAAAATATATATCAACTAAGGAAACTTTCTGAATTTTATTCACGGTACCTTGTCCAGTCTCGCGAGTTGATTATGGGCGTGGTCAATGACATACCCTCGAAATCCAGAGTGGCCCCTGCAGGGGCTAGGGGAAAAAGCCTCTATAAGGGCTGAAAAAGTGATCTCTATTGGGGTTAAGGGTCTTACCCCTTACCCCTTAGCCCCAAAAGCTCAAGTGGACCCTCTAGGGGTCTTTAAATTTCATTCAAAACGCTTATTTATTCAGTTTTTTCCATGGAAATGCCTCTGCGCTCGGAGTTCATAACAATTATCGACTAGCATGTCCCCTATAGGGGCCACTCTGGAGTTCCTAAGTAGTTTCTTAGGGAGCGAACCGTCAGAACTTGATTAGTTATCGTAAAATAAAACGCTTCAGAATATACTGTCTGAAAAAAAAAACCTGTAGGAACACGGAAAAAATTATGCATGATCGTATGAAGCACGGAAATTTTAAGCCACATGATTGGAATCGACGGAGAAAGCTCGGGTGGGTTAAGAGAAAAATGAATAGAGAGTGCTAAGGAGGAGAAACCGGTGGAGATTCAAAACGATGGTCGGACGTTTGCTTTGGGGACGAACCCGAGGCCGAGTTTGGCCAGAGCCATGTTCTTGCGAAGGCCGACGACGTGGAAGTAGGAATCGCGGAGGCCGCTCCGGATGAGGCCCTCGCTCAGGTAGCGCACGCAGGTGTAGAAGTCGCAAACTGCCGCGATCTGAAAACCGTCTCTGGTGAGCCTTAGAAGGTGGTTTGAGACTTGGAATCTTCGAAAGTTAGAGAGCGTTTGAAAACAAGAGGGCGGGCGTTTTTTCTCTTTGCGCCCTCCCGTTTATCAGTGCTCTCTAGTTTTCGAATATCAAAGTTAGGATAGGTTTATTCGGACTGAACTTCAAAAATAGCTTAAAATCGACCCCATAATTTATTTTTGGACGATATAAAGTCCTAAAAAAATGGTTTTCAAGAGCCACAGTCTCAAAATGTTGCTTAAAATCGAAGAAAAATCAAACTGAAGGCTCTCAAAACCAGGAAGTTTTGCAGAGGCCCAGTCAATTTAAAGTAAAAAAAAAAATTATAGAGCCTTTTTTGAGTTCGACATATTATTTCCTCCCTAATCTAAAGATCTACATTTTCAAGGAAAATCTACATTTTTTTAAATTTATTCTTGCTCGATCACATATCAACTGAGCTGTATGAAAACTGTGAAAAAAAATATTTCCAAAAAAAAGTAAATTTTTGAGCTTCGTTTCAAGCCAAAAAAACATTTTTTTCTTTGGAAAAAAATCTATTGAGAGAAACATGGTTTGAAGAAATATGTATATTAAATAAAATCGGAATAGGATGAGGTTTGAAAAAAAATTACGCCCCGTCGCCTTAAAAAAATGGAGGACTATAATATTTTCAAATATTCTTCGAAACTCACACGATTCCGCGCAATCAAGGAAATGAAGTGCCAGTCCTGGCCGTCCTCCGTCCGAATTTTGTAAGGACAGAACCGGGAGACGCACGTCAGAGCGCAATCTCTGTAAACTTCCAGAATAAAAAAAGAATCCTTTTTTGATCGCTTACCTAACCGCAGGCTTAGCTTCGTTGATCGGCTCGAGCTCCAGCCGATTGTCCAGTATGGACAACATGATCTCTTCCGACAACTGCATAATTGAAATTTGATAATTATTCTTCAGTTTGATGGGACCTTTTCGTTCTCGAAAGTCATGCAGGGCTCGACCTCCTCGGTGAGCACCCGTTGCATGAAGGCGTTGTCGTCGCGGGGATGGCCCTCATCGCGCCACGACTGGAACTCCGCGAAGAGGATCGGGTCCACCTCAAAATCGCCCGTTTTGGCTCTTCGAAATGTTCTAGGAGTGTTCTCCGAAAAAGTCAGTGAAACATAGGATTTAAATTTCGAATGTATCAGGTTGTTAATCATGAAATGAGCTTTTCCCGAAAGTTAATAATTTATTGGAAAAAAAAATTTAAATGTACCTTAAAGGTGTTGGCTGTACGAAAAGGCTAGAAATTGAAAAAAAAAATTGAAAGCCTTGTTCAAAATGCAAGAACGAAATAGAAGCAAGAAGATTTTCGTATAATTTTTGCGCACCCACTGACATGAAGCGCCAGAAGATCGCCACATCTCTTTCTCTGACACACACTGTTTCGTCGTTTTTTCGCAGCTAGATAACGGCGAAATAGTGTATGTCAGAGAAAGAGTTGTGGCGATCTTTTGGCGCCCTATGTCAAAGTTGACGTCTCTACAAAACCATCCGATGGAGCGCATTTGAATGAAACATTTTTCGACGTAATCGGATCCGCCATTAGCGGGGCACCCAGCCAAAGCGGCCGGCCCGGCCCAAAAAGCGCAAATTTTCTTCAAGTCAAATATCAAGCGTTTTACGAAAGTAAAAAACGTTTCCTGTTTTTTTCACTTAAAATTTAACAGAAACTACTGAAAAGTACAGTTTTTCGAAGTAGTCGCTCCTCCAAGTCCTTTTCAATCAATCGCTAGAAAAACCTAAGTTATCACTCAAACGGAGATTTTCTCTAATTCAGTGATCACTTAAAGAATTACTGCGGTGAATTCCCATGAGGTATGATAAGGTGAGAGAAAATCGGCGAACTTATACAAGCAAAAAATCGTTTCAACTTCGCCGAAATCAAGCATTTTTCCTGTGAGTACCTCCTCGACGGCGTCTGCCTCTTTCTGCTCCCTATCGGCACAACTCGGCTGGCTCTGTTGTGTGGACGTAGAGGGCAGCGACGCCGACTTTTTGTTCGTCGGCTCCTTGGTCTTCTTGCTCGACGCGGCTGTAAACAAACGCGTCATCCCAATCAAAACATTCCCGGGCCTACAGTTGAAAATTTTGCTGAGTGCGGATTTGTGTTGGGGCGACGTCTGTTGGAAGTGATTCCGACCCATTCCGGGCGCCTTCACCAACTCTTTCAAGGCGGCCACCTCGGCTCGCAAAACTTCCATCTCAAACAAAACATTTGGCTTAAAGGGATTAGGAGTGGGGGTGCACCTCGGAGCGCGACTCGTTCAACAGCTTCTCGGCCTTTTCCCGTCGCTCTTCTGCCTTGTTCACCATTTTGTAGGCTTCCTACGAAGAGTTATTTAAGTTAATAATGATGCAACAAAGCATTTCAAAACATATTTTGAAATAAGAGGCTAACGTTTTGTTTCTAGGGGGTAAACCGCTAAAACCATTCATAAGTCTTTTTTTCGTCGTTTACAGAACCTTGAAGGTGGATTTAAACTTGAAAAGCGTGTCTATTCAAATAATATACCAACTTGAGTCATTTTCTACACCCGATGAAAAAATTTCCTTGAAAAATATATCTTGCAACTCTACAGCGAAACCATAAATTTCAATCCTGAAGAGCTCCAAAAACCCTCTCAAAAATGCTGACGCAATATTTTAACACTAAAAGTCGCGTGAAACTGGACTATAAACAGTGGAAATTCGATCCTGGGAATTGGCAATGGTCCCACGACCGTAAACTCTACGCAAAACTACCGTAAATTTCGAGATTCGAGACAAAAAATATTACTTTTTGGACCCTCGTTTCACTGATGGAGAAGGTTATGTTACTCAACTTTTCAAAATGCTGAGAAAATTGGAAAAACTTTTTTTGAGATGTATGATAAAGAGAATAATAAATCAAAAAAACCATTGATAATAAAAATTTTGAAATATCAATAAAACAAGCTTCAACGCTTCCCTATCAGAGCCGGGAAAATTGGTTTTTTATCGTCATTCTGAGAAATTTCTGAGGAGCCCCTCTAGGGCTTTGTTGTTTTAGGGATCCCTATAGGGGTCAAAATCTTAGGGACCGCTACAGGGTTCAAAATCTTAAGCCCCTAAAGCTTCAGGGATCCCTTTTCTTTTAGAGAGCTCTAAAAATGAACTCGTAAAAAAGAAAATTTTAAGATTTTTCGGAACCCTGATTCACTTTATCAAGGATTCTTTCTATATTTACGTACAAAAAAATTTTGAATTGCCAAAATTTTGAATTTGAGCGTTTTTAAGCAAGTTAAAAAAATTATTTTTTTCTAAAATATCTACCTCTAATAACTTGAAAGTAGAGTAAAATCTTCCTGAAGGCACCCTTTTTGAGAAGAACTTTTGACTTTTTTTTCTTTGAGTTTAGAATCTCTTCTGAGTGTTTAACTTTTCAAAGATCCTCCGCCTCACCTGAAAAAGTTTCTCGGTGAGTTCCTGGACCTCGGCGTCGACCGAGTCCTGCATCCGACTCATTCGGGTCACCTTTGCCTCCTTTTCGGCGAGAGCATTTCGCGTCGCACTGAAAAACATCGGAATCCGTGAGTACACGAGCTGCGTGGGAAAAAAAGGAAGAAAGGACTGACTCGAGCTCTGCCTGCATTCGGACCATCTGCTCATCGCGACCCTCGCCGAACTCATTTCTGAAAATATTAAAATCTTGAACATGTGAAAAAAGTCTCGTTTTCGATTCCTTGGAATAAATTTTGAGTTCAACACTGCGAGCTTCGAATCAGAAATGCTTCACAAAGAAAAATCGTGCTCATCGGCCCGCCAAAGTTGCTCCAAAACAGTACTAATTTTTGTTTTGGAGCAATTTTCGATTTTTGTGGTCTAGTAGTAGCACTTAGACCTCTCTAGTGGCCATAAATTTTTCACCCCTAAAGTGGCCACTAACTTGACTACTATAGTGGCCATTAAAACGTCAAAACCCTATACTGACCACTAAAAATTTCCCAGATCTGTATGTTTTTAACCAGGTTTTGGGTTTTCTAGAAAAAAAAACTTTTCACGTTTTTCTCATGACTTGCTTTTGAATAGCCAAACTTCGTCAAAAAACATTTTCTGGAGGTTATCATGATACTTTTTTTGTACCTCTGACCAGATGGTGAGCATGAAAACAAAAAAAAATTCTTCTTCAGAAACTTTTTTTTCATTGTATCAGGTCTCCACTGCGCGCTATATTGCTTCAAAAAAAATCACTTTTTTTCAAAAAAATTTTTCATTTTATTCATTGAAAAAAATCTGTCAGATCTGCTCAGAACTGTGTTCTCGGAATACCCAATTAGCTCAAATTTCGACACGAAGGCCTCTTATCCCATTAGATGCAGAGGCGTCGCATGAGTATCCATTTCAGATTAATCCAAGCGTTGCGAAACAAATTTCAGTTGGAAAGGCGGAGTTTTGAGGGAAATCCTCGAAAGAGAAATGGAATTGCCTCAAATTAAACGCGATAAATCAAAAAGTCGACCTCGCAAGTCAGGATAGTCCAACAAACAAGGTCAAATCGTTTAGAAATGGACGCGCGAAATGGAACATGATCTTGCAAACTTTTTACTACTATTTTTGAAGTAATTGTTTTTGGAATGGCAGATTCGAGGCAAAAACTACTGAATTATTCTGCAGCTAGTTACCAATGGTGCGTGTGGAACTGATTCTATTGATGAAAAATTGAAAAAAAAAAGTCTGAACAGGACCAAAAAATTGGAGGAAATGATAAAATCTTGAATCCTTAAAGGACTGATAAGGTTAATGAAGTTCAAATGTAAGGTTGAAAAAAAAAGAAAAAAAAATAATTTGTATTCCATTCACAACAGCCCTCTGAAGGTTTAGAGCTTCGAAAAAAAGTTCTCAAAGACGTAATTTCTGAAAAAGAGCCTTTTTTCAGTTTTATTTAAGGTTATCAAGGTTCCTGCTACTTCAAAATTTTGCACAAAACACCAAAAATAAAATTCCTTTTTTAGTGTTATTTAAGGTTATCAAGATCCTAACTATTTTAAAAAACTTGAACAGAGCACTAAAAACAATTCCTTGAGCCGTAAAAATCTAAAAAACTTCTGTAAGCTTCTACTGATCTAAATAGATGCATTTTAGAGTTAAAAAAAAACGAACTGAATCCGCTGAACGTCCGGCTCGCACATCAGGACGTGGGCCATTTGCCGCGAAGGACCTGAAAGAAACCGAGACGTTTCTGCTGCGAAACCACCAAGGACGGCTGGCGAGATATGTAGAGAGGCAAAAAAAAAAAGGCGAAGCGAAACGAAGAACGGACGGAATGACGGCAGGGGACGCCTCAGCTGACCCTATGACTAGCCACCGTCCCAAAAAGGTTACTGCCCTTCAAGGGAAAGAAAAGTTCCTCGTTTCAATTTCAATCAAATTATTCACGTTCAAAACTATTCTTTACTTGACCTTCAGATAATGTATACAGCAGAAAAAAAAATCATAATTAAAAGCCAGTACATGTTTGAACAGATGTTCGAATTCAGCTGCACAAAAACCAAAAAAATCGTTATTCAAAATAATTAGACAACTTATAAACCAATTTCAGGACAAAACAGTATAGTTCCTCACATTTAGATAGTCCTTGTTATGAAAAACAAAAATCAACCGAAATGTAGGTGTCATATTTCCAATTAAAAACAGCTCAGGGGTCTTTTTTTTCCATGAAAAAAAAAACTCGGAAATCAAAAAAATAGGAAACAGAAACAGTTATTTAAAAATCGATATAAACCGTTGCGGAGGAAAACGTGATTGATGCCAATAATCCAAAAAAATAACAAACAAAAGATTTACTTTGGTCGTCAAACAGCGAAAAATTTGAAACGAAAAAATAATGAAATTGATAAAAATAACTTTTTTCAAATTTTCAGAAATGGAAAATTAAAAAAACTATTCTAAAAACCTGGATTTAGGTGGAAAATAAAGTTTTCAACTAGTTAATCTGAAGTTTAAAAAAATAATAAAAAAAGAGAAGAAATAATTTTTGAGAAGAAAAAAACGTTGACCGATCCGTAAAAAAAGCGCGTAATAAACTCCTTTTGCACCTTTTACGTCGAAGTGCAGTACACAGTTTGTGAATACCGTATATAAAAACCCATTTCAAACTTGTCCTTGACAAAAAAACTTGATCAAATTAAGGTGATCGCTCTAATTTCGGAGATGATAGGTTGTCTCGATTGACCACGACGATTCGAAACACGCTTTCAAGACACCGGGAAGCTTCAAACCGAAGTTGTCAGAAATGAGAAGGCGTTGAAAGGAAGAGAGGAGGAGGAGGACGTGTGATTTTGGAGCAGATGGAACAAAAGAAGGGAACACTCGGAAGAAGATGGGCGGTGCCAGAAGGCGACGGAAAGAAGAAGAAGAAGAAGAATCTGAGGCTCTCGGCGCTTCGTCCGAAATCGATTCGTCGAGCGTCGGCAGGATGCATCTGCCACCGTCACGTGCCGAAGGACTCTTTTCCATTATCTTGGCCTTCTTTTCAACCCCGTCCTGGCGCTTCATCATTGGAAATTCATTGGAGGGGCTGTCCGGTTTGAGTTTCGAGTGGATAGATTGAAGCTGAAGTCTCAACCGAGAAAGCAGTTGGTCTTGAGTAACTCTTAAACAACTCGCCGTGATAATTTTGTGATAATTACAGTTGATCTTCTATGATTCCGTTGTACATTAATCAAACACTCTTTTCAAAAATAAATGCTGGGGTGTTCGAAAAACTAAAATTCCAGCAAGATTTAAAAGAACAAAGAAAGGCTCTTCTTCTTGATAAGTTTTCAAAAAATAGTCCATGCTCCTTTATTCGCCCAGGATTCTTTAAAAATAAATAAAATTATACAAAAAGTTAACTGGCACTTTTAAAATTGATCTTCATCAGTAAATCGAGAAAATGAAAATGAAGAATTCAAAACTTTTTTTGACAGGTTTGTTATTAGGAGCTCCAGAGTTATCCCCATAGGGGCAACATTGTAGGCCCTTGGAGGACCCGCTCTAGGGATCTTTTTTGAACGAAAATGAACGACCCCTATAGGGACCACTTAAGCTTTAGGTGCTAAAGGGTTAGACCTGGAACCTCTATAGGGGCCACTTTTTCGGTCCTTATAGGGGCTGCTTTTTCTCCCTAAACCCTATAGGTACCACTCTACAATTCCTAAGTCTACTACGTTTCAATAAGACTTTCTCGAAACTTGATTGTGGTTTTTTAAGAACCAGCAATTGGATAGAGAAACTGAAACCTCTATAATCTCCCAGGTTTGAAAAATCTAAAAAAAATATGAAAAACCATCCTTGAAAAAAAAAATCAGATGAGTTGGAGCCTCGCACGTCATTCAGAGAGCAAAATCAGCTGCTCCAGCAAATTTTTCAAAGCTTGATTGACTTCGAAATGTTACACAAAAGTGAAGGAGAGAAAAAAGAAGAGTGACTCAGAGGAGCGACCAAAAGAGCAAAAAAAAAAGAAGCGTTTATTTCTTGGATAGTTTCCGAAATAATAAAAAAAAGCCTTGAAGCTTGCTTAAGCTTCATAAGCTGAGATGAGTAAGAAATCCTCAAAGTCGCAAAAATTTGCTTCAAATCGGTAGAATTCGACAAGGAAACTCATCGATTTCAATCTAAGAAGTTCATTGTGAAGTCAAAAAAAAAATTTTTGTCGAAAAATAAATCAGTTTTCAACTAATCGGACTGTTTTTTTCTACACCAAAATGAACCAAAAAAATACTAAATTTGCATCAAAAGATCGCTCGGATTTTCGTGAAGCATGGGTTTTTTTATTTAAATTTAGAAAAAAATTGCCAATTTTTTTCGAGAAAAAGAAACGTTTTTTTCATTTACCCGATTGAAAATAATGATTAAAATGAACGTAAATGTCGCAAAATGGCAAAAAAAAAATCCAGAAATAATTTTAAAAAACAGCAAGTACAGCTTCTGACTGACCAGAATGAGAAAACGATCTCAAAAAAGTTGTGAACTTTTTAAACTAAAAAAGCCTCAAAAATCATGTGTTTTGGAAAAAAAGGAATACCTTATTGATAAGGCTAAAGGAGATCAAAACTGAAAAGAAGTAGAACAGGAGATCAAAAAGAGGGAGAGAGAAAGAGAAGGTGGCGGCGGAAAGACCGGACCCACCGCATTTGGAACTCGGGCAGGTTTATTTGGTCATTCGGCCTGAACCCTTTTTTTCTGGCTTTTCTATGGGCTGATGGACAACCCCATATATGCGATAGGATACGGCTTTTCTTCTCGTCATATTTTTATAATTTGAGACAAAAATTGAAAAAAAAAAGTGGAAGTTTAGGTGATTCTTCTTTTTTGTAATGCTGTGATAGGTATGTAGCAAAGCTTAACAAAAAGATTATTTTGATGTATTTTGACCATAAATTTGGGCTCGAATACTTAAAAGATAATCAACTTGAAAAATAAAAAAATATCATATAGTCTTTTCAGATTTTTCCAAGCTGCAAACTCCGCTCTGTGAATGGCTCGCTCTCTGATTGGTTTGATATATTCGAAGGGGGCAGAGTTTGAGCGATGGCTTGACACTCAAAATCTGAACAGACCATAAATTTTCCATTTTTTCCTTGAAAATCATTAATTTTTTCTCAATTTATCATAAGGAATTTGCCGAATCTTGAAATTTTCTGGTTGCATGTAGACTTCCTCAATCGTCGCCGCTTGATTTTATACGAAATTTTTGAATTACAAGTTTGTTCTATTGATGAAAGGCGAAAGTCGTTTATAGTCGGGCGCAATTTTACAGTACACGCTGGGCAGTTGTTCCAGTGTAATTACAAGTCAATCATAGTTTTTTTTTTCAGAAAATTCAGTTTCAGAGGATTTTTATGCAATGTTTGTAGGTCCAAGTTAATCTTCAAGTGATCTCGCTTGGAAAAAAACAAAAGTCTCTAATCGCAACGAAAAAAAAAAACTAATATAGCACCCAAACGGTGACAAATTCGCCATAAAACTGACTCGTTCCCACGATTCCCTAGAGTTAAACAAAAAACGACGACGTAGGCCATGTGACCCAGTAAACCCGGGAAAACAGAAGGGGCAAATGCGATTGGGAGATGAGCGACGCGAGAAAAAAAAAAACGCTGTGTAAAATGTTCGAATTGATGCGCTTTAAAATGAAAAATAACCTGCTTTTCGACGGGATCTGATGACACCGTCATGTGTAATGTTTCAAGCAAAAAGAAGAGAATCGAGATTTTTTAAAAGTGAGATAACATCAATCAAGAGGAACCTTTTCAATATTTCTTTTCCTACTGCAAAAATTGGCGTATACCTTTCTATTATAACTGACTCGTATTGATACGAAATTACTTCAAAACAGTTTTAAAAAAACCTTTTATTAGAAAAAGAAGTTATTATTTCGGAGATGATGATCGAGATATTTGTGAGTCCAGAAACCGTCTATACTCGTTGACCGTCCGCCATTGCGCATTCCGCAGGAGGACCTTGAAATCGAGAAAAGTTATGCTTTATCAGTATAGTTTATCAAAAGACTGTAGTCAGGAATAAGTTCTGAAAACTAGCGAAAATAGAAAACTTTCAGACGTGTTTCTGTCCCAAGTAAGAGCTCAGGCAAAGTCGGATTGGTGGATAATGACCGCGAAGAGGGAGAGGCCCAGAAAAGGCTGCAGAAAGGCAGCAAAAATAGTCCATTTATCAAGCCTTTCGGTTTTTCGAGAACTTTAAAGGCTTAAAAAACGGTGGGTAAAGGGAGAGGCAGCAAAAATGGTTCATTAATGCCGATAAAATGGCGCAAAAAGGCATCAAAAAAGGAAAATTCCTATGGAGCCTTTTTTCACCCTTTCCGACTGTGCCTATGTATGAAGCTCAAAAAAAATTGCCGAAAAAACAATTCGCGAAAAAGAAAAATGACCGAGTTTTCTAAGACCTTTTGAAGTTTCTATAAAACTCGATAAGTTGTTCATGCTGCAAAAATCATCCCTTAAGAAGCGATACATGAACTTATTGAAGTTATAAAATCCTAGTGGTTTTTTTCTCGACACCTTCTACTTTGAAAAAAGCTTTCCAGAAGCTTTCCAGCAGGCTTTTGGAAGGCTTCTGGCAAGTATTTTCCATTTTTACCTCCCCAATACCTTCCAAAGGCTCTCCCAAAACATTCTAGCTTCCCTACCTCTTCAAACTTTCTGCTGGTTTCCTTTCCAACACCTTACCAGGATTCGCCAGTCAGTCCAAAAATTGAGGGTGCCCTTTCCTTATTGGACGCAGTTTATTCTTTAGAAGAGAAAGTGTGAGAAAGATGAAAATTTAAAGGCTCATACGTCTCGGCCGGCATTTCAAAAAATCAATAAGTTACCAAAAATTCTAGAATCAAATTCGGTAACTCCAATCAACCTAGTTTTCTTCCGCATGGAAATCGGTCAATAGCTTCCCTGATCAGGAAAATATCATGCTCGGACTCACCTGATGTCTTCGATCCCTGAGAAACTCAAAAGCGACGTTCGGCATCCAGGATCGCGTCTTCATCAGGTAGCACGTGGCCACCGTCGCGCTTCTCGTCCTTCCGGCCTCAAATCGTCATTATTTCGAAGTCACGCTACACTTCTCACTTTACAATGTACATAGACGCTTTTTCCCTTGGCCGCCACGGATTCCATGAATTGAACAGTTTCGTCGATTTCCGGCCGACTGGCGCTGCCGACAAAGTCCTTCATCGGCACAGCGTGAAACTCGACGCCCAGCTCTTTCCAGTCCTTGAAAACTCCTTTTTTAATCAATCTCTTGAAACGATCTCCTTCCGAATATTCCCTCTTCTGACCTGATCCTCCATGGCCTGGTAGGCCGCCTTGAGCTCAAAGTCCTCGGTGCAGCAGACGACGCCGCCGACGTTCTCCTTCTCGACGAGTTCGCTGCGCATCGACTTGAAGGGCATGGCGCCGAGGATGAGGGACTCGTCGATCCGGTTGTACCACTGCCAGCGCTGCGGCTGCACATAGTTTCGCAGCAGGTTGTACCCAAGCGACGGATAGAACGCCAGGCTCGTCAGCATCTGTCTGGATTCCGTAAAAACTAGTTACTTTTTTAAAGTTGGAAAACACAATATGCAGAGCTTTTCGCTTCGCTTTGAGACCTGTATTCTCAAAGTTTACGGTTTTCAAAAAAAAAACGTGACAAGGACAAACAAGTAGGGGAATAAAAACATCGAGTCGATTAAATCGATCAAAAGTGAAGGCTGAAGAAAAACCAAAGATTCTGTAAAAGTTTATCCATAGTTAGAACTGCCTGAACAGGTACAGTACCGCTCTGGGACAGGCATAAATACAACGAGAGAAAAAGGAGCAACAAAAAATATGTATAGAAAATGAGTATCGGGGAGGGTTTTAGTCTTGGGTCCGCTGGTTCATCCTTCGTTTGTAGACGTCGCGGGAGGCGCTGGCCGTGCCGCTGTCGTCGTCGTCTTCGGAATCGACGCGTTTCCGTTTCGACAAGTTCGCAAGGTCCGAGGATTTCACGACCTGAAGCAATTATCGATGAAATGAAGCTCGGAGAAGGAGTTACCGCATTCGGGTCCGCCGTGGTGGCTAACAACTGATAAAAGTCTTTCTTGACGTCTTCAACGAGCATCGGGCCGAGCATCGTTCCATTCTCCACTTTTTCTTTTCCATTTGCTGAAAGGAAATGAATTTACTTCAAAGACGGTTTCTTTTTCCTGAAAAGTTCTGTCAAATGGTAGATTTTCTTAATTTTCTAAACGCTCTAAACTGGAACCTTGTAGGCAAAAGCCGCTTTGCCATTTTGAGCCATTTTCCCTGCAGGAAAACTTTTCGATTCGCGACAAACCTACTACACCTTAGAGACAGTTAAATTCAGTGAAATCGAAAAAAAAAACTGAAGGTTGGGAAAAGCAGTGGAGCAAACAATATTATCAAAATGCTGATTCATCAGTGAAAGCTTGAACGTCAACATAACTTTTTGAGTTGATTTTGAACGTCTGTTTTGAAATCACCACGATTTCTCGGAACACAGATTGACTGGGAAAACGTTTAGTGGCCACTTTAACGTTTTGACGTTTTAGTGACCACTTAAGTGAATTAGTGGCTTTTTTTTAGGAGTCTCTAGAGGGAGTGGTACTACTAGAATACTAAAAACCACTGTTATGACCACTCAGACGCGAAAAAGTGGCTTCTGTAGAGATAGTTTCAATGGCCACTTTAGTGCTTTGACGTTTTAGTGACCGCTTAAGTGACCAAAACTTGGTGGCCTCTTTAGGAGTCTAAATGGTACTATTGGTAATATAAAAAACTACTCAATTGGCCAGTAAGGCGCGAAATAATGGCTTCAAAAGAGGTTATTTTAGTGGTCACTTCAGTGCTTTGATGTTTTAGTGGCCATTAAAGTGACTATAGCTTAGTGGCCTCTCAAGGAGTCTGAGTGGTACTTTTAGAATACAAACAACTATGTAATGGTCTCATGCGCGAAATAGTGGCTTTTGAAGAGGTTATTTTAGTGGCCACTTTAGTGTCCAAGTAGTCATTGAAGAACCCCTTGAGTGACCACTAGACTTTTTCGCAGGAGATCAGAATAAACGAACAAATGAAAGAGGAGGGCAGTTGATAGCTGTTGATGGTGCCGATAAGGTGGTCGACATTCACGAAAGGGCCCATGAAGCACGACGGCGGCGGCAACATTTGCATGAGGTGGGCGGCAGCGGGAGGCGGCGGAAAAACGCCTGTAAATGTTGGACTCTTTGCTAAAAGTTTGAAAAGAAGCTGGACCTCCGGGAACTGGGTGATACGAGGCGCTGGTGTTGACTCGCGGCTTGAACGGGATCATCTGCGAGATGTCCGGCCTCGGGAAACCGTGCCTTCAAAGATATAATTCGAATACATCATGAAAACATGGTTCGAATCAAAAACATCGTTTTTAAATTCACTAGATCCTACTAAAACCTAGATTCTATCATTCTTACTACAAGATAATTTGAATAGTATAAACATTATAACCGGTTCAAAAATTGAAATGAAATGAATGAAAAAATGAGAAAAGCAATCGAACCCGATAAAATTTCTCATCTTGATTCTTTTTAAAGTCAAAATTTTCAATATCTTCCCGAAAAAATGACGTCTTTTTTAGCGGATTCACGGCTATCCTGAGCCATCGAAAAAATTTCGTGACACAATAGATAAAGAGCCAGTGCCTGGTTCGCGGAGGACGCAGACAGGCCACATTTTTTTTTTCTTCTCTGATGATCTCTAGTTATCCGTGAATCGACTATTCAATTACGCAGAAATTTTAAAGCTCCGAAAAAAGAACTGATTATTCACAAAGGGAGTCTTTAACAATTATAACGTTCTGATAAGTCGAAAAATGCTTTGTAGATACCCGATTTTCTTCTGAATCTCATCTTTATCGCCGAATAAGGGACCCTCTTATTGAAAAAATGACAAACTTCGCGATTTCGACGTTCCCACCGCCGCCCATAATGACACTGGCCGCTTGAGGGCCCAAAGTCGAGCTTTTCGAAGCCGAAGGCGTCGAGAAATTTCCGGAGTCGTTTAATCTCTATAATTCGTAAATTTCGATTGAAACCGCATATTTCGAATTACCTCTTCAGTATATCCAATCAATCTCAACTGATCGCTGCTGCACGGCATCAAGTTCATGAACTTGTACCTTGAAAATTTCATGGTTTTACTGAAAAATCTCTTTTCAAAATTACCTATCAATGACCAGCATGGAATTGTTAACAACATCCGAGCCATTGTTATAAGCTTCTTTTCTCCGTTGTTCCACTTTCAAAATGCTTGCCAAATCGCCGACAATTGATTCAAAATCCAAGTATCGGTCCCAAATTGGCCTGAAAGAGATATGGGAACTTGCAGTCGATCCTGCTCAAATTGGAAAAAATAGTGGTCGCAAAGGGAATGGTTTAATCAAAGGGCCATTGACTAGAAAAAAAGAATGTTTTTCGTGTTCGGCTATTAGCAACTTTCTCACAGAAAAAGTGAGCTTTTTTCAATTTTAATTCCAATTTTTTTTTTGAACTGAACTACAACATGTTAAGCCATTCTCTGTGCAGTCAAAAAAAGTTGAATATTTTTTTCTTTAAACTAAAAAAACTTCATTTTTCCGGAAAATATCAACTTTTCCCATGATACCCAAGCATGGTCCAAATAAAAAAAAATCATTTTTCTATAAAAAAAAATCCCACGTCGACTTCTCCGTCGGAAGGGTTGAGGAGGTCAGAATGCGCTCAAAAACAACCCGCGTATTGTTGTCCTCTGAAAAGCTTGAGTTTCAATTTCAAGAAAAGATTTTTCAAACCATTCAAATGCATGAGAAACTCGACATAAGCCCTGTCAAACTCCGAATCGTTCCCGTACTTTTTCAACCCGTAATCGAAAACTCTTTGAGCAACCGTCTTGTCCTGAAACTGCGCTACTTTTCGAGAAAAATACATTTTTTCTATTTTTCTTGACTTAATGGAAACTGGAGAAAAAAATTTTTGAGAAAATTCAAAAACTTTTTCATAGTTTTTCTACAAATATTTATTCTTCCTCACAACTCAAACCTTCAGAAGTAGTTTTCATACAGAATTATTTTTCAGTTATCCATAAATGTCTTAATTTGATGATTTAAAAAAAGTAAATAATGGACCTTCCCGCAATAATATTCCATGATGGCCGCCGCGACGAAAACCTGATGACCGCATCTTTTGTCTTCGCGAGCTTTTTTGAACACGGTTCTCGCCGCATTGACTCCTTCTACGCGTCGAGCAAACCGCATGTTGTGAATATATGTCTAAAAAAAGAGGCTGAAACAACAGAAAAAAACCATGGTTTGCTCTGTAAAAAAATAATAAACAAGATATAAAAAGATTTCGATCGATAAAATGATCTTAAAAGGTCTCCCTAGTGCTTTTTTTACAGTCTTTTTTTCATGAAAAAGCCCCATAAACAATTATTCCAAAAAAAGAAAAAAACTGAAAAGAAGCCGGTAAAAGTAGTTTTTCGATTTGAAATTTCGAAGATCTTTGAGACTCTTCTGCCTTCCGGACTATCATGAAAGCGGGAAAAAAACAGATTCTTTGACGAAATTTTTTTGTATAGTATAACAAGAGTTTCAAGAATAACAAATGCAAAATGTCGAATTTGGCAAAAACAAATTAAAAACCAATCCAAAACTAACCAAAGTCGGATCGATATGATCAATGGCGATGATTTTGTCGTAGATCTTCTTGACGTTGTCGAACTTCATCCGCTGCTCTTCGAAGTCGGCGTAGGCGTAGTACAAGAGTTTTGACTCCTTCATCAGCCCGTTGATAGCCCGTTCGAAGAGTTCTGAACTTCATCTACTTTCCAAAGTTCCGGTAACACTTTTGAAGGGTCGCAAAACGTGAATCTCGAAAAATTGAAACAGAATCATATTTTTTGCTCGAAATTATCAAACTATGGAACCAATAACGGCTGTGTAATCAAAAACTATTTAAAATTTCCGAATAATTATTTTTAATTCAAATGAAACGGTGGAAAAAATTCGACAATGAAAAAATTATTCAGATATGCCTCAATGCCCTTCTTTACGCCGTGGTTAAGTAAGTTTCGAGAATTTCAAAGAAAGTAGAGCGAAATTGGAATTTCTGGTTTTGGCCGTGAAAAAAACCGGGTCTTCAAACGAGATAGTAACTTTTGGGCGCAAAACGAAACATTTTAAAATTATTAGAGCATTTTTGACTAAAATTTCAAACTCACACCTAAAAGTCCCATATTCCCAAAATACCGTTGTAGGACCCAGTTTTTTTTTAAACTCCCGAACAAATTTCTTTTGCTTGTTTCACAAAATCGAGAAACACGTCGAGTTCGAAATCTAAAACTACTTCGAACACAGCGAAAAAACTCAAAATCCAATCTTATCCTCTCCGAAAAACTTATTTCAAAGGAACTGACACGATACAAAATATAATGGTAAATGCAAAACCAACGAAGAGTTTCCTGGGTCATGAACTGCCCGAGCTTGACGTCGCCTTTATCCGTCAACTTCTTGCTGGCTTCTTGCAGAAACAAGGCGGCTTCGTACCAAATGTCCGGATAATAGCCGAGGCAGAGAAGAGCCTGCTCGTAGGCATAGACAACTGGAAAAACTCTTGAAAAGTTTTACAAGAGAAAGTTTGAACCTCGCTTGGCAAACGATCCATATTCCTCAGTTTCCATCGGGTTTCCGCGCTCCCAGGCAATATACTTCTTCCACATTTCCACCTGAAAATCTTGATTAATTATCGGGAAACGGAAGCTTGGTTCAAGTATCCTTTTTTAGAGGAAGGAAAAATATTAATATATAAATCTTGATACTAACTTAAACCTATCAGGCGGCAATACACTTCTTTTACACTAAAATCTCAAAATCTTGAGCTATTTTTCCAAAAAACCTTGTCTGGGGTACTCATTTTCTCAAAAAATGTTAATATTATATTTCACTGAGATTCTTCTCAATATTCTCTTTCTCCTAAACGAATACCTGTTTGAGTTCAGTCGCCGTGCCGCGAGAAGGAACCGAGACGGCTTGTCTGTTCAACCCGCGCGTCATAATTTCCATTTGTTTCTCAACTCTTTTGGAGACCTGAAAATTAGTCAAACAAATTTTTTTCACTAAAATGATTTCTCAACTTTCATGCTTGAAACGAAAAAGACTATGGAGACATATCAAATTTTTCAAATTTTTTTAAATTCTTAAAATTCAAAGAACTTCGAAAAAGCCTCAAATGTACATCAACTGAAGTTAACACCAAGAACAGTTATTTTCAAGATTAAAAACATAGCTGAAGGAAATTTATCCGATTCTTCAACACACAAGAAGCGAAAAGCATCAACGAAGTGAGGAAGAAAAGTTCCAACTTTAAATTTTGAACTTTCACTAAAGAAAATATTGGCAAGTTTCAAAGGCACATTAACCAAAGACTATATCCCTGAGAATTCTACGCAAAAGAACTAAAAGTGAAACAAAATCCGTCTCTGCTCGGTTTGTGGGTTTACTTATCAGAAACTTGATTACGTTTTCAAAAAGTACTATAGTAGTGAAAAATCTAAATTCTGACGAGGGAAGTGTGTGAGGTCGGCATCACAGACGTGCTTCAAACTTTTGTGGAGTATTCGAAAACAAAAAAAATCATCTTTTAATCGCCATAGGGTACTGAGAAAAAGCCTGTCGAAATTTTTAAGAGTAAAGCTCAAAAACGGATTTTCTTCGGGGTTTTTGTGTTTCTTATGATACAGTGATTAACAGCCGGCGTTTTGAAAATCGATTTTTGAGCTTTTTTGAACATTTTCCCACAATTGCCTTGTAAAGATAGAGAATTTTTCATTTCGCGATGTTGTTTTTTTAGATGGAGGTAAAACCAAACCGCGTAGTCCTTGTTCCTCTCAGAGATGAGCTTCTCGGCGAGCGTGTTGTTGACGGATTTCTCGTAGGAACAGTAATCGTTCCAGAGCGTGTCGATATTGTGCATCGGAGTGAGGAGAGCCCGTTGATAAACGCGACGGACCGCCGTGATCCGCTGATTCTCTGCATATTGGCCAACTGCCGGGCTGAAACAGCCTTATCAGCTTGGAATGAAACTTGAAACTTACACTTTCTTCAAGAAGGCTATGTATTCCGTGTAAATCGCGTAGGAGTGCATATCCAGGCCAACTTTTTCCAGGGCGAAGTCGTAAGCTTGCGCCATTTTCTCTCTGAGTAGAGAAATGTTATTTTTCAAAGAAAAACAAACTATAAACGGGATTTTTAAAGGCGTATAAATGATCCTCAAAATGTTCTTGGTGCAAGTGATGAGGTCATAGTATAAATAAACTTGAAAGCTTTCTGTTTCTTTAAAAAAATGGCCAGTTTTTCGAAAAGTGATAACGAAGGTGAGATTAATTAGTTGAAAAAAATTATCAGCCTATTCAATTGAAAATTTTCAGACGATTAGGAAATATATAAACGGTAGGTATTCCGAAAAATGCTTGAAAGGACAAAAGTTTCAATTGATGGGTTTTTTTTTTCCAATTTTATGACAGCAATATTAAAATATACTTTTCGTGACTTTTTCCAAACTGAGTGAGAACAGTTCCACAATTCTCAGTCTCAATTTTCTCTATTTCGTCCACTGAAACAAACCTGAAACTCGTGAGTTGTCCCTTGGTTTCGTGGACATAGTGAATGTAGCATTTCCAGAGATCTATGTTCAACACGGTTACCAAACACCTTTTGAAAAGCTGAAATTATTGAGTGTTCCTAAAAATTTCCCTTGAACACTAACCTTTTCAACATTTTCGAAGTTTTTCGACCGCAGCTGTAAAATTAATGATAAATGATGAAGATTAGTAAATTGGGAGCTTTTTTGAACATTTTGCCTTGTTAACAAGTCTTCTCGGGAAATCGTTTATTGAAATGAGACGGCAAACAAAGCAATAAAAATATCTGGAGCTCAAAATTTTTATTGTCTTCAGGGTATGTTCAAACATATACATTTGTTCATGAAATGAGAAAATAGCCATTTCCACAGAGCTGCTGAGCGCAGAAATCAAGCGCGACTGCAATAAGTTAACGCTTCATCATCTACTCTGTCACACTATGAGCAAAAACTTTCTTCCAAAAAAATACCTCATGTTCGATGTAGGCCTTCCAATAACGGCCTGAATTCGGGAACTGCTTCACCAAACTTTCGTAAAAAGATCGCGCTTCATCAATTGGGCGATTCTACAGCAAATTTACATTTACAAGAGAAAGAAAAAATGAAATGTCAAAGCTAGAAAATTCATCAACAAACCTGAGATTCTCGAAGTAAAAGATTCCACGCATCCACATCGTAGGGATTTGTCTGAATCCGTCGTTCGGGAGCTCGCAAAGGGAGCTCCGACATTTGATCAGAACCTCTGGAAATTTCACATATCTTCTTCAGAAATCAAAATGGAAGAAAATTTTCTCGAACTCACTCAAATAATTTAAAATGGAGCGCGCGTGCAATCAAGAAAGGAAAATTGTTTTGAAACTAGAAAGTTGGGCATATTGCACACTTAAAATGCATCAAAAAACTTAATCGTATTAAACTAGATGAACTTTTATTGATTTGAAAGCATTATCAGTTATAAAATTCAAAAATATTGATAATGCGAAACCCAAATGAAATTTCCACGTCAAAAAAAAAAATCAAACATATTAGTCGTGAGGTTCTGTGCATCCGCGCAACACCGTTACGCTCCAAACGCAATATGAGTTTTTTACGCTCTCCTCGCCAAGATGACTTTCTTTGTTGTTGAATTATTTTTTCCGAAGTTCTGAGAAACAAAACTATAGGACCTCCCTATATGCACCACCATATGCAGGTGGACTATTCTAAAGAATGAAAAACTCAAACTTCTCCGGTTATTCTTTTCAATACGATGTCGAATTTCGAAACTTGACTTGAAAAGAGAAAAAATCAGTTTTATCAAACGTTTATTGTTTCTCGAACAAAAAATACGCGTTGTATATCGAGTATTTACACACGCCAATGATGGAAGACTATTTGGATATCACAGTATGGGCGCGAGCGGAATCCTTTGCAACGGGGTTCAAGATGAGAAAAAAGTTTCAATGATGAGACAAAGCTAAAACAAAATTGGATTAAGACAAGGCAATAACGAGAACAAGAGCAATAGATTTAAGCAAAGGCACAGGAGGAAAGATTGGCGAGAAAATGAAACCACCAACGAAAGAAAAAGAAATTAACAGGAATCAGACAGTTAGAAGAACTTGCAAGAGAAGATTTAAAACAGATTTGTTGGAAATAAACATTTGCAGAGGATGCCAAGGAAAGAACCAGTTGCTACCTGTATTTGACAATGTTCATGGAACAGCGATCGCTCAAACATGATAAAGGGAAATAAAGAATTTGCTCTGAGAAATTGACAAAATTTACAAAATGTATCAGCCGGGAAGGATTTTTCGCTTTCAGGGTTCCGATTTTGATGAAGGTTCAGAATCAGAACCCTGAAGATTTCGAATCATAATACCATTTGGAAGAAAATGATCGAGGAAGTACCCATAATGAATCGCACGTGGGAGGAACGAGAACCGAAAATGGGTTTTGAAGAATGACAAAGAATGGTCGAAAATTCGATTTTGGGATATTCTACACTTTATTAATCTCTGGCTGCGATGACCATTTCTACTGGAGTTGAGAGATTTTTGAAAAATTGCCAGAATACCCAATTGAAACCCAGGAAGTCTAGTTTCCAAAAAACAAGGGCTCAAAGCCTTGTAAACGGCTCGTTTCAGCGGTTTTCGATGGTTTTGTTCGCTTTGAAGCGTTTTTTTGGAAGTTGGACACTTTATCTAGTACATCAGTGTGTTCTGGTCAATTTTCAATGAATTCCCAATCCCAAAGTGAAATGACCTTTCAAATTTTCGACCAGTTCTTCTGTTAATCTTTTCAGACCCAATTTTTCGGTACTCGTGGGGATAAGTGAAGTGAGAAAGAGAGAGTGGAGGACAGCTAGACAAAGAATCCTTCGTCGCGGCGAGACGTCGATCCGCGAGCCGAATTCCTGAGAGCAGCCGGCAGCGTCGCCGTTCCGGGAGGCGTCGGCATCTGCATGGCCCCGTTGGTGTGGCCGTAGTTGCGGGCTTCCAACGCGTCGAACAGGGTCGTGCACTCCGGGGAGATGAGGCCCCAGGAGAGCAGCTCGTTGTGGGAAGTACGTCGCAAGTCGCTCAGCGACGTGACGTTGTGGGCGACGAGTTGTCCGTAGCAGTGGTGCATGCCGATGGATCTGAAATCACACTTGTTCATTTCATTCAGAGAGAAAACATTTCGGGCTCTATTGACTCACCTCAAGAACTCATCGAGACTCGGGATTGGTGGCGCTGAAGAAGGCGGCGAAGGAACAGCGGTGATGCTACCGTAGGTATTCGTTAGACTAAAAAGAATGCATAAATACGCAGTTCTGAAGCGAAATAAGCATCATTTTCTGCTCATAACTAATTTTCCTCCTATTCATACATTTACGACCTTTTTTTCAGGCCGCCAGAACCTCCCCTCAAGTCTTTTAAAGCTAAAATCATTACTACCTCCCTGAGTTTGGAAATGGATTTTCCGGAATTCTTGTAAGACAACGCCTACTCCCTGGCCTAGTGAGATCTTTACTCGCGCAAGTTTTTATCTTGACGTACTTGGCCGTACTCATGGACCGCTTGGGCAGCTCCCCCATGTCGCTGTGGATGATGTGAGGCTGGAGCATGAACTTGTGGAACATGGCGACGAGTTGGGCGAAGCTGGGCCGGTCGTGTCGCTCCTTCTTCCAGCACCACTGCGTCAGTCGATACAAGCCCATTGGACAGTCCATCGGCGGCGGCAGTCGGTAGCCGATCATCACTTCGCTGATCACCTGGAGCAGTCAGGACGATTTAGTGTCTCTACAATTGAATCGAAACCTTCTGGTTGGTCCAATCCCAATAGGGGCGTTCTCCATACGAGCACACTTCCCAGACGACGACGCCGAATGACCAAACGTCTGAGGAGGCGGTGAATTTTCGGTGGGTTATCGCTTCAGGCGACGTCCATCTCACAGGAATCTGGAAAGGAATTTGGTAGTGCAAATGTTGATTCTTTTTCTTGAAGCTGTCAGAAATATTATATATTAAAGTTGAAAAGCAAAACCGAGAACTGAGTAATGAAGAGCATAAATTTTCAAATGTTCACTCATAACTCACCTTTCCGCCATTCGTGGTGTACTCCTGTTCGACGGTACCTTCGACGCCCCTCGACAATCCAAAATCGGCGATTTTGCAACGAAGCTCTTCATCAACCAGGACGTTTCGAGCGGCAAGATCCTACAATTTGAAATTCCATTGAGAAACATTTATCAAAGAATATCACAGATATATAAAAGCAACACCTATAGGCGCCGAAAAATGGTCCCTCTAGGGGTAAAACTAAGGTTATCCAATAGGGGTTTAGGACCTGACCACCTAGCCTCTAAAGCTTTAGTACACACTATAGGGATTGCTAAAGTGGTTCCTAGAGGGAACCATTCAAGGGCTCCTAAGATTGTCCTATAGAGACCACTCTAGAGGTCCTAAACATGGGTTGAAAAATTATAGAAAATCTCCGCATTACCATTTTTTTTCTCTACAATTTTGCTGCAAATAAAAGAGTTAAATTTTTTTGTTCGAAATGCTCAGTTTTGTTGGAAACTCACTCTGTGAACGTATCCCATGTCGGTCAGATACTTCATGCCCGAGGCGATCCCGTGGAGCATTTCGCAAATCTTTTCCCAAGGCAACTTCTCGCCTCTCGAGTCTTTGATCCGTAAGAACTGATCCAGCGACCCATGCGACATGTATTCCGTTACTGAACAATCCAAAATTGGTTATAAAATTTAAGATGAAACAAACCAATCATGATAGGTTCAGAAGACGTGACGACGCCGATCAGACGAATAACATTGGGATGAGTGAACTGTCCCATGATGGAGGCCTCGATGAGAAACTCCGACTTCGCCTTGGCACTGCTGCCCGACTTCAGGGTCTTGATGGCGACGGTCTCGTACTGCTGAAAGCTTCAAATTGCCTACTGTAACACTACGAAACTTCTACCTCGCCGTCGTTGAACCTTCCGTGGGATACGGTGGTGCCGTACTTGTTGGAGAGAATCGCACTCCGATGTAGGCCACCGAGACAGACGTCGCCAAACTCGCCGCCTCCGATCACTTGAGTGATGAAGATGTCGTTGGGATCGATGTCGAAAGCGAACTCATTCAGAGCCTAGAAAAATAAGGTGTCAGGTGTGAGAAGGGACCCCGGGAAGTCTACCTGATTGGGATCTTCATAAGCGGTTGGATCTACGTAGGCTCTATACTTTCCACTGGTGGCCGGTCCGCCATAGTAAGGTGGAGGCTGAGAAATCGGACTTCCGAAGGGGATAAGTGGAGCGTTTACTGTAAAGGTGACATCGATGAAGGTTTTTTGATACTTTTAATGTGAAAAAAACTATTCTGATGATTTAAAAATGAACTAGTCGCGAAACGCGCTCTGGACGTTTCTGAGCGTTTCTAGGGATAACTTAAGAGCTCAGAAGCTACTAAAGTGGTCACTAGAAATATCCCGACATACTAAGATCATGGTACAAATTAGATAAAAAAATAATTTTATTACTAATTCTCCCAACTGAAAAAAAGTGATGTAAAGTAGTTTCTATTAAAATTTTCGAAACTTTTTCGCTCCATCAGATTTCAAAAACGACTCGAGAACTTTTTGAAAAGATCCTGGTTCCTGGACAAAAACCCTTCACAAGAACATAGAATTTCTACAAAACCACGATCTAACACCAAGTCGCGACCACGAAAAGCTTCGATTCTTGAATCGAGTGTTCATTTTCCGTTCTCTCTCTCTCACATTTTGCAACAGAACGAAATTGATCGTGCAGATGCGGCAAGTTGGGCTGATTGGGCGCGTGGCGGGAGTTGGTCGTGTGATAGTCGGGCGTCATCGAATCTGGAATATTGATCGAGTGCTCCAACTCACACGAATCCAGTCAACTTTAGACTCTTCGAGATTTTTGAGCCTTTGGCCACTAAAAAGCAAAGCGAGTTTATTCGATTCTTCCAAAAATCATAGCAAACTACACAGGAAGCGAAATTATCGAGTGCAAATCTACAAAATGATAAGTTCGTTTTGAAACAAAATTCTGCTGAAAAAACTAAAGACGTGAAAAAAATTTCTCTTTTTGGAAACTACAAAGCGTAGCAGAAGCAATTTTTTCAAGCTGCCATTTTCATTATTACTAAAAAGGGGTCCCTGTTTTCAGATTTTTCGTTCAAACAGAAAGCAGATGTCTTTTTTTCATAACTACCCTGGAAAAGGCAAGTGTCAGTCTAGTAAGCTTGAATTTCAACTTTCAAATCTTTGAAAGTTAGAGAGCATTAAAAAAATGAGAGGGTAGGCGTTCTTCTTTCTTTGGACGCTCTCTTGTTTCCCAGTGCTCTCTAGTTTTCAAATATTCGAATTCTCAATTTTTCCGTTTACACACCTTGTTTATAGGTGTCCAGGACATCCAAGTCGCTCATTTGCTTCCTGTTCCGGCTTTTGCGCTGAAACAGCAGCATACAGAGCATAGTGGCGATGACGATCAGGATTCCGGCGATTATCATCAACATCCAGCCCATGTTGTCTGTCAGCGCCGAAGCCGCCACGTTCGACTCGTCCGCCTTCTCTTTGCTCTGCGGTTGGATCTGCAGAAATATCCGGGTGTTATTCATCGACTTCAACACTTCACTTCTTTGTCAATTTTTTTGAAAAAAATGGCGGTTTCTTTTTATTATTTTTTTCATATTTTTTTAAAATTATAATTTAAAGGACCTCTCCGCGGCCGAGTTCATAGAGCAGCGGCTGGCTCCACCGGGGACTGTTCTTGGTCCGAACTTTGAAAGCGTAGACGACGCCCGTTTTCAAGCCGATGAAAGTTGTGTAGGAGGCGTTGACGAGTCGGACGTCCTGGACGCGTTTTCCAGTCAGCGAAGGGCTCACTTCAACCTGAAACTACGGAGATAATTTATACAGTTTCTCAAATATCAACCTCGAACTCCGAGATTCTCGGATCGGGCGTCGGCCAGCCAATCGTCACGCCGTCACTTTGGTCCGCATCGACTCGCAATGGGCCAATTATGGTGTTATCTTCGGCTTCTGACTTGGTTGTGACGTCGACAATGCTGTGTTTGGGCTCTCCCATGTTGGAAACCTAGAAATTACATCGAATTAAAGTTTGCTCGAAAAAATTGTAATGATTCTCTCCAAAAGGGCGGGAGCTTTAGAAGTTCAAAATTTCCGTTTTTTGTGACATAACGGAACAAAAATTTTTGAGAAGAAAAGGGGCACTACTTTGATTTTTTCCTTTGAGATTTTCTTTATTTTCTTTTTGGATAAGCTAAAATTAGATTTGATTACACATGCAGGTAATAAGACATCATTTTTTTACTTTACTTTTTGGAAAGCTTCTTCCGGCTGTAATACCCGGTAAATCCTATTTTTTCATTCAAGACTATTTTTTTTCTCTTTATAACCATTATTTGTACAACTAAGACACTTTGCTGAATTTTTTCCCCTGGAATCTTACCTTATTTTTGGAATAAACGTGGAAAGTATAGTCGGAAGAAGGTCGCAGGCCAGTGATGACCACCGTTCTGGACATGATTCGCTGCTCCTGCGGCAGAATCTTGACGTTGGAGCAATCTCCGCGTCCCCCGCACTTGACTTCGTACCAAACTTCCTGGAGGCGCTTGCTTTTCTCAATTCGAGTAGAATAAAAAAAACCTTTCTTCCACCGAGGCTCGACGGCTCGTCCCAAGAGAGTCGCACACTCGTGGAAGTCACCTCGGTGCTCTCAACCTTGGCCGGCCGAGAAGGCGTTTCTGAAGACGAGAACTCAGTTTTGAATCCATTTTTCAAACTTACGAGTGCAAGGGGCTGTGCTGAGGTCATCAGAAGCCCGAAAATAGCCAACGGCACACTGACAAGACGAGCTGGCTTCGGAATCAGTTTTGGAATTGGCGGGACACGAAATGCAGTCACCGGCTCCACGAGGTTTGAACGTGTTCACGGGGCATCCTGAAAAGAGAAGAAATTTTTTTTTATTGGAACGATCTCAAAAATATTACATCGCTTCAGTACACGCCCCCCTGCGTTTTAAAAACGATCAGTTCTTCTTTCTCTTAGTGGAGTGAGGCTCTGATTATAACCTTATCATCGAACTTTGAACTTTGCAAAAAAAAAATCCTCTTCGATCAAAGTTTTCTCATGAAATTAAAAACTTCAGATTCGAGCTTCTACTAAGCGATCCTAGCCGAAAATGATCGACAATGCTTGTTTTACAACCAACTTCCGGAAAATGACTGAACCAAATGAAACACTTGATCAATGTGATCGAAAATGGCCCCCATCACATTCCTAGCCACTCCAAGCCGAGTGATCCAATAAACAAGGGACGGATGGCGGAATGTTTTCGTTGTGTGCCTCTCCTAGATCACTCCAGACACGACGTGGCGCCACATGCGAAACGGTAATTACGAGCCTCTCCTATCCTCGTCGAAGAAGTTGCGCCAAGTGCGTCGTAAAACTTTTATACCGCATATCATCATATATCTCGAGGTGGAGTCTCCAGTCGCCAGTTATGGCGGAGGGACGCAATTTTTACGAGCATCTCGGGCCAGCAGCCTCCCCCCCCCTCATACTTTGGCGGATCGTCATCACCATATATGACATGAATTATTCTCATGTTGTTCAACTCCAACTCGGCCAAGCGTAGATAATGGTAAAGATAAACGAATTGTTGGAGGTTGGATACGGGTGCTAATGAAATAATCGAATTTCTCTCGCTGGCGCGCCGGTTCCCCATTGTTCATTCAGCCGCTCGCGGAAGTAACAGCTAATTTGGATATGTGACTGACTGTTGAAAAGAAATCGCCGTGTGAAAAATAGCTACGGACTTCCATTCTTGAGCCTGATTTTTCCCCTTAACAGAGTCCACAAAGACCATATTCGGATAGGCTACCCAACTGCTTGCTCATTTGTCGCATGCGCAATCACCACAACTCCTGATTACGGTCATGATTATTGACCAGGTCGAGGTGTTGCGCAAATGATTCTGTAGATGATAACGACGTGCTGCGCCGAGATGAAAGGCGTCGTGCCGCAGTCAGAAACTTTTTTTTTCTTCTCAACCAACGGGTCAGCGATGATTGGAAGAGCCGCTCATGCGCAACCGTTCGTCCCTAGTTCCGACCATTTTTTTTTTCTTCTTGCAATGTCCTCAATGTCCCGACCGGCGGCGACAATTTTTCCGTTGAATGAAGATCGAAAATGGATATGGGAGATTGAATCGAAGGCAAACAACACTTTTGGAGAGCCGAGCCGCGTCGCATCTGCTTCCGCCCCGACACATGGCAAACGTAGCCGTTTTTGTTGCCTTTTTGTCGGCGGAGCGGCCGAGGCCACTTTGAGGATTTGTGTGTGGTGAGAAATGAGATTAGCGGCCTCCGAAGATATATATTTACATGAGGGTACCGACGTCGGTCGAATGTTTGTACTCCATGAGGTCAACAGCACTCAAAATCACTGAGAGCCGTTCCCGCATGATGCCAGCGAAGAGCTGCCCAAGGCGAGAAGGAAGCATGTGTGGTCCTCAGAACAGGGTTAAGAATCAAATTATTAAAAAAATCTACTTCTTTTTGTTAAAAAAAAAATTTTTTCTCTAGTAAGTTTCTAAGTTTCTAAACCAGTCTTTCAAATACCCTAATAGCTGTAGAAGACTCTCAAATCGAAATTTCAAGTTCTCAAGTTTAAAAAATGAAAAGCTGCGCGAAATATTGCTTCATACTATGAGAAGAAAAAGCCTAGTTTTGCAGACCTGGCTGAAAAATTCTAACCAAACTTTTTTTTTCAAAAAAAGAGAGAAACTTGATAGAAAAGCTAAAAAGGTCCGATCTCAACCTATTTTTGGTAAGAAAAAACGCCCAGTTCAACTCCTTGTAATAAAATCCTAGAAATAACTTGAGACTCCGAAAACTGCTTCCTTCTCATTCTTTGCAAGCAATCGTTTGTTTCATTTTTTTTCCTATAAAAACTTCAGTGGATCTTTCCCAAAAAATCCTTATTCAGCTGGCAGGAAAGCAGGTCAAGCAGAAGGTGTCAAACGGCTCTCAGATCAAACGCTTCCGCAAGCAGGTGAGCCAACAGAAGAAGAAAAAAAAAATCGGCGGCGCGGCATGTTTTCAGCACAAACCCATCCCAAATAAGGCTATACGCTTGATTGCATGGAAAAATCATGGGCAACCGAACACCTAATGACCACAATCGCGAAATCGCCGATAGCCACCTGTTGTTGTGTTGCATCTACGGCCATCGACGGCGATTTTCATTCAAAATCGCCCCGGCTCGAGAACCACCGCTAATTGCCTTTTTCGTTGGCAACAAACGTTCAAGGTTGACCGAATTCCAATAAATTGATAATTGCTTGATCTTGTGAATGCCAATATTGAACCAACAATAAAGAAGAAGGGCAAAAAACAGCGGCAAACGTCTGAACTCATTAATATCTCAAAAGCGATATGATAATGACCTGCGCAGTCAATTTGCACACACACAAAGGACTACGCCGCGATCATTATCTGATTTATTGGTTTCCGTCTCGAGAGATATTGGTCGGACGGGTGAAGACGGCTAAGAATTAATGACCAAGTTGCTTTTGGCAAAATCTATCCGTCGAACTTTTCCAAGATTTTCCCTGGGAAGTCTTGAGCTTTCGCTTCTCAAACCGTCGATCGCACCTGCCGCTCAAGGAAAGCCTCTTAGCGTCGCCGCAATTTGCGAATATTTGGCGGACAATTCACGACGCATGTTAAGCCAATTACATACGCTCAATGGACTAAGAAAATGAAGGAGAGGCATCTGATCAACTGGAATATCCACAAATGGGATCATCTCAGAACCGGTGGCTCTTTTTTTCTTGTCATTTCCTCTAGAAAAAAAAGAGCCGCTGTTTATGTGAAGTGGATTGGAAATACTTGGAGATAAACTTACTGAAAAAAAAAGCATGAGTGAACTTCAAAAAGCCCTAAAAAAGTCAGAAAACTGATTCTGTCTGCAGGTTCAAGGAAAAAGCTACCATAACCGTTTTATTAAAGGATAGGAACTTTGAAGCAGGCTGGTGAGCCGATAAAAAGATCTATAAGCCAGAAAATGTCAGACAAGCTGATTTTTTCCTCTTTAATATATTATGGTTTCAGAAAACTAACTTTTTCCCCGTCTTTCGTGATCATTTTTTTTCCAGCCGCTCAGGAGCCTCTCCTCTTCTTTCCACATCAAGGAACCCTTGGGAAGACGGTTTCCTTCAGGAAAAAGAACCCACACACACGTCACCGTCTGTAATTATGGTGGCTGACGCAGCTTTATGGTGATACTCCGTATGTTGCGGCGGCGGCGGCTCTTTGATGGCCTCCGTCTTGCCAAGACGCCAACCGTTCCGCCGGCAATCCTTCTCCAACCCCACCGTTCGCAAACTCGTAAAAAAAAAAGAAATCGTCTCATTTTCCACATGTCACATTAAACGCCGGTGCCTTATTTTCCGCTTTCTAAATAGCCGATACTGTATGGGAAAGGACTGTTAATTGAAAAGAGAAGGTCATCGCAAATGTTCTGGGAAAGAGAAAAAAGTAACAATGAAGTGTCTGGCGCAAAGTTTCAGTACAATTTATAAAAAAATGAGGTGCTGAAAACTCGCCAATATATTCTATTCTAGATGAAACTCGAGCTTTTTCACAGATAAAAAAATTACTTGATGTTCTTCCATACTTCAAAGTGAAGCCAAGACATCGAATATTCCTAATTTTTTAGGAACTATACTTAAAAGTAGTTCAAAAAGAATTTTTCTCACTAGAAGCCCTTGCTCTTTCCAAACACATACTTCAAGTCTTCAACCTCTAAATTTAGCCCAACTTTTGCAGCTCCCCGTGCAGGTACCTCATTGTGTGGCAGTTGAGATTTCTCTTCGAAACCCAACAATACGCAAATGAATAAATTAGCGTCGTCGCCGTCGCGTGAACCGCAAGGACACGGCGACGACGAGTGACGCTGCGGTGCATGCATCGCCAACCACGCTAAATGCCTGGATTTGGGAGTCGCGCTCGCGAATTCATGCGTCTTGATGGACGTACTCAGGCAGTGCATTGTCGTCTCGTTGAGGTGGTCGACGACGATTGAAGAGGAATGCCCGGCGACGCATTCGCATTCGCCAGTCGTGTGCCTCAGGTTGCCCGAAGGCATGCACAGAGCCGTCAGGCCGACTGAAAAAGAGACAATTTAAACAGCTGAAAAATAATTTTCTACATTCTCCTTTATTCTAAATACGCTTCAACGTTATGCAAAATCAACTCAAATTTTTCAAAGCTTCAAAGATAAAATTTCGCTCCATAAACTCATATCCTTCTATAGAATATCTTCCATTTTTTTCTAAAAAGTACATTTTGTGGTGGCAGTTCGATTCCCATGAACCCGATTTAGGATCCTTGCGCAACAGAGAGTGTAAAAAAATACACAACGTTTTTTTCCAGAATTTCTCATGGGATATTTTTTTCCAGGTTCTGGGAAGATACTAATTTTTTTTACCACTCGAAAAAAAAAATCTCACAACCAATATTTTTTTGAATTTGAACTTGAAAACGAACTGTCATATTTCTTCTGGGAGTTGGGAACACAAGTTCCAGTGATTGTCAACGGCTCCATGCTCGAAGGACCCGTCACCGGGGCGTAGTGAACGAAGTTTTGAGTGAGTTCATCGCAAACGACGTAGTAGAGCTGAAAAAAAAAATCAATATTTGAAAAATGTCTGAATACTGAACAGTTTTTTTGCATAGCTCTCTCTCTCTTATTTGAAATGTTCGAATCAAAGTTATAAAATTATTTTTTTTAAATCTCTCCGTTGAAGCCGATAACTTCTACAGAATGACTTCAAAAACCTTTTTTTTTTGACTCCTTATTCTGAAAAATTCCAACTGGCTAGTAGTTTTCCAACTTTTTACCGTTGAGTTTGATTTTTCAAATATAATCTGATTCCTTGTTCAAAAAAAAATTGTTTAAACAGTTGTATTTACACTGGATCGAATCCCCTGTGAAAAATCCTCAAGGAAAAAAAAGTTTGCAACGTCGAAGGTCAACACCTTAAATCAATCTTTGTTGCAAAGCGTCGCCCTCGTTCAAACAAGACGAGCCATTGTATCAAAGCGGTAAATGCAAATGTCGAGGATGAAACCATTCGCTGTCAATTTCGAAGGATCCACCGTCTTCGAGACTCCAACTTCCATCTAACAGAACTTGTTTGTTTTCGAACACATTCCTCGATTGCGCAATTCCCCGCGTCCAGCTGCACCCTCAACTGTGTCGCCGTTCGCTCATCAACTGCTAATGTCCAACTTTTTTCCCCCTTCCATCTTTGAGTTCGTCGCCGTGGTAGGAGAAAGTTGCTTAAAGGGTCGCCGACATTCACATAAATTCAGATTTAGGAGGGTGTTGGCCCCCAATGAACGTCGAAAAGTGAACTCGTTTTCTCTTTCTCATTCGCTTCGTTTTGTACTAAAACGGAGACTCCGATTTCCGCATTAGCGCGTTCGTACCAACAAGCTTTGAAAACAAGGACACACAAGAGACAGTAGCAGCGAGACTTTGACACTTTCTTTTTTTTTGCTGGTCGTTGTAATCCCAGCTCGCGAAAAAGTAACTGTGACCTATTTACACTACCATTTCCATCGCGTCCCCAAAAGATCATCAAATCATTCAAACGAGATTTGATGGCCAAATCTTCGGAGCGGCGGCTCATCTGGTATAAGGCAGACGGATCCCGAAGAACAATGCCAATATTTTTTACTGTCGGTGTGGCCTCTCGTAAAAACGGTTATGTGAATGTGTGCTCGAACAGGCACGTGTGTCTTCCTCCGGCGACACACATTAACCAAAATTATTCATTCATTAGCGTTTTCCTTACATCCGACCCGCAGGATGACCCATCGTTAAGGTCGTCTTTGGGTCAAGCCGACAATTCCGAGAATGCCTGCACACATGCAGGCCTCGCCATTCATCCAGGTCTTGTAATGTTCTCAGCGGGACAGGCGGCAAAAGAGACTTCTCCCCTCATAGGGGAAAAACCCCGAAACTCTGTCATAAATATTAGACCAATTTCCTCGGAAGCGGCCTGGTTCGGGCGGAGATATCTGGCGGACCTGTCATTTGTCATCTACCCAAATGATTGCGACATTTGGCACAACATATTTACAGCCATCTTACCATCAACAGTTTCTCCGGAGAGGAAGAGTTCGTCAAAACTCGCTTATTAGCACTTCATAACATCTGGAAAAAACAACGAGAGGTCAAAAAATGATAGGTTAGACCAAAGGAGCGAACATGTGGACACAAGTTATGGCAGAGGTGATTGACAGGCGCAACAGTCGTTGGCTTATTCACCTGTTCGAGTCGGCGGATTGCGCAATGACTCGATGCAACACCATCAACACGGCGCCGTCAGGTATTCTGGACGAAGACGTCACGTCCTTCCGGACTTCTTCATTTCACAGCGTCAACAACCGGCGCTAATGGTAGAATAAACAAGAAAAAGTTGAGATGAAAACTTTCAAAGGTTTTCTATGTATATTTTCTTGACGGAAAGGCCTGAGAAACTTTAAAAAAACCTTGGAAAAACGTTCAGACTGTTCAAAATTCTTTTTTTGAAGGCAGAAAAGTTTTTAATGACAAAAAAAAGCTTCTTTCCGGAACTCGCTCATGCTCCATATACCCCATTAAGAATTTGTGAAAAACAAAAAAAAATCTCTTTTCTAAGCTTTTGTAGAACTTCAGTAAGCCTTCGTTACAGTTTTAAAAAAAAGTTGCTACATTTTTCTTTCTTTTCTTTTCAGAACCTTTCTTGAGAAAGTGAGGATGTTGTTCCCTCTTCTTTCCAAAAAAAAAAACTCCAGATCTCGCGTGACAACTTTCGGCACCATTCAATACAAGGCACACAGCTGCAGTGGGTCGTGTTGAATGGCATCATTGGTGGCAGAGCAAACGATACCATATACGAGCCGAGGTGACATCTGCACCCTGGCCCTTGTATTTTTCATGGCGCCAGCAGCTTGAATAGAAGAATATCCGTGGCGAACCTCAGCGTCGGCAAACATCCGTTCCTGAGCACACAGACTGTCCATCTCTTCGTAGGTGTTAAGTGACCTCCGCCACCTTCTCGAGATACCTTTTTTGGAGCCTGTGCCACCTTGACAGCAAACAAACTTCCAATGGCCAGAGTTTGATCCATCAACAAGATTAAGTGGTGCTCCACACGCGTGTACCGGCTGGAGCAAAGTGCACCAAGTGAAGAAAAACATATACTTTTTGGCCAAGAAACGGCCGATAATTAGCCCCAAGAGGATGGGGGCGATCCATCATTCCGGACGGACATGGTGTCGCATCCGCTAACTACCACTGAAAGTGCATCTTGCGGAACCGTTTCGTCCGTCTGTTCCGAGCCAAGATCATCTTAATTAATGAGCCCTGGAGGCCTGGCTCAGCCATAAAAGTCGACTCGTTAAGGAAGACATGCGTGGATGAGTGATGAGCTTCAGAAATACGACGGCGGAATAGGAAATGAAGAGAAAACTACCAAAACAAAGCATTCCAAATCGAGAAAGAATGGTTTTTTCTATAATTTTATTGAATTTTTTTGAAAAATAATTTCAAGTAACATACGACATTGGTTCAATATTCTTCTTTGAAAACTCCAAACTTTTTTGCTCCAAACTCTTACCGAAAAAAGCCCTACGAAACCCCAATCTGTACCGAATCATAGCCAAGAACCTCAAAAATATATACCTTGACGGAAAGCAGTGACACACAGACGCCGGTGTCTTCAAAGGCGAAACGGACGGCGCGCGCTCCAGCCGTCACCGTCAGAGGCACGACTTCCGTCGTCGTGTTCGGCGTCTTGCGATACAGAGTCGCTACTTGTTTCCTGCAGTGAAAAAAAATTATTTCCTTTATTTTCTCGACGCTACCAAACCATTCAGACATTCGTTTCTGGAACTTGGCCTTGTCGACAATGTTCTCCTTGGGCGGATCTTCGACGTCGTACTGCTTGGCGTAGATGGCGACCGTCTCCTTGCAGGCCTTCGTTTCATCAGACAGAATACAGTCACGCGTATTGAACATGACTTGCATTAAAATGCTGAAGAACTTTTTTCAAAATGATTCTGAGATCGATGAAACCTCTTGGCGTCGTCGGTTGGAACGACCGGCGTGAAGAGCCAGTTGCTCGGATTCTGTTGTTCGTAGTTGCAGGCGACGTAGGTCGGGATGTTCTTGTTGTCTCCGTCTCGCCATGTTTCCTCGACCCACTGGAAAATAAAAATTCAGAAAATAGTTACAACTTTCCTGATCAGTTTCGAGTATTCAGATTTTTCCAGCAATTTTCCCAATTTTCTAATTCAAACCAGAAACACTAAATCTTGAAATCAATCCTTCAGAGAAGTCTTGACCGACCCTTCTAACTTCAATAACTTCGAGAAAAACTCCACACCCCCATCGGCCATCAAAAGACGTAGAGTCCTATATTTTCACGCCATTGTTACTGTCAAAGTGGCCAACATTTTCCCGACGACTCCCAATGTGCACTCAGCGCCCATAAACGGACAAACGCGTTATCTTCATGTTCATCTTCTCAATCCGCCGCGCGCTACTTTTCCAGAGAGATCTCTCGCCTTATTACGTCTTGTCTCGTTTCAATCACTCAAACAAATAGGCAAAAATCAAGAGTCGTTCCTCGGAGGAATTATGCGAAAATGGGCGTCCTGGGACAGAAGTAAGCATGGCTGCAGAAAAAAATGAGCTTGAACTGACACTCCAAAGTGCTGCTCGGAGAGAATTATGACTTTTGAAATATGCTCCCTCCATTTTTCTTATTTTTTGTTTTCGTTTTGATTTCCACTGAGCCCTGTCACTTGCCCATCAGGCTGAAAACTTTGCTCAACTAATAAAGAAGTGTCGCGTTTTGAATGGATTGTGTCATTCTGCAAGCGCCGTCGTGGTGACACTCAACACAAAATGACAACGCGACACGCAATGCAATGCTTTATAAAACAATTGAAGACGTCTATTTCTTGTCGAAATCGGGAGAAAAGCAACCAACTTCGGCGCTACCACTCTTCACTTAATCCCGTCTTTTCGTGACGGTTCTCCGAGGGGAGTTCCGCCACAACTAAGCCACGCTTGAGCCGACGCCTACATGATTGTGTAGAAGAGGTCCTTGAAACTCGGCATTTTCTCATGGCGCCGATTCAAACTCAAACAGACGGTGTCCTCGACTCTGGGGAGGCCACAGGTGAGAAACGAGAGGAGAAACAACAGGCGCTAATGCAAACAAGAGAAAAAAAACGGACATCCTTGGAGTTTAACTTTTGCCTCGGAAATCCAATTGAGGCGACAAATGGAGGGCCATCAAACACGTGATGAGACCGCAACATTTGGCGCGCTGTGTTTTTTCTTCGGTTCTACGGAAGTTCGCGAGAAAACATATAATTTATATTCGGTTCAACTGACTTTGGTTACATAAAAAAAAATCTGTACTGTAAAAATGTTCAATCGAAACTTGTCGATTTTCAAATTTTTTCAGCAAACACATCAAACAGACCATAGAGCTACCGGTTACCCTAAACTTCTGCTTTTTTTTCAATTCTGATTTTTGCCCCGATTTCAAAGAAATTTTTTTTTTCCAAAACCTGAGTTCACCCCGACCACAACAAGACCAACAACGACATGGAAAAAAAAAGTCCGTTTCCGCTTTTTGGCGCATTCTCGAGCTCTCACGCCGGCGCGCGTTTGTCCAACGGATTATGGAGGCTCGAGTCCTAAAGACAATGCCAGAGCAGTTCTGGCTGTCACCACACATGTGTGAACTGCTAGTGCAAATCGGAAGATGGTTTTCTGCGTCCTTTTTTTTTCAAACCACCCGGTCAGGCGTTTGTTTTTTATTCCTTCACTGGGAGAAGTTGTTCTCATCGTCCCCTGTCGCTAAGTGATTTATGGACCACCATTGAGCACCGCATAAATACGGAATGCCTTTCACAAAAAACTGACAGCCGCCTGCAAAAAGCGAAGAGGTGGATTCTTCCCTTTTCTCCGTTCAGTTAGCCGCTGGCCACCACCATATCCTTCTCAATTCGCTCAGAAAAAAAAATGCGTCATTACACACCGTCCACACTATCGTTGTTGTTCGTCATCGCCAAGGCTACGCATCGGCATCGTATAAAAGAAAAGAACACAGACTAATGGGCTCGGATTAAAAAAAAACATACGCTGAAGTTGTGAAAGGATACTTTTCTTAGAAGTTTGAGAAAGAAAATCTGAAGAAACTGCGGAAATCTGAGCAATTTCTTGAAAAATCTGACATTTCTCGAACTCCTCTTTTTCCTATTTTGCGACAAAAAAATGTTGGAAAGTTTTCAGAACAGAATCAACCATTCATCGTTCCTTTTGAACCTGGTCCAGGATTGAAGAAGGATCTTTTTTTATAGATTTCAAATTTTTTTCTCAAATTTTTCTTTTTTTCTGAAAGCTCGTTGGTTCAGGATGCACTGAAAATTTCGAAAATCTTCGCCCCCCTCTCATTTCAAGGATTTCACGCATCAGTTCCAGCAGATCACGCGAACGACGTGATTTCAACTCCATAGTCGAAACGGGCGATGGGGAATGGCGCTGAACCAGCAACTCGTTTGAGCGGCAGGTGCAAAAACGGTATCGGCGCACAGGATCCAGAATCGTATTCTTCAAAATTCCCTCTGAATGTAGTTGGCACCTGCTGCTGACCGCCGGCCAGGCGCCAAGACATCTCCATTCACTACTTTTTTCCCGTCTTCAACAGTTGTTCCACCTGTCGTTGGAAGGTTCAACAACGATATTTCGAAGCACATTTGGGGACACGGCAATTACAAGAGCAAATGAGATGGTTTGGAGGGCTGCATTTCGGAGCAGTCGCTAATGGAACCGTGCCGCGACAAATGACAGGGTTGTTGCTCAACACACGTACCATTATCAACTGTACTGTGCGGCCGCACGCGACAAAAGAAATGGCAAGGTCGGCGACACATCCAGACGATTTGGCCACGGTCTCGTGCACATCCATGGCATCCTCAGGAACGGCATTACCAACAACAACAACTAGGAACGCAGGTCCCAAATTGAAATAAATCTGTTGGATTTTTTGGGTACTCTCATTTGGAGACTGACGCCTATGCTCACCCACATTCAGACAAGTGGATCGCTGAGACCACTTGGAGTAGGCGACGACGACGACGATTGAGTACGGCTCAGCTCAAGATGGAGAGAGTATCGAGGCAAGATGGCGTTGGGTGTGAAGTCGTTGGAAAAGGCTAATGACTCCTCCAACGCGAGCAAGAAATTCTCTGCTTCCAGGAATTTGAGTAGCTTTATAAAAAAAAGCACATCTCTCTCAAACATAGTTTATATAAACTACAGCTCTTTGATTATTCTCAAAACTAGCCCTGAATGGAAAAAAAGACAATTTATTTTTTTAAAATTGCTTAAAAAAGGCAGAGTTAGAAATTTTGAATTCTGTCAAATCTCCAACGATTTCCAGCCCGTTTTCAATCAAGTGGTCGATCCAAAGGCCGTCCACTTTTGGTCTTGAGAGTAGATCGGCCTCCAATTGATTCAAGACGAGATTGAGCAATGCAGCGCGTTTCGCATCACAAGAACCCTTGACCGCAACGGCGCGACTTGGCCAAAAGCCAGTATCGACCCTACTTGAACAAAATCTCCCGTTTGATGCCCAAGATCCCACGCGCGCCAAAAAGAAAACTTTGGTCTGTGTGTACTTGTAACATCAAAAAAGGCGCCGCGGCCCGAATCAACGATATCGTCCACAGGCACACAATACACACCTAATCGGTTTCTTTTTTGGCGCGTCGCACGCTGAGAGTCGTGTGGAGTTCTCAGAGCAAGGCTTGGCGCCTTTTTGTGTGCTCGCGATGATCCTCTTGCCATTGTTCAACTTCTATCACAGATTATATTCTAAGAACCGGGAAAACCATTTGAAAAATAAAAGCTAAAAACCGCTTGAAAGATGTTAGCTCAAAACATAAAACCTTAGCCTCAAAATAAGTGTTGACTTTTTTATTCATTCAAAAAAATTAGCTAACTTATTCCACCCAACATAAAAAATCTCAACTCACTTTCTCTAGACTGAAAATACTCTCAAAAAAGATCCCTCCATTCACAATACTGAAAAGTAAAAAGGCTGGTGCTTAAAAACCCCAATAAACGTCCTCAAAAACCACTAAAACTCGTTCAGAAGAAAAAAGCCCCCAAGGCAACATAGGCGCTGGTCAGTCGCAAACTAATTCGACTAGTAGCTTCACACCAGCGTCGGCGGCGGCAGCGTTTCGAACGAAATTTGCTCGCCAATTGCATCGCTTAATTGGATTATACTCCAAGAGTGACCAGCAGAAGAGCAAGTCGTCGAAAAAGGAAATTAGGAGCAACTCCTTAATCGTCTCCTTTTCTAGAAGCTCCTTCGCTTTGGACCGTCGCCAATGTTTCGTCTTCAACTAATTTCGTCCTCTCTTCGACCCTCATTTTCCCACCAACTCCATCTGCGACATCACATCGTAGAAAAGGAGTAGTAGTAGAGAAGGAATTTGCCCAAAACGAAAAATGGACGAGAAAGACGAAGAAGATGCAAAGGGGAAGAAGGACAGACTGGGAACAAATCCCTCGAGAACTGCGCTCGTGTTTTCAACAACTATTTTTGCAAGCGTTTCGCGAGGCCAAGGAATTTTACACGAGTAGGAGACCTCTTCCAAATGAGACAGATGCACATTGAATAAAGGCGGCAAGACCTCGGGGGAATTTTTTTCCAAGAAACTTACGGGATCGTCGCGGTCGTGTCGTAGAGAGATCTGGTCCCATCGCAAGTCCTGGGTCTTGATAGTCGTGGTGTCGAAAAGAACCACTGAAAAAAATTGATTATTTTGTTTTTCAGCTCATTTGAAAGTGCAATCGGAAAAATTAATGAGGCTGGACCTTCATAAACTTTTTTGGTACAAGAAGCTAAGCTTTGAAAAAAAGCTAATCAACTTTCTTTTTTTTGAAATTTTCGGAAATCCAAGAAAAAAAAACGATGAAGCTCAATACCTCGAAATTTGTTTACAGAACTAATTTTCAAAACCTTTTTCGATACATTTTCAAAACGCGATCTTCCGCAAATTCTGTTCCCATTTCCTTCACACTTCGTGGTACGTTGTTCCGAACAACCAATGAATGAAAAACAAGGCTTGGATTGCTTAGATTTTCCTCCGGATACAAAAGTCGTAGAAAAAAGAACTGCGCGTCGAGGAGAATGACCCTCCCAACGGCGTGTGTGGCTGCGGCACTTGACACATCTTCTTGCACCAGTTCATCCACTGGAGCTGATCTTCGCGGCCACTCATCAACTCTTCATTCAGCAACTCTCTCGCCGAGGCAAGAAGCTGAGGAAGAAAAAAAAAAATCGTGCCGATGCGATTGGTCAAGTGAAAGATGATATTGCGCAGGAGCCGGGGGTCATTGTTTATTTTTGAGCCTCGCAGCCATTTCTCGCCTCTTTTTTCTCGCTGCTCAACCTTTCGTGATCGGCGGCTCATCAATTTTTATAATCGGCTTGGCCCCTCTGACTTCGTGTGCGCTCGGTGTCTATTTATTCTGAGCTTCCGTTGGGAATAAGATCAACATCGCATGGAAAAAATTGAAAAAGAAGTGCTTTTCAAAAAATATCTTTGAAAGTCCATGGTCAGAATGAGCAGGAGAAGCACATCGCCACGGGTGTCTCATTTTTAATTCATTTCATTTCGGACCCCACTTTCCCGACATAGCCGTAAAGAGAAGCAAGGAATAAAAAACGAGAGCCGGCACGCCATTCAGGACCTCTAAATCGCCGGAAGCCCATTCAAATTGTCAATGATTTTTATTAGGCCTACGAGGCTTCTTCTGCCTCTGGCGGTGGTCATGGAAGTCGGCTGGAATGACCATTCAGGGTCTCCAGGAGTTTTCATCTCGGCCAAGTGCGCCATTTCGAGGCCAGCCGTCTGTTTTGTCGCACACTCACAGAGACCTACGGCGCCATGAAGATGCTATCTGAAGTCGCCTCTCGAAATTCCTTCCTTTCTTTTTGGCCTCCCGCTACTTACCAACAGCACCAAAAACCTCCATCAAGTGAGGCCATGTAAAGCAAATTGAGGGTGACTCGACACGGTTGGTATTTTGGCTAGCGGTGTCAGCAAAAGGGCAACGAACAGAAACATTTTGTTGCGTTTTTGGAAGGTTGAGAAGGTCTCACCGTACAGAAAGGGCACTGGCCGGTGGCTCAACGACTGATAAATGTGATTTACACCTCGAGAGCCGCCTAACATTTAGATTAGAGGTGTCGGCAACAATCGGCCGAGCCATTAGCCTCGAGAACAATCATCACTCTTCAATAAGATTACACAGAGAGGAGAAACGTCTTCTTGCTCGGAGGCAGATATGTCAGAAGCTTCAACACAAGGCGAGAGGTGTGAGTGCGAACGGAAATCTGCCCGCAGAACAGTTGCTGCCACCCTGCGTCGCTCCAAAATATCAGATATCCTCTCGACACCTTTGCCTATCAACGTTTTCCCGTCATTTGTCCTTTCTAACGACAAAAGGTCGGCCATTTGTACGGGACACTAAACAATTTGAAGCTGCCAGTGTTCCAGAATGAAAAAAATGACCATTAAGAAAGTACTAGGGAGATTTTGGAGGAACAAAAAGTTAAACTAGCCACTGGAGGGTCTTTTGACTTTTTCCTCATATCTCTGTTCAAAATTAAAAAACTTCAGAGCAAGAGTTCCAAGAATTATGAAGTTGAATCCATCAGTTTCATCAAGAATATACAAAAAAGAAGCTAAAAAAATAAAAATAGAGTTTCAAAAAAAACCTTTCCAATTTTCTAGCGTTTTTTTTTCGGCTCAAGTTTCACAGCAATCATTGATTACCACGTCGTGAAAAAAAAACCAGTGGAACTAATGAAAGGTGAGGTAAAAACTTGGACAACAAAAAACACTTCAGATCAACATTTTTCAATACCATTAGGTAGGAATTTTCAAAAATCGAAAACGTGTTTTTAAAGTAATTATTTTGTTGTAAAATGAACTGGTCGTTTTTTCTCAACACTGAATGGAGTACAGATGACGCATATTAAAACTAAAGAGGCCATTTCAATCAAAAGATGATTTTCGAAAAGAAATTGCAGAATTACTAACATTTTTCTCTCTGCATAAAAGTACAGCGGATTCCCATAATGCAAAACGAATGAAAAGCCATTCAACCTTCACAAAACGCGCAAAATCCATTGGTTTTTCTCCATCCCATAAAATAACCAACAACAACAGGGACATAATTCGGTCGGAAATAGACAATGAATGGGAGTTTGGCGGAGGCCAACTCAATGGCGACATGCTGGCGTCTCATATTCGGGAACCTTTTTTTCTTCTTTTTTTTTTCTTCTCCGTTCGTTTTCAGCCTTCGCATGGCCAATCAGTGCTGGCCATCCGCCAATTCCCAACTGCACAATGGCAAATTAGGGGTCTTAAGATAGTGGAAGAAGTTCAAAATAGTATATACAAGATTGCAATGAAAGAAGCAAGAAAATCAACATCAAAAATTACTCACCTTCTTTTGTAAATGCAGAACCGACAGCCACCAGTAAAAATAAAATCGTTCGCATTGTATAAAATGCAATAATTAGCGAATACAGCGTAGATTATAATATCCTTCCGGCGATAAAAAAATCATTGGCGGTTTTGGCGTCGGATCCTGTAAATGACAAATATGAACATAAAAGGGATGAAAAAAATTGAGACGGTTTCAGCGAAAAAAAGATTTTTTTATTAAAAAGAGAAAACAGCTGAAAAAAATTTAAAAAAATCAATATTTGCAGATTTTTTTAAAGAAAGAGTATTTTTTTATTTCATTATACCATGAAAAAAACGTTAGCAGACACTCAAAATTTATAAAAAAACTCCAACAAGAAAAATAAAAAAATTCTATGTAAAGAAAAATTTTAAAAAAAAATGAAGGTTTTTTTGAGGCTGTGACTACAAAACGAAGAAATCGGATACAAAGAGATCACTCAAGTGCACTTATTATCTCTAATGGTACATTTGATTATACGCGCGAAAAATTGAGCGTTGCAGGTCAAAGGGGTCACTTAAGTGGAAAAAGACATTTTTCATTCTCGCTAAGCTATTTTGACCTTAAAAAGTCGAATTATTCTGAAAAAGGAATCAGGAAAGGGCGAATATCATTGCAAAGCCAAGAAAAAAAACTTGTCAAAAATTTTTCGAAAAATTTCTCTAGAACTTCAAAAAACAATCATCGTCTTTAAAGCTTAACAAGACAATAAAAATCGAAAAACACTGAAAATTAGGAAAAGCGGTACGGGACTCCTGTGGCCGGTTGTTTTCTGAGCGAGAGGAGGTGCGAAAGAACGGGTGGGGGAGTGCCGCGACTTCCACACAGGCTCCGCCCACTTCGGTGGTCGCCAGCCTCCGCCTGCATCTTCGGAACCATTCATGACCTGGTAGCCATGCAAATTAGATGGCTCCGTTTATGATAAGTTAATGAGATTGGCCAGGTGGTTGATGGGAAGTTACTTTACAGAGGAAATTACCAATGTATGGATATATTAATACACAGCCTCACTAATCACATCTCAGATGTTTGAAGACCCAGAACCTTGTAATGGCATAAAAATCTATATTTATTGAAAATCGAAAAAAAAATCTTGGAAAAAACGTTTCTGAAAGGAAAAAAGTCTGACCTTCACGAGCTTAAGTAAAATTCTAAAAAAAAACCTTTTTTTTTAATCATTTCCAAAAGTTTCATCTTTTCGGGAATAATGTGTCGCTCTCAACACTGTATAGCTGTAAAAAGTAACCATAAAAAACAGTAGAAGAACCAGATGTTCAGTGTATTCATTATCGCGTTCCATTCACACTGTTTGCGGTTCGTGGTGTGATTCTGATGGGCTTTCTACTATACCGTCATTGTTTACTTCAAATAATGTTCAAAGAAACTTCGTCTTCACTTAGAACAATGTATTAAAAAATGGGGGATTCAAGTCAAATAGACGTAAAAGCTGGTTGAAAAAGTGCCGAGTAAAAATATATGTAGGACGAAACAGAACCAAATTGAAGAATAATGTAAGCCAACATTTTCCTACAATAAAAAGAAACAGCTTGTTGATTTATGCCGTGTTCAAAGTAATTTCCGCGAAATGCAAAATGGTCTCTGACCCTCCAAAATTTAGTTATCTTTCTCTTTCTCTGACGGCTATTTTGAATTTCGCGGAATCACTTTGAACACGGCATTAGAATAAAATAAGTTTTGTCTGCCAAAATAAGTACCAATAAGCCCTTAATTGCGTAGTAAAATAAAAATTATAGATTCTTCAGTTTGAGCTCTTCAATTCAGCGTTTTAAGTTCCGCGACATTAAAACTTATCTCCAGCTCTCCAAAATTCAACTATCTATTTCACTCTGTGTCGGCTATTTTGTAAGGGAAACCACTTGAACACAAGACAAGAATCAAATGATAATTAGAACACCATCAAGAAGAAAAAAGAACAAAAACATTTGGCGTTTGCATCAGACAAAACGAAAATTGCTTCGAAACACGAAAAAATGCTCCAAAACAAAAATTTGTACTGTTTTGGAGCAACTTCGGCGCGCCGATGAACGCAATTTTTCGTTATGAAGCATGTTCCGTTTCTCCAATGAACACGCCAATTGAATTTTTGTAAACCAAGAAAAAAAAGAAAAAAAGAAAAACGAGTTCTGAAAATTTCGAATTTCCGCTGGTCGGCAGAGCGCACTTTGTGCATAAAACCTCAATTTTTTTTTCTTTTTGTGAAAATTGTTTTTAGCAAAATTAGAGGTTTTCTTCTTCTTCTTTCAGGCAGTTCTGGCTGCTTACAAAATCATTCTGTGCTCAAAGAGTTTTTGTCAAGAAGTTTTATTTTATGTGAGTGTCCCTAGCATTTTTTTTGAAGCAAGAAGTTAAGTTAGTGAAATATTTCAAACCTAAATTCTCCATAAATGAAGAAAACCATATTCAAACAGAAAAAGCGCCATGCTGAGCGGATTATAGAAAGATAATTGCAGTAGATCCATGTACCGATGAGATATGTCAGTTTCCCATCAATTACGTCTTCTTATCTTTCAAGTATCAAAGAATTGCGATCTGTTTGCGAGAATTTTTGTACCGCGCTCTTAAATTAGAACATGGGCTCCGATACAGTAAGGATTTGTTTTCCTATTTCCATGAGAAAATTGTTGCGATTCGTGGACTGGAATGACTCATTGCGATCGGAAACGATCGGCGAAGCCGTTGAGATTTCCAAAACATCGAGCTTGTACTGTCTGTGACAAATAGTTTAGTTCCAGAGGAAGCGGCGGCATCTGGCAGCCGATGACGGACGACCCCTCGTAAACGCGCCGCAATTCGGGGCCGTTTTGTCGCAACTTTCCGTGTCGTTCGCCCCGTTTGCTCTTGGAATGAATGAGTGAATGATCCTGGACACTTGGATTAGGCCTTCTGCCCTCGTCTTCTCCTTTTTAGCGATGGCTGTTCTCGGAAGATGGGACAAGAGGTTCATTCTTGAAAATTATACTGCCTATAAATTCGAATTAAATAAATGAAATGGATGAGATTCTTCTATGGGAAACAATTTTTTTGGATTAGATCCGCAATAAAGAGATTGGATGCGTGATTGAAAATATATCAAATAGAAACTTATAGAAAGAGTTTATTTTAAAAAAATTCAGAAGGTGCTTTAATTATTCAAAATGAAGATCAACCAAAGATAAATATATCTATTTTTTGGCAGAAAATTGAAAAACTTTTCAAAAAAAAGCCTACATGAAAAGAAGTCCACGTACGAGCAATTCTTTTAAAATTTGAAAGAATTGGGTAAATCTGCCGCCTAGTTTTGTAGAAAAAGACGAATTAGCTGTTGAAATCCTAGGAAAATGGTTAGTCAAAGTGAAAGGAGTAAAGTTTACAGTGGCATAAAACAATTTATGGTCTCACTTTTACGAACCACAAACTTTCACACACGCAGGTTTGCATCTCCAATCAAAAAAAATCTACGAATCAGTCAGTATAAAGAAAAAAAAGAGAGTTGAAATTTCAGGAAGACCAAAGCGAAAATAACTTCGAAGCTGAATAATTCATCAGTTACCTCTTTCTCCTTCTCAAAGCAGCTTTGAAAGCGAAACCAAAACAAACTTGATTCCTTAATCATCGGAAAATGAGTACATTGGTTTTGTTGCCCTCGGGGCGGAAAAGACATCCGAGACGATTGTAAAACGGGAATTTAATTAAGGGGAGGACCAAACCGAATAATTAAACGTTTATAGTTTTGCCGAATTGTCGCATCTGGCATTGCCGCCGAACTTCCGACGTTTAGTCTGAACCTTTTTTTCTTCGAAAAGGTTCAAGAAGCTCAAAAACAGTGCGATGAGCCGCGCCAAAGTTTGTGAAGGTGAGACGGAAGCGAATGATGAATGGAGAAGTATAAAGGGACCGGCAAAAGTGTTTGTGAGGCCGACGTGAATGGCGGACACTCGAAACTTTTGGTCAACACGAAAAGCTTCAGCTTCTCCCCTGCTCACAACCATAACAGCCACCTATCAGAGGCAGTAGTGGAGTGATTGGATCATTATCAGAATCATTGGTATCTTTGATTTTAGTCGAGGTCTAATTTTCTCAGTGACCTTTCAGAAAAAAAAAACCTGAAAATCACAAATAATTCTTTTTCATTAAAAAAACCTTACTACAGCGTATTCCTCTGTGGATTGCACTAAAAATCAAAAAAGTAAAGAATTTTTCCGTAAATAACGAGTATTGGTCTCACACTGAATTTCATCAGAAATGACTATTTTTAATGAAAAAATAAACTTTTAAAGCAAATTGCTTTTCGCTATAATAGAAACATAGTTAACCTAGGAACTTTAGAGTGGTCCCTAGAGGGGCCCTTGGAGGGTCCCCTCTAGGGAAAATTTCACAAACCTCTATAGGGGTCCCTCAAGCAAAGGGGGTCTCTATAGGAGTTTCAGTTAGTGGTCCCTATAGGGGACATGCTAATAGATAGTGAACTCTAGGCAAATGCAAAAAACTAAAAAAAAGTATTTTTTTTGTATAAAATTGAAAAACCCCTACAAGTACCACGTAAGCTTGTTTTGTAACCTTTATAGGAACCATTTGTTTTTCGGCCCCTGTAGGGGTTCTTTTACTCCTTAAGAAACCACTAGCTATGATTGGAATAAACCTTGATAACTTTTTACTTTTGAAAATCCAAATGCCTATCAATATCAACGTTTTCAGTTTTTCTAAGATATCTGGTTCGACTTCGAATTGATCTGAATGAAAGGAGATCACCAGAAAAAACTGATGGCAAATTTTCCTATGCTGATGAAGCCTAACCAGCCGTGCTAACGGGGTCTCAGCGGGTGTGCCCGTATAAGGACAGCTGGTAGAACTTCGACATTTTTTTAAACCTCAGCTGGGGAGCCGTTTTTGCACAGTTGGGTCTCAGTATTTTGAAATAAACACAGCTGGGTTATCAATTTCTTGCAACCAATTTTAACCTGTTTTACGGAACTAACAAGGAAGGCAATTCAACTTCGCGGTTGGGATTTTCTTGAAGCTTGGCCAGGGTACATCTTGAGGTACCAAAAGAAGATCCTGAAAGTTTTAAACTGCATAACTTCCCAGTTTTTGAGGAAGAACACCTCGAAGTCGAAGTAAACCGTTGAAATCCGTTGAAATGGGCCAATTTGGGGCTTCATTTCTCAAAAACCCTGGAGTTGTGCAGGCTGAAACTTCCAGAATAGTTTTCTGGCACCTCAAAGAGTGTTTCGGCCAATTTTCAAGAAATTCCCAACCGCAAAGTGAAATGACGTCTGTTGTGAGGCTCAAATAACCTCAACACGGTACACCTGGTTAACATGAGAGTTTTTTTTCTTTTTTCAAATACACCTTAAGCTTTTTAAATTCCTACCAAAGCTTTTCCTCAGGATCCAGCCTGACCTTAGGATCATTAAAAGTTATGGAACACCGGATGTGTTGTCTTAAAGGATTAAGGTGGTGCGAACTGTTCGTTAGACCCACCTTAATCCCAAGAAAGTCGCTGGCACGGCGTCAATTAGAGGATTTACGCGATCAGCCGAGGTCAGTCGCCAATCAACACCGGGGCTTATTTCTCCGGAAAAAGACTGTTCGGAGTCTCGCTTGAGCGGTTTCCAAGACGGTGTTGCTTCTGCGCAACAAAAGACCATTTCGGGGTCATCGGGTCGATTAGTTGTCGTCTTGTACCGTCGGAATGGCTAATCAGTACTCGTATTACATCGATGGATTGAACGAGAATTGGTTGGGAATTTGGAAATGTGAATAGTTGAGCAGTTTGGTCATATTGACTATGTCTTTCCCTGTTGGGCGAACTGGGGATGAAAATTGAACACTTAAAATGTTGTAAAGAATAAATCAAAACATTGGTACTATACATGGGAAGCGCTGTTGTATTGCTTGGAAAGCTTCGAAAGGTTCTATAGTCTGTGTGCCACGACTTAGGAATTTCACCAAACGACATTCCGCTGTGCCGCTGCGCGCCTTTGCGAACCTTGATGGCTCTTTCTATTTATTTTTATTTTTTCTATTAAGGTCTCTACTTTCCTGTGCTCCCACAGCAAGAACAACCAATTGAAAGCGTGATCTAGATTCGAAGGACGCTTCGCAAACGCACGCAGCGGAACAGCGGAATGTCGTTCGGTGAAATTTCAAGTCGCGGCACACAGACTATGAATAAAGAAAAATTAACCCCCCTCCAGTTAAAATTTTGATGAAATTTTTGATGATATGAAAAAAAGCCAGGGATGTTTCAAAAGGCGACTTTTTCCGATTTTTTTCGTATCACCAGGGAACTTTCCGACGGCCACCTATCCCTTTCCGATTTCCTTTTCCTTATATTTTTCGGTTTATAACACATCTATCAACCTATTTTTTTCTATTTCGTTGTGTTTCAATCATGAATAAACTACCTACTTTATAAAGGAAGATTGAAAACGAAGAGTTTATCGAGAAAAAAAGTCGAAAAAAAATTCGGCGGAAAAGTGGCCGTCGGAAAATCCCCTAGCGATATGAAAAATCGGAAAAGTCGCCGTTTGAATTTTCGCAGGTGTTCTTTTCAAACCACCAAAATATTGCTGAGGACCACCTGATTGCAGAACAAAAAAAAAATTTAAAAAAACGTTCTCTAGTAAGTAGGTAATTTACCAGGAAATGTCACAAAACTTTATTCTTGATTCTAATCTTTCAATTGCTTTTTTAAAGCTCACGAAACCGATAGAAAAGTCAATATTAAAGATATTTGTGTCCTAAAACTTTCGAAAAACAGAAAAGGAAAAAAAAATGTATGAAATACACGTCCCAGGGCTTCTTTTCTGAGAAATTTCAAAAAGTCAAAGTTCATTCTATTGCTCAATTATTTTTGCAACGCTGGGTTGCATTTCTAACCAGCCGTTCCATCATCATATGTTTTCTTCTTCTGAAGACTCTACTGTAAACTCTGTTCAGTGTTTCAAAACCACGCGAGTTTTTCAATAACCAGATTGTCATGTAACTAAGAGCTTCGAGATCAGATTTGTTCCTTGAGGGCACTCAGACTCAGTTGCGAACACTTGTGCCAAACCTCAAGACCCCCCACGTCGGAAATCGAGAAGTTTCCCTCTTCCGCTCATCTTCTCAGTCCATCTCTTCTAGCGCTCATTAAGGGCGAACAGAACATCTACACGCCTTCGAAAATGCTGCTCTTTTTCCAGTGACGTCTGCTTTCTGAAAGCCCCGAAAGCTACTATAGTTAAAAGCTTATTAAAAATTTATATCAGCTTTGCAAATTTTTTGCAAGGGATTGGAAAAGTTATGAACTTTCCTTCCATCTTCTCTCAAAACAGACTTCAAATTGATCTTCTCCAGCTACTTCTGGTTTTGCAGAAAGCTTGAGTACTACTTCACAAAAAAGTTAGCGTCTTAAACTTTAAAAAATTTCGTTTTTTCATTTTTCGAAGGTTTCTGAACAATTGAGCAACGATAAGGCTTTCTCTCGAAATACCCTCCATCAATTTATTTTTTCCTTTCTTTTGATAAAAATAGTCGATACGAAAAGAAAACTTTTGTGCACTTTCCTTCATTTCTCTCCTTTCATTGAACTTTCTCGATTCATCTTTTTCTCATTTTCTTTCAGACAAAAACTTTGGACTTTTGTGTCGTTTTTAAGTGAATTATCTTGTTTTGACTGCAGCGGATGAAACACTTAATTAATTGTTGATAACAATTAACGAAACTCATCATCTTATTTTTTGGTGTTTTCTGCGTCGGAATTCATTTCTGATAGTCTAGTCAGTATGATCTTACTTGAGAAAATTTGGTCAACGTGTATCGGCCGCTCACGATGGAGATGCACCCGACCTGAAACGGTTTGCGCAAAAAAAAGATAGCAGCTAAAAGCTTACGCACAGAAACTTTTTATACTGCGGTCAAAGTGTTTCGAGCACAGCGAAGAAGGTATCATCTATTAAAAATTATATGCTTGATAATGCGCAGAACTATTAAACGACCTGAAGCAAAAAAAAAAGCTCTCACACGGAAGGTTTTTACTTTGCGGTGGGGACTTCCTTGAAAATTGGTCAAAACACTCCTTGATGTGCCAGAAAAAAATTCTGATAGTTTTAACCATCCCAAGTTTTTAAAAATAAGATAGCTTTTTTTAAATAGGTTTTGAGGGTTTCCTTCGATTTTTAGGCGTCTTTTCTAAAAAACAAGAAAGTTTTGCAGGTTGAAACTTTCAGAATCTTCTTCTGGTATATCAAGGAGCGTTCTGGCCAATTTTCAGGAAAATCCCAATCGCAAAGTAGAATTACCTCTCTTGTAATAAGATCTCGACGTGTATCGGCCGTTGCACCCGTTGCACCCGACCTACAACGGTCCGCGCTAAAAAAAGAGATATCAGGCAAAAGCTTGAGAATGCATCAAACCTCTCTACCTTGGGAACAAAGTGTTTCGAACCCAACGAAGGAGGTATCATCTGTTCAAAATTATATGCTTGTTAATGCGCAGAACTATAAAAAAAGCTCTCGATTTCGAGGCTTCTATCAATTTATTTATGCTTTTTGAGATCTCAGTCGGGTTTTCTTTGAAAAGGTTACTTCTAAAGAAGTATAGAAACTGCTTCAAAAAGTTATGTACAGGACCTTTCTAAAACTCTGGATGTTAACAAAAAAGTTAAAGTTATCATCCTTATTTCCACCTTTTTCTATCAATAAAACACCTACACTCTCTTTCCCAGAAAAAATTTACTACTATGTCATGAATTCGGAACAACCTTTTGCTTCCCAATATTATAAAGGACCTAACCTATGCTTACTAACCGCCCATTTGCACCCATATTGCCTTGAATCGACATTGGCAAGAGATAAATTGCCGTTTTTTTCCTTGTCATCCGTTTTATGATCTTCGCAAAATGTGCAACCAGATGGGCGGGGCACAGAAAGCTTGGCTCGGATTCAGAAGACGTGCGGAGGAAGGATGGAAGTGGTCGTCGACTTCGACCTCGTCAAGAAGGTCGATCTGGCCACTCAGATCGTCGCCTACACGATCAATCCCATCGGTTTTTCCTGATTTTTTTCTTTCTTATCTTGGAAAATGTTCAGGAATGCTTCTGAACGGGGTTTTGATCTACGTGATAGTGCGAGGAACGCCTCAAGAGTTCAAAAGCTACTCGATTTTGTTGTTCAATTTCGCCGTTTGCGATTTTTGTAGCTGTTTCTCTGCACTTTTGGCGATTCAAAAGTGAGGAGCTTTTATAAAAATCTATAGTCTGCGTGCCACGACTTGAAATTTCACCGAACGACGTTCCGCTGTTCCGCTGCGTGCGTTCGCGAAGCGTCTTTGGAATTTAGGTCACGCTTTCAATTGATTATCGCAAGTAGACTACCTTAATAAAAGAAAAAATAAAATAAAAAGCGCGACCGAGGTTCGCAAAGGCGCGCAGCGTCACAGCGGAATGTCGTTTGGTGAAATTGCAAGTCGTGGTACACAGGCTATGTTCAAAAATATTTTCAGAACAGTTTTTTCGGGATTCTCATTGACTTACGTTTTCCACGGAACTTGCGGCCGAGTCTCGCCGTTCTTCTGTTACTTCCTTCACACTTTTGTTTGCCATTGTTTTGCGCATTCCCAGTGGATTTTGATGGTTTGTGGGATCTTTTGACTACTCTGGAATCTTCTGGACTTCAGGTTTCTTTTATATATCGCTATTGTCTTCTGATAAAAATCGTTCCGAAGTCTACACACGTTTCACTGATTTGCTTTGGCTTCTACCTTCTCACCGTGGCTATCATGGTAATTACAGAAAAAAAAGTTTCATTGCCTTATTTTGAAAATATTCCTTTCATCATAGCTTTTTATTCGAGTCGTCTGTTCCCGAAAAGTAGACATTTCACAGTTCAGACTTTTCAAAAACTTGTCTCGCGCTTCAAAAAAGTTTTTCCAATTACCAGGCATTTTACGACAAAAAAGTAAAATACCGCCTTGTGAGTAATGCTTTTTTTTGCCTCGGAACTTTGATTAGCTTCATATTTGTTAGTCTTTTGCATCCCTGATAGCACGTGAGAAAAAGGAGATTTAATTGAAAGAGTGAAACTTGATAACTAAGTGCTAATTGAAGCGGGAAAACAACTTGATTCTGATAATTCTTTTTTATCATCTTTTTAGAACAACCATGAACTCAAATTTGAGTATAGTTTGCTTTTTGGTGATGGGGGTTAAAAGCGCAATAGTCTTCCGTGACCTCAAAAAATACTGAAAAATTGCTTGCCTAAATCTTTATGGAACCCGTCTGAAAAAGGATGAGCTGTTTTTGTTTGATCGAAAATCAAATTTAACACCGGGACGTTTTTCAAGTTCCCTCGGCGCCTTCAAAACTCCAGAAAAAGGTCCTAAACAGAAATAATAGCCGCAAAAAATAAAGAGCCTCAAAAAAGGCACCAAAAAGAGTCCCTTTATCGAGCCTTCTATTTTTTCTGGGATTTTAAATGCTCAAGAAATGGTGGAACAAGGGAGAGGCTGCAAAAAGGCGTAAAATAGCCGATAAAATGGCGCAAAAAGGCAGCAAAAAAGGAAAATTTTCATGGAGCCGTTTCCGCCTTTTCCGATTTTGCCTATATTCCCTCTGCGCCTTAAAAACTCCAGAAACCGGTTTCTAAAAACTTTCAAAAAAAAAAGGCTATTTTTCTAAATTCTTGCTTAAATTTTTTTGAATTAATTTAAGGGTCCCTATCTATTAGTAGCCGGCGACAGTCGAGTACTCAGAGCTGAAATGACAAAAGCCCATCCAGAATATCGCTTTGACGATGTTAAAATCTGGCCAGGTACTTTTTTTTCCAAATTTTGGAAATAAAAATTTTTTTTCTGACTATTTATAGTATAGATTACTTGATTTGAAATGAATTTTGAATTATTTAGATTTGGTCGTTTCTGGAAACGAATCAATATTATCGCCATTGACTGCAGTTGCCATCGCTTATATGTGCTTGTCCTGTGTTCCTGTCTACACAACTGTTATTATCTTTCGATACAAGGTAAATTGAGCGAAAAATAATATTTTTAAGAAGGAAGAGTTCAGACACTGGCGTTATTGGAATCAAACGTTCTCAGTATGTCAGAGGCCACCAAGAGGATCCATCGACAGTTGATAAAGGTATAGCTGAATGAGCCATCGAAAAAAGGGTACACGATTTTAAAATAAGAGATAGCGCTTGGTTGGTGGAGACAGACCACGCCCCTTAGTGTCCCAAGCTTGTCGTGAATCGGCTATAGACTTCAGTGTAGAAAAGCTTGCCCCGTTTTTCTTAAGAAAAAAGACCGTATGCCAAAACGTTTCAAACATTTCGCTCCGAGACCTTTTTGTTTTGTAGAGCAAAAGTGCAAAAATAGCTGTGGTTACGGTATCTATTTTTGTGATTTTAGAAAAAGATCGCCTGGTGCGAAACCCACTACACACGGCGTTTTTGTAAGTATGCAAGACCAAAAATGAAAGGGCCGTGGTCAAAATCTCCACCGTTCCCATTTGACGTAATGGGAAACAAGCTTAAACAACAGGGAATATTAAAGGCGCATTTTCAATGGGTCATGAGACGAATCGTTTTTTCATTTAAAAAAAAATTTTTCTGTTGGCGTGTTAAAAGCTATATTAAAACCTAAAATCCGAAATAGCCGCCAGAAAGTAAAATATAATTGAACAGATATTTTTCTGAACTTCGCGAAAATTACTTTGAACACGGCATGTGCGAGAGCGCCGCAGTGCATGCACACTGCACACTACACTTCACGGAAAAAAGGGCGGGGCGTCGTCAAAATAACGCCGTGTACAGTGAGAAACCACGGCTTAAACGATCATTTTTATTATTGAAACTCAATTTCTGTTATACTCAGCTCCTAGTCTAAAATGAACAAAAAAAAAACGAAAATTGAAGGCGCTGACCCTGCAAGCGTCGATTCCGTGCTTCTGGGTCGCGGCGGCGTCCCTGTACCTCCTCTGCCTGTTCGGCGTCATCCGCGGCAGCGTCTGGATCGACAACGTCATCTTCAGAATCATGGAGTGCATGCCGACGATCAGCCCCCTCATCTCCTTGTATTTCATCACGCCCTACAGGTTTCCTTTTAAAGTAATGACTTCAAACTATCTTATTTTTATTCAGACGACGAGTCCGATCTTGGATAAAACGGGACAAGAAAACGAATCCATCATCGGCAGCCAGAAGTTATACAGCAATGTGAAAAAAAAAATTTTTTTTTGAATTAAACTCTTCTCTTTTTGTACATAAAGATGCTTGCGAAACTTTTTTTGGAACAAGAAAAAAATCTCTACTTTTTAAAATATTCATTTAGAGATCCTTCTGAGCTTTGTTCGAAAAAAACTCAATGCAATAATGGTTAAACAAGAAAATAATATTTTTATTCAGAAACGTGAACTGTTGAGTTGCCGTGCATTATCAGTTCAATAGCTTTTTCTGAACAATTTGATTTTGTTTTCCTATTTCAACAAAGTTCTTGAAAGACTCTATTTCATGACTGCCACACAAACCTCAACTTTCAACTCCATAATTTTCGCCATCCTATCATTAAACTTAAAAACAGTCAATGAGAAAACATCCAAACGTATCGACACCAAATCGACGCCACATGGCGGAGAATAAAATGTTTTGTACGTAATGCACACGTTGCACAAAAAGCGACGCGCAAAAAGCAAAACCATTGTTTATTATGTATAAAACTATTTTCTAGCTGTTTTTTATCCAGGGATCGCCAAAAAAAAAAGTTCCTAAGTACCCTAGGAATCAATAAAACAATGAAGATTCAAAAAAATCTCGATTTCAAAGTTTCGAATCTTTATTTCATTATTAAAAAAACGTGAAAGAAACAAGGTAAAAGCATCAAAAAAGGTTAACTGACTAGAAGGCAAGTATTTTTCATCATTCTTGTACAAATAAATGTGTAGCCAATTCATCAAAAGCTCTCAATATGAAAATTCAGAAGCTTTTAATGGAAAATGGCTAAGATACGCAAGGAACCCATAGGCGAAAGTTGGGTGAACATCATTGAGGGGACTTGAAAGATAAATATTATCATTAGATCGTGGACCCCTACAAAATGTGAGGCTCACAAGCAAAAATAGGTTTCTGTTCGTTTTTTGCAAGGAGTGCAATCGACGCGACAGCAATAGTGGAACTTACAGTTGCACATGTCGTCCACCAGCTCCACTTTCTTTTCGAAGCCTCGGCCGCAGCAAAGCTGGAAAAAAACGGATTTACAAGGAAGGTTAGAACTTTCTGGAAGTTTGTCAGAGTACAACTTGATGTATCAAATTAGTCTCCATCAACAGAACTTCCTAGCTTTCGAGAAATAAGAGCCCAAAGTTCCAAAACAGCACATTTAAACGGATATAGAAGATTTTTTTGAATTTGAGACGTCTTTTCTTGAAAACCTGGAAGTTATACGAGTAAAGAGTCTTTCCGGGTCTTCATCTGTTACATCAAGAAGTACTCTGACCAACTTTCAGAAATTTATCAATCGCAAGATGGTTTTCCTTGTCAGGAACAAAAAAACTACCTTTTGAATCTCAACTATTTTTTTCAAATATTTTTCTTGATTGAAATTCTCGATTTTTTTAAAAAAATCTTAAAAAAAATTTCATTCAATCTTATTTTTCGACATTCAGTAGAAACTTCTTAATAAAAAAGTTTATTTCCGTTATAACTCACGGAAATTTTTTCAACCAAACGGAATCTTGCAGAAAAAACGTGGCTTTTAAACTTTTCTCAAACTAAAACCTTCAAGAATGAATCAGAAATATAACTAATTGGTGAGTTCAAAAGTGTACTCACAATCTGACAATCGTCGATGGCGTTTTGCGACAACGAGCACTGTCGACCGCGAGTTCCGAGAATGCCGCGAGAAGGATCGGCTTCGCAGAAATCCGGCGACGGGGCCATATAAACCTGAATTTTTACGAATTTAATCTGGGAACATTCATGAAGATTTGGTATAAAAAGGCTAACACAGAAAAGAGTCCAACTAGGAAATGGTCTGGGACTTCTGGATGAGACTAGGCTCACTAGATGTAATCTTTCACGCTGATTTCAAAGATAGTCTTAAAAATGCCACAGGAGATTTGTGAAAAGAGTTAGAGGCTCTCAAAAGTCGAAAACATCGTATTCTCTCACATAACTTTTGTGGATAAATAGAGCCTGTACCGCGATTTTTCAAGACCTCTCTGGCAGTTTCCAAGGCCAGTTTCGAAATCGATTTCTTCAAAAAAGATTCTCAAGTCTAGATTTGATTTTTCAAGATCTCTCAGGCGGTTTTTAAGACCAGATTCGGAATCAGCGTTAAAAAATACATCTTTTAAAACCTGGTCTCATTCAGAAGTCCCAATGCTACTGAAAGCTAGATAGCACTGGTAAACAAGAGAGCGTAGAGGAAAAAAACACTCCCGCTCTCTCATTTTCGAACGCTCTTTAACTTTCGAAGACTCCGATCCCAGAAAAGTTTTTTTTTTACTTCTGCTGCTTCGAAAAATCAGTATCAAGTTAAACTGACCAGATCTGCATTGGTGTGCCGTTTGAACTGCGAATTCTTCATGACGATTTGTCCCTTCTTTTCTTCGTCCACCACTCGAACTTCTGAAGCGCCATCAAACTTGTCTTTGATTTGTAGGCCGATTTCTCTGAAACAGAAAAGAAACTAAACTGGAAAATGCAAAAAGAAAGAACCTGAAGGTCGGGAGAGAATCCCAGCAGGTTTTCATTTCACAGGAACCGCTCATGCCGTGGCATTTGCACTCTCTTCGGAGCGCCTTTTCCAGAACCTTTGAACAAACTCATCATTCTTTTTAATATCGGTAGTCATGTCCTACCTGTCTACCTGCCCGGTTATTATGCAGATTTATAACGGAATCCGGATGCGTTATCGTCGTTCCATTGGCCAGCCGCTGCTTCTGCTCGGCGGCGTCGACAAACTCTCGAGAAATAGCGATTCCATACTTTACGTTGTCCGAACATCCTTGGTATTGGTACTGAGATCGATGCTGCTGAAACTTGAACCTTACAACTTTAAAGGCATAAGGGCAGTAAAGAAACGGCGTTTCAGTTCAAAGCAGTCATTTATAGAGCTTTTCATTGTGAATCGAAGGGTAAACTTGAAAACGTACAGAACTTCCTAGTTTTGGAAAAAAAATAATTCAAAGTCGGAGAGAAAAAGCTTGAGTTCCCGCCAAAAGGGCGCTTTGCAGTAAAGTTGCTCTATGGACAACAGGATTTTCGCTTTTTTCTTCGTTTATTTCAATTTTCAATTTTTTCTGTTGTCACCAAAGTTCTTTTCGTCACAAAAACTTTCTATTCATGTATAATTCGCAAACTTTGATCGCAAAATGCTTCTTTGGTGAAAAATGATGATTTTACGCAGGTTTCTGATTTTTTTCTAGAAAAAAAGCTTTGTTGAATAAATCAAACTGACAGCGCTTGTGTCGTTTTTCGAGTAGTCACACCCACATCGGTCGTTCATACCTCTCGCACAGTCTCGAGTCACTCTGATAATTCAAAAGTGATCAAAGATTGAAATAAAGAATCACCGATAGGCAACGGCAGCCGAAGAAATCGCATGAACGAAGGCCGACTCGCGGGTCCCTTGACGAAGAACAACGTCGCCGACCACTTTCAACGAAACCGGGTCGATTATTGAACAGTTCCATCTAAAAATGAAGTCATATTCTGGACTTGGAAAACAAGAACAGCTGGAAAAGTCGGTCGGTTCGGTCACTTTTTCAAAGTGAAAAACTTCAAAGTTTCTTCAGTTTTAAATCTTTCAAGTGTCCGAAATGCGTTGAATTCCCGATTGTGGTTAGGTTTTAGGCTTCGAAAAACCAAATATTGGCGGCTCAAAATAGGAGATTTTTTTCCCTTTTTTCAATAAGTTCCTTTTCAAACTTAATTTGATCTGAAATCAAAATGCGAAATAGGATTAATTGAGATTTGAGAGATTTTTTCGGCAAAAATGGAAAAATTCATTAAAAAGTGACCTTTGGAAAAATAATGGCCATAAATTTGAAAAACTAGCTTTGAAAATTGTCATATAATGAAGAAATGGATACTTTAAAACCGTCAAAACAATTCAAATTTCGAAAACTTGAAAAAATATGCGTCATAAACCGAACCGACCGACTTTTCCAGTACGCCGAAAGGTTCGAAAAGAACTTAAAAAGTATCTCCTTTAATCTTTTTTAGTTGAGTTTTTAGAAATATTATTCTATCAATTCAAGCTTCGCCTATGCTCCGTGGCTCACTAAAGCGTATTGCTCTTTCTGAATCTGTTGAATTTTTCAAAGTTTTCCGTTTTCTTTTTGAACTTTCAATCAAAATATTAAAATTGAAAACTTTTCCAATCGTTTTGTGAAGTTGTTGAAATGAAAACTCGCCTTCTTTTGTTGAACTGGAACTGACACTCGGCGGCGGCATTGAAAGCAGCGTTCTGAACACTGTCCATCAGCTCGAAATTCCTCTTGCAGAATCTGGAAACCAAAAAATTCGAAAAAAAGTTTTCAGATAGCCAACCTGGTCTGCTTCCTTGTGAGTCCAGTCAGATTGCGGCAGGTTACAGCTGGACGGCCCCGGTCTAACCTCGAGTTGGTAAGTCCTAAGGCTCTGAAAAGTATTTTTCATAGAAGTTTTGTTGTCAACTGGGAAAATTATTAGTGGCCACTATGAAGACGCGCCAAGGACTATTTGGAGAGTTCACTAAAGTGGCCACTAAACTTACATCTATAGTGGCCACTATTTTCCGTTTTAGTGGCCACTATAGAGGTTCTCTATTTAGTGACCACTTCAGTAGTTGTTCATCCGGTATTCCTTCCAGTAACTCTGTTAATTTTAAAACAGATTGGACCAGTTATGTTGATCCATTGACCCCTAAAGTAGCCCCTAAAATTTTTAGTCGTCCAGTAGTAGCACTTAGACCTCTATAGTGGTCCCTATTTTTCAACCTCTCGAGTGGCCACTAAAACGTCAAAACCAAATAGTGGCCACTAAAAATTTTCCCAGAATGCAATATTTTTAATGAGCTTTCATCGGTTTATTGACGTAAAAAGTTTTCTTTAGAATTTTTCGATTTAAAAACCACTTGGAAAAAAAAATCTTAATTTAAAGTTCACTCGAATTATCTCTACGTGTAAGATCTCGACTCACAGCCATGATATGGGGTAGCAAAATGGCAGAAGCAGAAGAAATATGAAGATAGTGGCCTTTAGTGTTGTCGCCATATCCGTTCAACTCTCCTTCTCTCAATTTTTCAGCATGACTTCCCAAAGATCTGAAATAGTTCAATCAAGAAAAAAAAAACATTTTCAGTCCAAAAATTACTAATTGTTTATTAATTTTTCAAAAATAGTTAAATTAGAATCTATTGCAGATAGATTGATAAAGCTTGGTAAATTTCCATCAAGGCTTCAGAAGTTAAAAAAAAAAAGTTTCTAACCGTATTTTGGAACTTTCTGGGCCTTTGAAGCTAGCCGCAAGGTATTTAATCAAATTATAAAATGATAAAAAAAGTTTAAGAAAAGATTACGGTAAAGAAAAGTTCCGCAATAAAATCAGTGATTGCAGAAGCTCACATGGAAGTGAATCATGCGCTGATAAAAACAATTTCGCAAGCTGTTTTTCTAGATCCTTAAACATTGAGCATTTCAAAATTATACTTCGAGCTATAGAGAAAATAGAAATATAGTTCAAAAGACAAAAGACTGAAGATGTGGAGGGTACGGCAGGAGTAAATTGGCTCGCATTTGAGTCATCTCCCCAAACGGCGCCTTTTTCGAACAAAAATGAATCATTTACCATGTCATATGGGCTAATCAAAGGGTTTTAGAACGGAAAATAAAACGTTTGGGGCCGTGGAATGGATTGAAAATGATTTTATATATCAAAAATATTGAAAAATGAACATTGGATGGAAATTTTATAATGTAATTTGAGTTATGTGTCATATGAGAACGGTTTCAAAAAGTGGCAAAAGCGAAAAATCATCGAATGTTATGATAAATATGGCTGGAAGATATTCAGCTAGATTATTCGATCAATCTAATCAGTTTCAAGCAGGATTAATAGAAGGTTTTTGAAAATAGGTTCATTTAGTGAAAAGTTGGAATGTTGGATAATGGCCCCTGAAAGAGAGAGGCTCAAAAAGGCCGTAAAAAGGCCGCAAAAAGGCCGCAAAAAGGCTGCAGAAAGGCAGCAAAAAGGCCGAAAAGAGGCCAAAAAAGGCTGCAAAGAGACTCCTTTCATCGACCCTTCCATATTTCTGGGATTTTAAAAGCTCGAGAAAAGGTTGAAAAGGGGAGAGGCAGCAAAAATGGTGCAAAAAGGCGGCAAAAAAGGAGCCTTTTTTTCACCCTTTCCGACTTTGCCCATGTATGATTCCACAGTAATTTTTAGGATAATTGGAGAAAGTTTAGTTTTGGAAAATTACGGTTTCAGACTCAACCTCAATCCGTCGTCAATTGCTCACAATTTTCTGGCTATGTTAAATGGAAAGTTTAATATCAGAATTTTGTCTCTTTGAGTTCATAATTGGGAAAAGTTCAACTAAACTGAACCTTGCAGAAAAACCGTAGCTTGTTGCAAAATCAAAGACTTACTAGATTCTCAGAAGGAGTCTTTCTTGGGTGAGGAACAAAGCCTACAGTATGAGAGCCTACAGTATCCTAGGATTTTTTTTTTCAAAATAGGCAGCAGAAACCTAGCAATAATTTTTCAAAAATGGGTTCAGAAAATTGAAGGAGAACCAAAAAATGAGATGAGCCTCCAAATGGAGCTAATGAGGACAGGAAGGAGAAGTGGGAAGACGATGAAGAAGAATACAGCGTTTGGGGGGAGGACGTTTGGTTGGGTTGAGGCGATGGAGCGAAGAACCCATAAAACAGATTTTGATTTAGTGTTGTCGTCCGAGCTCTGCGAGCAGGGCTCCGTTTACAAGCGAGACGAGGACCGTCGTAAAACTTTCGCCTCTTTCACGAGCTTCGGGGAATAACGGCACGTTTTGACCCGACAATTTCGGCCGCTTTTTATGACCGTCAATGTTGCCACGACAATGTTGCCATTTTGATGTGCGGACGTGGTGCCGACGGGGCGGAGAAGTTTGAAAAAAAAAGAAAATCGACGGCGTTGAGTTGGTTAGAGTCCTAACAACGGTCACATGTCATGTTTAGAATCAAAGGGTTTCGCTAGGGTTTGCTATGACCGGCTCCTGGCAGAAGATTGAGCTTTTTTTCGCTGACTAGGAAGCGTTTTTTTACCCCCCCGTTGATCTTTTTGATGAAACTTTGCTAAAGTGTACTTTTTGGACCTCCTGATTGCTTTAAATAGCGCTTTTTTGTCATATAATGCGACTTTGAAGCTTGAAAACTCGAAAACAGGATCGATCTCAAGAAATTTTTTCTTGTTCTGTAATCAGGAGGTCCTAAAATATACTTCCGAAAAGTTTCGAAATCCCACAGGGGGATTCCTAGTCAGTTCAGAGAGGTAAAACTTCAATAATTATAAAACTCACGACCTTGCGGTCTCAAGAATCGATAGCAACCGATCCAGGCTTTCCGATTCAATCAAAAATTAGTCTTTTTTTACTTTTTTGTTCTTAAATTCAAGAGGTATTAATTTAAACAAATAAAAACTTGAACGAAACGTTGAAAGAAATGAGATGGATCGCTCATTTCATGAAAAACGCACTGCGAATTCGTCTTCCTACTACGGTTCGAATGAAGAACCTACAGCTATTGCTACGTCTCCTGTTCCTTTCTGGAGCCGTCGCTACGGAGATGTCTCTAGCCTCGACGTCTTCAGAAGCCTGCGAGGTATCCGAAGTTGAAAAAATTGTTGAAATTGGATTTTTACGCGTGGAATGAAAAATAAAAAGCAGTTGTGCTGATTTCACGGCTTCTCTAAAAAAAGCTGCGATGTACTCCGCAATGTAACCAGTGGTGCACCCCGTTTAACTTAGTTTTCGTTAAATCGCAAACCGCTACTCCCTGACATCATTTCATGACATCATTCGTAACACAAGAAATAAGCGTAATCGAAATATTTGGCTATATATTCATTTTATTTACGTGAACATGATTCAGCAGATTATTATTATCTCATTTCATCACGTCGACTGGTCGGTCTCTTTGCCGCTCTCTCATGGGATAATATTCCGACGCCCGTCAGCCCTGGACAAGCTGGGCTCCGTACTGTTCCATTATGGTGAAGCAGTTCATTCGCTGGTACTACCCGCGGTCCCACATTGTTTCCCAACGCTAGCTGTCACTCCGGGACGTATTGGACAACGATTGTGGACCGTAACCCGCGCGGACGACTAACTCTTATACCATGATTTAGCAGAGATTTTCTTCATCTTACTCTGAAGACTGAATAAATTGAATTGAAATTGAAATTGAAAAAATTGAAGAATGGGAAGAGCCTGAATTGCGCCTTTGCATTAAAACTGCGCCTACAGGTTCATGCATTACTTAAGAAAATAGGCTTAGTTTTAAGGCTTCACACGGAGGCGGAGCGCGCATAGCGCGAAGCCGACTGTGGCTCGCTCCGAAAAAACTCAGCCACAGTGAAAAATTCGTCAAATAAATGAATACTTGACATAAAAGGCATTTAGTCTCAAAACGTGGACACTAATAACACTATCAGGTAGCTCTAAACGATTTGCAAACTTGATACGCGTGGCGAAAAAATCTTTGAAATGTATTTCCCAAAAAAAAAAAGAAAAAATAAATAAAGGAGCATACTGTGCGTAAGCGTGGGCCTCGACGCCTAGGATTATTTCAAACCTTTAAAAGGTTTCTAAAAAAAAGTGAGAAAAAAAAAGTTTCCAATCAAAAGGGGATTTTCAAGTGTGATAACTTTCTGTTTCTCATGTGACCGAAAAGTTTTTACGTCGAATCTAATTTTATAAATTGGAACGTAAAAAATGAATAAAATGATATGGCTGCGTGTGCGAATTTTGCAAATGAAGATGATGTCATAGGGATGACGTCAGGGAGTAGCGGTTTGCGATTTAACGCGAAGTGTTTAACTTTGAATGCCTCTTAAGATACTTATACCGTACACAATTTCAAATTGTTTGTTTCCCAAAATCACCATTTTCAACAGTTTCATTCTAGGCTGTTACGGTAGCCCGAAAAAAAACTTCTTATTTCCGAGCAGTTGCCCCAGGGGTGCACACCATCCAGGTCCAACACGGCGTGCACCGAAAACATCAACGAAAAGTTCGGGGTGCACCCTCATTTTTGTTGGAGTAGCTCAAGACAATATTTCAAGAGTTGAACAAAGATTCTTGACAGGATCAGGGAGATAAAATAGTAATAAATTGACTAAACTTTGTTTTATGTCAAGAAAAGAGCTATCCCAAGGTGAGGGGAAAGTCCTGATTTAACACTTTTCCACGCGCTCTCTGAGAAAGTCGATGAATCTGAAGCTAAATAAAAAAAAAAGTTTTTTGTATTTGCCTCAAAATGTGATCACGGCTCACACACGTGCTTCTGATTATTTAGCACCAGGTTCCAGGTGGCTCCGCCCCTTTTAAAAGATACTGTAGAAAGAAAGCTGAAAAAAATTAATTTTTTTCCTGTTGAGAATTTTTCATTCAAAAAAATGTTTGGAAATGTAAGAAAACACTATTTTGAGTATTTTTTCAGTTTTTAACTCGACTTCTCGGGAAGAAAAAAATCGAAATTTCCTCAAAAACAGCGATTTTTTCAGTTATTGAGCCATTATTGAATTATTGAATGTCATAAGGTGTTTTTATTTCTCGAAAAAGTTGATAAAAAGCTTTTTTCGCCACTTCTTAACCCAGGTTACTTCAGCAACTTAGAGCAGGTAAGAACGGTGAAAACGAAGATAAGCGTGCCAAGCCTCTAATTTGAATAAAACTACTTATTTCTTGCCGAAAAAGGCTCCGATTCCTGTCGAAAAGTGATGTAGGTCTCATCGAAAAAGCTTTTTGTTAGAATGGAAACAAAAAAAGTGTTTTCCGAGCCTTTGTGAAAATTTTTGGGGTCGTCCTCTTCAGGCGGTCGGAGGTCAACTGGGCCACCCCAGAGATTTTTACCGGACTAATTTTTCCTTATCCAGAAAGACCTACTCTTCCATATACCAAAAGATAATGACCACATTTTGGGGTTCCTACAGAAAAAACCACCTGAAAACGGAAAAAATCGAAAATCGACAAAAGTCTTAAAATTCGAAAAGTCTCGAGAAACTCGGAATAAAACTTGAGCACCAAAATGGTGGAGATCATGAACGTGAGTGTTGTCTTTCGTTTCAAAACAAAAAAGAGGAAGAAGCCGTCGTCACAAAAGCTTTCTATTCATGTATAATTTGCAAAATTTGATTGCAAAAATGCTTCTTTGGTGAAAAATGATGATTTTACACAGGTTTCGATTGGGATAGCGATTATTTGTGTTTTCTTTATTATCAATATGTTTTTTTCTGTTTTTCTAATCGATTTTTTTCAGAGAAGAAACCCTTAATTTGAAGCAGATAGCTGGTTATTTCTCACAAAATGCGAGTCTAATGAGACGTCCGCAACATCGCGTGCACAGCTACTGTAATCAGTTGTCTGAGCACCGATCCAAAGCTTTTTTCAAAATAAAAGGCGGGAAAGTGAAATCGCGTTTTTTTTTTCTAGAGTTGTCACAACTGTAATTTTTTTTGAGTACACCGTTGGATTCGCAAAGAAAAACTAAACAAGATACTGCTTTCACCTGAAACCCCATTTTTTACTGCCCCTATGCCTTTAAATTAATTATTTCAATATAATTCCGTATTACTCTTTCCCAATCTCATTTTAATCACATAATTTCATCCTCTTAATGTTACATGAATAATTTCGACATTCGCTCCTTCAAATGATGATACATATGGCAATGAGGTCAGGTCAACTGGCGTCCTGTCACAATTTTTTCATGCCGCCCGTTGCTAGCCGAAGCCTTCTAGTCCTCACCTAGGCCTACCCAGCCACAAAACTTCGATTCTCAACTCGTTTTCGAGCGGAGACCATGTCCTAGTAAGTTGCAAAGCTCTTTCAACTGGTTATCCGAATTAGGAGTGTGCGTTTTCAATAATGATAGACTATCATTGATAGCCTTTCGAATTAATTAAAACTAATTTGACCATTAAATATGCTTCAAAAAGGTTTTTTTTTCGCAGTCTGAAAAGTTTATATATTCATTTTGATTGCGGAATTTCAGTCCCAGAAGTGTACGGTAGGCCGGCTACAAACCCGGAAAAAACCGAACTTCTGTCATGCGCGACAGACGAAGAGTGCCAGCTGCCGTCTAGATATTGCTTCATAGGAGAACAACCCTTTTATTCCGACACCAAGCGTCCGGGGATTTGTGTGGAAGGTAGCGCAGTTCTTTTAAGCTCATTTGATAGACATTTTCAGCGCAAAACTTCAAAATTTGCAAAAATAGCCTTCAATGCGACGCCGATGAGTTTTGCGATAAATCAACGAAGAAAACAAAGTTTGGAGATGCGACGATCAAAATCTGCTTCAAAGGTTTTTTTTTTCCAATCACCGTAGATGATATTTTTAGAATTGACGAAATTGCCCTCCTTGACTAACGAAAATCGAACCAATTTGTATAACCCTATACGAACCGAATTGAAAGACCTCTATAGGGACCATTTAAGTGGAGAGGCTTAGGGGTCAACCCTTAATCCCTATAGGGACCGGTCGACTTTAACCTCTGCAGGGGCACTTTTTTGTTTCTTAGAGAGGCTTTTTTTCTCTCCAACCCCCATATGGACAACTCAGGCGTTCCTAAGAAGCTCTGCATTTTCTTGAATAGAAAAACCCAAATTTTGCGTTCAAGAAGAAGAACCGTCATTAATTTAAAAAATATGCAATTCACTCGATTATTTTTTTTCTAGTTTAAGGCAGTTGGTGAAGAAATATAGTCCGTTTTTCGCGACTTGGGAGGGCGTGACTTCTCTGCGCCCTCCTTATCTTTCGACGTCTCTCTCAAATTTACGTGCTATCTCCATTTTTCCCTGACCTCGCCAGTGATAGAACAGAGAGACGCAGACACTCGAAAACTGTCGAGTCGCGGGGGACGGACTATAATGTTTTCTCGAACAATTTTTTTGAACTGCAGGCTTTCTTAAAAGTCTTTTAAGGGGTGGACTCTGTCATTCGGCTTTTTCAGAAGGAGAACTTGTGAAAATTGATAAGTTTAAGTTCCATCGGTGCCCGGAACAGTTCATCGTGATCCGAAAACCTCGGACGTGATGTTCTGCGACACAACTTGCGTCCCAATCGACGCCGTCTGCAGGCCTCTCAACAAGGTCCTCAATCAATACAAAGGGATTTGCATCCAAGGTTTGAATATGGAAAATTTCGAAGATTTATTGTTTGTGGAGAGATTTCAAAGCTTTACTCGGGTATATGTCAAAAGAGCTGTGAAAATCGAGCTGAGAAAAATGAGCTGATGAAAAAACAGCCAGCGATAAAACTGCCAGCGAAAAGCGAGCTGCGAAAATTTTGCCCACCGTTGGCAAAATAGTTGACTACATATTGCGCTCCACCGATAACGCGCCGATGACAGATTTTGAATTTTCGGAATTTTTTTTTCATTATTTTTGTTATTTCTTATTTGTTTTCATCCATTTTTCTTTTTTTCACTTTTGTTGTGATTTCGTGCAGAAAAGTTTTATTTAATTTCCGCTTCGAATGAAATCGGGCGAAGTCAGTCTATAAGAGTCTGAAAAAAACGTTTTTCAATAATTAAAAAAAAATTTTCAGGACGCTTAAAAAGCAGACGCCGCTATTTAGTAACCAGGGACATTGCCTCAACTACAGTATACCTGTTCGGTTGAGCACTTTTTGCCTCATATTCCATATTTTTTTACAGACCATTGTTTTTTTAATCGTTTTTTTCCTTTTTCCATATATTTGAACGGTTCACTGATGGCGTTTGCAATAATCGCCATTTTTCAGTAAAAAGTCAGAAAAAAAGAAGCTGTTCTCGGATATCTTCCGGCAAACTTATATTCACACTTCAATCACGTTCAAAAAAAGTTTTTATTATTAGTTGGTAATGGTTATGGTTGAATTTGAGTGGGTTCATATAGTCTTTTCAGATTTGGAGTGTAAAGTCATCGCTTAAACTCCACACCTTATGCGTATATCAAACCAATCAGAGAGAGAAAGAGAGAGTCATCCATAGAGAGCTTTTAGGGACGGAGTTTGTTACTTTACTTTGGAAATCTAAACAGACTATAGGATGCAAATAATGGGCTTTTACTAATCAAATTTGGATTTGAAGTTTAGCTCTAAATTTCTCGATAAATCTTACAATATTGCATAAAAAAAACATAAATACTATGATTCGGATATAAAATTAATCGCTGTCGCTCGAAATTGATTGATTGAATTCGAAGATGCCATTTGAGCAAAGACACTTCCTTCTAGGCAGTTGTTCTGTACACAGCAAATGGGCCCAAAGTGCGCAGAACGTACACTTAAGCCATTCGATCATTTCAGTGTTACTTTCTCCGCAATCCTTCTGACCATGGTGAGATAAACTTTTTAGGTTCAGGAATTTTTTTCGAAATAAAAACATTGAAACAAATAGCGCAGTGCGAGATCGCCGAATTTTTTTCACAAAAAAAGGTTTCTTCGCGTGTTTCGGAGCTCTTCGACGGATTACTTCCGACCTTTGTGAAAAAAAATTTTTTTATATTGGATTTTTTTAAATTTTTTTACCTTGAGCAGATCAATCGGAAGGTCTCGTGGAGCGCTACCACCACGAATAAGTAGTTTTTTTCTCGACGAACAAGTATTTCTTGGAAATCAGTTGAAGGCGGGAGAGAAACAGAAGAAAGAAAAACGTTGTTTCGTGTCAACCAACTCCGAATGTAGTGTTGCGAGAGTTTTTTTGTGATGTTCGGCTCTTCTCTCTTCGCAACTCTCATTATGATGTTTCTGAATTAGCGTAAGGATGCCTCATTGAACTTTCCTAACCTGTCTTACAAGATTCAATTTTTTTGACTTGTCTTTCATTTTTTTATAGCCTCCAGCTTTTTGTACATTATGTGCTGATACAAGATGCCGCACAAAGTTATCTTCTCTTTGCTCTTTTTTTGGCATTGCTCGACAGGACACCGCAATTTTTACACGCATTCTTCTGGAGTAAAGTCGTTGTTTAAGCGATGACTTGACACTCCAAATCTGAACAGACTATATGAACCCACTCAAATTCAACCATTACTAACTAATAATAAAACTGTTTTTGAACGTGGTTGAAGGGTGAATATAAGTTTGCCGGAAGATATCCGAGAACAGCTTCTTTTTTCTGACTTTTACTGAAAATGGCGATTATTGCAAACGCCATCAGTGAACCGTTCAAATATATGGGAAAGGAAAAAAAAACGATTAAAAACAATGGTCTGTAAAAAATATGGAATATGAGGCAAAAGTGCTCAACCGAACAGGTATACTGTAGTTGAGGCAATGTCCCTGGTTACTAAATAGCGGCGTCTCTTAAAAGCAATCAGGGTGGATTGATTTCTTGCGATGAGGAGAAGTTCGAGTATTGGTTCCGCAACTTCACGAAAGACAATTTTCATCGGAAAACCCTGTCATGCTCACATTTTGTTCTTTTTTAGGTTTTTTTAATAAACTGATGTTTTGTTATGTTCATTATTTTCAATACGCAACGGGCAAATAAAATTTTAAATAGTTCCTCTAACGCAAAATCCGGGAAAAATTATGTAGATAATTTTTTTACTATCCCTTTTAATCACTTCTGCATGTTTGTCCTTTTTTTCTGACATTTCAGTAATTGCTTTCAAATATTCAACGATGTAGTTTGAAATCATTCAACATAAAACAAGAAAAAACTATATTTTAAGATAATAATGAGCGGAAATGGACGAAATTCGGTTACTGTTCTCGATGGAGCGCAGAGTCGCGCGATTAACCTGCCAACGGCGGGCGAAATTTTCGCAGCTCGTTTCTCTCAGCTGATTTTTCTCTGGCAATTTCTTCGGCAGCCCATTTTTCGCTGGCAGTTTTATCTCAAACAGCGAGGAGGCTCGATTTTCGCAGCTCTTTTGACATATACCCCTTTACTCATCGAATATATAGTTATCTTGAGAGGCGAGATGGTTAGAGTAACAAGGATTAAGTTTTGCATACGCCACGCTGGTGGAAAACCACCGACGAATCGGGAGGGTACAATAATGTGTCCACAAATATACCTTTCAAAATATCATAATATGTCCATCGTGAGACTCCCGGCATACATTTTAGCTATATCTTAGCCATCTCGGAAGTCCTTGAAAGTATATCTCAAGTCTATCTCATTTTGCACGAACTTCTTGGAGGTATACTCGTGATACCATCCATAGACGGCGTTCTTTTGACAACGCATCGCCCATAATTTCCGTAAAATTTGACGTCTGTGATGTATACACACAGCGACGCTAACTCAATGAATTCGAAATTAATTGGTTTTCAGTTCGCTGATAATTTCTCTCTATTTTGTAGAGCAAACGTACGAAAATAGCTGTATTTACGGTAATGCCGTGTTCATTTTGAATCCGCGAAATGCAAAATACCCGTTAGAGAAAGGAAAAAATCACAAGATTTTGGAGAGTCAAAGATCATTTTGCATTTCGCGGAATCAAATTGAACACGGCATAACTTTTTTTCAGCTCGTTTTTCAATTTTGACCGTTCTGCTCTGAATGCACTGTAGGAATAAGATTGATAGCAAGAAAAAATTTACTTTTGCCACCTAAAAATGTTGAAAAACTGATTCCAACTTACTAAAAAGTCCCCGAAGAAAAGTGAATCTTTTTCAGCTACTCTCGACACCAACAACAACAATTTTAACGTTTATACCCTGGAAAACGGAGAAGAGTGCAATGTGAACGAAGATTGCGATACTTCGTCGTTCTTCACAAGAAAGACGGAGGAAGAGAAGATGAGTTTCACGTGAGGACATTTGTTTTCTTTTTTCAAATTTTTTTTCAGAAGGTCATGCGTCGATGTAAAAAATTACAAACTATGCATACATCGTAAGTTTTGGCTTCATTTAATAGTGAAAACTTTAACCAATTTTTGATTTTTCGACCTGTTTTCAATGAAAAATATTTCAGTGAGTCTTGATGACCGTTTATGCAACTCGGAGGAAAAAGCAGTCCGAAGCGACGACGGCACGTCGCAAAAGTGCATTTCAAAGAGCCGGGATAATAATTTGCCTGAGTCTACAACACAAAAGACAGAGTCGACGACAAAAAAGACAGAGCCGACGACACAAAAGACTGAGCCGACGACATCAATGGTGGAAGACGATTTTACTACAAGCTTCTATCTAACCGAATCGCCACAAACTACAGAAGAATCTGCAGCTATATCTGAAGTTAATAGCAATCTACGAGTTTGACTGTATTTCTGCGATTCAGGCGTCTAAGAGGAAGGAGGAGGAGGAAAGCCACTCGGGCTTGTTCTTCATTCTCGCTAGCGTCGCCGCGGTTCTGATCCTCGTCGCGATCGGCGGCGTCGCCACTTTCATACTTTTTAAGAAGAAAAAGGCGAGAAAGAATGAGAAGCGGGACAGGAAGGCGAAAAAGGAGGATAAGAAAAAAGGGCGAGCCTCGAGCACCACCACCGCCACCGGTCAACGCACTTCGGTTCGTTCCTCTCTCGTGGTCTTTTGAAAAAATGGTTCAACTACAGGGTGCGTCGAATTCGGTCTCCAACGCCGTATGAATCGCTCAGAATATCATTTTTCCTCAGAACATTGTTTGAAACAAATCAAAATAAATTTTTTTTGAAGAAGAGATTCAGAAAGTTGCTCTTCAATCGGCGTTATGTAGAGAGTATAAAAAGTTTTGTTTTAACGAAAAAACAAGAAATGATAAAAGGGTCCAAAAAGGGTGGATGAAGGCCGATGGAAGGATGGAAAAAGGTGGTAAAAATGAAACCCTATCTGCCGAATTATAGATTTTAAAACCGTTGCCAGTTATTCGACCGCTTCACAGCCGTGACTTGTTGGGATTTTTTCAGACCGATGAAACCTTTCAATAGACTGAAAATATCACTTTCTCATCTTTTTCGAGTCTATTAATCTAGAAAATGTAGCTGCTTTAACTGCTTCATTCATATGAAAAATTGAAGAGTAGAAAAGAAAACCACAAGCTCAAAGGTTGAAGGGAACGTTCATGTGTGGGAAATTGGAATCCCCGAGTTTTTCTTCTCCCATCGCAAATCCTCTTGCCGTCCACCAAAATTGCATCCGCGCTTCCTTCTCTGTTGCCTTTTTTCTGAAGTTCCTCCTACTGTGCCGAAACGAAACACGCTATGAATACGGGAGAAGTTGCGACGTTTAAACTAACGTCCAAGAACATTTTTGGAATAATTGAAGAGAAGAGAAAATAATTTCAAGAAGTGAAAATTTTTCTCTAAATTGAAAAATCACTACTGTTCGTTTATTTCTATTTCAGTTGTTCACGGCATTCCTAATCGGGGTGAGGGAAGGTGAGCGAGGCGTCAAAGTTTCTGAATTTACAGAAAAAATTTAGTGCGCGCTACGGATAAAATGACGTCATTCTACGTCAGAATTACACTGAGTATTCAACGTTAATAACTTGTTTGTTCGATCGCCTTCGGCTGAAATACTGTAGATTTCAAATTTCGCGCCAAATTTTTTTTTGACGTCTCTCCACCCCGTTTGGGAACACCGTGTGTTTAAGAACAAACCAACCAGCCTGGAACTATTTTTCGATTTTAAAATTCACTCAACTAACAAGGTTTCTAATTTTATTTCCTTCTTCTTATTCCTATCTGCAAAAAGTTTGTTTCATCTGAAAGCCAATTAACTTCTCCGGCCAGCAAAATATGTACATGTGAACTTGGATTAATGAAAAAGTTCAATTTGGCATCTGCACGTGTTTTTGAATATTGGAAGTTTTTTCAAAGTTGAAAAAGTTGAAAAAAAAAGAAGTTTGAAGCGAATATATATATGGGTGATTGCCAAAATCTGCAAGTTTGCGCTAACAAGGAAGGTCATTATATTTTGCAGTTGGGAATCTTCCGAATTTTGGTCAGAGCACTCCTTGATGTACCAAAAGTGAATTCTGGAAGTCTCAACCTGCACAACTTTCCAGTATTCTAGAAATAAGGGCCCCAAAGACCCGAAATAGCCGATTATCATGAATTTTGAGAGTTTCTTTAAGGTGTCTTTTCTTAAAACTAGAAAGTTGTGAGAGTTTCTTTTTTTTCAGAATATACTTTTGGACCAAAAGTTTTGGTTCATCAAGGAGTGGCCAATCTTTATAGCTGATTCACGGCCAGCTTGAGACGCTAAGTGGGCGTGGCCTGTCTGCGCTCTCCACGAGGCCGGCACTATCTCGTGCATTATCGTGCCGGGACCCTTTTTTCGTTGGCTCAAGCCAGCCGTGAATCAGCTAGACCGTAAAGACTTGCGTAAAGACTTTACGCAATTTAAAAAAAAACCAAAAAGTGAAATCCTGGTACCACTTTGATAAAAAAAAATAAGACTACTTTAAGCTGAAAAGATATTATAATAACTCGAATCTCTATCGTTAAAGGCATAGGGGGGTGATGTGCCAGGATGATGTACTGTAAACAGTTGTCCGTATATACACCGAACCAAAGCCTTTTTCAAAATTAAAGGCGGGAAAGTAAAATCGCGTTTTTCTTCAAAAGTAGTCACATCTGTAATTTTTTTGATAGCACAGTTCGATTCACAAAGAAAAACTATATAAGATACTGCTTTCACCGGGAACCCCGTTTTTTACTGCCCCTATGCCTTTAAAAAAAAGGTTGTTCAGCTTTCGTTCCGCCTTCAACCTATCTAATTCATAGCCATTCCTCATTCGGAAAACTTTCCATGTTCTGAAATAAGATATCATGTAATTAGCGTTTGTGTCTTGTTTTTGCTCCCATTCAATAGAAATTTGCTGTCTTGGTCCTAAATATTCAATGAAAAAGGCTTCTCGTCGTTTTCGCAGAACTACACGCTAGGGACCTTTTTTTCCTTTTTTCTTTCGAAATGCACTTTCATCAATTTTGATATTTTCTTCAAAGAAACTTTTTCATTCAAATTTTCAAAACTCCTCCATCAAAACCTAATCTTCTTTTTTAATCAGTAAGTAGCGTGAAATATTTTATAAGAACTCTCTGCTTTTTGCCCGAAAAGCAGTCTTGCGGAAACACGGCATTTGGCTTGATTTCCGTTTGTAATAAAGCTTTTTGGAACGCTCGAAATATTACCAAGGTCGATTGAAGTCATATTATAGTCTGTTCAGATTTTGAATGTCAAGTCGCCGCTGAAGCTCCGCCCATAATGTTGCAATAAACCAATCAGAGAGCGAGCCATCCACAGAGTGTTTTTGAATGACGTCATTGCACTTGACATTCAAAATCTGAACAGACTATAGAAGTGGAATTTGTCTTTGATCAATTCTCAGAAGATCTCTGAATTTCCAAAAGGGAAGCATTTTATGATTTTCTTCACTTTTTGACAGTTTTTTTTTCTTGAACTTTGTTTCAAGTGTTCTTCTTTAAAATCCCTGGACTGAACTTCCCATAAAAAAAAAATCAGATTTTCAACTTTCCAAGCTTCACAAAAATGTGCTGGAAGTCTTTGAGAAGGTATATTTTTTTAATCGAGCAAAAAACCGCTTCATTTCGATTCTTCATCCCAAGCTCCACTTCATTTTTGGTCCCCACTTTTTTTTCGCTACTTTGCCGCGTACAATGAATCTTCTCACTCGAGTATTTCAAACAGACTCTGCCCGCAGACATTTGAACCAGTTTTTGCGCTACTCTACTCGATTCCCACTATGTTTCTTTTCTGTCTCGTTTCTCTAGACTCTCCCAACATGTTTTCGTCACTTTTTTGGTTTTGGATAAATTTATATCATTGGAAAAGAAGATCAGTCTCATAAATTATGAGGGTAGAGAAAAAGCGGTAAACAAGATCTAAAAAAGTTTCCAAGGCAAGTTATAGCTTCCTCGACTTTTTGGAGTTTCCTCATGAGTTTTCTCACATATTTTTCTATTTATCAACACATTTCGTAGCACTCCTATTGCATTCTACTTAATATAGTCTTATAAGGAAGATCATAAACTTTACCGTAGAGAATTTTCTCAAAATTGGCCAGAACCTTGATGTACCAGAAGACGTTCCTGAAAGTCTCAACCTGCCCAACTTCCCCGTTTTCAAGAAATACGGGTCCAAAGCAACAAAATAGCTCATTTTCACATTTTGAGAGTCTTCTTTAACTTGAACTTTTAATTGATAAACTTCATTTCCTGATTATAGATAAAGAATTGATGATAGATCCTGTTTTTTAAATTTTTTTCTTCGATAAGTTCAAGAAAACAAACTCGATATTTTCGCTGGGAGGTCAGTCGCGGACCAAAGAACCGAGTGGGCGGAGTCGGCAGCTGTGACGTACGGCGTGATGTTGCAAGAAGGATTTTTTTCAGCGAAACCAGTTTCTTTAACTTTATAGTTCACTTATCAACAAAAAAAGGGCGGAAACTTTTAAGAACGGAAAGAGGAAGTGAAAAAATTATATTAAAGAGATGATTATTGGAGTCTCAGCTTTGTGGGTAAACAAATCCGCCCGTTTCAAATCGAGTACAAAGGAAAATGGATGAAGCTTGAAAACTGTTTTCTTTGACAAATCTTTGACAAAAACTGAGAAAAAAATTTTCTCGCCGTTTTTAAAAATGAAAGAAATTTCAAAATGTGACTTGTGAGCTTTCTTTTTATTAGTTTTTTTAGTTTGGATCAATTTTTTGCCAGCATCCCCCCGGGTTTAGCTTTCGATGAAACTTTGTTGAAGTGTACTTTAGGACCTCCTGATTTGAGAAAAAAGAATATATTTCTCGCAATGTATCTCATTTTCGAGATAAGACGCTTCAAAAGCTTGAAATAGCAACTTTTTGTTCTATTTTTCGTGTTTTGCAAACTTTCTAACGTCATAAGGATTTATGAGGAATTTTTTGAGGAAATTCTAAAGTAGTACACTTCAGAAAAAGTTTCATCAAAAAGTTCAACCAGGGGGTAAAAAGTCTTTAGTTAGGGTATTTTCTATTTTTTGAGCCTTTTTCAATTTTTACCTCGTAACTAGGTAAATTTATAATATTTGAATAGAGTTTTGAAAGCTTAGATAAACCAAAGGCAAAGCAAACAAACAGTTCCAGTAACGCTCGGCGGCGAACGGACGATAAAAGTCTCTTGTCTAGTTCTTCAGGTATCAAAATATCAATCTTTTCCTTCATTATCATCGGAAATAATGAGGTAGTTATCTTCGCGCTACTCTGATAACTTCTCAGAACAAGGTATTAATTATGTCGAAAGAAGGTGTGCACTTGCAATTATGCTAGACTTGAGGGATTTCATAGAACGAAAAAAGTCCCTTGACGCATTTCTACTATAAAAACAGGATTTTTGGTTGTTGATTCCGAAATTTCATTTTTTTTTTTGTTTTCCTGATCGTGTAGAGATTCAAATTAACGTGGGAAAAGTTCTTGTTGAAAATATTTTTCAAGTCGATTTGAAGAAGATCTTGAATCGATTTTTTTTTTCCGATTCACAGTCGGAAAGGGTGGGAAAGGCTCCATAGAAATATTCCTTTTAGGGGAAGAAAGGCTCTGTTTTGCTGCGTTTTTGCGCCAATTTATCGGCTGTTATGCACCATTTTTGCTGCTTATCTCTTTTTCCATCATTTCTT